CAGACACGTTTTCAAGGGATTCCTATCAATTAATTACTTCATGTTCATTTTCGATTGGAGGTGCGCCTACTTATATTAAGAGCGGATAAATTGATTCATGGATTGACTTTAATCCAGAATTCGGTTTTCTGACAAGGGCAATCGACAATTTTAATGAACGAGACCTTGAACAACTGCAAACAATGAAAACGGAAAGTCAACATAGACATTAATCAATCACACAGACGTAATAATTCTATGTTTAAGAGGCCGTAAACTGCCAATTCAAAACAAATACATTTATTTCCTTCATACTAGAATGTAGCATCATGTTCGGTTCACATTTGCAAGAATTTGTATACGTGTCTCTAATATTTAAAATATAGACCGAAGAGCAGGGGTAATATTGTCGAATACACCCCGCAGGGCTAGGCACAAAAGTTTTCTGTACCCCAAACGACCGAAGGGAGTGTATTCGACAATAGTACACCTGCTCTGAGGTCTATATTACGATTCGAACATGAAAACTCACCAAAATGTTTCGAATATTCATTATGGTCCGCCATTACTACGGCCCGCCGTTATGACGTCACACATTACACGTATTACCAGGGGTTTTGTTCGCGAATATACCCCGGGTGAAATGTTGACTTTGTTTACAGTTTATAGAAGGCGTGAATACAGTCATGTTCGAATTGATATTATTGCTCATCACTTGTGATATAAACGTGGAATTGAAAATCTGGATCAGTGATAAAATATTATTTTAAAAATAATTTTATTGAAACTTTTTTTAAACTTTTTGTTTAATTTTCTAAATGTATTCCCGTTTTATTTTGCATTTCATAATGATCGTGGTATAAAAAGGTCATCCCCATTCGGGATTATAATACTATATTTAGTCTCAGGAGGAGTCAGGATATGATGATACGATAAGTTCTCTCATAATAAACCCAATATGCAATTACTCCCTGTGTTTTCACCTTTATGTGTTTGCTGCACTGAATATGAAACTTTACCTGTTTTTGGGTGACGATAGTGTTATCAGGTGTTCCCGGTAATGCGTCATACCCTGGGTCGATATTTCCTGTATTTACAAACTTAGTTGTAGAAGTTGAACTATGTCCTTTGTGGTTGTTTTGCTTCTTTGGGCGAACGCCGTTATTGTGATTGGTTTGAGGGTTTTGTCTCTGAGAATGAGGCCCGTGTGAGTGAGTCTCTTGTCGCTGGTATCCCTGAGGGTGAGGTCCCTGTGGTTGTGCCCCCTGTGGATGAGGTCCCTTTGGGGGATAACCCTGAGGATGATGACCTTGTGGGTGCGGTCCTTGTGGGGCAAGACCCTGGGGGTGGGGTCCTTGCGGGATACCATGAGGATAATCACCTTTAGATGTTTCATTATTATTTTCACCTTCCCCAGGTTTCTTTCTCATACATCTACAATATATGACGCCTACGATTATAAGAACTATTCCTCCGCCTATTAATATAGGTCCCGGTGGACTAATGTTTATATTTGTTGTATTTAAAGTAGGATCGCTTGATTGAGCAGTGGCAATGTCAAATTGATTCGCATTGACAAAATCAAATAAGATTATAGGAACTCCTGCAACAATGCAGCCAACCCCGAGGAATATCATGATTACTCCTGGTATCTGACGAGGAAGTACCTTTACAGTCGTTACTTCCCCCCTTTGAACGCCAAACCGTCTCCTGTTTCCGAACCCCATGGCGATGTATCTATTCACACCGTCGCAAATGTGGTCTGTAATTTTTTTATTCACACCGTGGCATCAGTGGTCTGTTTATTCACTCCGTATAATGTGTGTTTATCCGTTGACTTCATTCTTTCATTCTACGTAAAACCATAGAAATCAACATCCTCCACTGCAATATTAATAAAATATGGCGGAATAATCATTTTGTGCAATTTCCGTTTTCTTGTTCTATTTTACTTCTTCATTACAGCCGTTTTATTGAATATAGACATTTTATTTTTCCTCGTTCTTATTCTGAATCTGGAAATATAAATCAATTAAAGATAAGTATCAATTAGATTGGAAAATTGCAATTTCGAACGTTAGAGCCCTCGTGTTTATAAAAAAATAGTTCCAGAGTTTTTCTCTCGTCTTCGTCTTATTTCTTATTTCTTAATACTTTTATCTTTTTCTTGAAAATTAGGTAAAATATACAAAAATAGAAAGATGTATAAAAAATATTCAAATCATATAAATCCATATGTCATATAAAGTCACATATACACGTACCACATAAAGTTTATCGCCCAAAACACACCATAACACTTGATGAAGATATATAATTGTCAGATATAGGAAGATTGTCAGAAGATGGAGATATAGGATCGTCAATCGGGTTGTCTATATTGTGGAAAACTACAATAAGAGGCGAAATTATAGGAGATAATAGCCTACTTACAAATATCGTATTGTTTAATAATTTCTTATTCAATAATGATTCGTGACCATAATGTAAAATCCGTTGTTATAATTGTGTTGTATTGCTTTTTTCCGAATTCAAAAGTCAAATGTGAAGCTCTAGTTGACTTACTATAAAGTGAAACTGTTTCTTCAGTTCACGGCCGTTTTGCCGGCGTTTGCTCATACTGTATTACATCGAATTGATCACAATACGCCCCTAGGTGTGGATAATGTTATAAAGTTCAGTTGAATCTTTTATTATTTCAATTGATCGATGCATCATCCGTGCTGTAGAAGCATCAAAATTTGTGTTTCATCTGTAAGTTCATTACAATTTCTCAATAATCATTTTGTTTGATCAGTTGTTCATTTTAACACCAGCAGTTGTTCATTATGTAAAATACAATGCTGTCACTAGATAGTAATTGTAAACATGTCCGAATACAAAATCCCAAAACAAAATTTTATGCCATAACTTATTCATTATTAGAGACTGATAGAGTCTGATATTGAGTGCAAGCAAAGACTGTTTATTAAAAATCAAAGTTTTATGAAAAACAATCGACCAAGCGAAATAAACAATTGCAAGTATTTGAAGATCATAAAATCATTATGCCATACCATGTGAAACAACTACAAAGTTACTATCAGATTTAAATCCCAATATCATATCACAATAATGCTCATAGCGCAAAACAATCAACCATTATTGAAGTTAAGGCTCCAAACAATGGAAAGGTTACGCTACGTGTTGAAAGAGAACTTTTACGTAATTCTATGACCCCCGGGGATAACTGGTTATCGCAAATGTTTTTTCCAGGGATTATTTTTAAAACTATTTTTCTGATGCCTTTACTCAATCGGGCAAGTTAATTCCCCAAGCCGACCATAATTCTTTACATTTACGTACAAGTTCTCTAAAAACAAGAAGCCTATGATCATTCCAGATTCCTTATATCATAATTAACACATCGCATAATATAACATTTTTGAAACACTTACCTTGTCAGTGTACGATCATTATAGAATGGAATGGTGCATTAAAATCCAATTAATTTATTTCAAAACATTTATGTTTTATTATTTATAGCGACTATCTTGTACAGGTGTACTTTCATCGGCGTCCATGTTGAGTTCATTAGTAGAGGATGAATACTGCGGTATATAAAACCGATAGCCACTTAGGAACAAAACGAAGAAGAATGTCAAAGCCCTACCTACATACACATCCAATTCCGCAACAATTGATTTTACTCTCCTCGTACTAAGACCCGACAAAGACAAAGTCAGAAAGATAGACGTATCAAATTACAAATACATATGTCCATGCACGTTTCATCGACTCTTCTAGTAATCTACAATAGATCCGTACATGTGACGTCCGTACATGTATACCATGCACTGAAAACAAGACATAATTAATTTTGCGAACTACCTTATTTCGGAATAGTATAGTTTCCATAAAGCTTTTGATATCTCGTTAAATCTCGTTTTTCGTGAGATTTTAAGAGATTTGCATATTAGATCTCTAATGATTTACATTTCCTTTTTTTAAATGGCATATTTGAATTCAGTGAAATGTTTTCTCCTACAATAGCTTTGATTTACACAGTTATGTAATTTGAATAATTTTTCATGACATTTAAAAAAAACTTGGGCCAAATCTCTATTGATGCAATGCTAAAATTCTTTAAAACCTTGGATTATTTGTATGTCAACCAACATTTGCATGTTTAATCACATCATGTACATTAACAGGGTCATCATATGGTATATCATTCAAGTTTTACATTGATTCAACGAACACTTTTTGATAAATCATGAAATTAAGGCATTATTCCAAGATTTTAACATGTAAGTGAATGCAACTTTAGCCCAAATTAAAAGGTGAATAAAAGATGGCAGCACTATATTTCATTGCTTTTTCTGCTATTTAGAAACTATCCTATTAATTCATAACCATATCTAAGCTTCCCTACTCAAAGTAAATTGGACCCAAACATCAATTATTTTCTGAATAGAAAGAATGAAACGCTGAATGTCGATCATTAAATTATAGAATATTATATTTATATATTGTCATGACAATCATATCCCATGTGATATATGAAAAGCAACATGATGACATTGAGTGCATCCTTGATGGGGGCAGTGAGACAATCAAGAACACAATTGTATAATTTGATAGACAATATCCAAGTCAATTTGTATATTTTTCATTCAAATTCACAGGGCTCGTACCAAATTAAGCGCGATAGTTGATCGAACGCGCGGGGTAAGGTAAGCACGAGGGTGATGAAGTTACCCAACAAATGCAGATTTTCAGAAATTCTCATTTAAGACAGCGTTATTCAAACTATATCACTTTACTGGGTTTCGTTCATAGGTAGGAATTGCAAACTATCAATTTTCTATCACCTGTCCATTGTTTCTTGAAAAGAATACATAAATATTGTTGGAATCGCCATTTTAAAAATGGTCTAAGTCGGAGTCGTGGACCTGTATCTTCCATATTCAGCTTACGCTAATACGTTTCATCTGGCCTATGTTCTCATACGCAGTGTACGTACAAATTGTTGTTTGCAGGCCGATCCAAATGAATTGGAAGCAAGAATGGACAATGGTCTAGTGAAAGGTCATGCTTACAGTGTAACAGGAGTCAAAAAGGTAGGTACAAAGAATAATCTCAATTTCAATCACGACTGGGAATTCTACTATGTCAGTAAAGCTTTCTTTTTCTATATTGGCTCTATATAAACTTGGTTGTTCTCGCTTTTGGTCAGCTGACCAACATTTCATTAACTAACCATGAATTATTCAGCGTTGTTGCAATGTAAACATGTCAATCTGATTGGTGAAGAGCTAACATGAACTAATATGTTGCAATTTCATCACAATCGGCAATAGATTATAGTGGAGAGAAACAAATTAAAGAATATGTTGAAACATACATTTCTTGCCACCTATAAGGTTCAGGGTTATAGCAGATAACTGCGTATTTTTATCTTGTAATTTGTAATTTGTGATTTTGCTTTAAGGATTACAACTACATTTGATTCCATATATTACAGTGTAATTACAACTACATTTGATTCCATATATTACAGTGTAATTTTGCTACGGATTACAACCAAGGAGAAGTTAACATGGTACGAGTGAGAAACCCATGGGGGAACGAGTGTGAATGGAAAGGAATGTTCAGTGATGGGTAAAGTTCCTTTGTTTTCGTCATGGATAGAGGTCCGTGGTTTTTATGTCCCCATTACGTAGTGTGAGGCCATATTCTGTCGGCCTAAGTGCGTCCGTTTGTCTGTCCGTCCATCCGTCCGTCCGCCATTTTGAATGTCTTATGAAAAGTCAGCGAGCGATAATACTTTGCATCATATTAAATGTTGTTTTTGAGTTCTCATAATTAACTGTTTAGTATTTTTAAAACAATTCCAGGTGTCCTATATTGTAGAAACTCCTGTCACAGTTCACAGTAGGTATAATAATTTTGTTTAAAAATGAAAAACATTTATGTCTACTTTTTATTGTCGGCCATCTTGGGGTTTTCTGTCGTAAAATCTGTAAGTCTTGTTTTTAGGCAAATCGGGATCAATTTTATATTGTGAGGGATGATGATTCTTAGTATGATACACTTCAACTGATTAGGTTTTGGGTGTTCTGGGTAAATGTTAAGGCAGCCATTTTGGATTTTCCGTCCCAAAATCGTGTCTGTAAAGTCTCGTCTACGCGTTTTCAGGCCAATCGTTTCACAGATCAATTAAAAATTTTCAGGAATGGTTCATAGAATGCAAATCTCGAACTGATTCGGCTTTGGACATTCTGGGTAAATGTCAAGGTGGACATTTTGGATTTTCCGTCCTAAGATCCTGTCTGTAAAGTCTTGTCTACGCATTTTCAGGCCAATCGTTTCACAGATCAATTTAAATTTTTCAGGAATGGTTCATAGAATGCAAATCTCGAACTTATTCGGCTCTGGACATTCTGGGTAAATGTCAAGGTGGACATTTTGGATTTTCCGTCCTAAGATCCTGTCTGTAAAGTCTTGTCTACGCATTTTCAGGCCAATCGTTTCACAGATCAAATTAAAATTTTCAGGAATGGTTCATGGTATGCAAATCTCGAACTGATTATGTTTTGGGCATTCTGGGTAAATGTCAGGGTGGACATTTTGGATTTTCTGTCCTAAGATTCTGTCTGTAAAGTCTTGTCTACGCATTTTCAGGCTAATGGTTTCACAAATCAATTTAAAATTTTAAAGAATGATTCTTAGTATACAAATCTCAAACTGATTAGGTTTTGGACATTCTAAGACCAGAAGTTTGCCCCCCCCCCCCCTTGTTGGTTCCCAGATCCGCCCCTGGATGGGTTGCTTTAATTTTGGGTCAAACGTCTTATATACAGGAAAACGGATAACATCACAATTTAAAAGCAGATATATGAAGTTTTAGAATCGTAAAAACATATTCAAAGTAACGTGAGTTTAAATAACTTTTAACAATGAAATCAAATTTCCCTTCGTAAAGTGTTGAAAGTAAAAAGGAATCCTAAAGCTCTAAGGTTTTAAAGGCCAGGAAACTAACTGACGTGGTAAATTAGTCACATCCTCTGCTAATACAGTAAACCATTGAATATGCAGTTTTTATCAAATACTGTTTTATAATTAAAAGTCTGTAATTTAAGCTTTTCATATTATGGACATTTACTTAGTGAGATTGGTGACTGTGAGCCTATGAATATTTAATATACATTCCATAACAAACCAATGTTCCAGGCCTCAAAGACAGGTAAAACAAACCTTTTGAATATGCAGTTTTTATCAAATCCTGTTTTATATCTTATCGTAATTAAAAGTCAATATTTACGCTTTTCAATACCATCGTGCATTATGACATTTACTTAAGTGAGATAGCCTATGAATATTTAATACACGTATGTACCATAACAATGTTCCAGGCCTCAATGGCAGGTAAAAAAATAAACCTTTTTACTGGAATCCAGGATCCTGGAATTACTATTTTTATTAATAATATAATGATTCTTGAGTGATATTCCACTCTGGTTGAAAGAAGGCAAACGAGAAAGAACAGAGCACGATGCCCAATAAACATGATAAGCCATGAACATTGTAATTATTCTAACCAGTAATCTAAAAAAAACTTTTCGTATTTTATACTGTTTTTGCAGATCACCAGAATGGGCATGTATACCAGAAGATGATAGGGCAGAAATGGGCCTAACTTTTGATGACGATGGAGAATTCTGGTGAGGAACATACATACCCAACTTCTCTCAATCCACTGTCGAGGGCTCCCCAAGAGGGGGCAGTGAGGTCGCTTTTGTTCTGTTTTTTTCTACTGTCGCCCATCATGAGAAATCATGGCGTTCTATTAGCTTCTTTTTTCTATTTGAAAGATATGATGAGTATGAGAATGACTGTCGCCTATCTATGGGCATTTTTCTTTTCACTTGTACGACCTGAATTGAGGCTTTTAAAAGAAAATTGGACTGTTCAAAAAGTTCTGATGGGCTCTTGATATAGTAAAAGAGCAAAAAATTGGTTTACTTTTGGTTTCAGGATGACATTTGACGACTTCGCTTCTAATTTCCGCAAACTAGAACTTTGCCATTTGGGGCCAAACATATTTAATCAAGACGAGGAAACTCGAGCCAAAGTCTGGGAGATGGAAACTATAGATGGCGCTTGGAAACGCCGAGTAAATGCCGGAGGATGTAGAAACTATTTAGGTACATGATGATTGTAGTAAAACACGGCCATGGTAGATCAATTGAACCAACAACACGTCCTTTGACAAAGCACTCTACATGAAACGTGTGATTTACAACACTACTCGGCTGTTTTTCTAACTCATCGTTTTTTTTATTAACAATGAAATGTTTATTTTAAAAACATAACTCTTCATTGGTGTGATTAGAGAAAGTAGTTCACCGGATGCTAGTATAATTATCTCGATCGAAAAGAGCTTCGGTAGTTTATAACTAGACTCTGGACGCAGGGTATTTTTGAACGATGCAATAGTCGTAAATCTCATTCGAAATGACATTTCAACCAGATTTCAAAGCTATACAACATCTAACAAGCCCGTATTTTTGCAGATACATTTTGGACGAACCCGCAATACAGGGTTCAACTGACCGAGCCTGATGACGAGAGTGCAGATGGTAATACAGGTACACTGATACTTGGCGTGATGCAAAAGGAACGACGTAAGCTCCGGAAACAGGGGCAAGATAACCATGCTATCGGATATGCCATCTATGAGGTAATATATCAATGAATAATTAGTGCAGTCATTGATATTTGCTCGAATGTACTTTGAGTAACACATGAAGTATGTATGTATTTACCTCTAAATCAATCATCTCCCTACCCTGATAACGTTCATTTGCAACCCTTTCTCAAACATTTCCATCAACATTTCCATATGATTTTCCCCAAAAAGATGTTTAGTTTTGGATACATCTCAAAAATAAAAATATGATTATGATGTTAATTTGGCAAAATTGTGAAATTTCAGGAATTTACAACAATTATATTTAAGGTAGTTCCACACAGTCAGAAAATGTCACTTCGTTTTAATAATAAAGATTCTCACCATGCGGATATACGTTAAATCGAGAAATTGCTATAGTCTCCCCCATTTCGTCAACGTATCTGTTCCACACTATTACAGGTCCCTGAAGAGCATTATAGTAGCACGGTAAGACGAATGGCTTGCCCTTCAGTATAAGCACGAATCTGTTAAAGTCCTTAAATATATATAAGTGGTGCATTCTAAATACTTTTCATTTTCATCACTTGTCCAACCTTACATTGCTTTGAATGGCTTCGTCATGTACGATATCCGACATTGCATTGTTTAAATGAATGGCTTCGCTCTTCATTCAAATCTTGTCTCAATGCTATATCTTGTCGCGCACTTCCTTCACTACTATATCTACTCTTCCTTATATTGTCATAGTTTAATATGCCATATTTGTCGCATTTATATTTGTAATTGTCTTCAAAGATATTCAAGACGAAGATGTCTGATACACAAGAATGACTTTGCGAACTCCTGTGATTAGTGTAAACGTTCTTATCATAGATCATATATCATGTGCTTATAATCCCGATTTAAGAATTGTCCCAAAGGGATAAACTGGGGAGAGCACACGGTGAATATAAAAGAAACAAAAATAATTCACTAGAAAAACGATATAAAAGGAAACCTAGCTCAGTGCTTACTATTTTATACTTACGTATATCACATGACCACACATTTTAGCTGGATGACCCAAACTGTGCTCCTTTGGATCTGAATTTCTTTGCTGCAAATGCATCGGTGGCGAAATCTCCCGTATTCACGAACTTGCGAGAGGTAGCGTCTCACCATCGACTACCACTCGGAAACTACGTCATTGTTCCGTCCACATTTGATCCTCATCTACAAGCGGATTTTATGATTCGATTCTACTTTGAGAAACCTGCAGTGGCTAAGTGATTGTCTATTACATACTTTTGATTTTGATAATCGCATTTTTTGTTAATATGTCTTTTTATTTTAAACACTAATTAAACGAGAAAAAAGCACAAATAGCAGCATAAAATAACTATTCATAAAAATCTAAAATGAAGTGCACACATACACATACACATCTATTTGCGAACAATGATAACCAAACCACTTAAAATTTATTTTGATATTTCAGCGAAATAGATGAAGAAACTGGAGTTGACGAAACGGTAACAATTTTGTTTATTTATCATATTTTATTTTGTCTCTTTTAAATACTTTTTAATATACAGTAGTTTCAGAGTCACTATTTTAAGTAGTGTTTTGGTTAATTTTATTTGGATTCATACATCATATTTGGTGGCATACTAAAATGTGAAAATTAATATTCAATTTGTTCAGCCAAGAGCTGAAGATCCCGATGACGAAATCAGCGAAGATGACTTGAATGAGCTCCGTGAGCTTTTCAAGTCAGTATCAGGTGGAGACTACGAGGTTGATGTGTATGAGTTGAAGGAGATTCTTGATGCAAAATTTATGCCAGGTGGGCGATTAAAGTATTTATTTTTTCATCAGATATTTTACTTGGATTAACGATGTATCAAAGTTTTCATATTGAAAATCAAACTGGTAAACGAGTATGCAGATATTGATGTAAATAACGTACCCAATTCCAGCCTACTGTTGAAAGTAAAAATATATTTTGAACTTATAAGATAACGATTATATAGGGTAAGTTATTACATATAAATAATGAGGTTCCTCCATCTTTCAAAGAAAATCGCAGACCGCAAGGCAGGAGATACGATGAACCTCTGTTATTTTACTAATTCTATGCAGTATCACTCCATTGGTTATACTCATTCTGTTGTAGAATTTGAATTTGATGGATTTAGCATCGATATGTGCAGGAGTTTGGTTGCTATTAGAGATGTATCCTTTTTAGCAGGAAGTACAGTATTTACGCATATTCCATAGTCAAATGTTGGTGTATTGGAACATTGGGACGAACAAAATGAAATATGTTATTTGTTTAAAGAGTAAAATGATTCTGTTTCGTTCTTTATTGGATATTTAAAAGCATGGGTGCATGTACTAACCCGTACACATAATGCACGATGGCGGAGCCCGGGTACAATATCAGGATGTGTGAGTGCATGAAAAGCATGAATGTTTTTTTAATTCAATAAAGAATGATACACGGCTTTTGTAGATCACTCCTTTATGATATGGTACTGTCTAGTTCTTTACGACCCTTTAATGCACTGTGATGACGTCACTCTTTAGCTTAACCAATAATGAAACTACTTAGTTCATTATGAAACCATAATGCACTAAAACAATGTTTTTCATGTTCAGTTGACATTATACCTTCGAGCAGATCAAAGAAATACTCCAAGCTGATTGGCTGAGGCATACGTGGCATATTTGAATCCTTAACGATCAGAGTTTGAGTTTCGTTTGCTCAACTAATATTGAATTACTATCAAAAACATTGAATTATTATTTTACGTGTTCATTGTTTGTAAGCATCCTTCACTAGTTACCAGGTCAGCCTGACCGGCAAGTTAAGCTACAGGGAATTTACAGACCTTTGGAAAGATTTGATTTTCTGGAGGAGAGTTTTCAAGACCTACGATGCTGAATCCGTGGGCTACTTTAACAGCTTTCAGTTGAGACGAGCTTTCCATGACGCAGGTAACGCAGTGTTTTGACTTAATAAGCCCTACTTTTAGTAATGGAACATCAGCACCATTCCCATATGTGACATGCGCACTAATCATGGATTTTTGGTTATCGTCAAAAATTTATTATATATAGCAAACTGACCATTTAACCTTGATTATTTTGAAGTCAAATTCGCCGATCTTATGTCAGTTCCTTGCTATTCTGTTTATAGGTATACGATTAAGCAACTCTACGTTCAACGCCATTGTAATGCGATTTAGTGATAGAGAAGGAAATGTGCGATTCAACGATTTCATATCTTGCATGGCTAGAATAAAAACAATGTTTGGTAAGTTACTTGAATGTTGGTTATTCTAAGATGTCTGATCATGGGTAGTTTAGAGAATACAACACCAAGAAAATGCATGCTGGTGGCTCCCAGAGGGTATACACATTTTTCACCAAGTGCTTTTTTCATCTCCTATCAAATTGCAGGATTCGATCACGTGAACAATCATGGGCACATGCTCTCTCAGTGCTGCGCATGCGCAGAGTTAAATTTGAAATCGTGGGAATGGCGTTTACATCAGTTCAACATCGTCATTTCAAACCTACGGTAATACTATTGAAGTTACTCGATCCATACTTGTAAAGAATACTCATAAAACTACAGTGAAAATTTGGAGATCCATTTGTTTTCGAACGTGCTAATATGATAGGGCCTCCCCCCTGGCCAACACGGTAAAATACCGAATGGCGAAAAAAGCGAACGCATTCCGTTCGGTCTTTGCACGCGATTGCTGTTTATGTCACGCATTTGGTACAAAATATGTGTATATATCACTCATTTGTTTCGAAAATATTCACATCTACTATATATATTTTGCAAGTGGATCCAAGAGACCAAGTGGGCAAGTCAATTATTTTGCAGGGGTGGCATGATACACAGATTTCAATTTTGTATTTAGTGAATTCCCAGTGATTGATTTCAGTACAGTAAAACTGTCATAGTGAACACCTCTTTAGTGAAGATCTGTGCCCAGTGACATGCCTCTACTCTATTGAACACCTGTGTATATTATAGTGAACACCGATTCCGTCCCATCCAGTGAGTTCAGTACAGTAAAAATATCCTAATGAACACCTCTTTAGTGAAGATCTGTGCCCAGTGAAAACATGCGTCTACTCTATTGAACACCTGTGTATAGTGAACACCAATTCCCAGTACAGTAAAACTGTCATAATGAACATCTCTTTAGTGAAATACTGTGCCCAGCGAACATATGGGTATACTCTATTGAACACCTGTGTGTTACCCCCCTATCACACCAAACTCGTTCTTACCCGTTCTTGCCAGTCCTACGAAAACGTCGTAAAACGGGCTCAATCTGGCTGTGGTCGGGAAATATGTCAGAAATAATTAGCTTCTTCGTTCTTAAACAGTCTTCAATACGTCCATCTCGTTCGCAGTTCGTTCAGTTCGCACCACGTCGGTGTGCAACGTAGTAGAACGCGTCCCTTAGTCTAGAAGGTCAACATGACCTGATAACAGAACGGTATGGTCGCCATCGAATTTTGAATCGATTCAAAATTCTAAAATCACATTCCCGTCTGAGAACGTTCATAAAGTTCGTAAATAGACCTTAGAAAGTTGCATCTACGTTCATTCCGTTCGCACACAGTTTAAAACCAGTTTTAAAGAACGCAGTGGCAACTTGTTTGGTGTGATAGCTATATTTTTGCTAACTCGTTCATAGGCAGTGTTAAATACGTTCTTAATCAGTTTAAACCCGTTTGCAATTAGTTCTACCTCGTTCTCAACACGTCCCCAGACAGTTCAACTCGTTGTTAAAACGTCCCTAGTAGGATTGAAGTACGACGGCTCCGTTCGTAGTACGTCCAGCTCGTCGTTAGTACGTTGTCACTCGTTCTAATTGTAGAACGTGACGACCACGAGAACATTTTGAGCATTGTCTAAGTTCTAGAGGACCTACCCGTTCGAGTACGTTCGATGAAGTTTGTAAATAGATCCCAAACGGTTCTTAGTAGGTCCAGTCCGTTCGTACACAGTTGAAGCCCGTTTTCGAGAACGTAGTGAGAACTAGTTTGGTGTGATAGTAGGGTAAGCGAACACCAATTCCCAGCCAGTGATTTCAGTAACTTTTAGAGGGGATTGTACCTACAGTAAAATCTGTCTAATCCAAGGGACCAGCTCAGAGCGTTCGGATTAGGAGGTGTTCACATTTTGAGGTTTTGCATTTGCAAGATTTGGGTTTTTGAAGAAATAGAAACAAATTCTCAATAAATATTATAGTTCTTTTGACTACTTAGCTTTGGCATTAGAGTGACATAAAAATCTGATTCAAATGAATTTAGTCATCCTAGAAAGCCCCACCATGAGTGAGATCGTTCAAGTTTTTTTCAAATATTTGATCAATTTATGGAACATGTGATATTTTATGTGTTCAGATTAGATAGGTTAATTTTCAAACATGACTGTTCACTGTCAAAATTGGGAGATGTTCATATTTCAAGTTTTTTAAACATTTGAGTCAATGGGAGAAAAAACGGGACCAAAAAATGTTCAAATTGGGAGGTGTTCGGATTAGCCAAGTGTTCAGATATACAGGTTTTACTGTACTACAATTGTTTCCAATCTTTTGGAGGAAAGTGTACATCATTCCAGAGAAATGACAGATGCACTGTATATACAGTGATCGCCTACTATTAAAAGTGCGTGATCAAAGACTCGACAAGATGCGCAAAATTCAAATATTTTGTAACGGTTACTTTTAAAAGATTTATTTGTGTTTATATTACAGGCTACTGGTGATTCAATTAGGTTTTGTAGGCACAAGAACACCCATATGCTTTGAGAAATATATATTAGTTTGACCATTTTTCGTATATGTTATTGATTTTACAATTTAAAGATATAAATGCGATACAATATGTGTTATTTTATTTAAAAAGCTTGAAAATATCAAAAACAATAGAACATTTTTTTGCTTTTCAAGAGAAGAAAATGGGGATCTCGCAAAATGTATGTCAATCAATTAAATGGTCACTGTGTGTGTTCATTTTGTTTTTCTGCCTAGATTTGAATACATAACCATTAAATGATATATATACTGAACCTCTAGAACCTGCTAAGTGAAACACCTCTTGAAGCGTAACACCTTACAAGTGGAACCGTTTTTTAAGTTCCATTTTAGTCCATTTATTTTACGCCTCTGATCCCAAGGTATGAGAACTATACACCTTGGCATCCAAGATGATTGTCGAATTGTAATGTAATTGTAATTGTAATAAAATATAAAATCTGAATTGTACATTATCTATTTCATTGGGGAGTTAAATCATTCTTTTGCAGCAAGGTATCAATAAGTAATGTAATGACGTAATAACCTTCAGTAGATGCCAGTAGTCAGTTCCCAGTTTCACCACGAGGTGGCTAACTTGGGTCATATATAAATGACAGGTATAAGGGAAAACTCCTCTAAGGTATTCAATATTCAGTAGATTTATTGATCAATTTTCAACTAAGGTCTATAAGTGATTAGCTTGAGAATTTTAGAATTGTATGTAATCGAATGCAAAATAAACGACCAGTGAGCGTTTTTAGAGAAACTCTACAAAATGTGAAATAAATACCATGCTATTATCTCTAATGACAGAGTTATGTGGATCGATGGGACCGAGTAAAAGTTCCAGTTTAGGCTTTGCTCAGAGGGGTATCATCTCAGATTAACTGGTGGACACTATTGGAGAATGAGAGTCTATTGTAATTTCAGAATCATTTATTGTCATTTCATTACTAATTGATATTCTCGTTCTATTGAAATTTCATTGGTAATTTTATTTGATTTTGTAGCAGTTGTTGAATCAGAGATTCTGGATGATTTCATTCGATTATTGTCATTCACTGAAATTGTCATGAATTCATCACTTTCTACAAGTATGTGTTTATTTATTGATTTCACTTCATTTGGTATTATTCCAGAGAAATTTCTTGTTATCATTCTAGATTTGCCTCTATTTTCAGTAATCTTTCTCATCTTCATCTCTTCTTCTTCATGATGTTCTACAATTAGGTGGTTTATAATGATTTGAAATTTAGGAGTTTGTAATGAAGGACAGTAAAATCATGTAAACCCAACCACTCTGAAATGCAAAGAACATATCATTAGAATCCACATGGTAAAATCACCCACTTGGCTGATCATAAATTGTTTTCATAACATCCTTCTTACTCGATACTGAAGGGGAGTTGGAACGTCTGATATGCATGTAATGTTAAGTATTATGTATATTAACCATAAGCATGTTGGTTTTGTGGTTTTGGTAATCTAAAAACAGAAAATTTGGTGAAATATACATTTTCATTCGGCGGGTTTTTTGATTTTGCTTCATTTATTAACTCAGTTCAGGTATTTCAGTTGAACCAATCACCGAATCCTGTTACCAAATGAATCTTGAGTCTCTTATACAGCATATGGAATACCATCTGTAGGTAAAATGTCATTAAGGTGGTAAAGAAAAGAGAAACAAACATACCTTTCCTCCGACATTTCGAATTTTGCGCATCTTGTCGAGTCTTTGATCACGCACTTTTAATAGTAGGCGATCACTGTACATACAGTGAGGTGACACACTGTTATGGGAACTGGTCATATCAGATGTTCCCACGCTTTTCGTCCAGAAGAGGTCATTTCCCAGGATTATAGATGAACCCTTGGCCAATCAATGATATAGTTTACATAAGAGAAGTATGACTGTATGAATTCTGGGATATTCCTGTTTTGTTGAGACAGGTGAGAATAAAATTAACCCTTTGCAAATTTGATCAATACTGCCTCCAATCATCCAATACTTGGCTCAGTTAAAATAGTTGATTTATATTTGAATTCGATAATAACATTTAAAAATTAAATGTGTAGTAGTAATACTTTAGTACCTCTTATTAATTAATGTATAATATTACCAGGTCGTTCAATAAGTTCACGGAAAAATGCTCTCATTTCAAAGATTTTAGATATTTTCTCATGAAATTTTCACACAATGTGTAAAATATACTTTCTGATTGATTCTTAAAATATCAGCATCTCTTATTTGATTGGTCAGAAATAAAGGTTACTATGGTAACTTGACTTTTGGGTAGGCGGGGCACTTTTTACGTCACGCAATTTACCATTGCAAAAAATCTATCTATATGTGCAAATGAAGGATCCCTATTTTTTTTTATTTGTTCTTATTCAAATTACAAATGTTGTGAAATTGATGTTCATTGTTTGCATGATCATTTCTGAAACCCTGCTAGTCAATGCTGTACCAGTGGGCCAGAAAATCAGCAAAAAGTAATGCTATGGTAAGTTGATTAAAACTTAACTCTAAATTTTTCCATCGGGATAATGATGCCGATCACACTGGTAATATTGTGCAGAAAACCATCACAAATAACTGGCAAAATAGATGCCAAAGCTGTCCCAAGTTACATACTCTCCAGATGAGACAATCCTTGATTTTGCTGTTTTCACTAGGATGAAGGATCAACTAAGAGGTGCACTTTATGGAACAGTGAAACAACTTTCGACTGCAATCCAGATGGCCCTTCAAACAAGTTTTCCAGATGGCTTCAGAGCATGGTATCGTCAATGGGTTGAATGCAAGCGACTGTGCATTAAACATGAGAAAGAATATTTCTAAAACCTTATGGGACAATAGTTGTGACTATTACATTAAGTAATATTATGTACAAGTTGAAAGCGGAGAAGAAATTCATGTGATATACTCATAAATTGCCTACTATTCTGTTGTTTTTCTGAACGAATAATGTGACGTAAAAAGTGCCCCGCCTACCCAAAAGTCAAGTTACCATAGTAACCCTTATTTTTGACCAATCAAATTAGAGATTCTGATATTTTAAGAATCAATCAGAAAGTATTTTTTATACATTGTATGAAAATTTCTTGAGAAAATATCAAAAAACTTTGAAATGAGATCATTTTTCCGTGAACTTATTGAACGACCTGGTACAACATTCATAATGATGTAGGCAATTTGTTTCATAAAAATCTAAAAGTAAAATTCATAATTTAAATTTACCCTCTGGGAGCCCCAAAATTTTAGAAAATGCATTTTCTTGGTGATGTATTTTCTAAACTACCCTGATCATGTGAGTTCAAAAAGTCTACAGTGCAACTGCCATATTAATTTCACATATTGTTTTGATGTTATCAATTTCTCCACATTGTTTTTATCGTTATTTTCAATTCAACTGGGGCGTCGTATATATTCATTTGAAAACCATCATGAACGATCTTCCTTCAAAATATTGTTTGATTAAAGTTAATGAAATTTCTCTCTTTAGGGGCATTCAAAGGCAAAAACATGGGTAATTCTGCCAGTTTCGAGCTAGATGAGGTAAGTGTGCTTAAAACATTATGTTTGCTAATCAGGACTTTCACAAACCGTAACGTTTTGTACAAGGCTATGCAAAATGGCGGAGAGAAGTAATTTTTACATTTTGCTCTTTGTGAAGTTATCAATGGGCAAAACGTTAGTACATTCTAAAATACAAAACATACCGTTTCCAGACATCATTGGATTTTTAATGTTGCGGAAACTATATATTCATCGTATTCGATATCTAGTGCACAAAACAAAAAAGTATGACCCATTGCAAGGTTTTTATTTTACTTTCAGTTCATTCAGCTTACAATGTACTCATAGACTGGAAGGCGTTAACCTAATGAAAAACAAGTTGTTTTGTATATATATGAACCATTCCCAAAATAACAGAGGAGAACGTAAGCATTGTGTGAGCAAAGGCTTCACTGCCGAAAGAAGTGGGAGAAAAGTACACCGAGTGATTAGCGCAAATATGGCAATCATGTTGGCGATTCCTGAAAAAATGCAATAACAATAACCTTGCCCTCAGAAATGAAGTTATTAGTGTTATCACCACCCCCGGAGTTACCACCGATTGAAAAGTAGAAACTTTCGCCCTGGACCAGGCCTCTAAATGTGGTGGCAATACAACTTTAAATTACAATAATGTGGGATGTTTTACTGGACACGACACTATCTGTGATATAAATACAATTTGTAGGTTATCCTGATTCTATTCATATTTAGAGTGATACATAAATAAGCTGGATACAATAGAATTACAACCTAGATAAGTTTTTCTAACTGTGAACTTTTTATTTGCTTTCGAGTTTTGTATACTGGTATTTAAAAGGCTGCATGTAGTTCTACGTAAGGGTCATCAGATGTGCACGTGCTAGTTGTAAGTTGTTGGTTCAGGCGGAACAATTCCTCCTTGTACATACGAGATGACCTCCAATTCCTCCCACGCATAGCGACAAATGATTAGCTAAAAAGTATTAAATATGTTATATCGAAATATATGTCTTTGTGAATATAATGATAAATCCATATGTCTTGATTATAATTATGATATGTTCATCGACGCAGATGGCGATCAATTACTCAGATGCGAGTAGGTAGTTACCAGTTTCGCCACCAGGTGGCTGATTCGGGGGAAATAACATGACAGGGTATTACAAAATTCCCTTAAACTTGAATATTCATCAGTTTTAGTGGTTCACTTTTCATATTACCTATGTATCTGATAGTTATACAAATTAAAATATGTCCAGTAAAAGAAAATATTATCTGCCCAACACAAGAAAATATATTTCCATTTTTGTGATTTTACAACATTGGGGCTTTGGGGAATCTCCCCGACCCTAGAAGTCACATTTTCAAAGAAAATTAAATTTTCAAAGTTGATAAACTCTTCAAAACCATATATCTTGATGTAATTTTACATGTAGATTCCAAATATGACATCAGTTTGACTGAATTTTACATTTTTAATGACGTAAATCAAGATTGTTTCTACTCACATCTAGGATATTAAAACTCTCAAATATTTAGTGAATTGGTGAATTGTCAGATTTAGTATATATGAGCAAGTGTGAGGACGGAGCAGTGATATCAATTTTGTGTATGTAGACCTATGATAAAATTGTATGATCAGCACCAATATCACTGGGCATACGGATTTTGACAGGGTTCCGCCCTATGGATCCTGTTTATTCGAGAATTTTACCGTTCAACATAAGCATGATATATACTAAAACGCTTTACAGCTTTTGAAAGTTCTGTTATAATTACGCTAAGTTTTTTGTCAAGAAAGGACGCATAACAAGTGTACATATATTTCAGTGTTTTGGACTTACGTCATCCATTTTCCCTGTGTATCGCCTCCCAATATATAACGGCCTTTCTGTTCCCAGTAGGGCATCTGAAACGATAAACTAAACCATAGTTTATTTCGTATACGTAGCTTCGATAACAGAGAGGTTAAGCTTGCGCTGTTTCTCATAACGTAAACGTGAACGAAAAGGGTTTAGCGTGTTCATGAAGTCATTAGGAAGGTTAACGGTCTTTCAAAACGTAAACTTGAACGGAAAGATTTAACCGTGTACATAACGTCATTAGAGAGAATAAGCTTGCGCTGTCTTTCACAATATAAACGTGAACGGAAAGATTTAAGCGTGCTCATGGAGTCATTAGAGAGGATAAGCTTGCACTGCACTGTCTTTCACAACGTAAAAATAAACGGAACGATATATAAAAAGTGTGTTTATGTCACTAGAGAGGTTAAGCTTGCACTAAATTTTTTAACGCGAACGGTACGATTTAAGCGTGAACGTGAAGTCATTAGAGAGGTTAAGCTTGCACAAATAAATCACATACACGTGAACGTGATTTCGGTGTGTGTATGAAGTCAATATAGGAATGTAAAGCGCATATTTCTGTATGCGCTTCAGTACCCGTTCAGCTTGAGTGTTTCCTGTTTAGAAAATTTCACGTTGGTGTCAATGGGAATCATATCATAGTCATATCTGTTGAATACTATGCTGGCAATTTCGATGTGCAATAGAATTCTTTCTGAAGAAGATGATGTATGTCAATGTCATGCATGTTTTAGCTCCAAATATCTTACGAAACGAATTTGTCTAAAATATGTATCAGAAAACCAGCTGTAGAACTACCAATGGCATCTTATATGCTGCGGTGTGGCCCTAATATATTTCTATGAATGAATCTTGTATGCGGAACGTATAGTATGTTTTGACATCATTATATTATGTTTTGACATATGCATTGTGATGTACAAGTACATTCAAGGAAACACACGTAACTAGTATATATTCAAGAAACACTAGAAAACCCGTTCTCTTTCCCGTTCTATGCTAAACACTGAAGCTTCAAATGGGAATTTAGGCGAGACAACTATACACTATCATACAATATACACGCTCGGTATCGTCGCGCGTTTTCGTTTCGATTTTATATACAAGCGTACTTTTGAAGCATTTCAATATAGTGTTCAGCTTTAGTGTTTCATGTTCAGAAAAGGAACGTTAAAATCACACGTTGTTGTTCTGATTACTAGTATATTCATGTTTAGTGAATACTTTGCTGGGATTTTTTGTTTTCGATGCATAGTAGAATATGTTCCGAAGAAAGTGATGTATAGTCTTGCTTTAAGACCCTGGACCCCCCACCCCCTATCTTCTTTTCATCTTGTAATTTGTTGGAGAAGTAGTAGATAAGGTGGTCCGAAGTCTTGAAGACTAGTGATGTATGTCATACATGCGATATAAATGTATGACATACATCACTAGTCTTGCTTCAAGACTTCGGACCACCTTATCTACTACTTCTCCAACAAATTACAAGATGAAAAGAAGATAGGGGGGTGGGGGGTCCAGGGTCTTAAAGTAAATGGCTTCACCTGCACAATTACAATTACAATTATAAGAGCCAATTTCAAATACTGAACAGGGAACTCACCTCCGCTAGACATTCCCTGTGCCACGGGGATACCATCAAAGTATAAAGTAACATGGTCCTGGTTAATTGTCATGGCCAAATGGAACCACTGTGGGGTTGGTTCATCTGAACTTCTAGCACCGTCTGATGGTACCTAAATAAGAATGGTTTTCAAACTTTAATGGTGAATTTGAAGCTCTAAATGCACACAGTGGTTGATGTTTTAATCTTGAACAATCTATTTGCAAAGTAAAGAACGTGTACGCATAAGCATTTATTCACGTACTGGATTGATTTGTGCAAGCATTACATCCAACTTCAGTTCTCCCACTCCCGCTTGCCCAACCATCCCTGTTCCTTCCGATTGTCGTTTCCGTCTTTTAGATTCTGAGTCGTCCAATGTGAAGAATATGGTGGAGCCCTGTCCAGTGGCACCATCGCCATTATCCCAGAGATTCCCCCTGACTATATTTGTGAATACCCACGCCATAATTGTGACATCGGTTCCCATCTCAACTTTAGAGAAGTATGGCACCGTGGCTGGTGTCTGAAAAAGATTTACAGTTCCAAAATCTCAAAATTATGATGTTTCTACATGATTTTAGAGATTTTCACTCAAATGTCACCATTGTAATTACCTTAAGACAATCAATGTGCAATTATTTTCTAAAATCATTTCTCGTGTTTGAATAATCCTCTTTGAGAATCAATAATGGCTTTATGTATTTTGAAACATATGGGATTTGCTGCAGTAAAAAAACATTATAAAATATGAATAGTATGGTTCATGAAATGTTAACTCCCCACCCAGTCCGCCCATTTATTGATCTTCAAATGTCTTCTATTGTGCAATAAATTAGCTAACTTTTAATTCCCGGTGTTTACCGATTTTATAAAAAAGACAACATCTATATGATTATGCAAGATGTTAATTTGGGGTCAGATCTTGTCAAGACAGTCTCATTAATCAATCTTCTCATTTGGACAATGTATCTTACAATGTGTTTATTTACCAAATTATAAAAACGCGCAACTATTCCACTTGGCCCAGTGGAGGCCGTATTGTCCATTACGCCTGGTGTTGTATCTCCAAAGCTGACTTCCCCGGGATTCATGTATGTACCTTGCAGAACGTCATCAAAGTTGCCATCAAATGGAAAGTATACGCAGTCTCCTCGCCACAGCTCTCTAGCTAATACAAAAAATGATAATCTGTGTGTTTTATTGCCCACTTTGGACTATTGGAACGGTTATAATATAATTAGTGCTCTCTGAGCATTCCCTCTCTAAAGGTAAAGCGTTTCTTTTTTGAAATGAGTCGAGTAAAAAAGAGATTTTTACTTACTATTTTCTCCCGGGACACATATGCATTTTTCAAGATCAAATAGTTCCCCGGTTGGACAGAGCTGTTCATATTTATCTCCTTTCACCTTGTAACCGGTGCCATTCTCATTTCTTATGAACGACAAACCAGTCAATTCCAGGCAACATTCTAAATAATATATATACTGTATATGGATGATAGTATGCCCATTTTGTGTCAAAATAACACTCTTTTTTCAATTAATGTAATATTATCAATTAAATAATGCAATCGTGTATTTATGATGTATGGTACTTTCTAATTTCTTTGATATATGCCGACAAGATATCATTTGATTCTTGCGAGATTTTTAGTAATTTCTTTCGGAGTTGCTTTTGAGATTTGAGACAATGGTGAATGAATGGACCCCAGTTCTAAAAATATATTTTACAAGTTGATTTTAACAAGATTCTTTTAAATACACCAGTATAAAATGATTAAAATCAATGTACTATTCTGTGTTTGTTTGATGTCTTTATTGCTTCCAGTGAACCATTTGTGAATGTTGATGCTTCTACTGACCATCTTCGTTTCTGGTAACATTGCATCATTTTGGTTTATTTAATTTCTTTATAAGTGAATTCATATTAAGTGGTGGTATAAACAAGCTTACCATTTTCTTGTAAGTCGTCTGGACAGGGTGTTACTGTTGGAAGTGGATCTGCAATCAATCAACGCTAATATCATACATATAACATACATAATTTCTCATTATCAATTACTGCACTCATATATCGACAAGTCTTCATGTGTTCCGATCTTAACCTGCAAGCCAATTCCATGAAAGTAGAAGATAACCTAAACTGTCATCTTCGACTTTTAAGGTGTTATAACACACTTGGAGCAACCGAAACCTTGTGAATCGAGATCCCGATCAAGATGTAAAACTGTCCAAATGAGCGATTTAGTAAACTATAAAATTTAAGTCAATGATTAACGTCCTTGATGAATTTTGAAATAATGAAATGAATAAAAACGTATTTACCGTAACATGAATCGGGTGTGTTCTCACAGCCCCCTACAAGATGCCGATAGTCACAGGAACATTTATCAATGTTCCAAACTAAGGGGTACATACACTTTTGTATAGTGGCGTACTTCCCTTCTTCTGAGAGTGTATCGCATTGCATATATCTACAGCAATCAACGTCTAGGTCACCAGTGTCGTATTCAAAAAAACCACTTGCACATAATTCTAAAATGTTGTTTTTAGTTCATATTAAATACTTGGATAGTACTATATTTTTTTCTTGATTGAATATTCATACTTTTTGATAACATGATAAGAATATTAGTAATATTTGTTTAGGTTAAAACCAGTTTTTACTTATACTTTAGGCCTGTAAACAATAAGATAAAATTCGTCATAATTATCCACTTTCAATTTAAGATGGCTTCTAAAACAGCTTACTTTGGCATGACAGGTGCAGGGGAAAATGTATTATATCATATACAGAAATATATAAGCACTAGTGCCAACGTAGATGAGAGTAAATACAATGGCGTCTTATATTTTCAAGAAACTAGGCAATCGTATCGATTATAAAGATCAAGGCGTAAAGATATTTGAGACAATAAATGAAATAGGTGACGTTTTGGACTGTTCAAGGAATATGTAAATTGAGGAATAATATTTGGAGATACATGTATATGTACATGTTTTACTCTTAAAATGTAAGAATGGTATCATCGTCAACAGGTTCCATGGTTTACTGAATTACTATAATCAATCTTTTATTGCTCTATTCAAGATGGAGTCGTAGATACATAAGTCTATCGCTATGAAAATTTCAGTATAGGAGAAACTCCCGTTTGATATTTTCTAATTTTAACCTTGAATCAGCTAACATTTTGTTACTCTTTGTACCAGAGATATCCATACAAACTTAAAATACGTTATGAATAGACACAATATAGTGTATACTGTTCCGTATAATTATATATAAATAAATATTAAGAGGGAAACTTTTGTCCATGGACATATTGTCCTCTTTGGAGAGAGATTATAAAAAAATCTTTTGTAGAGTCAAAGTACAGACAAGCAGGTTATATGATTCATTCAAAATCTGGCCATTTCTCGCGATATTATTTTATCGACTCGTGTATATCCTCATGTGAATGATTTTAAATTTAAATGAAATCTCACCCCGTGTGAAACTAATTTCTAAGAGTGTGACGTAAAATGTTACAAATTTATTGATAATTACAAGGGTAAAGTACATGTTCATACCCCCTTCCCTTGGCGTTAACTCTCTAACCGTTCCGACATCCTGGGCCCGAGACGTCGAAAGAACGACGCATAACCACAGAATTCCAAACATCCCCTGAAAGTGAATTATATCCACAATTAACTGGAGATAACTGCCACGACTGAACTTCGAGATCCTCTTTTTCAATTCAATATTTCTTCGTGATAAATGTTTTCTGCTTAACAATATAACTGATTCCTTATTTCTTCTAGTTACATATTTGTCTTCTTTTTACTACATATTGGTGCTATGTAGACGTTTTTGGTAAATATAATTTGGCTATTCACCATTATTTATCTTTTATTAAAAATTACTGTATTTTTCATGGTGTCCAACAAAGGGTGCTAAACTTCATTATTTGTTTCCAATCCGTTGCCATGGTGGTGTCATGGTTACACCTGAACAACTCTTGAACAATTCGTGCGCTATGACGTAATGCTAAGAAAGCGTTGGATTTGAATCCATATGCACATACTGACCTATTTCTGCAGAAATCCTACATAAGTTTTCTATGCAAAGCTGTGTAATATATTTTTACCATTCATCAAAGAAGATGATCTGTCATCAATGGTAATAATAATTGTCCTCAAGCCACAAGCATATAACATGTGGACTTCTAAAGCACATGGTGATCTGTGGTGCTGTAGCCGCGATCGTTGTCATTAACTGTGGTCAGGATTTGATGTACAATATGTACTGATAAATATAAAAGCTAAAGTTTGACAGTGCAGTATATTTTGAGACTTTGCCTTTGTGTTTGACATTGTTTACCATAACTTTTCATTTCAGTTCTCATGAGATGATTTGTCTATTCAAGAAAATGTGAAGGCCTATATCTACGTCAATCCTATTTTAGAATGAAAATTAAAGTAAATTGTAGGGTTAATGTCAACCTTTAAAACTGGCCTAAATCCAAGGTTCCCTCAAGGGTCAATATTGAGTCCTCTGTTATTCCCAAATAGAATTTTTGTTATGGTTATCTGCTTTAACGATTTTAACTGATATACAGTTACACTGTATCATATTTATGAAAAAAACTCATAAAGATGGCAGTTGTGCAGCTAAAGTTATTATTGTAATCATCAATTATGAAAAGCTTCGTTGAGAATACATATTCTCTGCATTTGTTCGGGTGGATTATGTGAGTGAATTACATAGCTTATTTGGTCAAGAAATCAAAGACACGCAGAGAGCGAAGTTCCACAAATATTTAGATTATTGGAGAGTATGACAGGTTCAAATATTAATCAATATTGTTTCACGTTCTTCTTAGCTAATCGGTTTAAACGTTGCTAATTGGTATATTTTGGGAATTTGTTGCAATTTGTAAAAAGCTACAAATTAGATCATGTATTGACCTTGTTTGTTTGATACTACAATGTATTTCATGTTTCCGATTGTTCACTATATGATATAAGATATGATCTGACTAAAAAACCATCCATATGTCCTCCCCCAGAATCTATTAGGAATTTAGTTTTTGATTCAATCTTGAGCCTGAAATACAAGTTGACATTGTATTATCCTGTGTATACACCATGGGTGTACTGAGTGATATCTTCTAAAAATTAAAACAAGCTATAAACTATTAAAATGATTTATATTATGGCATACCTTCACCTATTGTTCTACTGGCCCATTTGAATATTAAAATACAATATAAACACGTTTTTATGGGCCATCAAATACTCAAACAAAACAAGTTAAGTCCAAAGACAAAATGATGACGAAGCTCCTTGTTGGTATTTGAACAAATTGCACTGGGAAAGTTGAGGGATTGTATAGTAGACGAACATATATTTTGGAAGGTAAGGTAAGTAGAGCAATTTCATGTATATGACTTCACAAATGATTAAAATTACTTAAAATTAAATTTGTTTCATTCTATTTGAACAAAATTGATTGACGTGTTTCATCAATGTTTGAATTCTATTACTCAAAATTGCACACACAATCCTTTTGTCACAAGTCCATTATCCTTTGAACTAAAGAATTGGCCAAAATAGGCAATGTAGGTTATCGCAACTTCAGACGGTTATATCTTGGATTATGACTATTTTCTGATCTTGAAGACGGGCATATCTGTTAGATCAATTCATAATATCAAGAGAGACTATCTAATAGTAAATCGGTCTCGGTGATATTTCTTTTATCAACCCATCAACATTTTTCAATGACGTTGACCACGATTTCACCTAGAAGACAATAGTTCACAATGTCAAATGCATTACTATTCTTTATTTTAATGTATCAATTAGTTCTTGAATGGGAAACTGGATTGCTCTGGATTAGTGTTCCCCGAGCAATTTCCTCATGAAGAAAATTCGTGCTATCCACTGTTTTCGGCTCATTTTGGTCATCCAAATTCAATATCTTCAGTCCCTTAAGCAATCCACTTTCCCATTTTATGAATGCAACAGATGTAGTAAAATAATTCCCCACTCAATGGTAAATGGCTAGTAAACAGACATTTCGAAGATATTATAGGGAATCTACAGTAGTATAAATGTATTCTGAAATATTAAATCACTATATTGATGCTGATGTTTCATCATGTTCAAAATACCCATTGACGCTACGAGTATGCCAGAAAAACAAGTTTGATTGGAATCAGTTAAATGTAGAAATATACCAACATATTGTGCATTTGATTAACCTTCATGATCAGTGATTTTTTCAATCATTTATACAGATCAAATACTTAGAAATTGATCACTTAAAATGGTAAGAAAGGGAAGGTCAGTGAAACTAAACTAAATCAGTAAAACACAATTCAAAAGGTCAATATCATGAAGTTTTGTTGGGCCTCCGCAAATTGTCTTGAGTTAACAGGCCAATGAAATTACTCTCTTTTCAGTTAGTATAGTAAATGTATGCTTACATTTATGCATGGTGTAGGACATTTGCAAATTGAGCGAGGACATCAAACGCCCCAGATAGTTCACTGAAGTGATGTCCGGAATGGGTGCGGCACCGGTTGTTCTATGTCTAGTTGCATTAGTTGCGATATGTTTGCAAGGAGCATACGCTGGAACTCGAACCTTGACTACAATTGATGACAACGGGTATGAAGATGTTGTCATCGCGATTGGAAATGATGTTCCGGAAGATAGTAACATCGTTACCGAATTGAAGGTAGATAACGCCAAAGTGACATAGTAATATACCTAGTATATTCAAGGAAAATGAATGTTGTATAAAACATTACTTCTACATATAACGAAGTTAAAATATTCAAAAATAAACATAACTTACATTCTGCAACAGTATTGTTAATTTTTAACCAAAATAGCACTCTTATGGTAATATAAAACAAATAAGATAAATACAATGGTGGCGACATATTAAACTTTGTTTTATTATCCATATCAAAAACGCACAACATTTCATAAATTACGCTTCACAAAAATATTTCGTAATTCGTTTTCAGAAAATATTTATAAGTGCTTCGCCTTATTTGTACCAAGCAACGAGGAAGCGTGCTTACTTCCGGGGCGTATCGATCCTCATTCCTCCAACATGGGTGGACAAGCCAGAATATGAAGACGCTGTACTTGAAACCTTCAATCGTGCAGATTACCGTGTAGACCTTCCCAATCCAATTTGGGGCGACAACCCGTATTCTAAACAAAGTGGGCAATGTGGTCATCCAGCAGAATATTCCCATCTGACCCCTGACTTTGTACTTGATAGAAACCGTGATAGAGTCTGGCGTTGGGGAGATCCAGGTACTAAATATAAAATATACTATAATATGTATTTTCGTGGAAGAACCACAACGATGACTACAGTGTACGTAACCTTCACAAAAGCCATTTAAGCGTAATTGAAGCGAGGCTTTTTCGATAAGTTATCGTTTTCAAAATACATACAGTAAAAAAGTACCATTCCAAAATAAGCCCATATAGCGGGGGGGCTATCGAACATATATTTCCCTTAATTTTTGAACTTTTATGATTATTGTTCACAATCATCGTACTTGATGTGTCCTAAATATCTCCTCTTGTGACACTTGAGGGGTACATATAAGCCCAACAGAATCATTATAAAAATTGTTAGGGCATGCATGATGACACTGAAATCGCGGAAAGCAAAATTAAGTAGTTCTAAAACGATGCAATAAATAGGAGAAAGGTGGTTTTGATTTCTGGTCACCAAGTAAGTATTCAAACGTGATTTTTTGCTCTTTTGTTACTCTCTCGAAATGCCTGCACACGCATTGCATCAAGTAGTTAGAGATTAGACAGTTTGAAATAATCCTAACACGTAACCCTATGGAAGGGTGATAATTATAAGTAGGGGGATAATAAAGGGGATTCCCCATTTCATCAACTACGTCATCGAGGGGATTCCCATATTTCATCAATCTGGTTAATCAGGTTTTATATTTGAAAACCGTGACTTCGGACTGGTGTAGAATGTTCTGTAAATCTAACTTACCAAGTTGTAAATGTTTTATCCTATATAATCCTAAACTATCGTAGTATACAGAAAGAGTCCATTTCGTTTCGCTCAAGGGTATTCCCCGTTTTCATCAACTACGTCATCGATGGAATTTCCAAACGTTTTCGTGCCGTCAGAGTTGATACCAACGTTTTTCGAACGTTTAGACGATTTCAGAACGTTTCAACGTTGCGTCATCGAGGAGATTTCTCTCAGCATCCGTTTAAAACTGGTTGAAATCGTGATGACAGCAATAATAAAAATGTTCTTTAAATTAAACTTACCAGGTCGTGCTACATCTAACATGATCCTTAAATACTGTTCATTTCAAGAGTCCATTTTGTTGTTATACACATTCACATTTTTTCATAGTTCAACGTGTCTTGTACCGCTATACGATACAATACAATACAATCTAATAGAAACCAGATGTTGACAAGTTGGCTGTGGTTAAGTTCTGGGGCAGACAAGTTAAATCAGTGTAATTATATTTGGGATTATTTTACAAGTCAGCTGTATTATTAAAGATATCTGGCTTTGTTTTATTTAGCATGTGAAGCAGGAAACTTTAAAGGACGCTATATCACTTAATCATGGGTTCACATTTGTTTATAAAACAAATCATGGAAAACATGATGATGAATACGTGACTATTATTCTTAACAATCGATAGTGAACTTGTTCAAGAAATTTTAGATAGTATGCATATGAGGTCTATGGAAAATGTATTCAATAAATAAAAGCCTTTTGCCTGTTTCAGAAAAGGTAAACTGTCTTGGCGCCAAGGTGCATGTAGTACTAGTCTCACTATATTTTACAAGTTTTCACGCACAAACAACTAATTTCATATATTGCGTATGGATGTATTTATTACAACTTTTAAAATCAATAAACATATACATCAATGTACTAAAGTCTGTTTTTCGACCTTTCTTTCACAGAATAAATCATTTGCCTATGATAAATTATATTCACAATAAATGTTTCACAGTGTGACAAGAATATTTTAGCCAATCCAAATCGACGTGATACAATTTTGTTTCAGAATGTGGTCCATAACCTTTCAACAACACTGGTATACTATGAGTGTCACGGTTGTGTTGAGAAAGATAAATCCTCCATATTTTCCATCCAGGATCGACATTGTAGCTACCATCCGCCATTTTGAATTGTGTGATCACCTGAGACCATTCCTGGCTAGATAGATGTATAACTATCGGACCTTCCTCTTCTGTATCTCTCAGTATGTCATTTATACTTGAATTGATGTGTGTTAAACTAGACTGTGCAAGAGGTTCTCGCCCCTCAATCACTTTTCTGCGGTTCGTAGCAGTGACAGATGTATAAATATTCGGAAAATATATACATGCTCCAAACACGTCGGCGATCAACTGTTTACTTGAATGAGTATCTGGCTTACAATCTACCAGCACATATTGATATGGCTTTGCTGTAACCTTATTATACACCTCCATAAATCTGTCCTTATTTTTCTCAAATATTCTGTCTGCCAGCATACCAATTTGTCTCCTGTCTGAGGGACATTTCCATAGCACATACTGAGCATTTCTGGATATTTCCGTGTTGCACTTTCCCTTAGGAAAAGCATTTTGAAGCAGGAGGATAACACTGGTATTTCTATGTCTTCCTTGAGTAAATAGCTTAGATACAATGGTGGAATCCTTCGCTAGATCCATCAAGTCATCTAAAACGATGATATTGTTGTATGAATCATCCAAATTTGACAGATTATCCTCGTAATCAGGTAGTCCTTCCATGAAATGTATATCTCCTTTAAGACTTCTTTTCAAATCCTTGTAAACGTCTTGATATTGACCATAATACCACATGATTCGTCTCCTTTTGTGATTGTCGTAGTTGATATGATCCATCTCCAGTAATTGCCTTACAAAATATGTTTTGCCACTCTGTGTTGGTGCTATGACTAACATGGAGAACTTGTGACGAAACCTAAACTCTGGATAAGGTTCAGTAGTCATACCATTGGGCAAGTAAGACTTTAACGGTTCTGAAAATGTCCTCAAGAGGCCATCACGTTAGTACTATATGGATTCTATTGTGGTTCTATTCGAATTCGCCAGTTGTTCTGTATGACTTTTGTATGGATTCTCCTGGGGTTCTCTATGGATTCTCCTTGGGTTCTCTATAGATTCTCATGGGGTTCTTTAAGGGTTCTCTATGGATTCTCCTGGGATTCTGAATGGATTCTCCTGGGATTCTGAATGGATTCTCGTGGGATTCTGAATGGATTCTCCTGGGATTCTGAATGGATTCTCCTGGAATTCTAAATGGATTCTCATAGGGTTCTGTATGGGTTCTCTTGGGGTTCTGAACGGATTCTCCTGGGGTTCTGTATGGGTTCTCAAAGTACTCTGTATATAAAAGAAGAAGAAGTGGAAATGTCGTGTATATCATTGGTTATTGTTTATTTGTTCTTTTTGGGAATATTGTATGGTCTATACAAGGCCCTTTTAATTTTCTTCTTTTTTAACTTAGCCTTGACGTTATCATCATCATCATCATCCCTATGTTATGTTTGTATACCTTTGGACCATGCAGATTATGTTCTTCAACATATTTCTTTTGACGCTCAATCTGGGCTTTAGCTCTGTCTACCACTGCTTGCATGGGAGATATCACCTGTATAGGTTCTTTAATGGTATTGACAGCTATCAATCTCATTCGTTTACCTCCAAATCCCTCTTGATTGCTCCTTCCTGCTTTTATTATTCTTTGCCACTTTTCAGCATCGTTTACCACGGGTACGACCTTCATTGTTTTCATGATATGACTCGATTGAAGAACAAGAGGTAAAATGGTTGGTATTTTTTCTTCATGACATTATATACTCGGGGATAAATATTAGGTCACATTTGAGGTCTCATACGGTTTAAATAGATTATCAAATTTGTAACATGAATGATGTGGTGACCTTGAGGTTTTACCGCTTTACATTATGTTTGATTATATATATTATATTCTTTATTATTTTCACAGTTAAATTCAGAATGATATAATGTTTCTCAAATATTAGGTCTATCTAAATAAAATAAAATTCATTAAATTTATTTAATATGATGGTATTTAAAAGAAGGTTTATGTGTCATAAGTGCAATGATACGGGTATACAAAGTCATTTCAAGAGCGTGTAAATACTGGACTAGTAAGCCACACTTCACTTTGTTTATAAACCACTAAAACAAAACAACACAGCGTTCTTAACATAAACAATACTGCTTACCAATTATAAGATTAACTCGCTTGTCCTCGAAGCATCATAAGCATCATCGTGTTACAGGTCAAAGTCTGGTAAGGCTAGACTGAATTACATGACAGCTGATAACTATATATGAGTTTCTGTAGAACACTAAGTCAAACGATATTAAGGGCGTATTTTTGTACATGCTTTTTTGACCGCAGGCAAGATTTTAATCCTAAAAATTAGCTAGATCATGGTTATACCACAATAGAATGGCGCTAAATATCGCTGTGTAAAACAATTGAATAATAAACAACTGTTACAATTTCACTTGCACCTCGGGTAAACAAAAATACAGTGTAAACCTCTCTCACGTTGAACTATGAACTAGTTGTGAATATGTATAACAAAAAATGGACTCTTAAAATGAACAGTATTTAAGGATCATGTTAGATATAGCACGACCCGGTAAGTTAAATTTATAGAACATTTTTATCATACAGTCTATACGATTTCAACCAGTTTTAACCGGATGTTGAGGGAAATCTCATCGATGAGGCAACGTTGAAACGTTCTGAAATCGTCTAAACGTTCGAAAAACGTTGGTATCAACTCTGACGGCACGAAAACGTTTGGAAATTCCATCGATGACGTAGTTGATGAAAACGGGGAATACCCTTGAGCGAAACGAAATGGACTCTTTCTGTATACTACGATAGTTTAGGATTATATAGGATAAAACATTTACAACTTGGTAAGTTCGATTTACAGAACATTCTACACCAGACCGAAGTCACGGTTTTCAAATATAAAACCTGATTAACCAGATTGATGAAATATGGGAATCCCCTCGATGACGTAGTTGATGAAATGGGGAATCCCCTTTATTATCCCCCTACTTATAATTATCACCCTTCCATAGGGTTACGTGTTAGGATTATTTCAAACTGTCTAATCTCTAACTACTGCATCAATTGCATCAGTGTCAAGATATAGGGACAAAAATAATGGCATTTTATATGTAGGACTTGGGATTTTATAACCATTTTATCAATATTTTTAAAGGCCCCATGTAAAGTTTAAATCACTTTGGCTTATATTGTAGTCTTACCCAATGTTATGAAAGTGTGATATGTGAAACTTTTTTTTTAAATTTCAAAAAGTGGTTTTTGAAAGACTTTTTATTCCAAAATTTGTGAATTTATTTAAAACCAACTTTTAGAGGTCACTCATATCTTCTAATTAGCCACAATTCATACCAATGCATAGCATTCATCCTCCCATGTTTTTTGCCGAAAAAATCAAGAAAATCGGTTGATAAACAAGCGAGAAATGAACTTATCAGTGCATGAAAATGGTTCTGAGAAAAATGCATTTCAAAATTTTAGTTCTCATAGAAACCAATGGTACGATGATATCTAAAACATAATTTATTCTTCCTTTTAACCTGGTTAGACAATCAACATTGGTTTTTTATGGAAGTCTAGCATATTTAGAAAAGATTGACATCGAAAAAAAAAATTCAATTTTTTTCAAAAAGTTTTTGTTACCTTAGTGACATCACTAATGTTTCAAAATATTTTTGATAAGCTAAAACATTGAAGTGGCCCATTAAGTATGACATTTTATTATTGAAATAGTGTGTCTTTTGTTCAATCTTTGCATTGGTGTTAAAAAGATAATCTTTTTTGAAATGCATTAAGAAATATTTGATGATTAAGAAATTTCAACTTTTTTTGAAAAATGGCGGGAAATTTGAATATTTGAGAAATGAAATGCTCACAACTTTTTTTTCAAAAAAATTTTTTTGTTCAAAAATCTCTAAAATCACTTTTTAAGTCCTGACAAATAGTAAATGAATGATAAAAAAATATTTTCAAACTTTAGACGGGGACTTTAATAATAGAGGCATTTTAAAAATGTTGGCCTATTTCCCTGCCTTCTGGAGCTCACAAACGTAGCTTGTATTCGCGAATACAACTAACGGCTAGCGGCTATCGGATTAATCTGCTATTATATGACAAACTCATTTAAATATGAATGGAATAGCGACAGGTCATATTTAAATGAGTTGCCCATAAAATAGTAGGTTAATCTGGTAGCCGACAGGCGTTAGTTGCATTCTCGAATAAAGCTTACTCATATATTCAACACGCCTAATCTTCTGTGAGAGACGAAATACGTTGGCATCTACATCCATGGCCATTTTGATCAATCAAGGTATTCCAAATGACTACGGCTTACACTGATTTGACAGCATGCCCCATGTCACTCAGTTCTCGTTGATTGCTAAATATAAATACTAGCATCCTGCTACTCCAGGAATCCTGGAGTAGGTCATATAATTGCAGTTAACTTGCCTATCATCTTGATCGTTTCTTGTTGTGAATAAGATTTCGTTTTAAGAAAGACCCCGAAACGACATTTCTTAATTTAACACCAAACAAACATTACTTAATTTAACACCAACCAAACATTTCTTAATTTAACACCAAACAAACATTTCTTAATTTAACACCAAACAAACATTTCTTAATTTAACACCAACCAAACATTTCTTAATTCAACACCAAACAAAAATTTCTTAATTTAACACCAAACAAATATTTCTTAATTTAACACCAAACAAACATTTCTTAATTTAACACCAAACAAACATTTCTTAATTTAACACCAAACAAACATTTCTTAATGTATCACCAAACAAATATTTCTTAATTCTATTTATGAAGGACAGTGTATGTACTGTTATTGTCTTGGTTTAGGTCGAGTTGTGGTCCATGAGTTTGCTCATATTCGCTATGGAGTATTTGATGAATATGGAGAAGACAGTGATAGTGAGCATCCCTTCTTTTACATCAACGAGAAGGGCCGACCTGCGTCAACTGGGTGTACCAAAGATGTCACCGGTAAGTTGCAAAGACACTGAGACGTCGTACGTCAAGCTATATGTCCCCCTTGATCCTTGAATAGAGAAACGGGTCACACATACACAGTATTTAGTTCATTTTAACAATACCACTTGACCCATAGACCTGGTTTTTTATGACACCAATGATTTAACAACACTTGTACTTTTATGGTATTGTTTTTTACTGTCCTTGTGTTTTATGCATAAATTACAATTTCAAAGTCGTCTAAATATAAGCCGTAAATCAAATACCATTTCGTATCACCTATATTTCAATAATCAGTCTAGTTGATGTATTGCAGGATGGTCATTAAATAGGTTCACCTACCAGAGATGTCAACGGAATAGAACATCCGGGCTTCCCGAGAATGATTGCCGATTCTTTCCTGACTTGTCTGCCTCTCAACCCGCAAAGGCATCAATCATGCACATGCAGTTTTTAGATCCAGTAAGCTGATATTAAAATATAGGCGTGTTTATAGTCTAGCAACAAGCCGTTGTGACCCCCTTCCCCTTCGCCCAAGTCCCCCGACACGATCACGTCTTCACAAGCCGGTGGTGAAGTGGAGTAATTGAGAGCGGTCTAGAGATTTGAAACAATACTATCGTGTTCAGCCTTCCACCCAAATACCAAAAATAAGAAAGCACAAAAGAGAGTTCGTTAATAAGACGTGAAAAGTATATTGATGGGCTTCTCTTGATAAATCACATATTAGGGACAGGGACGATATCAGGGATGATATCGGAATTAGAGGGATGATATCAGGGTTTGATATTGATATCATCCCGGGTAAATTCAAAAATTTTAAATTTTCCCCCAAAAAATCATTTTTTCATTTTTCTAAAATTTTTCATTTTTTCAATGTTTTCATTTTTCAAAAAATCATTTTTGCTCGTGACCATGGTATAAGGTCGTTATTAAAGGGGCAACAAGGACTGTAGAGAGAAAATTCAAAAATTTATATTTTTTCTGAGCTATCAGGTCAATATTTGGCTTAACATCTTCTTTGACATACCTATTTTCTTAAAATATATGGATAAACTATCAATTTTAGCATTAGGACGTGTAAATTCAATTCAAAGCTTCTATAGAGGGAGTCCCACTTATAGATTTTTAAGATCCAACACATTTCAAGAGAAATATCAGCTGAAATAATGTTCATCCAGGGGGTTTCTTTGCAGATAATGAAAATATATGTTAGTCTTGATGAAATATCCAAACTTAAGTATATTTTGACACTGGTCGACGATCGTTGAATGGCCCCCCTGTACTAGTTGTTGCACCTTTAAACTGTCGGAATGTCACTGCGTTCCCTCGGGAAATATTGATATCATCCTTGTGCTATTCTCCATATCAAATCGCTCCTGGTGAATAACTACTTTATATCGTTGATCCCTAGAGCTCTCACTCACGTGTGCTTGCAACGAAAATGTGAGACAGACATATTAATATTTATTTATTGTACCAATAATCCCTTTAAGGGCAAATGTATTTGCAACGTGAACGTGTTTGTGACCAATAACTGTATATTATGCGTTTATTTTAAGGTTCGTGGATTTTGTGAGAGCAGTAACACTGATGAAGAATTGTCTCACAATATTCTCGCACCAAACAAACATAACAAGATGTGCTCTCTGCAAGGGACGTGGGACGTAATATCTCAAAACGAGGACTTCCAACCAGGGAATAATGAACCACGTGACATTGCTGATGTCACACCTAACATCCGGGTGCTCTACAGACGATACCGAGGGTCTGGGGGTGGTGATATTACACCCCCATGTAAAAGAATTGCTTTGGTTTTTGACGTATCACAAAGTATGATTGTTCCGGTAATGATAATGCTTTGGGCCTACCTAAGTCAATTATGAATTTATCGTAAAACCTGTCTTAGTGAACACCTCTCACTAGTGAACACCTCTCACTAGTGAACACCTGTGTAGACCCTTCCTCCGTACATACTCTTCTGGCTTCTGTATATATTACCCTCTCTATAGAACACCTACCAATATCGAACGTTTTTTTCGACAAAAAATGTTCAATATGGTTTTTCTGTAATTCAGTTATCGAAATAAAATAAAAATGTAAAAATAAAAATAAAATACTTTTTAAATGATGAAAATTGTGAAAGAATTATTTGACCACCACCGCTGCACGGCAACCCTTGATATTTCAGAAAAACCGTATGTTTCCTCTAAGACAAGCGACGTACAAGTTTATCCAAAATACTCTTCCCGAGGGCACTGAGATTGGTCTAGTTACATTCTCTACAACTGCTCAGATAGTGCAGGATATGATGCGCATAGAAGGCCAGGAAGATCGGGACTTTTTCTCCTCTAAACTCCCAACATGGCCGGTTGGATTGACTGCCATCGGGCAAGGACTTGAACTTGGAATGCAGGTACATGTAAATGGTGTCAGTAAATATAGTCATTTAGCCGTTCAAAAATATCAAAATCACCTTGGCTTACTTAAAGAGATGGTGCGTTTATTTAAAATACATTATAAATTGCGATTCAAGATACATCTTAAAATTAATTAATGGAATGTTCGATTGTCAAAAGTTGTGGAAGCGAAGTTAATTTTTTGGGGAAAAATTCGACTGAAAGGCAGATCAACATTTTTAGATTTTGTCACGTGTGGGGAGGGGGGTTTCACATTAATGTAATTAATTTCGTTTCTTTTCAACCGTTGACAATTGAACACCATCCTCTTTGTTCAACCTAAATACACATTTGATCCTAAAATACCAAACAGTTACTAGAGGAAGGTGATACAACAGATGCCACCCTTATCCTTATGACTGATGGTGTGGAGAACCAGCAACCGACAATTAGTGAGCTGCTTAGTCAGGGAAGGTTCCAGAACAAAGGGGTCCGCATCAATGCCATCGCCTACAGTGACCAGGCTGATATCGACCTTGAACGACTGGTGGAGGAAACTGGTAAATGGAAACGAATAAGAAAGCGAGAGAAACTTAAAGAAAGGACCGCGGGTTGTTTTTAGAATAAATCGGGGGAGTTTTTGAGAAATTATTGGCGTACATAAAACTTATTTTAAACAGCATTTGTATTATTCAAATGCGTTCGTAATCAATGATTCCCAGCCCTCTGAAATTTGAAAAATAAGAATACATGGGTATTAATCCATAGATAATCCTCGAAAATTAGAAATATTGTTTGGATTATATGGTGCAATATTATAGTCAGTAAAATGTTTTAAAGTGTATTGATGTTTTTAGATGAAAAACACAACCGAAATGCATGAAAAAACGATTCATTTTACAAACAACTCGTGGTCCTTTATCCGTTATCCATATTAAGCCAGCAATCCATTTTATGACTGAACAATACGCTGGTAAAGTAGTATGTTGGTTGTATAGCCTATAACATTTTAAAGTTTATATTTTCTTCATTTCAAATTTAATTTAAAAAAAACATAATGTATAGGGCCTTCGGGGAATCGCTGAATAGCTATTTGTGTCACAATTCTTGACTAAACATTTTGAGTTGTTGTTTTTCAGATGGGATGTTTTACTACTACTCTGAGGAACAGACCTCAGTCGCATTGGACGATGCATTTGCTAGATCTGTAATGGAGACACGAACTTGTGCCGCAGAAGGGGAACCAATTGAGGTAGGGATGGACTCTTTCATTTTGGCTATTATACCTCTGCCCATACATAAATGTTTTATCCTCACTTTGGGCCAAATATGAGACATCTTGGCCATGCATATTTTATATTTAACGGCGTTTAAATGTTATAGTCCTGATTTGCATTTTTTATTTAGTTACCTAACTTATATTTCTTCGTGGCCAGTAAGAGTAATATAGAAGGGATCTTTAATCTTTTGAGAACCATGATATGTTGGACATCGCAATATGCATATGTTATAACTTGTCTCGTTCTAGCTTCATAGTTGCAAAGAACTAGTGATGGACGGCCTTGACCCAAAGATGAATGGCGTCGGTATTGACGAGACCGTTGGGGAGAAAACCTCTTTCATTTTCTCATATTCTGTTGCAGATTCTATTGAGGTAAGCAAATCCATATGCAAATATAAGCCTATACCTTAAAACAATTCACGTCTCATAAAAGTTACATTAGCCCTTGTTGGGTTCTGTAACCATTTTTGGTATTTTCCCGTTAGCACTTGCGTTTATAGCCTTGCCCAAGTCGGTCTCTTTTACTTATCTTGATTTCTATTATGGTAATAATTCAAGATCAGATTAGTAAAAAAATACCGACTTTGGCAAGGCTATTGCGTTTACATATTTACCGTATTCATACTCCGAAAGTGCATAAAGGCACTTGATAATTGCAATTGTAATGAAAGAATGAATATGTTCATCCTATGTGATGAAGAACACGTACAATACATGTGTTATAAGATTTGTTCATCAAAACTCACCATTTATATAATGTAGGTGGAGGTAATGGGTCCAAATGGTGAAGTTTTTGACAAAACAAGTCCTTATTACCAAGATGACAAGGAATTCAAGATCATAACGTTTACCTTTCCGCGTACAGATGTAAGTTTTTTAACTTTTTATCAGCTTTCTCAAAATGAACCGGTGAAATAAAATGAAAAGACTATTAATTTTGTGGACGCTAACGATAAGTAGTTTTAAGGAGATAAGATTAAGATTGGTCTAAATGTGGTCAATTGATTCAAAGATCCATAATTCGTTTCCTTCAGCCTGGTATTTGGATCTGGAGGATCACTCGGTTAGACGGTGGTGTTCACTTTATCGGAGTTAATGTCAAATCTCACGCAGCACCAAACATCGAGGCAGTGACCGCAATAGCTTGGATGAACGACGTCCAACTGACATTCCCGCGGACAGGGATTATCTACGCTGATGTAAGGCAAGGCTATGCACCAGTAATCAGAGCAAAGGTTGTCGCAACTGTTGAGCGACCAGAAGGTGACCCTGTTGATGTGCTGCTGTACGATACAGGAGTAGGTAGGTAAAGATTTGTGCTTTGCACAGATTATATATATTTGTGCTTTGTCATAGATTGCTTACAGCAAATGAAACAATGAGTGATTACAAGTTTTATCAACAAGCAGCGATATTTGAAAATAAGAAACGAGCAATCTAAACAGCAATAAATCAAACCCCTGTAACAAACAATCAATTATACAAGATAAACACGACTAAATCACAGTGTCATTGAAATACCACAAGATACAATCAAAACAATACATAATCAAATGTCTCACATTATTTTCTGGATAAAACATAAGGTACGGTTTTATATTCTTCTTATCAGGTGGCGACACAACAGCAGACGATGGGATCTATTCGGCTTATTTCACGCAGTACACTGTAGATGGAAGATACTCTATCTATGTGGAGGTGTCAAATCCTGATGGCAATGCGGTCATTAAAGCTGCAGGAACAACTAGTGGAGGAGCGTACAGTCTATGGCAAAGTAAGAAAAAATTATGACTAGTTTCTTTGACTATGATAATAGCAAATAAAAAAGACTTTGATACATGCCTTGAAATACTGTATACACACTTTCGAGAAAGAATAATGTTTGAGTGATATCGATTTAATGAACAAATTAGCAAAACAACTGCATCAATTTCAAGATTGTGTAATATTCCATTAGTTTCATATTTTAGATTTCACGACGAGTAGCGTAGAGAACCCGGTTCCTTATCTCAACCGCCATAGTTCTGCCGGTGCCATAAGCGTTCACGATGTGATGGATATAGATATGATGCCGCCATCTAGGGTCACCGACCTGAGAGTAATGGCCCATTCGGAAGAACATGGCACCGTAACGCTGCAGTGGACCGAAACGGGCGACGACTATGACTATGGAACGGGTAAGATCATTTGAGCGATGGTCGAACATTTTAGTTTTGCATTTTATGCTTTCATGAATGATATCAAGTTAAAAATAAAAACTGAGACCATTATGTTTTTTAGTAGGCTATCCTTCTCAAAAGAGAAAACAAACGTTTACAATCCATTTAAGGTTTACCAACATTGACATTTTCTTTCTTTCAGTGACTGCTTTTACAATTTACATGCACGAGGATTTCGATCAGTTACGAGACAATCCGAAAGAGGGCACACCTATCACAATGGCATACGTTGTTGACGGGCACTTAAATTCATTAGCTGCTTCACAGAAACATAGAATAACTATCAAGACCCCCAGGAGTGGCTCGGATGCAGTGTATGCATTTGTAATGAGATCATGGGATGAGGCACTTAACTACAGTCCCTACTCAAATTATGTTACTGTGCTGATGGAAGGATCTACAAATATAATCGTCACACAAGAACCTAACCCAAGCACAGCTGAGCGCGCTCCAGAAAAGTTTACATGGCCAACAGAAAAACCAAGTACAAGGGCAGCAGAAATTCCCACGGTATCGAAATTAACATCTCTAGTTCCCGAGGAAATTCCAGTTGAAAAAGCAACCTCAACGCCAAGTAAACCCACGATGTTCCCAAAAAGTACCCAAGTGCCTCCTGATGAGATTACCAATAAACCCAATGAAACTCCCATTACACCATCGTCTTCAGAGAGATCCAAAAGACCGCCTGACCATACGTTGCTACCGACAATTAGAGAGCACCCAAAGAGCACAAAATTGGTGAGAGAAACAACAGATGCTTTGAAAACTACCATTGGAGAGCAACGTCGTAGCACGAAGATGCCTCGAGAATCGACTGTAGTACAACGATCTACTCTTGGAACTCACAGGACAAGCAAACAGAATGATGCTATTGATGTAAAAACGTCAACTTTACAAACTGACAACGAAAACGCCCAGAGTACAACGCCACATTATTCTCATACAAATGATCCAAACACTGTTATTGGCGTGAGGTCAACAATACAAGACGACAACGGAAGAGAGAGAAGCTCTACACGAAGATATTCTCGTACGAATGATCCAAACGATATAATTGGTGTAAAGTCGACATCACAAGACGACAATGGAAGAGAGAGAAGCACTACACGAAGATATTCTGGTACGAATGATCCAAACGATATAATTGGAGTGAAGTCAACAACTTCACAGTACGGCAATGGAGGAGAGCGAAGCACTACACGACGATATTCTGGTACGAATGATCCAAACGATATAATTGGAGTGAAGTCAACAACTTCACAGTACGCCAATGGAAGAGAGAGAAGCTCTACACGAAGATATTCTGGAACGAATGATCCAAACGATATAATTGGAGTGAAGTCAACAACTTCACAGTACGGCAATGGAGGAGAGCGAAGCACTACACGACGATATTCTGGTACGAATGATCCAAACGATATAATTGGTGTAAAGTCGACATCAAAAGACGACAATGGAAGAGATCAAAGAACCACAAGACGATACACTGGTACACTTGATACAAGTGACGTGATCAGCGCTGAATCGACAACTCCAGAAATTAACAACGAAGTGGACGAAAGTAGTACTCGAAAACATGCTGTAACAAAATCGCCCATCAGTAGAAGAACAACTACGTTGGTGAAAGGCAGCGAAGATAGTGACGAGTTTCCACTAGATAGAAGAACAACGGAACCAACAGATGGTACTCATGGCAAGAAAACAACTATATCGACGGACAATGAACAAACCAAACAAACAACTAGAGATAATCCAGCTACAAAGATACAAACTGATGAGCCAAGCAGGAGAACTACCACTTTAGTAATCAATAATGATCGCGGTGACAAGAGAACAACGACGTCGAAAGAACAACGCAGGACAACTGGTTCGGCTGGTGAAACGAACAGAGAGACAACACCAATAACCCGAGATAATGAACAGCACCAGAGCGATTCAAATCCTAGCTCCAATCAACTTGACGAACCAATGTTAATCAGTTCCCTGGTCGGGGCATTGGCTGGCAGTATAATTGGAACATTGTTGGTTGCTATTCTCGTGATAGCTTGCCTAGCATTTTCAAAGAGACGTGGTGAAAATAAGGATTATAGCAAAATCTAACTCTAGACAATGCTTGCCTGCTGATTCACAACATAGATATATACGCAACACAACATATTCACAACATTAGGATATATATTTAATCATCAGTTATTATAATGATTCGATTACGAATCTACTTTACTTTGGACTGTTGAGATCCATTAAATTCCAAATGAACCGTTTGATTCATATCCTATTGTTCCTATTCTTATTTTTATCAAATTCGAATAAAATATTGATAATTTCAAAAGATGATTTCCAACTATTAAATGTGTGCACAATATGAATATTTAGGAATTGTGAAAAGTCGAGCTTCTCTTCGTATAAGTCATTCTCTTATGCAATAGAGAGTGGCTTTGTGTATCAGAGGGAATGGAAGAAATAATTTAGGTTTTCATAAGGATTACACTATTTTATTGCCTGTACGATAAAGTTCAGGTTCACATTTCTGGTGACCTTGTTCGTGGACATACAGGGATTAGTTCTACTCTTAGCAGAATAATATTTACTTGTTCGATTGTGAAGAAAGGTATGAGGTTGTGATTATTTCCCTGGGAACACCAATTGAGAATTGGACAATACAATTTCCCTTAAAACGTTTAACTTAACTCCTAGATTCGGAAACTCGAAGAGAGGTGCAATCATTATAACTGGCCGGGGTTCGCCGTCTGTAAGAAATGGTAGGTGGTGACATTTTGCATGTTTATGCCATGTCGAAAAAAGATCATGGCAGAAATTCCCTCAATTACATATAAATCTTTCTGAGAAAAAACCGTTAATCATTCAACTTAAAAAATACATGTGCAAAAGCATACGATTCTAGTACCAGATCTGCGATTAGGTCATCTGGGCATGTTAGGTAAATTGAATGTTCATTGACAACCATTTTGCTCTTCTTATTGCGATATTTTTCACTGATTGTCTGTTCCGTGTGATATTGTACTGTTCTGTGATTGCTGAATTTTTTCTGGGTTGAATGACGCACAATCCCCTCCCTCCAAAAAATTGAATGTCTAACTTTTTCACACGCCGCTCGACCTTAAGCTAAGTTCACACCAACGGCGCTTTGTTGGCGCTTTAAAGCGGCGTGCAAAGTGGCAAATTCTTTCTTGGCCCACCCTAGAACAGGACCCGGGACCCATGCCCCCCCCCCCCATGGATCCGCCAGTCCACGTGACAACTTTAATGAAATCACTTTGAGTGAGAATCGGACATATCAGGTTCACGTTCGGACATTTGACGCACATTCAAACTACGAACTAAATTTCTCTCGTTCGTATTATTGCTACAGAATTTTACGTCGCCAAATATTTCTCTTCGAACATTTGAATAAGATAAATATTTTGAATGTTTCACTCTTATCATCCTAGAATCAAGTAATTAAAAGTACAAATATATACCTAAGACCACTACTGCAACAAAAAATCTTAAATAAATGACATTTCTAATGCCCCATGTAACCACACTTTGAAGTTTCTAGGGGGAAGTTCAAAAAGTTTGAAAATGGAAGAAAAATCAAAATTTGATCAACTTCCAACGCATCTTTTGATCCAAAGGCAGCTAGAAGATGTTATACGGACCCAGCAGACTGCGTGTGATGCATTGAAAGAAACAGTAAGTCAATATTAAATCGATATAGTAACTAGTTGACTAGATATCAAAGAATTTAGGCTATCTCACAGTCTTGAACTCTTTAAGTTGGTGTCAGCAGGGTGTCTACCTTTGACTGAAAGTTCTTTGATTTGACTTTTAAATCAAATCATAAACTCTGCCGATCCAAGATGAGACATGTTCAAATACAGTCAATATAACACCAGGATATAAGAGAGGGGGCAGTGAGGTCGCAGTGAGGTCGCTTTTGTCACTTTAAAATTTCCACAGATATCAGAATTTTTATTAGGAAATACCTCCTACTACTTTTTTCAAGGCCTGACTGCGTCGCTAACATGCTAAATATAAGAGTTAGCTGACGTTTGGGAGTCTGACTTACCTTCTAAAGGTAAGAACCCGAATCTTAATGAAACCATATCACCTTTGTTCCGTCAACCATGGAGCATTTGCCACAACATCCAAGAGGTAAATCATGGATCGAGAAAATGAATGATTTCCTTGTAAGTTCCGGAAGTTTCAATACAAAAAATTACCGAAAATATGTGAAAACCGAATATTTGTTCGTTGTTTTCACGATTTACAGGTTCGTTTGTTCTTCAATGTTTTGGTCTAAATTATAAAGCATCACCAACAGGTCTTACTCTATTAATCGACTAATACAGCAGACGGGTCATATTTCTACGTAGCATTTCATTCAGACCAATAGTGGGAGTGTAGATCACGCAGTTTCGTTCGTTGCGTACTTCACTTGAAATTGGTAATTTTAAATATTGACTACTTCACTTAGCTTGGCGGATGTAGAACATTGCTTAATATTCTTTTAATTTTCACACCAGACATGCTTGGTTGACACGTCAACAAAGTAAAGTTCAAGGGTCAATGCGTTATTTCGTGATAACTACAACGCCTTCCCGGAAGTCAACATTGATGAAAAATGAAAAAGTCGGAAAAGCATTTACGCTAATTTCTATCAAATGCTATGCTATGCATCATCATCGACGCAACAAAGGTGATATGGTTTCATTAAGATTCGGGTTCTAACCTTTAGAAGGTAAGTCAGACTCCCAAACGTCAGCTAACTCTTATATTTAGCATGTTAGCGACGCAGTCAGGCCTTGAAAAAAGTAGTAAACAAAGGGAAAGTGAGGTATTAGCTTAGGCTTCTTGAAAAAATTGATATAATTTCATTTCCAGTTTTTGAAAGTCTGATATCTCTACTATCATATATACTGATGCTCCCTATGAAACCTGCACCATTGTTTCCTGTGGTCTTTTTATAACAAAATTAACTTCATTCTTAGTCATAATTGAGCCTCGTGATAGTGAATAAACAGCAAAATGTTCGAAAAATTTACTTGTTCCACTAGAATTGAGATGACATACTGTCCTGATTGGTCCAGATATGTTAACATAGATTAAAACATCACAACGACATGTTATATTCAAAAACTAACTGGTGAAAATTTGCGCAAACGGAGGTGGTACGCAATAGACGCAATTCCCTCCATGCGCAGTGATAGATCTCGAGGGTTACACTCTCCCGAGAAATTACGATAGGCAGTGTCTATTTCAAAACACTCGTCAGTCAAATAAATGTACAAAATTGTCACCTGCAAGCATTTATTTGTCACATTTGTTCGTTTTTATATATCCCACAGTCCCATTTAGTCACATTATTAGAGGCCATGTCACCTTATCACAAACCCTTGGAGCTATAAGGCCAGGGTGCATGTTCGGAATTTTGTTGCATTCCACAATTGAGGCACATGTTATTTTTAAACAGTAATTACTCCTAGTTACATAGTCTACATCTTCCAGTTTTTCACAAAGAGTGCACTTGTGCACCTAGAAGACTGGTGAGAAGATTGGAAAATGTATAAAAAGCGAGAAAATTGAGTGAAAAGGTTTTCTGAAAAATTTCTGAATTTTTTCACTGAATTTACTTGTTTTTTATTATACATTTTATAAAAAACATTCTTCTCTACATCCTTTTCTAGGCACATTAGCGCACTGGTTGCGCAAAAGTGAGAGATGTAGACATTGTGGGGAAGGAGTGCTTCAAATTTGAAAAATAACATGTGACCCTATTGAGGGTTGCAGCAAAATTCCGAACATGCACCCTGACCATAACACTGTCTGATACAACAGTGACAAAGAACATTTATCATTATGTTAAATAATGTAACATTGTCTGGTAAAACAGTGACAATGTCAAATAATGTAACTTTGTATGGTTCAACTGTGACAATGTAAAACTTACATGTAGTAATGCTTCCTGTCACAACATCACAACGTCACGGTTGTTGACATTGCCCCAGTTGTACCAGACAGGACTCGTGCATTTGATCATATATGTCCAAGACTTATTTATTGATTATAAATAATATAGAAATACCTCTGCAGACTACAGAAAAAGGAAGATTAGGTGCATATGTTTTTTCCATATAATGTTGCAATGGTGTTCCTTCAATTGCTTATTCCTTAGATATTTGTGATTTTGGTTGTAACATTTTGTCATCAAAATCTAAATACTGATTCTTAATAGCAAGCACCCCCTCCCCCAGATCTACCTGAACATTAAGTAAGGTGATACATGTAGCATGCAGTTAGATGTTTTTACTTATGAATTGTATTGTACATTTGCAGAGTGTCATAAAGGAAGAGATGGTACCAAGGAGTGCATATGATGATGTTCTGAGAGAGCTTGAGGTACTTTCATTATAATGATTAACAGATTAGAAGAACAGATTATGGAAGTGTAACAAACCAAATACAGACTTGAAACAGAGTGATATGAATTCAATGCCCTTATTGGAATCGAGCACATGACCCTCAGGTTCAAAGTCTGATGCTCTACACTGAGCCAAATGGCTTGAGCAGCCATAGCTGAGCTGTAGATAACTCAGTGCTATTTAGGGTTGTTACAGTTCTTTTAGATAATTATTTAGGTTATTTTGAGCAAATAACTCAGCCTGATTGAATGAGTTTTCCGATCTCTTATGTTTAAGATCCACTAATATGATTTTATAAAGAAATTGGAGATGTATATTGTTATCCAAAATATTCTACAAACCTTGTATAAGTATACATATCAAATACAAATGATGATATGAAAATGATGAACTATTGTTGATTCCTCTTAAAAACAACTTTCTTGACTGTAGTACTTTTATTTCAATCTTAGTCAGATCCATATAAATTATGCCTTGCTCAAACATTGACATTAGAAATAATTTTATTTCAAGACAGAGAAGATGGCCCATGCTAACACCAATGCACGACTCATGGAGACTCAGGATAGACTGGAGTTTGCCTTGGGTGAAATAGAAATCCTTTCTAAACAACTTGAGAGAGAAAAGCAACAATTCTCAAAAACGTAAGCTGTTTACTGTTATTTTTCTAAGATGAATGTCCTCTGTGTATGGCGATGAGGGTTTCCCAGTCTAGCTGTAGCTTAAGTTTATACATATGTAAGTGTCTACTAGATAACCCACTGAATGTGAGATCAAATGCTGTTACATTGACTGGTCAATAATATATTGAAAATATTTGTCACAGCTTTGCTTTGATTGTTCTTTACAGGGATGCTAGATAGGCTATTTGATTCTAAATTGTTTTACCAATCTCAGTTGTAACTGCTCAGATCCTTTAAAATTTCCAATTTTGCCAAGTTCGCCAAAATCATGAAAATAAATAGCTCTAAATTGAGCAGAGTAACTGTGTACATGTACATAATATTAGAGCTTCATTGTCTTTGCAGATTCGGCCTGTTGAAGACAAAGGCGTTAAAAGAAACAACTAAAAACATAAAGCTAGTCAACAAATGCACAGGTACTGTATCCCCCACCTTTTCCATTATTCTTTATTTTAAATGAGAAATGATTTTAAATAGTCCTGTCACCATTGCCCCAAGATGCATTTCTCCCCCAGACAATCAGTGACTGATGTCCCATTATAATTGCTTATATAATATCTTACATAAGAAGATTTATCTTGAGAACAACTTGTGCGTACAGTAGTGATGATTTATTGAGTTAATTGACAATACAACCAACTGTCAGAATTGAACTCAGTTTGATCAAAGGGAATTCTCAGGTGATCCTGGACTGGAGGACACAGGAAATTAAATCTCCTGATGCAAAAATATCAAGGGATACTCTAATTGTGCTTCTTTTAGACTGCCTTTTTAAAGTTCCAAAATTAGGCTATATGAAAATAATCTTTTCATGAATTTTGCAGTTATTGAACAACAATGTGAAAAACAGGAGGATGTCATAACTGATAAACAAGACGAACTCCAAAAACTTTCAAAAAAATTAAAGGACCAAGAAGAAATCCACAAAAAAACAATAAATGAGTTAGAAGTCCAAAGACAACAAGAACTTTATATATCAAGGATGCTAGAAGGATCAAATGACTCTAAAACATCAAAACGAAAAAATAATTTAAAGGCAAAACCAAAGAATAGCTAGCTATCATATTAAACAAGCCTGATGAAAATGCTGATATAAACTGAACAATAATATAAAAAAGTGTACCGTTTACTCTAACTGTATGTAATTCCAGATAATAACGCATTTGCACTGGATTCAAATTCTAAAAATAACATCAACCACAATACATTTGATGTTGTGCAAAGTAATGTAGTAATGGGGAACTGAATAATGGATGGACAAATCCATTATTCATCATTGTTGAGAATTATGATTCTTGAGATTCTCTTGTCGTAGTAACATCATGTCTTGCCATAGTGACATGAGACAATTAAATTTCAGGAATCATGATCGACTGTTTTGAAAACAATTGTATGTGATAAAGATAACAATTAAAGCAATAAAAACATATTTATTTGTAACATATTTCAATTTTTATTGAATAAATATATCAAACAAAACAAAACAAGTACATATCAGATTGCCAACAAGATAGTCTTACTAAAATTAAATTGCCCTTTTGTTTGTGGTCTAATCATGGACCCACTATCTATATTTTCTATTACAAGGTCTATTCATTCATGTCATTCTATAGTAAATGAATCATTAGAATTTTTATGTCACCACCACAAGTGGTAACACATTGTTATTATGTCACCGCCACAAGTGGTGACATATTGCTTCAACTTTTTTGTGGATTGTGGTTGGTGTTCGGTGGTTGGCGTTTGCATCTAACAAATGGCAGGTGGTGACATTTTGCAGGTATATGCCTTGTTATTTAAGTTGCTATTTGGTATGGTCAAAGATCAAAAGCCCAACCCTTTGGCAGCAGAATCCCTCTTAAAAATAAAAATCAATGTCGCAAATGTGATCCTCCCCTCTCCCAAATTGAAATCCTACAGTGACTGGCCGGCTGTACCACTTCTCAGATCTACACATAACATATTACACATTCACTTCAAGGGTAAATTTTAAACTTAACACTGTTAATGTAGTATACTGATCTCACAGGATTAGATAAATACCAGTAAACGTTAAGTCACAAAATACCATACAATGATGATACTGACAGCACATCGTGTTTAAAACCAGTCATATATGGTATGCTATCTAAGAATGCACCACAAAGCAAAAAATATATACAGGTAAATGAAAATATAAAAATATCTGATATGAATGACTATACATAATCTTTTTAAGTTTACAATCTCCTCTTATTGAGATAATCCAAAATGCATTCCTTAATAACTCATTTACATTTCATCTTAATCTACAGACCTCATTTATGGAGATAAAAATTTAACATTTGTGCACAGTAAACAAATGTAAAGTCATATCTTTACTGTTCACATTGTCTTAATAAACTCAAATGCTAGCATGCAAAGATAAGAGAACATTATTGTACATTGTTCTTCTACTTTTATAAAATGACAGATTCTTTTTTAAGCTTCCGTGTGTATCTCATCCACATCTGGCTCAAAATATGTGCTTCAGATTACAGATTTTCAGCTTCTTGGGAGGAATTTTTTGCATTCAGCATTACATAAATCAAAAGAAAAATTATGCTTCTGCAACTCAGATAATTCACTGTGATTTCTATGTCACTTATCAACTTTGTTTGACACTAACAAAGAGTAATGAAAAACAGATTTTAGTTTGTTAAAGCTAAGTTCACACTAACGGCACTTTGATAGCGCTTTAAAGCGCCGTGCAAACCATCAAAGCGCCGTTGGTGTGAACTTAGCATAATGCAAATAATAATGTTCAATATAAAAAATAGACTTTGAAAAATTACATTGGCAGATTGGACTTTTGACCATCTGTTTACATTTCCTTCATATTCATCGGTTTACTGGCACCAGCATATAAGAAATTATACAGTGATAGGGCTCTCACCAGGAAATATTTAGGGTGCGAAGAAAACATCTTTAGCTGAACCGTTGAATCATGATAAATTATATTTATGTTATATTTTATCCTTTTCACATACTATTTTTGTGTATTTGGTCAAGTTTAGACTGTGGAAACAATTGTGATTTGCCAAGTGGTGGGAGCTAAATAGAGTGTGGTGCTGTGCCACAGTCTAAAAGCCTAGCAAGAGCCCTAAGTGACATTGACTATATTTATTTTATTTATGAGACTCATCTATTGCACTTATGAATTATACTCTATACTTACAGATTTGCTTACATATTGGTACACATAGTATATTAACTTATTTTCAGTTACAGTGTGTGTTTAAGCTCAACTTTTATCTCAATCTCATGTCTATGGGACCACATATTAAGCCTCATTTCACACAAAATTAAGCATAAGTTATTCCAAACCGTATCTGAGACTATATATATTATTAACTGTTCCCTAACTACTACATGACAATGTAGGAACTGCTTATAAGGTCTGTAAGATTTCTCAATTTAAAACTCATTATAAGTTAAGTTGCGGATTATAATTTGGGTTGAATTTAGAGAATAGTCATTAAAGAATATACACACAGTTGGGAATTTGATTTTTATAAGAAGCCGCAATTCATATATTTAGTCCCTTGCTTATACCACGTCAAAGTAAGATTGGTAATATTCTAGACTTTCATCAATGTAACAAAGCGAAGAACATAAATGAAATGCAACCAAACGAGAATATATTCTGTAACATTGAGCCAAACCATCGTCGCTTTCCACTGGGCTGAGAGACCCTGTGGCATGTTTCTCCCATTCATATGTGGCCCTGTGTTAAGACCACGGACCCAATCAGAACACTCTGCTTTGTCACATGACAAAATATTAAAAATGTCTATAACGACTGAATAAGCCATCTCACAAACCTGCGGGCAACTGCCAGGAGGAGAAATATTGAGCTGGGTTTATTTACTCAGTGGTCGTTTAAATCGGGCAGATTTATCAAGGTGAGGTAGGAACAATCAAAACCTTGTGAATCAAGATGGAGCCAAACTGTAATCTGCAACTTGAAATATAAGGAGGCTTAATTCAAGAAAAATCGTATAAAACACAAACAAGGCATTATAAGGAACAGTGGTTATTATCATAATCTTACTTAGGTCAGTGATCTCCCACAGATTTTTTCTCAACAGTGTGTTATAAATCCTAATCTTGTTTTGGTAAAAAACAAGATTTCACCTTTTTGGCAGGGCACTTTTAGATTTACAAGGTCGACCATAATTTTCAGATTTTCAACATTGTCCAGCATCCAGTTGCTTTATTGCAGAAAGATAACTCTATGTATGGTTTATATTATAAATATCAATCAAATTCATCAATTTGAATTTGACATTTGTAAGCCAAGAGAGAGAGAGTTTAAGTACCAGGCCCAATGTACTTGCATATACTATGCAGCAAACCCTTATCAAAATTACCCTTTAGTCTGTCCAATAAGGTTAATTCATAATATCACTACATCCAGATCCCAAGAAAGTCATCACTGCACTAAGAAATCTTTGTAATTCTTTAGTTTCTTCAACTGCTTCTTCAACATGGCAACAAAGTCTATTGGCTGGAGCACTAAGGAAATGTCCTTGCCTACTGCATTCAGTCTATACTCAATCTAAAATCAAAAAAAAATATGAGCATGTACTCGAAACTGGAGTTATGAATCATGCCCTTGTCATCTCCTCCCTTCCATACTATATCTCACCTTCACTGGATTGAAGTTGGGGGGGGGGGGGGTAAGAATAGAACCTTGGTTGATAAATACAGGTTAGCTTGCACTGTAAGTTTGCTCCATTGGTAATGCACTGAAATGTCATCTTAAATTCCAACACTGAATAAATTCTGAATGTATTGTTTTAGTTGCACGACCAATTAAAAAAATTTCTGATACTAGATAAAGTATTTTAATAAAATACTGATTAGTACATGTAGGAAACAAAGGTTCATGCAATGTAATTCTGTTTTTGTTTTGTTTTTCAATAAGAACATCTGTACTTGACTACATGTACTTGTATTTCTTTGGTGTGTTGTGTCTCACTGCACACAACCTGTTTTCAAAAGTTCATCTATGTGTATATTTTCAAGTCCAATAGAAAATATAAACCACTTTGATTTATAATTGGTAGTCATTGAAAAATCAACTTTGAAATCTGTTTCCATGTAATATGTTTCCTTTACCTCACTTTCCTTGAAGAAGAGGTTAAGTGGCCTCATGTTAATCTCAGTGAGGCACCAGTTCACCAAAGAGCTCTTATCAACGCTTGTAGCTCTTAAGGGGACTCCCACCTTTGCCGCCAATCCTTGAGGGTCGACCAATAATATCTGAAACAATAATACAATGTGAAAGTCAAAACAAATACTGTACTCCCGGTTAATTTCGCGGATTTTAAGAAAACATAGTTTTACAGCTATTAAATTTCGCGAATTCCACTAAGTTCATCTACTACTATGTCATCTTGGTCAAAAACACACCGAATAACCTCTATTACATCGTCATTTTTTGGTTTATTTGATCTAATGAGCCACTGTAACAAACATTGTTGCTTAGAATCCCATTTATCAGCTTATAACACTTGACCAACATTTTACAAAACATGAAATGAATTGGAGTCCCATCTAATAAAATATTTCACAAATCCCGGGAATTTAATTGACAATTTCGCGAAGATTAATTTTAATTTTGCCTCTCGTGATGGCTCAAACTTATCTGAATCATACCTCAGATGTTCCTCCTTCTCGTTTAATCCCGAGACTTTGTCCTTCGGCCGAGCGTTTTATGGCATATGCCTTGGCGTATGGTGCCCTATATGCTATAAATGTTAATTTTTCACCAGCAGGGGAGTGCTTGATGATTTTCTGTGCATCTACGGAAGACTCTATAACATGTCCCCCTATACTAACAATACGGTCCCCTATGTGGAAAGCATTATGAAGATGTGGCTTCTCAAGCTGATTCCAACCTGCAACCCTACAATTATAACACAAGAAAAACTTACTTGTAACACTATACAGGGCTACAAAAACTGTTTGGGTGTTTCACTAGAATTTCTCACAACAGGCTAAATAAATGAAAACAAAGGGCAAAATTAATGGAAATCATAAATTTAACATGGGAAAAACATCTGTTTATCAACTGGTCAAAATGAATCAGTTGGAATTAACTGTTTTGGAATGCCAAATTAAATTCTAGCTAATCTCAAGATCATGTGACACTGGAGGAACATTTCGTATTGTACCACTGGCGTACCGTCATACATGCATAAAATGCCATGCATGCTCTCAAAATTGAGAGAAAAGTTGAATTTTTATATTGAAATTGCCCTATACACTTTAAAAATACTGGATATTCTGATCATACATGTTAATCCTTTGTGCAATTTGGCCAATAATTTACATTTTATTAGTCCATATTAGTCAGAATTTCGTATTTTAAAATGGCCCATAACGCTTCAAATTTTCTTGGGTGGAGAACACCCAAAAGCCCTCCCCGAAAGTTTGTTTGCTTCGCTCACTGGAGGCGTACACTCACAAAATACCCATGCTACATCACTGTGTACAATCTATTGCTATTGAAACTTTAATTTTTAATGTTGCACATGTACAGAAACATTGGTCTTCCCTCTTTCTATTTCTGTAATGCCTAAATTAACTAAGCTTGAGGAAATGGAATGTGTGTTGAGATACACTGCATGGAGATGATGCAAAGTTATGACAGGAAACTATTTAAATGTAAATTGAGACTTAAAAAAACTTATCAAGGAGACTAACCACACTGCATCGTATGCATCCACCAGTGCTATGCCACGATAACAATCAGACTGCCTCAGCATTATCTTGACACCTCCAGGGTGCTCTATCTCCCTATTCAGGTTCTCTACAAGTGTCTGCGTCAGGGACCGTCCAGTCTTAGCATTACCTACATACACCTTTGGCTTATTAGGAGTGGAGACAGGAATCGGGGTTCTGGGGGAGTAAGGGGGAAGAGGAGGAGGTTCCTCTGAGTAAGGGGGTGGGGAGACCGGGAGTACACCTTGGGTTGTATGGGCACGTTGTAAAGGCGGATGGGCATGTGGGGTGGTTCCTGGGTTGGAAGATTCATTCACGCTAGGAGATCTTTGAGCTAGCTGAGCGCCACCTGGGGATCTCCGTAATGGCACAGGTGGTGCAAAGTTCAACTCTGCAACTGGAGATTTCGGAACAGTTTCATCTGTTGTGTTACCATGGAAGAATGACAAAGATCGAGAATTCTGTCGTTCAATGTTACGGTGGATAGGCTCCTCACCAAGTTGAGTTGCACCTTGAACAATTCCAACAGACCTTGAGCCTTGTCTAGCTAACACTGCATGATTATTCATTGATTGCGTAGGATCATCAGGAGTTGCATACTCATTACTTGTTGGCCTATTCTCATTGTTTGCCACTTTTGTTTCACTAAACTGTCTTTCTAGACGCTCATTTCTCTCATTAATTAGGTCATCCGCTTCCATGAAATCAAATAAATTTTTCCCATCTTGGATGAGTGGAGATTTTGTAAAATCATCTGGATCAGAAATTGTTTTATTTGTTGGAGTTCCTAAGCCTAAATCCGGGGGTAGAGCAACTCGTAATGGGGACACAGCATAGTGATTCTCTTCAGATTTTTTGGTGCTGACTAAATTATTGCCTTTCTTCAAATCATCAGATTTTCCGCCTTTTTCCGGGGGTTCGGGTAAGGGAGAAGTTGGGTCACGAGGATTTTTCCGATTATCCTGTTGGCTTAGTCCCATTGGTAATCTTTCAAGGTCATAATCATTTGTCACTATCTGGAAACAGAATAAACAATATTTACTCAACTTTAAAATGGGAAGATCCTCATAAAACATAAGTGCTGCTCAAGATCTTTAACACAGACCCCCTTCCCTGCTGGTTAAATATTACTAAAGAAACAACATGAATGTACTTGAAAGCCCGTGGTTGAAGTAACAATAATCCCCACTCTCATATTATAACACTTACCTTTATTATACCCATTTCTTTTAATTTAGCATTCAGTGCAGCAATCCACTCTTCCATTTCCATCCTGAAAATAAACCCATTTCATAACTTTAAAATGGATACATGCTATTTTGTTGTTTATAACTTAAAAAGGTAAAACTTTAAAACAACTCAAACTAATTAATTTCAACCTTAAATTACAACAGTATTTTTGAATTCCTGTATGGAGTAATTTATAAAACCTCATATTTTACACTAAATTCACAAAACATTGGTACATACATGTATATGAGAATATACTTAAAAGGCTCTCTTTTATACTCGGATGCACAATATATTTCACAGCAATAACATTATTTTTGCTGATATTTTGACATCTTACATAAACTATAGCCTTCTCTTTTGAAGACATGTAGGTTGATTTCGGTTATTTGAAAAAGTCCTTGATCTTCACCTAATCTAATGTACTAGGCCCTGACTCCTAATGTAACTATAGCCTGGCAGGCCAGCTTATGTCAAGGGGGGTTCACTTGTCAGAAAAATTCAAGGGGGTTCACTTTGACAATTTAGCCCAAAATCACATCACTGCATGCTTTTGAAAGAATCTTTGGCTAAGGGGGCTAGCAATCAATATTCCTAATAGGCCTAACAGGAATATCTCATGAAACATAAACTGCCTTATTCACTATGATATCTAGGCAGTGATGAACATATTTATTTATTTATTTATTTATTCATTTATTTAAGTGTCACCTATCTAAGATAGCCAGCCCTACCTGGGCTTATGAGACACATTTTACATAAGTTACATAATAATAATACATAATAATTTTAACAATACAAATATAAAATTAGTGCATTTCAGCTCAACATCATTATTGATTTTGATTTTTAAATATAACTCTTTTCCTTATATAGAATATTTTTTGCAAATACTTTCCAAAGCATTTAATATATTTTTTTTTCAAAGATATCTTTAAAGGAATTGTCTTTGATTTCTTGAAGGAAAGATTTTCGAGCTTCTGAATAATACGAACACTCAAATACAAAATGCATTTCATTTTCAATTTCATTTGAGTTACAAATTTGGCACTGTCTTTGGTTTACTGGAGTTTTATAGAGCAGGAATTGAAGCATATCTATGAACGCCCATAAATGCACGTATGGCACGTATATGGCACGTGGAACATATATAAACCTTGCCTTGAGCTTTAAATTAGAATTTTCCTAAAAGAAAATTCTTGGTATTAAGAATAGTATGTCAAACAAACTTGTATTTCTTATAACAAATTAACGTAAACGTTAAAATTAGTAAGATCCTGTCTAGTAAGTGGGTTCTCAGTAATAAGGAACAAATTAATGATAACCTCACATTAAAAGTTGAGTTTTAAATGTCAATGATGCTAGAAAAGATAAGATTAACAAGAAAACAAATGACTCATATTAACTTACCGTATTCTCTGTAATAGGCACATATATTCCAATAAATGCACACCCGACTTTTCCATGAAATGCTCCACTTTTACAGAGGAAAATTATGAAATACCCTATTATAGCCCATATATATTCATCTTTCAAAAATCACCAGGAATTTTGTCATTTGAGACATCTCCTGAGAATTTGGGAGCCGCACTGCGCGTTTATTAGAGAGAGTATGGTATGTGCTTTAACTCTAAATGCTGCCTTTTTCACAAAATAGATATTGTTTTCTAATTTTAAGACATACAATGTGAGGCACAATTGGGAACAAGGCATTAACATGACAAAATGTCACCACCTAGTTGCTCACAATATTATGAGTTCAAACTTAAGTCAGATTTGAATTTCTGAGAACTTGTAAAGTCAAATTTGAACTTCTGAAAAGATGTAGATGTAGATGATTTTGAAAAAAAAATTTGGTCAATTTGAAGCAAGTTGAAAAAAGACCTTTTTGACCTTTTTTGACTTTGAGAAGGTCATTGAAGGTCAAATGTCAAATCTTAAGTCAAATCTAAAGTCAGATTTGAATTTCTGAGAACACGTAGATGATTTTGAAATTTTTTTTAGTCAATTTGAAGCAAGTTAAAAACAGACCTTTTTGACCTTTTTTGACCTTGAGAAGGTCATTGAAGGTCAAATGTCACATCTAAAGTCAGATTTGAATTTCTGAGAACATGTAGATGATTTTGAAAAAAAAATTTAGTCAATTTGAAGCAAGTTGAAAAAAGACCTTTTTGACCTTTTTTGACTTTGAGAAGGTCATTGAAGGTCAAATGTCAAATCTTAAGTCAAATCTAAAGTCAGATTTGAATTTCTGAGAACACGTAGATGATTTTGAAAAAAAAATTTAGTCAATTTGAAGCAAGTTGAAAACAGACCTTTTTGACCTTTTTTGACCTTGAGAAGGTCAAATGTCAAATCTTAAGTCAGATTTGAATTTCTGAGAACATGTAGATGATTTTGAAAAAAAAATTTAGTCAATTTGAAGCAAGTTGAAAACAGACCTTTTTGACCTTTTTTGACCTTGAGAAGGTCATTGAAGGTCAAATGTCAAATCTAAAGTCAGATTTGAATTTCTGAGAACATGTAGATGATTTTGAAAAAAAAATTTAGTCAATTTGAAGCAAGTTGAAAAAAGACCTTTTTGACCTTTTTTGACTTTGAGAAGGTCATTGAAGGTCAAATGTCAAATCTTAAGTCAAATCTAAAGTCAGATTTGAATTTCTGAGAACACGTAGATGATTTTGAAAATTTTTTTTAGTCAATTTGAAGCAAGTTGAAAACAGACCTTTTTGACCTTTTTTGACCTTGAGAAGGTCATTGAAGGTCTAATGTCAAATCTTAAGTCAGATTTGAATTTCTGAGAACACGTAGATGATTTTGAAAATTTTTTTTAGTCAATTTGAAGCAAGTTGAAAACAGACCTTTTTGACCTTTTTTGACCTTGAGAAGGTCATTGAAGGTCAAATGTCAAATCTAAAGTCAGATTTGAAGGTCAAATGTCAAATCTAAAGTCAGATTTGAATTTCTGAGAACATGTAGATGATTTTGAAAATTTTTTTTAGTCAATTTGAAGCAAGTTGAAAACAGACCTTTTTGACCTTTTTTGACCTTGAGAAGGTCATTGAAGGTCAAATGTCAAATCTTAAGTCAGATTTGAATTTCTGAGAACACATATCTGATTTTGAAAAAAAAATGTAGTCAATTTGAAGCAAGTTGAAAACAGACCTTTTTGACCTTTTTTGACCTTGAGAAGGTCATTGAAGGTCAAATGTCAAATCTAAAGTCAGATTTGAAGGTCAAATGTCAAATCTAAAGTCAGATTTGAATTTCTGAGAACCGCCGGACGCCAACCGCCGTCGCAAAAAAAACGGAGACCATAACAATATGTCACCACTTTTGGTGGTGACATAATAAATATGGACTGAACTTGATAAATTCTTATAGCTTCCATATTTGAGATATGTCCAATATTTTGTAGTTTCGCAGAATGTTATCATGTGATATGGTTTAAAAACCGAACTCGAAAAATATCTGCAAGGTATTTTATGACATGATGAGATGTTAATTGCAGTATAACATCAAGGGGAGGTCATAGCAACCTAACATTTAAACAACTAATTGAGTATTGTTCAGATTCAAGACATAGCTGATTATGCAGGAATCGACTGATTGATTTTAAATATCCATATAATTGATTTGAAAATTGCTTAGGCCTAAGTGAGACTCTTAGATAAGTGCATTTAAAGGTTGGCTGTGTTTAATCAGAGACATGTCTCTGGTTTGAGAGATACATTGAATCAAAATACAAGCCACAGACTTGAGAAGAATCAAAGTCCATGTTATAATTAAGAAAACAAGGAAGAGTTAATAGATAAACTCACACTAGTACTTAATTTCTCATTTGAACTCCCTAAACAATTGTTTTCACATGAGCCTATTTTGCTTCCTACTTTTTAATTAAGTTATTTCAACTACATTAGCTATTGTTCTAACACAAGTTACATGAGCTACCAACTTTTCTTTTCTACTCAAGCTACAGTGTACCTAATCAGGCCCATAGCCAGGATTTTGCAAAGGGGGTTCACTTTTGGAAAAATAACAGCGGGGGTTCACTTTTGACAATTTTGGTCCAAAAATGGCCAAAATCACTTAAAAAGTGCTCAGCATGGTGAAAAACTGCATGATTTTGAAAGAATTTTTGGCCAGGGAGGTTTGCCCGAACCCATTGCTACGGGCCTGCTAATGTTTTCACTCAAGCTACATTAACTACATACTATTCTCACACATCTTTTACCTACTACTAATTTAACATTTTAACTACACTAATTATTCTTACTCAAGCTACTTGCTAGTACTACAGTTTTATTACTCACCTAGAATTTGCAACTAGATGAAGTACCCGATCTTCTAAAGTTATTGTAAATGTGTTCTGGTGTTTAAGCTCCATCAGATTTTGCAGTATGTGTTGACAATTTGCAAGAAGGATTGTGTTGATAGGCTCGTGCTTCAGAACACTATCCTCATTTTCATAGTATTCCAAATAAGGAAGATAGTCTGTTTTCACGCAAAAAACGAACCAGCGTTTTTCCCATTTCTGAAAATGAAATTCATAAACTGAGGTTTCATTACAAAGCTCAATCTGGTAAATTCATTAAAGGATAGTTTAAACAATACATAGGATTTATGATGGAGTGGTTCCTACATGTATATAGTTATCACATAAAAGAGTACTCCCAGTACCATACCTTGAATGATGCCCCAAACTTATTTGCATTTGGCGCCTTCTTCAGGTATCCCTGTTTGATAACTGTAGCCTGAGAAGTTTCCATGTTTATGGCACTATGTCGTGTTACACTCTTACGATACGACATCTTGCCAATCAACAAATCTGAAAAAAGAAAACAATGTTTATAGTACCGTAATGCAAATCAACAATTAAAAATTCATCAACCTACGTACCACAGTTTAGGGAGTTGAAGCTTCCTCCGTGGTTCTCTTTGGCTAAAGAGTAGGATTCTTCGGGTTTGTGTAAAAAACTGGGTGACCGGGTTCCTAACATTCCTAGCAGGGTTACCAACTTTCAAAGTTCCACATTTCCCCCGATATATAGTAGTTCTTAGCACATCGAGGCAACGTAAACATGAGACATCTATTGATGGTATAAAAAGAATGTTGTTGTAACGTGTCTGTAAAGTTCTTTAGTGTGGAAAACATAACAAACAGGAATGTTTGATTTTTTACTAAATTGGTCCATATGTGACGTAACTCAAACGTTAAAATTCAACGTTGTCAAAACAGGCTTTTAATATCAAAATATTTGTTGGTGGAAAAAACATGACAAAAACTTTGTGTTCTCACTAAGTCGGTTCAATTCCGACGTATTGTTAACGTTAAAATTTAACGTTGTCAAAACATTTTTTCGATTTAAAATAACCTCAAAAGGTGACGTCAATAATGACGTTCATGGACCGTATTGATCTGACGTTATTTAAATATTCAGCAAAACGTCGATGGATGTTTGAATTTCAACATTGTGGAAATGGCTTCAGAATATTTGTGTGTTAAGGAAACGTTACAAAGACGTCAATATGTTCTCACTAAATTGGTTCATTACCGACGTTATTTTAACGTTAAAAGTTAACGTTGTCAAAACGTTCTTGCGATGTGAAATAACCTCAAAACGTGACGTCAAAAATAACGTACATGTATCGTCCAGATCCAACGTTATAAATAAAAAATTCCTAACCCTGCTAGGAACGTTAAGTACCCGGTCACCCGGTTTTTTACACAAACCCGGATTCTTCTGGTGCTCAGAAGCAGCTGCTCAGTAAGTATGGCCTTAGCCGCTTTACCATGACATCAATTTAAACATTTACCAAAATCTAGCATTGGCACATCTGTCTTTGTACATGTACATGTACATCTATCTAGGTTTCTCATCAGGTCTAATGTCTGATGGTTTTAAAATACAGTTCGGTTTATCGCATCCTACGACCCCTTTATATTGTGGTCGTACGCCCGATTCATTGGTAAGCCTGTCTTTCTACAATGTCAGAGAATTTTAGAATTCTTTTTATGTTGTTAGATCGCCAATTGTATGGGTTTATCGGCAGAACGAAGATATTTTCATTTTTGATAGCAATATTTGTGTGTAATATTTAACTTATTTCAACCGTCAAATTCCTCCATTCAGTTCCCGGCATGCACCAGTCATAAGGGAAATCCCTGGGGAATTCCCCTTCCAACATTTTGAAAATTGCTGACATATTTCCGATGTAAAAACTAAAATCTCTTTGTTCTGCCGATAAACCCATACAATTAGCGATCTAACAACATAAAAAGAATTCTAAAATACTCTGGAATGTATCGAGGTAGGTCATTCAATAGTGCAATGCGTAGTTCATTCTCCGACATTGTAGAAAGACAGGCTTACCAATGAATCGGGCGTACGACCACAATCTAAAGTGGTCGGTAGGATACGATAACAGTTCGGTATTTGAATCCCTCAGTCGTTGGTTCAGTTACTCAGTTCTTATCGCACTATTATGCTATTGTCATGAGAATGTAAAACAAAACTACACTGGACTCAGATGAAGTATAAGTTGTCGATCTCGTTACTTTTTGAGACAGAATTTCCCTACTCATCACCCAAATTTCCTGATATTGAGAGAATATTTTGAGAAACAACAAAAGGTCAGTGAGGCAAATTAGAAAGTGGTGTTAAATTACTATAGAAGTTAATTTTGAACTGTAAAGTGGAGGCAGACTTCCAATTCCAATCACCAAATGCAAGTGCGACAATTGACAATTCTACATTTCCAAGTCTCTTCAAAAATGGAATGTTCTAGCACAATGAGTTTCGAAAATTATTAAAAGTACTTACGCTTTTACTAATTGAGAAATGATGACTGACTGCCTAGGATTACATAATCGTGATAAATATAAAAAGTTGAAAAGTTTTTGAAAAATATTTTTCACTTCCGGATTCTAGTCCAGATCGAGGCTCTGAAAACGGAAACGAGGCCCGTAAAGTTTTTAGAAATCAAAGTGCGCACTTATTTGAATTGTAAGTCTATTTTAACGTTTAATTATTAACCTTTTGGCAACTTACATGATGTTAAAGTAATCACGTTTGATTGTGTCAAGTTTTAATACTGCATTGTGTTGGTTTACTTGAGGTTTTTATAGATTTGTTTTTTAGGAACATTTCAACTTGTAATCAAGACAGTCAGCGCCACCTATCTTCTATATAATACTAAACGTGTACAAGCATCCATAAAATTATATTATATTCACCACATATCCACTTACCAGTATTGAGTATGCAAAAGTTCCTTTGTCGCCCTGATGTCCGAATCCCAATGGTCCAAATCCCATTGGTCAGAATGCCAATTGTCTGGATCCCATTCATCCGAACAGTGAGCATAAAATCTTGGCAAAATCATCTCAATTCTCCAATTCATCTGAGACATTTACGTGAACATTTACCAAGAACCTGTATGAGATGATAATATATATTACGGACGCGTAACATGAAACGTTAATTGCTGTTTTTATATGTCAATGTACAATACAACGTTAGTTGCTTGATTTATTGCCTGATTGATTGACAGAATATTGATGTTTGTTTTGCCGATTGGTTTACTGGTAGATTAGTTGGTTGCTTGGTTGGTTGTTAGCTTGATTGACTGGTTAGGTACATCATGGGCTCTACCACCTGATAGAGCCCATGGGTACATTGAGTTGGAGGTCAGTTGGGAGTTTTGAAAAAGTTACAATCTTAACCCTGGTAGGAATGTAGGTACCCGGTCACCTGGATTTTTACACAAACCCTGATTTTTAGGAGATTTGATTTTCTAAAAACATTGATATTTTGTTTCAGACATCAATGCGGTAATCTGTTTGTTTTTCAAGTCTCAGACACATGAAAGTTACATGTACTCATAACAATTCTATTTTGGGCAGAGGTTTTATTCATTGTAAATATGCAGTAAAGGAAAAAATAAAAGATATTCATTGAATGAAGGTTGTCTAAAATGTTGACATTTTTGGAAATTTGAGAATTTTACACGCTGCCGCACTGTTCATTAATAAATTCCCTGGTATGCACTTTTTTAGAAATTGTCAGTTTTGTTGTTTTTTCAGTCTATGTCGCTCATATGTCAAAGGTCAAAGCCTCACTTTGATATTGAGAAAATTAAAATAAATAGAAGTGCAATTCTCAATGTTATAATGCGTTTATGGTGATTCCAAGGGTATTTATTGAAGCGTCTCTTGAAAGCCCATGTTTAAAGGTAGTGTAGCTGTGAATCCAAGACAGTAAAGCTTGATGAATATGAAAAATAAACACCGATATATCACTTTTTTCAACTTCCAAGATCACCTGTGAAATCATCAAGTTAAACTTCCCGCTGCTCCTTTATTCATCTGCCCCTTGATCTCATTTAAATAAAATATGTACTTACATTTAAGATAATGAAATTTATAGATTAAAGGTAACTCAGGGTCAAAAGATTTAGGTTTATATTGTGAAATATATTGAATACTTCATTGTTCATTGAAACCCATGTTTAAGTTAAATATACAATTGTAAAGGAAAAAGTAAAAGATATTCATTGAAGGTAGGTTGGCTTGTTGACATTTTGGAAGATCCAGATTTACATGATTTAGATTTTGAGATAAGTGGCTATTTGTAAGTGAAAGGCACCTGCAGTGCATATCTCCTGTTTGGCTGTACCACTGTATAGTATATAGGGTGCCAGCATTTAAACACATTTATGTAGATTATTGATCACTTAATATTATTTTTGAGCACTTGAATTTACCTTTCAGATACAGTGTAGCATAATACCAACTGTATACTCATCAAACAGACATAGTAACAAACTTTAAGGATCAACTGAAGTATGCTTTCAAGGCTTGCAAATCCACTACGAAATGTCGTCAAAACTGTGACAAGGAAACAACATACTAAACCAATCAAACTTGGATCACCCTCGCAAGCTGTTTTTGATCGAGAAAGTAAATATGGGGCTCACAACTATGGTCCACTTCCAGTAGCTTTATCTAGAGGAGAAGGTAAGTGCCTATATCCTTTAAGAGACGGATTGATAGATTCTAATAATCCTGAGAACCAGGAGTTACTCGAGTCTCTAGCCAATTCTTGGCTAGAGGTAATTTCATCTGGAATACTGTGAACTCCATTTGAAAAAAACTGGCCGGCGTGTCATAAATTTATTGAATATTTTAAAAATCGCCAGATGAATAAATCATTAATTAAAATGGGACCAGTTCTGCTCCTTGATGAGATATTGCATGATTTCGTCTAAAATTAAAACAAAATGGCTCCAAGAAAAGTGGCGATATTCCAAAACTGGACGAACTGTCATTAATATTTGACATTAGTAACTGGCTGTAAATTCTAAGTTAGCGATCCAGAAGATGTGAACCAATACATTGATCACTTTGTGTGTGTTTTGGAATTTTTGGTGAGGTGATAAGACCAAAACTCACAATTCAAATTGTGATGTGGAAAAATGGCGGACATATGATTTCAAATTTTATGATTACGACATGACCAGTTATACATGCAGGAGTTTATCTTTAGATGAAGGCCACGATACAGTGGCCTTAGAAGAAGGTAAACCAGGAGGGTTACATTCATAAAAATGTTCATAATCTATGTGGCTCTCAAGGAATGAAGGATTTGAAAAGGTTTCTTAATTCATTTTATTAATAGGATTCATTGAAATGATTAATCAGCTCAAAGAATTTTAGAGAAATGGCATTGTTTTTGAATAAATGTGAATAAATACATGAAACACAGACGGTTATCATTTTATAAGCTTTAAACACATGTACCAACTACCATATATTTAATATAATTCAATCTGTCCTTTATACAACCTTTCTACAGCTGCTTAAAAAACAGTTCATTGTTATTTTGAATAGGATTTTATTTAACGGTATCTCAGCATGTTCTTTTGACTTTCATTTAAACTTGTGTTTCTTCAACCATCTGTATGATATTTGATAAAACGCCACATCACTGATTATAAAACACGTGTAATATCATGCACTAACTATCAACATTGAATAGGATGACAGATATTAGTAAAAATTGATTAATTCTAATAAGTTTAGTGGTTATCAACCTAATGAAACATTTCATGATCTATGTGTCTGAATGTTATCATAAATTATATATATTTTAAAGACACCCTATGCAGACAGAGCCTGTGGGAAATATTGGGTGGGGAGCAAATGAGCGGAGGGTGCGGAGCTAACGGTCATTTTTGAATTTAAATTTGGGATATTTCTGAAACTAAGCCGTTTTGGGACTTCAAATATACCAAGATATGTGTATTTGACACCAAACATCAATACAATTGTGAAAATAGTAGCGCAATTCATTCTATAGCGACGCAGTGTGCCTTAAACCTTTCCCAGACCTATATATTTTGAAATTATTCCTTTAATACTGAGTCCCCAGCATTCATAAAAAATGGTGTTCAAGGTACACTATCTATACAAATTATTTTTGCATCTTGGAAGCCAGGCAGTATCTGTGTGATTTTATAAAAATTCGGAAATGTTTTTCAGATATGAGCCCCTCTAAATATTGGGTGCGGAGGAGCTCCATAAACGTACCTCCGCACCCAATATTTAGAGGGGCTCATATCTGAAGAACATTTCCGAATTTTTATAAAATCACACAGATACTGCCTGGCTTCCAAGATGCAAAAATAATTTGCATGGGTAGTGTATCTTGAACACCATTTTTTATGAATGCTGGGGACGCAGTATTAAAAGGATACAGTAGTCTCAAAATATATAGGTCTGGGAAATGTTTAAGGCATACTGCGTCGCTATAAAATGAATTGCACTACTATTTTCACAATTTTATTGATATTTGGTGTCAAATACACATATCTTGGTATATTTGAAGTCCCAAAACGGCTTAGTTTCAGAAATATCCCAAATTTAAATTCAAAAATGACCGTTAGCTCCGCACCCTCCGCTCATTTGCTCCCCACCCAATATTTCCCACAGGCTCTGTCTGCATAGGGTGAAAGAGCTAGGTGCAAAATAAAGATAATTTTGTAATACCCTTATGTTATTAGTAAAAGTCAAGAGTAGTCAGTGTTCTTTACACCCACTTTGATAAAAGTTACTCCACTCCAAGTTTAATTGTACACTACCTACCTCCTTTTCTAAAATTCATTATTTTACATGGGCACACTGAATTTATCACTTGGTTTTGATTGTGGTGCTAATCAAAAAATTTGATTATCACTTTATTTAACATAATTTGAATAATGTTTGAAGAACAATAGTTGTTTTTATTAAGAGAAAGGGCATGTGAGTCATTTGCCATCTGAAATATTTCATAAACACATGTAAAAGATTTTAAATATTTTTTGTTCAATTCTTGAAGTGGTGTTAAGTGTTAACAAGTGTTTCTCTTATATGAGACTTCAGTGACATTGAGTGCATATTTATTCATAAGTGCTCAAATAATATGCATTATATACACTATATATTCATGGGCTTTCAAGATATCAAGCCCATAGCCAGAGGGTTCGCCCCCCCCCCCCCCCCTGGCCAAAAATTCTTTCAAAATCATGCAGTTTTTCACCATTTTAGCACTTCTCAAGTAATTTTAGCCACATTTGGGCCAAATTTGTCAAATGTGAACCCCCCCCTGGAAATTTTTGAAAACTGAACCCCCCCCCCCCCCTTGGCAAATCCTAGCTACGGGCCTGCATATAATGCACTATAGTGTATATTATATCAGTGCTCTTCCCACATATTTGGTCCCTCTATAGAACCAATGAATAATTCACTTTGAATGGCTAAAACTATGGGTAGTTTATATTGAAGTGTCCAATCCAAATATATCGAATTCATAAACCTTGCTTTCTAGAGTAAGTCATGAGAGTTCAAGGAAAATCTCTAGGATTTTAATGTGTAATGTAAGACACGTAATCTAAGCTGAATATGTTAGACAGTAAGACATCAGAGACCACATTTCCAGTGCAGAGGATGGTGATCTCTGTAATTGTGTTGCCTGTATATAGATTTAAAAAATTGATGTATTACAAACAGGAAATAAAATCATAGAGTTTATGATGGCAGTTTCCAGCTGCTGCTAATTATTTCATTGAAATCAATACACTTTAACTGAAGATGGTTCAAATTATGTTGAAATTTCACTGAACAGTTAAATGAAAACATTTTCCCAAAATAGGATTGTAAAAATATTACTTGATTTACAGAATTATGTGACCTCCAAAGTTTTATGGGTTTTGTAAGGTTACCTCTTACCTCATATTAAGAGTAAATAAGAATCTAGTTTTGAAGATTAGACATTTCTTTGTTGGATTAGTTAAAAAAAAGTATTTTGCATCCAGACAAAAATCCTGGAAGGACATTGGCATTGTGTTTTATACATAAGCATTGTTGTATTCCTATTTGTCTGTCCGTCTGTCCATCCATCCACCCATCCGTCCCTTCGTCCGTCTGGCTGTCTCCTCCAAGATTATTGAGTCCAGGGTCATCAAACTTGGTACAATTACCCCCTCGCCTGGGGGGATAGACTGACGCTGTCATATTGCTAATAATTCATTAAATATTTAGAATCGGTGTTTAGAAGGTCAAGGTCACATTTAGGTTGAGGTCATCTGGAAGACAAAATTCAATAAATACAAATGCATATTATAAGTCCATAACAACACATTTAACCATTTTAGTATAAAGGTCACTTAAAGTCAAGGTCACATCTAAAAGGTCAAAAGTTCACTTATGAAATTGTGAATTCAGTCACACTGTATACTGTATATTTAATCTTTATTGCTGATTTCAGGTGTGTTTGTATGGGATGTTGAAGGTAACAGATATTATGACTTTCTCAGTGCCTACAGTGCTGTCAACCAAGGCCATTGTCACCCTAAGATCATCAAGGCATTAAAGGACCAAGCAGATACCCTGACCCTTGCCTCTAGGGCATTCTATACAGACTGTCTAGGGGAATATGCAGAATATGTCACAGAACTATTTGGATATGATAAAGTCTTGCCCATGAATACAGGTAAAGTGCACACCATAACTTCATAAAATTTGTTTGTTTGAAAACTCAATGCATCACAAAATTTCTGTACTGATGTTCCGTACATGTGTTTGACTGGATTACCTCAAGCTGATTAGAATTTTATGTCACTACAAAGAAGTTTTAGTCCTTGTTTCTTATGTGGTTAGCATTTGCAATAAATAACAGATCATGACATCATGTTTTATGGTTTGAGATGTGCTTTATTGATTTTAGGTAAAGATTTAGCAATGTAGCATATATTACACAGCATATTGAGCAATTGTTTGCCATGTGTCCAAAGGTAGAAAATTTCTGGTCATAGTTTCCAGATTTACAGCTCATCAGTGAGTCATATGTCCAATGTCCATTGAGTACAGTACAGTAAACAAATCTCAGATGATTTGTTCACTGTACTGCCTTACTTGAATCAGTAATTAGATAACATTATTTGATTGGTTAAACTTAAGTCTGAAATCAACAAAGTTCATTGACATATGGGTAATTCAAATTTGGATAATTATTAAAAATTGTCTTCACATCCAGTTCATTTTTGAGAGGAATGTCCTCCTACAAATGTTTCAATTTTCGACTTAATATCTAAAATGATATCAATTACATTTATCTGAAATATTTACAAGGTGATAACAAATACTTGATATATTTAAAACAATTCATGACCTTTCACTATAATTATGAAGAAACACTTGTATGAAGGTGTATTGTATCCTTCATCATCAACCAATCAGTAAGGAGAATTTCTAACACTCCCACCATCCACTGCCTGCTGTGAAAATATGTTGTTTTCTCTGCACAATGATTTACCAACTATTCTCTAATTGAAATATGAATATTTATCCCATGGTTGCAAGGATATAGATCGAATATCACATGAAGATATATTTGATATGTGGATCAAGATATCATATTTTAGCAAAAAAATCATAAACCATCGAATATCACTTTTAAACTATCGAATATCACGTCTTAAAAAGTGATATTCGATGGTTTGAAAAGTGATATTCGATGGTTTCGAATTTTTTCAAAAAATTCTTTTTACGTTTTTTAATTATTTTCAAAAATATTAAGATAAAAAAATTAAAAATTTCAAACACAATTTTTACAATTATTTTTTCAACTTTTTTCTCAAATTATATTTTTCAACTTTTTTCGCTGATGATGATTTCCCATGGGATAAACGGACAATCCTATGGTTTTTGAAAAATATCAAGCTGCGCTCACTCATGAAGATATCAATATCCACTCATGGATATAAATGATATTTTTTCAAAACCATAGGATATTCCTATAGTATTTTGCCATGAATTTTAGATTTTCTATAGTCGGAATCAAGTGCATATTATCTGGTATTAGACCTTTATATCAACCCCCCCCCCCAAAATTTCAATTCATAATTCAGATATTAGTGAACTGATTTCCTTTTTATTTGTTAGAGAGTTGTTTTCAGCAAAATTCTGGGAATGGTTTGGAATAGCTTCCCCTCTAGTATTTGCAATAAAAACCAGCAAATGGTTTTTGATTTATGTCATGTCAGGAATGTCAATTTAATGCTTTCCGATCATCATTGTTTTACTCCAGTAATATTACCCCAGTTATTGTTTCAAAATTGTACTAAAAATGAAATAACGTGGAAATAAAGCTTACACACACACACCCTTGTAAAGAATCAATTTCGCTTTGTAGCCCTATAAACTACATGTATCTCTATTTGTAGGTGTTGAAGGAGGAGAAACAGCCAACAAACTTGCAAGAAAATGGGGATATGAAGTAAAGGGAATCCCTAAAAACCAGGCAAAGATAATATTTGCTGAGGGGAACTTCTGGGGTAGAACACTTGCTGCAATCTCAACCTCCACTGACCCAAGCAGTTATGAGGGGTAAGAACTCATACCAGGAAGTGGTCTTCCCAGCAAGAAAGAAAGGTGGCATTAGACTACATGAGATTGACCACTTGAGATTTGTGAAAATGAGAATTTTTGCAAGTTGGGAAATAAATCTAGGGAGAGCACGATTCTGGTTTACCTCATTTTTCAACTAACCTCAAAAAACGAATAGCAGAAATAACATATGTACATGTACATTGATACATTTTTGAAAATAGTAATCAATAATGATGATATTTTCTTGATTTTTCTTCTGTGTTCAGTGGAGTTAACAGTCATGTACTCATATAGTAGCAATCAATTCGAGACTACTCGGGCAACTCAACAAACCTAAAAAGGTTGTTTCATCAGCCAATCAGACTAGGGGGAACAGGTGTTAACGCTCAAACCCACCAGAGGTAACATTCATACACACATCCACATGCACAATTAGCTCGACTAGTTACTCAAAAATATGGACTTTGAAGTATTGGTCAAAAAGCAAATCAATATGGATATTTATTGTATGATCTGTAAAATGAAGCCCTCTGATTGGTCAGTTCTTGTGCTGTACCAATCTGTATTGCTGCTACTGAGATTGTTCCCTTTGATCATCTCCGTCGCAATACAGAAAATATTGATACGGAAGGGACAATCTCAGTAGCAATACAGAGGATCACACGATAAAAACGTTATTGAATGATTTGAAGTGCAATACAGGATATATTCTGTCTCAATATTCTGTATTGGCACTCTACTTCGTCTCGTTCCAATACAGAATTTCTCGACCAGAATATATCCTGTATTGCACTTCAAATCATTCAATAACTTATAATCTTGCGATATATCAAAGGCACTTGCATATTCAGTGAATGTTATTGATGGGACAGTTAATATTTTTCCATTGACTCCTGATAAAGCTTGATTAGTGAAATCTGTTGTATATTTTCATATGCCTGTAAATTAATTAGCTTTGACGTTTCATGTATAAAACATGCTAGTCTAAACAAATCTAGACTGGATTTTACTTTCCATGTACTGTAGTTGTTACAGTGTGATTCAAAATTACTGCTACTTTTTAGGTTTTATCCTTTTTGGGTCACCCTGTACATACATTTTCACCTTTTACCTTAATTTTTGCAATTTATAATTTGGTCACCATTATATTATTTGCTCGTGTATGTATATAGTACAACATTTTCATCTATGTTTCATCAAGTTAAAAAATATTTTATCAGTACTATTTTGTTTTAGATTTGGACCATTTATGCCTGGGTATGAGGTGATCCCATATAATGATCTCAATGCTCTTGAGGTAAGCATGAATGGTGCATAAACCAATTGAAACTAGATTTAATTTTGGTTTAGCTTGAAAATCTTATTTTGGTGGCAAAAGGCAAAAATGAGAAGAAAAATTAAATCAGTCTGGATATCACTGATGATACAAATGATTGAAGTAGAATCTTAAAATCCCAAAATGACTTATTTAATATTTTTGCCTTTTTCTTTTCATCCTGATATTGTTATATTATAAGACAAAATTAAACTATCAAATGAAGGTATTGATGCAAGCCCAGAAATTGATGACTTCTTAAGTATACAGAAAATGTATTTATGAGTAATATCATAGACCGATACCTCATATCATATTCTTTAGTATATTCTGATTGTGAATCAAGATAAATATGATTAAGAGGGTTGTGGTTAAAATGTTATTATATGGTTGTCTTGGTATTTCAGAAAGCTTGCCAGGACCCCAACGTCTGTGGATTCATGGTGGAACCCATACAAGGGGAGGCAGGAGTAGTTGTACCACATGATGGCTACCTTAAAGGCATCAGGGAGATTTGTGACACGCACAATGTACTATGGATGGCCGATGAAGTACAAACTGGACTCTGCAGAACTGGAAGGTGAGTTGATAATGAATGAGTGATACAACATTGTAAAATATCACAACAAGTCTCTTCCCTTATGAAATGTGGGGGGGGGCTAAGTCAACACTCTTAAATCTGAAGGTTTTCACAAATTAATGTTAAGTTACACTGTGAAGACCTAGAGAGACCATTGATTTGTATCTCTGTAAATGCGTCAGTGTAAAGGAAATTCGTACTTTTCATAAAGGTATGATAGCCACTTAGAGCTTAAGTGCTTAGTTTCTTAAGCCCAGCTTACACAAAAAATGGGCTGCATGTCCCTTTCGAGTCCAATGGTTCCTTAGATTTCATTTTCCCCAATGAGATTCCACAGGCTCTTGGGTGTATGTTCGCTTTGATTATAGTTGAATCCATGGTTTGTATTTTCAGGTGGCTTGCTGTTGACCATGAGGATGTAAGACCTGATATTGTCATTCTGGGGAAAGCCTTATCAGGAGGAGTTCTTCCAGTGAGTTACTTGCTAATTTGGGAAGGATTCACATGATGTAAATCACCACATTTTTTGGGTCTGGCTACTTAAAGATTATTTTAGAAGTTTTTCTATAAATCTTGCCATTCCACGAAAAAAAATTTACATATTGTTGATGAACTTTTGAGTGGCCATGTATTCTGGCAGCCATAATGAAAGATTTTTGATAAATATTGTCGTAATTTCAGGAAAACCGCTTGTAAGGCAACTATCTTTTAATGTCTTAACTGATTTCAATTTTTTTGTATTAAGGTGTCTGCTATTCTTGCTGATGATGAGATAATGCTTACAATAAAACCTGGTGAACATGGCTCAACATATGGTGGTAACCCATTGGCCTGTAAAGTAGCCATAGCAGCACTTGAGGTATAGTAACATATATTTACATGCACTTTGAAATCATCAATGGCTCAACATATGGTGGTAACCCATTGGCCTGTAAAGTAGCTATAGCAGCACTTGAGGTATAGTAACATATATTTACATGCACTTTGAAATCATCAATGGCTCAACATATGGTGGTAACCCATTGGCCTGTAAAGTAGCCATAGCAGCGCTTGAGGTATAGTAAAATGTTTACATGCACTTTCAAATCATCAATGGCTCAACATATGGTGGTAACCCATTGGCCTGTAAAGGAGCCATAGCAGCGCTTGAGGTATAGTAACATATGTTTACATGTACAGTAATCATCAATGGCTCAACATATGGTGGTAGCCCATTGGCCTGTAAAGTAGCCATAGCAGCACTTGAGGTATAGTAAAATGTTTACATGTACTTTGAAATCATCAATGGCTCAACATATGGTGGTAACCCATTGGCCTGTAAAGTAGCCATAGCAGCGCTTGAGGTATAGTAACATATGTTTACATGCACTTTGAAATCATCAATGGCTCAACATATGGTGGTAACCCATTGGCCTGTAAAGTAGCCATAGCAGCACTTGAGGTATAGTAACATATGTTTACATGTACAGTAATCATCAATGGCTCAACATATGGTGGTAGCCCATTGGCCTGTAAAGTAGCCATAGCAGCACTTGAGGTATAGTAAAATGTTTACATGTACTTTGAAATCATCAATGGCTCAACATATGGTGGTAGCCCATTGGCCTGTAAAGTAGCCATAGCAGCACTTGAGGTATAGTAAAATGTTTACATGTACTTTGAAATCATCAATGGCTCAACATATGGTGGTAACCCATTGGCTTGTAAAGTAGCCATAGCAGCACTTGAGGTATAGTAACATATGTTTACATGCACTTTGAAATCATCAATGGCTCAACATATGGTGGTAACCCATTGGCCTGTAAAGTAGCCATAGCAGCGCTTGAGGTATAGTAACATATGTTTACATGTACAGTAATCATCAATGGCTCAACATATGGTGGTAGCCCATTGGCCTGTAAAGTAGCCATAGCAGCACTTGAGGTATAGTAACATATGTTTACATGCACTTTGAAATCATCAATGGCTCAACATATGGTGGTAACCCATTGGCCTGTAAAGTAGCCATAGCAGCGCTTGAGGTATAGTAACATATGTTTACATGCACTTTGAAATCATCAATGGCTCAACATATGGTGGTAACCCATTGGCTTGTAAAGTAGCCATAGCAGCGCTTGAGGTATAGTAACATATGTTTACATGCACTTTGAAATCATCAATGGCTCAACATATGGTGGTAACCCATTGGCCTGTAAAGTAGCCATAGCAGCACTTGAGGTATAGTAACATATGTTTACATGCACTTTGAAATCATCAATGGCTCAACATATGGTGGCAACCCATTGACCTGTAAAGTAGCCATAGCAGCGCTTGAGGTATAGTAACATATGTTTACATGCACTTTGAAATCATCAATGGCTCAACATATGGTGGTAACCCATTGGCCTGTAAAGTAGCCATAGCAGCACTTGAGGTACCGTAACACATGTCTTCATGCACTTTGAAATCATGCTCTTCAAGCTACCTTATGCCTGAGTCACATCTGCTCTGATTCACCGGCTGGCACCTGGCCGTTTGAGTATTTTGTTCAGAATTGTATTCAGTTTTGAACAAAATACTCAAACTCCTGGGTGCCGGCTGTTGAATTGGAGCAAGTGCGACTCGGGCATCAAAGAGGTATGGACAGTTAGTGGGGCAGTTTTTCTACCCTTTGATAATTTTTACATTGGGATATGTGATTCACATTTATTTATCGGTATATAAACTCTTCTGTTAAGGTTATCATTTCAATGACAAAGTTAATGCTTTGCTGGGTGGTGAAAAATGTTGATTTAGAGGCTGTAATATTGATTTATTCAACAAATTCAAGAAATAAATTATAGCTATACTCTTGTATATTCTAGTGCATGTTGGAAGAGAAGATGGCTGAAAATGCTCAATACCTTGGTGAGATTCTACGAAATGAACTCTCAAAGTTGCCAAAAGATGTTGTGTCCATTGTGCGCGGGAAGGGCCTTCTTAATGCGATTGTCATCAATGAAAGTAAGTTATAACTTTCACCACTTATTTTCCAATAGGAGTTCCTTTTATGACCTTCTTCTAGTATTCAACTTACATTTCAAACCCAATTATGTACAGTAAAATCTGTCTTAGTGAACACCACTCTCTTGTGAACACCTGTGTGTAATGAACACCTCTTCTCTGCACATACTCCACTTAGACTAACTGAGTTTTGTTTAGAATTGCCTCTGTAGTGAACACCTACTTATCGTGAACTCATTTTTGTGGCTCCATTTGTGTTCACTGTACACAGGTTTTACTATATTTACAAAATAATCCTACAATATAGTGTAAAAAAACATGCCATTAAGATTATAGAAATTAGATCTGAATGATTAATACGGTAAATGTATGTAGATATATGTCTGAAAGGCATTAATTGGACCTGATATACAAAGAAACTTCGGACAATGCTATAGTTAGGTATAAATGTAAGTAAAGAAAAATGTATTTCAAGTGCAGTAATTAAACTCAAATAAACCCAAAGTGAATGAATGTTTCACAATTTCAGAGTTTGATGCATGGAAGGTTTGTGTTCGGCTCCAGGAGAATGGCCTGCTCGCTAAACCCACACATGGTGATATTATCCGCTTTGCACCTCCTTTAACAATGACTGAAGATCAACTGAGAGAATGCATTGAAATTATCTCACGGGTGGTTATGTCGTTCCAATGAACACAACCAGTAAATAGAATCCAGGTGTGATGGTACATGTAGACTCCTCAAGATTCCTTATCCACTGTGTGCAAAAACTTTACAAACACTGACTAAAAATTGCCAAAACTTAACAAGTATGATTATGACATCTATTTGATTTTCTACGATTTTGGTGAAAATACAGTCAAATGTCATGGAGTAATAATGTAAACAGGTTATTGATGGCACTGAAATTGGCATGGTTGTATAGAATTAGTGAATTGCCACACACTAAGAGAACCTAACCTGATTTATAGTAAAATTAGTATGAACAATATGGCCCTATGTGGTGGGGACATATAAAGGGGAGTTATTTTATTTTTGAAAACCTCACAAATTACCACTGGAAAAAGTGATATCTTTATGAATTTAGCTTAACTACATGTATGAGTGTATGCTATTTAAATTATTTGCACTTATGCTTGGAAAGTGATACAATGGCTCATTTCTATCAACGTTATAGAATCATAACAAGAGTAAAATCAGACGTAGGATTTAACCTTGGTTTCTGTTGTATGTAGTTAAGCTTCTTAGAGAAATGAATCTCAAATCACCTATTTAGTTGCTCAACTTTCCTAGATGTGTTTGTCTGAGGCGAGTCCAATTTGGAAATAATGTATATCGAAATTGAGATTATCTTTGAAATTTTAGAGGAAGAATTTTAGAAGATTTTAAGAAGGTGGTTGATATTGTGAAAATATTTCAATATGTTGTTCTATCCATGGTTCTTTATTTAAGGAAATATTTGTTGAGTTCTTTTATGTGTTCCCTTTGCTCAGGGTTGACCAAGAGGAATTTACTCTAAAGACTTGCAGTGTAATGTTTTACTGATACTGGAAACGGTACATAAAGATACCTTTATTGTAATACTGTGTCTATTGTATGCAACTACCATGCATGAACACATTGTATGTAACTTCTTTACTGATATTGTATGTCTGATATGCTTGTAGCATATTGGTTGCCCAGCTAAAAACTTCACACAATTTGACCTTAGTCATCAAGACTAAAAATGCATTGAACACTTTAACATTTATATTCAATATTTGAATATTAACCATGTCTTAATAATTCCAACATTTGGAAGCATTCATAATTCCAACATTTGGAAGTAACTTGCTTACTAATATGTTCGTTAATATGAAAAATCAAGTTGCGTAATCATGAATGAAATTTTGAGAGTTCACCTTTTGGATTAGTCAATTTTTTTTTAAATATTCCAATCCTAAAATGCTTCTATTTATATACAGGGTGTCCCAGGACTCTGAGAAGTTTTTGATAGAGATATAAGGCATTGATGATTTTTCTTAAAATTTGGTGCACTTATTAAACATACATTGAGAAATAACTGACATATCATTAATATTTACGATTTTATTGACATTTGCATTCTACATCGGCACAAACCCCAGAATAGACATTCTGTATATTAGATAATGCTTGATTGAGTTGTCAGCTAATTTGAAATATGTGATCCATGATGAAATGCTAAATTATTAATTAATTGCTTAATTAAATTGCTTTATATTTTCAAAACTTTCCATGATTTCTGGATCAAAAGCTTCCCCATTTATTTGAATGTAAAAAAAACACATTGGTTAGTCAAGTGTTATTTTTACCTCCAAATATCTCCGATTCCTACTAGTTAACTTTTATTTTAATTTTATTTCTTGCTTATTATCTTCTACATTGCATTAATATTATTATGAAATATGTGATATTTTATCTAAATTAAAAGCCTTTAAGACTGAATTGTGTGAGGGAAATGATGTCAATACAGCGCATGTCTCACTAGGATTTTTTTCCTGCAGTTAATAAGTGATGAATTGTTGTTTTTAGATTTCAATGTAATAAGATTTTTGAATTTTTCAGATAATTGGATTATTATATAGTGTGACATTATCATTGCTATTATTACATATCGGTTCCTTTGATTTACTTCTGTTTTGTTGTTTGTTAAAAAATATGTTTGAAATTGCTTGTTTTTGTTATTTGCCATTTTACATTTCTGAATACGAAATAAACAAATTAATACAATTTTATGTGTTATGTTTTGGTGCAGTGGCCATTGTTTATAATCTGATGTTTGGTGAAAGCTGTAAATAAAAGCACACCATACTAGCATAGTTACAGAATTGAAAAATACAGGGTGTCCAGTAATTGTGTCACCACAAGTGGTATATCTGCAATTTGGCAATAAAGGTTATCATTCATTTTATGTACATTTTATGCACGCAGGGTATGAATGGTCATCACTTATACCATTCATACTATTGTCATGAGCCATTAAAGAGTATAAAAACAGACTATTTGGGCCTGAAGCGTTGCATATTCTATAAATAAATTTTTGATCGTTTCAATTAGTTCGATCGTTTCAATGCTTTCATCATTACCCACGTTTCAATGCTTGTGTCATTTTGAGCATTTCAATCGATTCGCCTTTGAAATGAATTCAAAATTTCGTAATTGTCATTGTTGTAGTAAATTTTAATTCTGGTTGTAAACAGCAAAAACACGTTTTTCATCTGCAACTCTTTTATTTGAATTACAGAAATAACATTGTCATTTTTCACATTATGATATCTTCTTTACAAGTATGAAGCATCTCTGTCGCCCTACTAAGTTCCTGTCCATTCATGTTGGTGCCCTATTTTCATATAATTATACTTTAAAAAACTAAAACAATTCCATTTTGCTTGATTATGGTACAGTAGTAATAATATTTTATTTACTAGTATATCTATAATAATCTACCTGTTGAAACCATATTGTGATCAGAGACATATTCTGTTATGATTCAGGATTCTTCGACAAAACTGCCGATTGAAATACCACTAAAATCTCTTTTGGTGAACACAATTTAGGTTAAAAAGTTCAAAAATCAATGAATATTGAATATTCGTGAATGGTTTGAAAAGTCATTTTTGCTAGAAATCTATTTTAACTGAGAAATGAAAGATAGGAATTGGTCACTTTTAGCCAGAAATCAATTTTTAAATTGTGTTAGAGAGTGGCAAGATCAGCTTGACATTTCTGATTTTGTACATGCTGTCAATTTCACTTTCCAAATATGGAAGGTGTAAAAATAGACATGTCAATCAAATCTGGAATTGAACAAGAGAATTAAAGTGAAGCTTGATGCCGGTTTTGCCTTTCTGTCATATGTTGAAAGATATAAGTATAGTGGAAAACATTTGCAGGAAATTAAAATTTAATTGAATACAATTGATGAATTTATAAATGTTTTTGTGACCAAGTGTGACCGTTGAATTCTATTTTCAAAGTGTGAATATGCAAGAAAATGGATAGAAATGTAACAGAATCAGCAGGGATTTGTATGTTCACATTGGGAGTCTTTAAAATGTTGTTTTTTGTTAATTTTGATAATTCAAAGAATGGCTTTGTTACATGAAATTCAAAGGTATTGAATAGTAGATCACAAATCCTTTTTAAAAGTGCATTGGGAAATTCAAAATGTTTTCTTTGATTTGGGAATTTGAGGAGAATGCAATTTCAAATTGGACGATGAGGTAGCGGTAGCATCTTATATCGTCTGTGGTTCATTGGATGAGATGCTTACATCGACCTTGGGGAAGATGGTTTGCACTCATCTAACGTAGTCGTATAAAGTGTGTTTTATATATTGTATATATTTTTATTCTATGTTCATTTAACATTAATGTTATATCAGCATTATTTTCATTGTACACTGTATACATGTATCTCCTTTTCATAAAGGGCAATAAAGATATACATACAATAGCTTTTTCATGGAAATTTTGATGTGAAATGAATGCTGGCAATTTAGCCCGGGGGGTTCACTATATATTAACCTTGACGGGGATCCTCGGCGCATGTGGGGTACCTTTTTCAACGTTTGGTATGGCAATGGACCCATATTTTAGGATTTGGTATGGGAATGCCCAGAAATTTCTGACTTCTGAGGTATGGCAATGGTCGGACTTTTGCACTTCTGGTATGAAAATGGTCGTTGTAGATACGTTACCTAACATTCGTGGTATGGCATTGGTCCAGGACAATTTAGTTCAGTGATTGTTTTCGAATACATTGGATATAAGTTTGAACAAATAATTATTTGTAATTTAAAGAGTGATAACCGAAATTCACGAGGATCTGAGACTAACATACTCTAAACTTTTATGTTAGTCTCAGAGGGAATATAGAGATCGGCTCCATTTGTTCCTACGTACGTATGTCCGTCCATTCGGCCAATAACTCAAACAATGTTTGTTTGTTTGTTTGTTTGTTTGTTTGTTTGTTTGTTTGTTTGCGACTTTGTTGAAATTTTAAAGGTGGGTACTTAGAAGCCTACGGTGTATCATGCGTATGTGTACATATTTTTTATGTGTATTATCTTTATCTGAGACATCAGAACATCTTCTGCTGGTATCTCCCGGTTAACTTCCACGATGGGACAACAAGTTTGCATGCAGAATAAAAGCATGGTGGAAGTGAGACTGTAGATTTATGTGACTACCATGCAGCAATGGTTCACAACAATATTCATTTGAAACTATTCTTCGCCACTGCTCCAATTTACATAGTCGCTCACGTATCTTCCGTAAACGACATTCCAAGGGATTTCAGCATCTTAGTCACCGACTTTCCAGTATATCACTCGCATCCTTCTTCCACCGGGAAGTTTTGGGCCGTTCTACCTCACCTCTGGGGCAATGTACTCATATTTTGTTTTTGTTTACCATCAACAAGAATAATGAAAATGAAAAAGTTACATTAACAAACAACTTCTCAAAATGCATACTAGTATATGGGTTGTCAAGACAACTGTATGTGAACCATTGCTACTAAAAGTAAAAATATATAAAATAAAAATAAATTCCTTGTCAATTTAAATTTTAGAAAATAATTATTATCACACACGAGAGAATCTTTGTAACTGAATGCAAATGTCGGATTTTCATTTATTGGCCCATAAAACAGAAAAGTCATATATACTGTATAAAATAAGTCAGCTTAGAAATAAATAGAATCACATATCAGGGTATGAATCAGAACGAGGACCTCGATGACATTTCGTATTGTACGTTATAATTGATGCAATGGCATCAAGTGATTTATACTTTTTTTTGTATATTGAGTTAAATTGACAATGCAACTTTTTCTCAATCGTTGTGGTCCTTCTCAGATCATCCAATTGTTTGTGTCTTAGCTATCTGAATTGAGTAAGAAATGGAGCATAACCCAACTTGTATTCGATGTCATTATTTCTTGTCAGTGATGGATGATTAAGACAGCTTTAACTTGTTTTCTCCAATGGTATATCACTTTTGACAGTTGATACCCATCCAACGGTTTTCACTGCAGGGATGACAGGGTCGTCGTCTTGCATCAAATCTAGAACGCCCCCCCCCCTCCACTTTACCGCCCCTTCTACATAAATAGACCTCAGTAAATATTTGCAAGAACGGTTGCTTACATATTGTCTCCGACTGGTTTTCACTTTTGTAAGGGTACCTAGATTAATTAACTGATGTCTTATGAAGGAGTTGAAGCCATATTGCGACACATATTGATAGGTAATGTAAAATAACAAAACAAGATGAATTACAAAACATAATCCTGGATTAAAAAATGTAAATAGACTCTCTCTTGTAACCAGTTTTGATTTTCACATTTCATGCAATTTAATTAAAAAAGCAATATTATACAATTCAATGCAATGCAATACAATACAATACAATGCAATACAATACAATACAATACAATACAATACAATACAATAAAATACAATGCAATACAATATGATATAATGTAATGTTATGTAATACGATACAAAATACTTTATAATGTTCGCCTAATAAATCACTATTCAAAATTTTGCTATACTTCAGAATTATGCATATTTCTAGCGCTTTTTTTTAACTTTTACTCAGTGAAAACAAATCTTAAACTGCATTTTTCTTGTAATTAATAATAATAATTATCAAATTAATTTGATCACATTTAGTTGACACAATCATCAAGCAAATAAACACTCAATTATTTAATTATGATTATTTAAATGAGACAATAGAGCATTGACTGCGAGTGGATTATATCAATTTTCTCCCTGGGAGGGCGGAGTGCGACCTGCTAGCGTCTACCCGCAAAGTCACCAGAACAAAAAACTACCACCGAGTTAACTTTCTAAACTTAAAAAGATTAAATATTGGTGAAGTACTTAATGAATGGGTTGAATAAATGTCAAAATAACACTCCGAGTTAGCAGAAATGCAAGAAATAATACGTCTTATTTTACAGGTTTAAGAGTTATTCTGTAAATTAGCTTGATTTGAGGTGTACTTTCTATAAGAACACCCCCAGGTGGAAGATTATGTCTGATCAGCCTGAAACCAAACCCATCCTGGTAGAGGTGCCGTCTTGATTAAATTCTACGTTTTTTGTCCAGTTATTAGACATGGTAAACAAGGGATATCAACCGTTCTTGGGAAGATGTTCAGAACATATTTAAAGAATCGTAAGACATGTGTTGTTTTAAAGGAATAAGCAAGTACAGAGAGTCAAAAAAATATTCAAAGATTTTTTAAAAAATACAAACCTATTTCTTGTAAAAAAGAATCGGGATATCTTATGCAATATAGAAGTTATTGAAGATTAAAGGCGAAGAAATGTCCAAGACATGAAAAGGGGAATACGCTTCAAAATAGAAGAATTGTGCCAAAATAAAATCAGAACTTTCGGACTTTTTATCATATAAAAATTGTAAAATTGTGATGTTTTTCGAAACTTACTCTCATCTCTTCACTATCCATTCTAATTTCTACATCTGACTGTCAAGAGATGAAAACTTAAAACGGTGATGGCCGTAATACATTTTCTCCTAGACTCACTTTTAAATGTAAAATGGTAAAATGACGAAGAATAGAAGAATATTAACGTACCTGAAATATTGGAAAATTTCTAAATTTCAACATAGAAATATCGAACCATTTTAAATAATTTAATTCATGATGTAAGATGTTTCAAGAATAAAAAATGAACTTGAAACGTAGATGGTATTGGTATTGGTAGGAAAACTGAGTTTCTTTATTTCTATATTTATTCATTGAAGTTCAAATTTAATTGTGACATAAGCAAAGTTTTTGACTATGTTCAACTTTTGTTTTTAAAAGTATCGTATCAACTCCGTTGTTTCCCTCTTTGCTTCCAATGTATCGCGTTTCGTCTACGTTTGTATCAATTATATCCTCATGTGAATGTGGAGAGAAAAACAACAAACTCGCGTGGCGTTTGTAAAATTGAAACACGATTTTCTTGACAGCGAGAAAAACAATCAGATAATTTTAGTATCAATTACTGAAACAAAAAATGAAGGCAATACCTCATGTGATGTTCAATTGACTTGTGTAATCTACGTTTGACTGTAAATAAACACTTCAGAATTAAAAATAGGATATTGAGACAATATAGTACAAACATTAAGTGTATTAATAGATGTTTTGCGAATTTGCCACCACCCTCGATGATTTAAAATGTTAAGCCCTGAAGACCATATTTTAGGGGATATTTCCAATATACGAAATTAGAGTTACCCATTTTTTGTAAAATCGTATAGAGTCAATTTTTGTGAACTCTGACTTGCAAAGAATGGAAATATAGTTAACCCACTGACCTTGTGACTAGAAAATTTGAACTCTTTAACTACGGATCCTGAACTATTCATTCAGAAAATCGGACCAATGCTTTAAATTGATAAAACAACAGTTAGCGTTTATTTATGTTGGATTTCTATATCCTTTCCAACACACGACTGCCTCTTTGTACCACCTTTTAAACAGTTTTCTATAATTAGGGGGCATAGTCTATTCAACCAGAAATGCTCAAGATTGTGCCCAAGAAATCATAAAGCAGAGAATATGTTTGGAGACTTTAAGGGCCTGATTAAGCCTGTAAAATTCTGCCAAAGGCGCACTTGAGTTGACCCTTCATCTTTCAGTTGATAACAATATAGGAGGTGTATTGAATATAATGAGAGTGGATTTTAGTAATTAATAAGACCAAATACCTAATTACATTTCAGAGAATCTCATTATGTTTCCAAAATTTATTTTACCTGAATAACTTCCATGCTTGTGTTTTCAAGCTGTTGCCAAATATGATAATCTATTTCATTAGCTCATGGTGAATTGTTAGCTATTGTATCGATGTCGTTCTGATTTTGGTAATCCCTCGTAGATCACATTCAAAATTCAATTTGAGTTATTTCAATAAATTGTTTAATTATATATTAAATTGTTATAATGGTCGTATTGATTATGAGTCTTTAGAAAAATCAGAAATTCAACTCCAGTCCTGTAATCTTATCTCAATTCAATACAAACCATGACAAAATGATAATTTTCAAATTTGATGATTGAGGAATTGAGACGTAAGATTGACAAGAGATGTTTCAGGGTGAATAAAGCTTATTAGTGTCTTAATTAATACTCGTAGTTATTAATGTTCCAAAGTTTCTCTTCCAACCGCAAGTGAGCGCTAGCCGAACTTCAACAATCTAGGGGGTATTATCAAAAGTGAAGATTTTCAGAGGAGATCGAGAGCTGTAAAACGATCGAGATGCGGCTAACGATTAAAAACTCTTTTATCGCCACAGGTATCCATGTGAGTGAAAAAATATTGCAAGTGTTTATGTAGCCCCCGGGATGTAGCCATTACTGAATGTGTTATTGCATTTTGAATCAATTCAAATATAAGACAATATGTCTCCTTATCTTATAATACTGGAATATTGAGTGTCACCTTTACCAAATTCATTTGGTGGGCGGGACATGGGCACTAGGCTTGGCACGCGACCATACATAGGCTTAAAGTATCACTTCTTCCTCATGAAGTCTCATTTTATCACATTGCAACTTGTTTGACTTCAAATTAGACATTTCTGATTAGTCCCAGCGACAGATTCCTTAAAAGTGCCCAAGAAAAACAGATTGAAATTCATCCCTTTATTACAACCTACTTAGCATTTACGATGTGATTGGATCCCGGGGATTGGATACTTATAAGATGGTTACAACTAGGAGGAATCGGTGATACGAAGTTGCAGGATTTCCCATTTATTTGATTGTTAACTATTTTCTCTGGTTGGGTGTACTTGAGACGATGTTGCAGAAGACGTAAAAGAATCCAACATCATTATACCTGGAGTCAAGACATACAAATAACAGAATCTAATTAGTAACCGGAAAAAGATGACCAGCGAAATGAGGTACTAGTTTGGAACGCATTGTATATATAGTTAAAATCATAATAAAATAACAAAAAAACTTGATTGATATCTATTCTTAATGTAATAATTTTTTTATCACAAAGTTTATTCATAAGGATAGGTCAAACGATGTACCATATGAAGTTTACAATTCGAAGATACTTTTAAAACTTTAAAATGATTATTTAGGTCTACAGATTATGAGTCGCACCAGGCTGTCGGATGCGAGGATGTCTGGAGGGAAGACGAACGACCCCTGGTGGAGAACGATTATTCTCGCACAGCTGACATCGGGGTGGGGACTAATTTTCCTCCACTGTGCCCCCTCGAATTGGACTCACTGTCAAATTTTTACCCCATAGGACCATGTACGCCTAATTATAAGTGAGTTACATAAGTTATGTATATTAATCTTCAATTTTCTTTTGTAAACTTTTGCCGTTTTTATATTATTTCAATTCATGTTCTTTTTGCGTTTTATCTACTTTAAACTAAGCTGCAATTTAAAAACCGAGATTGTGTTTTGTTTCTTGGAATAGCTGCCAACTTTAAGGTCTCTATCTCCATACCATCGGGTGCATTGGATTTATTCCGGTTACACCAAACATGTTGCATTGCTTATTTTATTCTTCGACTATGGTTTTAGGAGATCATACCCAAACAAAAAGAGTTTGTATATTACATAAACTATTTTTCATGGGTCTCAGACGCTGTTCGCTCAACTTACAATTCCAAATAAAATATTTGTTAATATTATGTCAAAGAGTGGTTTGGAATTTGAAAAAACAATATTGAACATGTGTAACAAATAATATTTGTTGTTAGTATCAACTGGGAACGAATTCCGTGTCAGTATTCTATGTTCAGATTTCACACTCGTTTGATCTCCTTAAAAATGAACAAATCGGGGAATTCTTTATAAGCTTTAAATAGGGTATTAATTGATTTATCGAAGATGATGCGGCGTTACATCTTTATAGATAACTTTTTTATGTTCTTGGTGAACGCGCGGACGCCAAAGAAAAAGTTTGTGTGTATAAGGAATTTTAGCGTAAAATTTTATGCCGCAAACTTTCCATTTGATTAACTGAATTAAATTAAATGTACATTAAGTGATTATCTTTTTATTTTGTCAGTAAATCGTAGAATCAAGTATTCTATGCTTAACATCAAGTGTTTTGTGTTTGTGAATGGTTACTTTAGTTCTTTTCACACTGGAAGTGAATAACTTCTACTTCTTTCTCGTTAATTTAGCATCAAGAGTATATTGTAACAGTAGCACAACTAAACACCATTTACAGACTAAAGCAAACCACTCAATTAAAGGAATTAGGATTGCAAAAAATCAATGACTATTTAAGCGATTGGACATAGCTCAGCTCCTCAAAAATAGGTAATAGATTTTACTAAGTATAATTGCTTTTAATATAAAAAGAGAAAGAATAACAATTTGTCTTGGAGATTTTTGTCTTTGTTTTAGCAAAAAAGAAAAGTCAAAATGCGTTTATTGTTCAATATTCATAAAACAAAATTAATTATTTTTTGTACTCAAATTGCAAGCATTGACATTTGCATTTCAAGAATAGACGCTCATTACTATTTACAAACCGTTATGGCAAAAAGTAAATATATCTTATAATTTATTTGTGTGCCTATAATTATTAAAAAGAAGAAACATTTTTCTAGTACTGAATCCAAAGAAACAAAAGTTCATCATCGTGTTGGGCAGGGTGTGTTGGGTGAGTGTGCAAGTGCCGTAGCTACGTGTACGCAAAATACGCACATGCGTAAATGACCACCACTCAATTAATTGTTTAAGAGAAAAATATAATTATGTTTGTAAAGTATGCATAAATAAAATCGATCTTCAATGAATTAAGGTTTTATGTATTTTCAATATTATTACACATTCGATTTCGAGCGATTTTTTTGTGAATAAGTACATTAGATTAATAATTACTGAACGGCTAAAATATGTTTGATTTCTCAAAATTAAGCATGAATGACCGTCGTTCAACAGACTCGGATTAAAGTATATAGGAATGAGATTACGGTAAAGAAGTACTTGCATACGTTTCTTCATTTTTTCATCGAGGTCTGTTATATTTTTCAACAAAGCTTTCCAGGTTGAAGTCCTTCTGGTTTCACGTGCAATGATAATTTGAAATCAAGCACGCCTATACAGTGTATTACAACACACATACCACGAGGCAGTTACCTTCCCGGGATTACCTTGCCCAAATCAAATCTAAAAATGTTCGCGTGTAGACGTTTGCAAGTGCGAGACGATTGTCGTTGTTTTGTTAATGGTTATTCGAATATAATTGAGAAATGGATTTACTAGTCATGTTCATGTTTCATTCATGTAAAATATTAGAACAAATTGTACATTTTTGACTAGTTGTGAGTGTTGACACCTAAGCAGTCTAGTCTCGTGTGTTAGGCTGTGGTCGAGTGTGCGGAGGGATATGGAGGTCCCGCGTTCGAGTCCCAGGTATTACATTGTAAATAATAACACTCGGTCCGAAGGTCCAACCGGATGCCGGCCCTTGGCTTGGACGGATCCTCTTTTGCCTGGAGACAGATTGTGAGACTGTAGGTTGGTTCCTCCACTGACGGGGTATAGGAGACGCCGGGAGTCATAAATGGCTTTTCACAAGTTACTATTTTCAGACTGCGATTCAAATATAACTAGATAGGGTATTAACGAGAAGAACTTTCTTCAATAAATTCGAATGACTTTTGACTTCATGCAATGATGAATTACTGAATATCTCAACAATTATAAATTGAAAGCTTTTTTAACATATAAATCATGATTTGTAGAATGATTTGGCAATTCAAAAGATTTGTGTATTGAATAATTGTGTACACCCCTCAAAATAACATAGAAAATATATTCCTCGTCGACTCACGTTTTAAAACCGTACTTTAACTGAAATTAACAAATACATGTCAAATAGCCTGACCATTGAACTTACAGAACTATATTGTATGTGGCCTTTATATTTACCATTGGGATTTTATTTGTTTCAGAGACTTCACTATATTTAAGGAGAAGGGACCACACGATATCGCAGACGCATTGCTTTCCCTCAAGCACGCTGTCGTTCATCCCTCAATGACCGGTCAATTATCCCCCATCTCACCGGGTCTACCCTACCCCCAGACTACACCAACAACCGGGGGATTCCACCACACAGCAGGATCTGGCCCTAACATGCAGGCATGCGGCGCCTGGTCCTCCAGTCCCGGTGGGTACGGTCAGTACATTGACCAAGCAGTCCCTCATCATCAGCCTCAACCGGGGATGTTTCCTTCCATGAGCGTCAATCTGTCGATGAGCATGAACGTTGGTATGCCCCATGGTCTTGCGCCCCAGTACAACGTTGGAACTCAAGAACAATGGTGCCCTCCACCCGTTCCGCCCCTCGATAACATTCAGCAACAACCACAATATAATAACAACAACAACAACAACAACACATATCAACAGACCCAATATACTTATAATCCAAATAGCAACACATATAGCGCTTCATATTCGTTCTCCCATCATCACGATATGACGGAGAACATGCGCACAGTGTACCGAACGAACGAGCGATTCAAGGACATCACAAAGATGTACGCATCCAGTACGTTGAAGCGATCCCGTTTGCACCCGAAAGGTCAAATGCGAGGGACATTCGGAGAGAACGGAAAGGTGAATATGTGTAGGATATGCGGAAAGATGTACGCGCGGCCGAGTACCTTGAAGACGCACATGAGAACGCACTCGGGGGAAAAACCCTACCGATGTGGAACCTGCCATAAATCCTTCTCACAGGCCGCCAATCTTACTGCACATTCCCGCACTCATAGCGGTGAAAAGCCATTCCGGTGTCCGATGTGCAATCGACGGTTCTCACAAAGCTCATCCGTCACGACACACATGCGGACACATTCTGGGGAGCGTCCCTACCGATGTCGCCTCTGTAAGAAGGCTTTCTCCGACAGCTCGACGCTTACCAAGCATCTCCGGATTCACAGTGGAGAGAAGCCATACCAATGTAAACTCTGTCTTTTGCGGTTCTCACAGTCCGGCAATCTCAATAGGCACATGAGAGTACACACGAATAACAATTGAACACCATAACTCGTCTGGACTCGCTTCACTGAACTCTATCAATTACAATGCACTCGTGCCTTCATGACTATTATGTCCAATTTTCTGTTTTTACAGGATCCTTGTACCGTTTCTCTTAGAATGATACACCAATGACATGTATTAGATGATTCACCATACCAATAAAGTTGTGATATTCAAGATGGAATAATATGTTAACATATTTAAAACTATGCCCCTAACTCAGTGTTTTTCATAGAATTGAGACTATTTATGATATTTACAAAAATTGCCAATTTTGTTTACAGTTACCTAAGGTACGACATCACTGTATCCATGGTTTTTAGAAATTCTTAACTTTACATGTTTTTGTTCATGACCCTGTTCCACTAATTCAATTGCTTCAACAAAATGTCATTTCAAATTGTTTCAATGACATGTAATTGAAAATATATTATACAAGCGAGGGCAAGAAATATTTTTTAATAGTATACTGTCAAAGATACTGCCAAAGATACTGTCAACTCTGAAGAAACAGCAACACTGTACAAAAATAGTATTAATACATTAAAAATCAAATTATAATAGGCCTATGAAAAATGTTTTTGTTTAATGTGAAATAAATGTGGTAATTTGTCCTAATATACAATTTTAAAGGTGAGAATGTCAGCTACATGACCTGCTGGTTACAAAATTGTATTATTATCCATTTCTTAATTATTTTTTGGATAAATTCAAGCTAGTGAGAATTAAACCAACCAAGTCAATGTATCATAGGTTCTTTGATTTACCAAAAGGTGGCATGTCAAAAATGAGACAAATTCTTTTGAGACTAGTTTTCTCAATAATAAAAGCATCTACTACAGACCATTAATATTTATGACACTTTACATAGATGGATATAACATAAATAGTGAAAATATCCAAATACAGAAAAATAAAAAAATTAAATAACAGGAAATATTTTTTAAATTCATTAATCATAATATCATATTATATTTTAAAAAAATTATATTTCATTTCTCATCTCTATATAATACAAAAACAATTAGATTTACTAATATACTTGTATATTGCTTCTCAGTTCTCATCCAAATACACTAGATACACGCGGTCCTAACTTCGACCGTTAATTTGAATTTTTGACCTACCAGATGCTCGAAAATCAAAGATTGCAAGTCTCATACTGCACCGTTTTTCTTCAATATATTATACCATTAAAAGCAAAACAAAATTGCCTTTCTGTCGGTGCATTACTTTATTGTAAAGAGTCCCTCGTTCTAGCAGCGTTTTGGCCCCCAGCTGTTAGAAGGCCTTCCTACAGCTGGGGACCAAAATGCCGCTGGAAGTAGGGACTCTGTTTAAGAGAATAATGTACCAACAGAAAGGAATTTTTGTTATGCTTTGAATGCAACAAGTTTGAAGACAAACGGTGCAGTATGAGACTCGTAATCCTTGATTTTCAAACATCCAGTAGATCAAAAATTCAAATTAACGGTCGAAGTTAGTACCGCGTGAGATAATACTTATCGATTCCTACGACCACTTTAGAAACATAATGGGGGCCGTAGGATAAGACAAGGTAATACAATTTCATCAAAAATTTCTAACAAACACTAATCTAATTATAAGAATATATTTTTGTTAATTTCACCATCTAAATAACAAAGAAAATGCTGATTGAATTGTCAATTATGCATATTGCAAATTAATAATTTTACTTTTGATATCAATAGGTGATACCAAAGTTCTAAAACATTCCTCAAAAAGCAAAATACTGATGGACTTGTTGCCAGTAAAAATAATCTAAATTTTCATGGCATTGTCTGAAACTTGATTGACAGCGACTTCAATTGATTTACATGTTAGGGTTGCCATATTAAGTATTATGTAATGCATACTATTGACAAATGATAAGACCCATATTCTTCATACATGGTTCAATTAATAAATGTACAGGGTGCCAAATTTTGTTAGTACCTCAGCGTAAATACTCGCATCTGATTGGTCAATTAGCGGTCAACATTTTTGCCTGTACCCCACCTGTGCATCATGGGATGACCGAATGGAGAGGTCAACAATTGTATGATGCTCTCCCCCTGTAACTTTAACATCCACATAATGTTGCATAACTTTTTTGTCTGCAAGATATCTGAGTTGATCTTTACCACATTTAAACTAGGCTTCATGGAGCAACTCTACAAGAAGTTTCAGATGACTAGCTCAACTAGATGTAATTCTATGCTCAAAATTTCATACCCTTGAAATTAAGGGCGAGAACATGTTTATTTGACACCCTGTACATGTACAATTGTATTGTAGAAAGGAATGTGCTGAATACAACAGCAGTTCCTGCATACTCGCAAATATTAGTGCCTGCAATAGCTACCCTAAATTACCCTGCTTGGTCCATGGCCCAAGGTCAATCTTTGGTTGAGTATAAAAGATTGTTATCAAAATAAATGTCTTTGTGAACCCCCTTTCCTTCCATTGAGATCTCATGAAATCACATAGTTTCATTCTGTATATGTGCGTATGTTCTTTGTGCAATAATTGTACCCTTTATTTACTTATTTATATATTTAATGATTATATCTATCGGGGCTCGAAATCAAATTTCCGTAACCATATTACTCCTAAACCATATGCCCAAATAAAGTGTTATATGCACAAAAATATATGATTTGTATTGCATGTGTGGTAAAGAGAGGCTCTAAATCACGTTTCTAATACCACAGTATTCCTTAACAATGAGTCTACATAATTATGAATGTGCATCACTGGCTATGTGTATAAAATAGCCCATGCAAAAATATGTTCAATTATAAGTACTTTTGATCAGCCTGAGTAAATGACTAAAAATCCTTATTGTTTTATAACCACGTGTTAGTCAACTAATATATCACTAAGAAGACCACTACTTTATTACATGTACAGGGTGTTCCTAAAGTAAGATGGAAACTACTGTAAATATATATGAATCTAGCTATTCATCTTACTTTATGATCACCCTGTATATTTCAATGATCATTGTCTTGAAATTATCGCTGTTACAAACACTGGAAGGGTCCCATTTCATAATTGTATTCATACTTTGTTTAAATAATTAGCTTTGAGGAAGCGACGTAATATTTTCCCGCTTGCTGACTTTGGTATTTCACTGACTATTTCTACTCCCCCTCTCAGTTTCTTAGTTGGTGCCACTTTTTCTGAAATCAAATAAACCTGAATTATTCAGAATAAATAACAAAAGATGTTGTTATTCAGTATAGTTTTGGAAATATCTGGCATACAATGCAAATGCATGTATGGTAAAAAAATATTTCTTAACAATGTAAAATATCATTTGGAGATATTCATCCTACCGAGATATCTGACTCAAATGTTTGATTTGTACATGTACAGGTGTACATGTACAAATGTACAGTACTGTCAGTACAGTACAAATCTGTACAGGTGTACATGTACAGATTTGTACAGGTGTTTGAGGCACAGATGAATTTTATGTTAATGCAGAGGGACAACTTTCGGAACTGTTCAACTTACTAAAACGCTTAATTAGCTTCAATTTGCAAAAAGTTCAACTTGAAACTAGCTCTTTGATTTACTGTATACTATTAACTTATATCATTTACAAATATACAATATGATACAGTGTACTGTATATAGATTATGGGGTCATGTGATCTAAGTTTGGCTGTGGAGGGGACACAGTCATTATGAGACACCCTGTACATGTACTTACGTTCTATATAACTGGCGACTTCATCAGGGTCCATATCCTGTCCTGGGTTGAGCACTACATAAGCTCTAGGGAGTTCTCCAGCTCGCTCATCTGGGATACCAATCACTGCAGCATCAGCAATACTGGGGTGTTTCACTAGCAAGTCCTCTAGCTCAGCAGGAGCCACCTAAAATAGGAAATCATATGACATTCAACAAGTCCAATCCATATAGGAGAGACAGACTCTATTGTAGTAGAAATGATGATGAGCTGAGAGATCATCTCAACACTGAATCTTCTAATTTAAGGCTGAAGAATTCTATGAGATGGATTTGTATTGAACTCAATGTGAATTCTGGCTGCTTTCTTACAACAGGCTAAATAAATTAAAACAAAAAGCAAAATTATTGGAAATCATAAATTTAGTATGGAAAAATTGAAAAGTCCCTCAAAACAACAGGCGTTTTTGTGAAAAAAACTGGTGAAAACCGCCTGTTGCCTGCTGCTAATAAAACCCATGGTGTGTGACATATTTTTGGGATATTGTGGATTTGTTCACATTATGACCTGATGTGCTTTATGGGTTTCTTATTTTCACTGTGTTGTAATGTCTTTTGGTCTTTTCCATTTTGGCAAACATGTTTCAAATAATCCATCTAGTTCACACATATTATCTTGTGGTCTAATTATCAATGAGAGGAACTGGTGAGTTAAAAAGAATATAACATCCTATGAACAAGGTATTAACGTGAATGTGCCATTTGTTACAGATGCCAACTCCAAACACCTACCACTAAATGCCAACCGGCACCAATAAGGATAATATGTCATCACTTGTGTTGGTGGTGGACATAATAAGCACATCACTAAGGTCATATCTTACCTGAAACCCTTTGTATTTGATGAGCTCCTTAAGTCTGTCTACGATGTAGGTATGGCCATCATCTGCAAACCTGGCAATGTCTCCTGTAACATATAACAAGGCATTAACATACAAAATGCCACCATCTGCCATTTGTTACAGACACTGACCACCAAACACCAATCCCTGAGCCCCAACTACTGAACACTGTCCACGAAAAGTTGCAAACTATAACAATATGTCACCACTTGTTGAGTTTAGTGATATGAACCACATCCAAGATGAGATTCAATTCGACAAATAAAACTGTAAATCTGTATTTTTTTTTAAATGACATGTATGCTCACCAGTATGTAGCCATCCATCGATGATGGTTTTGTCAGTTGCCTCTTTATTCTTTAAGTACCCTTTCATGACCTGAGGTCCTCGGACACAAAGCTCACCATCTTGGTTAGGTCCCAGTTTCTCACCAGTCTCTACATCCACAATCTACAATAATCAAGTGTATGATCTACAATAATTGAGTGTATGATCTACAATAATTGAATGTATGATCTACAATAATGTTTGAGTGTTTGTCTACAATATCTAAGTGTTTGATCAACAATATTCGAAATATTATTTTCATTAAATATACAGATTCAAGAAAATCAAGCATGATTTTTCATTTTGTTATTTTATTTTTTATCCATATGATTTATTGAGACATTACAAAACACTAGTAGCAGCTTTGTATTGCAGCTGAGGTCCAACATAAATTGTTTGAATTATTGAGTTAATGAAAGCTTTGTTCCATTAAATCATTTAGCAAAGCATTCAATTATTGTAAAATATATATACAATAAGATCCATAATTGTAATCACATACATGATTCTACAATACATCATACAATCAGATCCCTAATTCTACAATACACATACAATCAGATCCAAAAATTGTATATCATACATCCAAACAGATCCATCATCCTACTATACACTTACAGCCAAATACTCTCAGATCAATTATTCAATATCATACTTCAATCAGATTCAAATCAGTTATCCAACAAGACACAACCAATCAAATCTACAACAGACAACATATATCCTGTTTTGTTTAATACTGCAAAGTGATAATCAAAACTGTCATGTCATGCTTTTTCTCATTTATTGCAAAGTGCAAATATAAAAAGTGTGTACTTATTTGCCTGCCCAGTTAACTAGCCATGTTCATGACATAGTATCGCTCATATATATAGATCCAAATGAGGAAATACAGTAGCAGGATGTACACAACTAATCCAAACAGTGTTATTTTGTAACATATTTGCTAATTTATCAACCACATTTTTAAACTATTAAAGAACTACTTTAGTATGTTAGTATGTTTTAGTTTTATTCACTTTATCCAATGGTTTACTGAACAAAGTCTGAGAAATCTTGGTCTCAAGCATTTCAGCGTGGTATTTATCAGAACCCAACCCACCTTAGCATCTGTGTTAGGCACAGGCACCCCAATGGAGGATATTACCCAGTTTTCCTTGGGGTTGCAATGAGTAACAGGACTAGTTTCGGTCAAGCCATAGCCTAAAGTGTGATGAAGCATATTATAGGTAAATTGAAATTGTTATATGCAGTTTTAAGACAATAAAACGAAATGGTGCCACATTTATTACCTGATGAAGAATCATATTACGGTTCAGTTAAATAATTGTTTTAAGGTTCAATTGCTGAGAATATGTCCATTGTTGAAAATCTAAAGATGAAATTATGGGTTGCTACTGTTGGCTTCCTCTTTTTATCTAACTTGGTAGATGAATTCTATTTGGATTCCCGAAAGCAATAAATGTGACAGCATTAAAATATAGGGTGCATGCGTATATGGGGGAAATTCTGAATATTACAGTGTCAACAGTGAGCATCATACTCAAAAAGCAAAATATATGCATTCACCCTACTTATAAATCGCACACTGAATAAAGTTGGTTAAAAACAGTTCAATTTACAAATGTATTCTAGCGCTACTTTAAATATTACTCTAATTGTTTTTTCTAATCAAAATGGCGTAAATGGTTAGTAATAAAAAAGAGTAAAAACATAAGAAGCAGAAAGACCAAGATGTCACCGCAATGAAAGCATATGTCAAATTCAATTCAAGCTTTTTATTTTGCATTTCAAGTTAACAACTAGTAAAAGATATAAAGTTTCAATGCAGCTATACCAATAATTGCAAATTCAGAACATATCAAGAATCTTTGAATTTGTCACAGTTCTGCTTAAGATATTCTAAAAAGCAACAGAAAATATTTTTTTGGAGGAAGAAAGATCTCTATAAGATAAGGGGGATTGAAGGTATGTAATACTATGCCCTTATTCTGAAGCATTGCTATTCAAGCTTTTGTTGTGCATTTTAAAAAAGGATGTACAGCAAAACCTGTATATAGTGAACACCAATGGTGCACAAAAGTGTTCACTGCTCTCTACAGAGAGTCTCTGTAAAATGTGTCCTGGAGTGGTATTCACTAACACAGGTGTTCACTAGAGAGAGGTTTTCACCATGACAGGTTTTACTGTGTATCTATATTCTAAGCTCTCTGGAGACCTGGAAAGAATTAGGAGAGAAGTGGATGGTTAAAAGTAATTTCCGATCCCCTGCAAGCCCATTTTTCTTGAAATAGTAGCTAAAACCATTTATATACAGATACATATAAAACTGTCCATATTTAGCAAAGCATTGGGAAATGTTTTGATATTTTGATCCATTTCCTTTGATCAAAATAAATACACTAATAAACATGCAATATTTCTATGATACAGTAAACAAAGAAAGTAAAGGACTACTAAAAGAAGAAAATATATTATTAGTTTTAACAAATATTAAATTACACAAAATACAGTAATGAAAAAAATTCTTCTTCAATTTCTTTTTCTCTGTTATCTTCCAGAAGATTTTTGAATATCATTCTACACCTACAACTGACAGTTTTTAACTACATTATTTGGGAGTTTAAACTTGCATATAAAATCGAAACGCCAACCTATATGTATGACCAATCAGCCATACAAATGCATCGCTTAAATATTTTCCATTCATGATGAGGTTGTGAAAAACATTGCAAGCTTAAACTCCCTATTATCTATGTTAACTTGTGTAATTAAAGTGCAAAGCAAAACTCTAAATGCTATTGAATGCCCATGGCGTAACTAACAAAAGTGAGGTCTACATTAGTGATGTCAGAATAATCTTGCCATGTGCCAACTAACAAAAATGGACTGTACTGTAAGCTGAGACCATCATAAAAGGGATTGGAAAGTCTATGCGAGACTTGTAACTCCCGCGCCATGCTGCATGGTGGCGCCACTTGTATTTTAAAGCGCTCTTCAAAAAGAAGATTGAATCTTCATGGCTGATTTACCTATGTTAGTCTCAGACTGTAAGTGATCTCAAAATATTCTTGCCATCAATTTGACGAGGATCTTCTCATTTACAGGGTGGGGATTAATCAAGCAATTTATATTTAACTCTTGTGGAACTGTTTCATGCATATATAATTGGAAATTCAATTTTCTTTACAATACTATATTATAAATGTTCATACTTGATTTATAAGGAACAGTTCATACATCCAGGATATGTTTAAAAGTACTCATTTTTTAATAAAAAAAAACATGATTTAGCACTCAGTCATCGTTAAAGGGTTAAATAAGGAACATTATTAGTTTTTGGCTTTTTGGCATAAAAGAAATTATTTAGTGTTTTAACTAAGATGAAAGATAACAGCATACTGTACATGTACAATTGAACATAAACATCCAACAACAAAATTAACTATTGGGCAATTGTTAAAGATAGGGATACATCAATAAGAAAAATTCCCATTTGTTAAAAGCTTATTGGCATTGTTTGCAAAGAGCTCAATAAATGCATTATTTCAAAGTGCTTTTTAAATAAATGTCATGCACAATTAACACCCAGAAAACACATTATCCAGAAACTCAAACACATGTACAAAACTCCATTGATTGTGATCTGACACATCTCAAGCGTGAACACCTCTATGAATGCTTTTGGCAAGTACTAATAGAATTTGGATCAAATATCACTGTACATGTAACGGTAGGGCGTAAATTGTATGAGATGCCAACCCTATATATATGACTTCGGAGTTCCTTCTGCGGGAAAAAGCATGAACATGTCACAAAAACAAATTATCATATTTGTAATGAAATACAACTTTCTACATTTGCAACAACTATACTCCATCTCAAAATCATACATATCTCTCCACACAGCTCAATTCAACCACAAGAATCCATGACATACATATCTCATATGCGTTTGGAGGCTGTGATTTAATCACAAAGTAGTGACATGAAATGGAAACAACAGAAAGTTCACTAACAGATATAAGGCAAAACACTTGGTTAGTTTGTCTTGAAAAATCTGTTAATTAGAATTAAAAGCCAATGATGATATGTTTGAAAAATAGACATACTGAGTGGCAAACAGAACTGTTATTCATAAATATATGTCTACATAAGAGTTGTAGTTCTTTAGTTGTTAATGTTAACTAGATAATATTTATAAATCAAACTTAAAAAATATGTAAAAGAATAGGCAGCTGATCCAGAGTTCTAAAGCTTATAGTGTAAGAAAAAAGGACTACAAAAAATAGATTTTATAAATAAAATCTTTTATGAAAAGACTGCAATTGTAAAATGAACCTTTTCTTCAGTTTCCTGTATAACAGGTCCCACTGAGTCTAGTTTGAAGTCAGTTTGAGGATTGACATTGATAGCAGGAGATGTCTCTGTCAAACCATATGCTACAATGAATAAAAGAAATTATGATTATCATAAAACTATATAAAAGTTTGAAGTTCTGAAACACAAAAAAAACAGATTTTGTTCATTTAAAATAAATACTATTACAGATTTTAGTCATTCAAAAATTTTCTTCATTCAATGCAGATTTTGCTCATTACATTGATTTGGAGATTTCACTACAATTGACCATTTTCTTTATAAATGGAAAAATAGATGGCAGCAGAGGTATTGGTAGGGTCGGAATACAAGATTTTGAAAACTCAAATCATAATATAATGAAATATTCGAGATAAAATTGCTAACAACAGGATTTCAGACAATATCATTTCCAATTAGGAACAAATACACCAATCAGTGACCGGATACCTTGTCTGAATTTAGGGATATTAAAACGTTCCATAAACCCCTCTCCCAGTGCAGCACCACAAGGAGCTGCTCCAGTTAAAGCTGTGTGGACGCAAGAGAAATCCACACTGGCTGCCTCAGGGTTCTTGCTGAGGAACAACACAATGGGTGGTACAACATGGAGGAATGTAGCCTGCAATTAAGCTATACTGTACATCAATGTGGTTGAGAAGGCCTCAAAACTTGACGAATGACAGTTCCGAAGTCTTTCGAAGTCTGTGGGCATTCATCAAAAGGCATTTACTTATCTCTGCCCGAACAATTTACACATTTCCAAAATAAATGCTACAAAAAATGTTTAAATCATCACCCTCCATATGACTTGAAGCCATATATTTGCTGTCAGTGAAAGTTGTGTGCATGTGTTCAGTTACATCTATAAAGATAAAAAGTTAAGAGTTAACATTTGTATATATTCGCATCCAGTTTTCCCTAATGGTTCAATGGTGAAGTTGCAAGAATAAATATAGCAGGGTACAATCACAAAGATTATTGGTTGGGTTCAATCACATAGATTATTGGTTGGGTTCAATCACAAAGATTATTGGTTGGGTTCAATCACAAAGATTATTGGTTGGGTTCAATCACAAAGATTATTGGTTGGGTTCAATCACAAAGATTATTGGTTGGGTTCAATCACTAAGATTATTGGTTGGGTTCAATCACAGGTTGGTTATTAAAGCACAAGGAACAGGTCTGGTTTGCAATAAATGAATGCATCAAACAGAATATGATTTCATCATAATCACAAAGGGGAATTTTCAAAGCAAGGGCAATTGGTCAGATTTTTATCACAATCACATAATCAAAGCACAGGCAAATGATCAGATTATCATTGCAATTTATGATTGTATCACAGCAAATATAATTATTTCATAATTAACAAGGTAGGTGCTCTATCCAGTTTTTGTGCATGTCAAAGGGTACATTATATCATGGATACGAAGGAATGGACTGGAATCTACCACTGACTCAATGGTCTCGCTTTTGTTTATAAGTTTATCCACCAGTTGAAAACATTCCAGAGTACATTAGGGTCTCAGTGATGATCATTAGTTCAATATGCAAACAAATAATATCATTTTAAAGATTGAGAAAATTATAGATGGCTAGATTTTACCATTTCACGGCTAGATCAAAAGGAACTCTAGCACAAGCCACAGAGAGTTTTCACATTGTACTACTTCTGATATGGTCAGATACAGAGTGACATATTTGAACACTAGAACTTGAATTGAAAGAAAACTAAATTTGGCTAGGTCAGCCTCCTAAACGATTCCCATCCATTTCTTCAAGTGCTTGATTATACCCATTTATCATAAGCAAGGTGTCTATACTGTATAACCCAACTATACCTTGTCGAAAGTTAGGTATTTTTGTACGTTCAATAAAGGCATTTCCCAGAACTTCCCCACAGGGCGCAGCACCAACAAAAGCAGTGTCTACGGAGTCCAAATTGATTTTGCTTGTTGTTGGAATTTGTGACATTAGTAGGGCTATAGGTGGCACTACATGCAAATAGCTAGCCTATGACAAGAAACATGAATGCAAAATAATGTTTAAACCTTTGAAAAATGTGCTAATTTCGTTGAAGGGCACACTTTTGGGAAAATATGAATGATATAGAATCCAGTGCTGAAAGTTAATCAAATTCATTAAAATAAACATACATGCAATTAGGTTACTATGGTTAACATTCATTCTACAATACTCTATTTCGGGGCAGTGGACAATGGTTATAAAGATTCCATCCATGATTTAAATCATAAAATACCAAACCAGACCATGATGTTACAATTGCATTCGGAGCAGGATTCAAGGGTTATTGAAGGGGTCCTCAAAAAAACATTTCCTGTTGTGCTTTACGAATCACTTTTGTCAAAGTAACAAAATGACTTGTATCAATCATAATGACTTGTATCAAACATAATGACTTGTATCAAACATATAACTTGTAGGTATAATGCAAAAAACTTGACACATATGCATATCTCTCATTGCGGGAACATCATTTACAACTCTGAAAAGTACCTTGCCGTAACCTATCACATTTCATTTTCACTGTGAAATCTTCTGCTAAAGTTTTCCCCAGTGGAGCGGCCGCACAGAAGACATCATTGACAGTGCTTATATCAATATCATGTACTTCAGGGCTTTGGGTCAAGAATAAGACTAGAGGGGGGATAATATGCAGCATGGTTGCCTAGTAAATGAGAATCATGTGATATAAAACTGGGTGAAAATTATTTCATGAAACAAATAACCCGGACTATATATAATATCTACTCACTGCAATTGATGTACAGTACAGTATAGATTCAAGATTACAAATTTAACATGTTCAACATTATAGATTCAAGATTACAAATTTTAACATGTTCAACATTATAGATTCAAGATTAGAAATTTTAACATGTTCAATATTACATACTCAGTAATCAGTTTACATAAAAGTGAAAACTAGGATTATCTGTAGTTATCTATATTAAATGTTCATTAATTTAATGACAAAACATTACTTACCCTGTGTTTTTCAATGCTATTGAGATAAACCTGAGGATCAAACTTTGGCATGGTGACAATCTTTGAGCCACAGATAAGGCCAGTAAACAGGACAACCACCTGACCATAGATATGGAAGAATGGTAGCACTCCCAGGAAAGTTTCATTATCATAGCCCATCATGTATGGCTGCCTAAAATGGGAAAATGAATCTAGGATAACTTATTCATCTCCAGAACACCACCTTTCCACCTAATTAATAATGAAAATAGAAATATTAGATAGAAGAAGAAAATAGCTTCAAACTTTTTTTATTTCAAACTTCTAGCTCAATTTTGAAGGAAGTCGCATTAATTTTTGCAAAAATTAAAAATAAATCTTTAAAAAATTGTTAAGAATCTGATGTTTTTAAGCAACTCTCAACAGCCAATCAAAATAATTCCTCTTTTGCGATGCAGCCCTGCTGAAAGGAGAACTGAAATCTGTTGTAAAATATTTTAGTAAATACAGAGTACATAACTTTTTAATTGTTCATACATATAGTGCTTTGACAATTACATAATAAAAAATAAGATAAGAAAGGATGCATGTAGACCCATATACTAAATCATTAATTACCTTAGTTGCTCAATGTTGGAGATGATATTATAATGTGACAACATAACACCCTTTGGTAGCCCCGTAGTTCCACTTGAATAAGGTAGAGCGAGTAAGTCATTGTTGGTATCTATCTCAATGTTTTCTGTGTACGCTGACCTGTCGTCATCCATCAGTTGAGAGAATGGCTGGAACCCTTCACTCTCTCCAAACACAATCATTTGCTGCAAAATCAAACCAAAGAATATTAATCATGATGAAGGGAGACTAAATATATATGGTATCTGGTTGAGAGGCTGGAACCCTTCACTCTCTCCAAATACAATCATTTGCTGCAAAATCAAAGCAAAGAATATTAATCATGATGAAGGGAGACTAAATATATATGGTATCTGGATGAGAGGCTGGAACCCTTCACTCTCTCCAAACACAATCATTTGCTGCAAAATCAAACCAAAGAATATTAATCATGATGAAGGGAGACTAAATATATATGGTATCTGGTTGAGAGGCTGGAACCCTTCACTCTCTCCAAATACAATCATTTGCTGCAAAATCAAAGCAAAGAATATTAATCATGATGAAGGGAGACTAAATATATATGGTATCTGGATGAGAGGCTGGAACCCTTCACTCTCTCCAAACACAATCATTTGCTGCAAAATCAAACCAAAGAATATTAATCATGATGAAGGGAGACTAAATATATATGGTATCTGGATGAGAGGCTGGAACCCATCACTCTCTCCAAATACAATCATTTGCTGCAAAATCAAAGCAAAGAATATTAATCATGATGGAGGGGAGACTAAATATATATGGTATCTTGATGAGAGGCTGGAACCCTTCACTCTCTCCAAACACAATCATTTGCTGCAAAATCAAACCAAAGAATATTAATCATGATGAAGGGAGACTAAATATATATGGTATCTGGATGAGAGGCTGGAACCCTTCACTCTCTCCAAACACAATCATTTGCTGCAAAATCAAAACCAAAGAATATTAATCATGATGAAGGGAGACTAAATATATATGGTATCTGGATGAGAGGCTGGAACCCTTCACTCTCTCCAAACACAATCATTTGCTGCAAAATCAAACCAAAGAGTATTAATCATGATGAAGGGAGACTAAATATATATGGTATCTGGATGAGAGCCTGGAACCCTTCACTCTCTCCAAACACAATCATTTGCTACAAAATCAAAGCAAAGAATATTAATCATGATGAAGGGAGACTAAATATATATGGTATCTGGATGAGAGGCTTCTCCTTTGGGAGACAATGGGATATAATTGCTATAGCCTATACACCTCTATACAATACAAGCAATGCTGTGAGTATTCTCTACATTTAAACAAAATTGCTACCTATGTAAGGAAAAACTTAAAATGTTAGAATGAGTAGAACAAACTCAACTGAAAGATAAGTCAAGAAAGTTTTGAAGATGTGTACATGTTATCACTATTTACAGTTCAGTTATCCATTAATGTAAAATGAATTACTAATATTTACATTAATCTGAATGTATTAATGAAATCTGGATGTATTGGGTTTTTTTTAATTTTTTTATAAAAAATAATGTTTGCATTTTCTGTCCGGTGTGACGTCAATTATTTGATCAATACCTTCAGAGTTATGCTGAAAACATATGTAAATATTATCATGTCACTGTATTGTGCCATTACAAAGTTAAAAAAGAAATGGTACATTTTAGAGTTCAATACTCTGGCGCCACTTTCAATAGCTTTTACTCCTAGCGTTATGGGACTTCAAACAGAAGTGAAGGTTACCCGAAAATGATATATCCATTGCATGGTGTGAGTAATTTTCTTTGATATAATGAAACATATGAGTTAAAAAATAAAGTGTGTGGTTTTCTTAATGTTTTTATGAAAAATAACATGCTCCGTCACAGCGGACAAATCTTTCGATACAACCCCCGGGATACCAAAACAAACAAGCACATGGTTTCGTTCAGTGCCTTGCTCTTTAGTTTCTTGATGAACAGTGAATCATAATTGATATAATCACCAATGCGCGATGTATCAGGGCCGTAGGTAGATCCCGACTACAAGGAGTTTGCTACATATTTAGTCTTATGCACAAGTTTTACTATTCTAATTCCAGATTTCACTGTATACTGGTATTTTAGTAAGTTTTGCATACATTAGCTAAATTCACTAAAATAAAAATAGCTTTGTCACTATGACATTCATTGTACATTATGCCCCCAATTCAACTGAATAAACAGCAGCCCCAAAGGGCAATAAAAGGACAGATTTCACTTTCATATTGTTTAATAACAATAAATATAATTATTGTTTATATAAGGCGGACTGCTGTGAAATATGATATCGGACTATATGGGGTGACAAACAGAATGTAACTATAAAACTAAAAAAAAATAAACAAATAGAAAGATTACCCTAGATTAGTAAACAAGATAGGTAAATTTTTCTATTAAATAAAATGTGCTCTGTGTACATAGTATTTTCATGAAGTGTTTTAAATGTGATATCAAAATCAGAACATTAAAATGAAGTTGAATTGAACGAAAGGTTATATTTTGAATGGAATTATTTAATGTCAATTTCTTCGGAACATAAATTGTTTCTTAGCCAATGCACAAATATTGACTAAATATTGACTCATGTGACAAAACAAACATGGCCTCTGAGATTAACTGGGGGGTCAAATATTTACCTTTACAAATCCTTTCTTACTTTTGTGTGTAGAAAATATTTACCCTTTTGAAAATAAAGGTCGCAAAATTAATAAAATTCCCACATACACTCTTGATATTTCAGTATGAATACCATCAACAATTATGGTCTTGACATTTTGGACCAAGATCGAAATAAAAATTTATGAAATTCTATTAAAATTATATGCAAATCTCCATTCCCTTGTTTAATTATCCTATGCATTATGACATGAGATTCAGAATAAACTATTGATCTTGTTATTGTCTTGGCTGAATGCAATAGTTTTTCCCATTTTGACATTCATAGACACTTAAACATTAAACATTTTGTTGCAACCATGGATTCAATCACCATGTTAAGATAGCAAGTTTGGAATCCGTCATTGAAAATACACATCACTTTTCTTTCTTTGCAATGGACATGTTGGTAAAAATGGAGCCTATTTGGCGATTGACTGAATTGCTAATATTGTAAACCATGCTTTCAACCTTATGATTAACCTGGGTCCAAATTGATCCTTAATGACCACTGTCAATATTTACCTTTATTTTACCATAGTTCTTCGCTGCCTCTCTTGCCTTGTCAGCAAACATTGGAACAGTAACAAGCATAGTGGCCCCCGAGTGGTCCAATTGATACAAAAGCTCCTCTAAAAATGCATTTTTATTACATATAACACATAATGTTTAAATAGTAGATGAATCTTAATTTTTCTACAAGTGGGTTAGTGGGTGCAAATGGGTCAGTGCATGGCATGACTTTACTAGTACAAACATTTTGCCAAAAGTTTACCAGTGATAATGTTGATTTTTCATAATCTTATCATTTTCAAAATAGTGCAAATGGGTTGTTGTTGTTGTTGCAAATGGTGTCTCCATTATGGGTGCAAACCTATTTTCAAAATATGAAATTGGTGCAAATGGGACTCTGCAATGGGCGCAAACCTAATTTTGAAATATCAAATACATGTAGCAGTTGCTACATTTATCGACTCTCACCTGAGGTATATACAGGATTCGCAGCAGACACTATTCCTCCAATGGCGGCTACGGCCATATAAATTATTGGATATTCTGGTATATTAGGACTGTATATGACGCAGACATCGCCTTTCTTCATACCTTGTTTTGTAAGGGCACTCGCCACTTTAGTTACTGCATCTATCAGTTCATTATATGTGTATGAATGTTTGTCATTTACAGCATCGATCTAAAAATACAAATAAGAGTACTGCAATATTGGGTAGGAACATCAATGGGCTTTTATTGAGAGCCCGCAGCCCCGCATCTTCCGATCAAAGGGCTTCAAAATCCAGAATATATTCTTTCTTTTTACCCCCTGCGATAAGCAGTTTCCATTTCCCCGATTAAGAACTCGCAATCTGATTGGCTGTCGCAACACTGTGACAGAAATCATGTATAAGCCATTGCACATAATTCGTCGCGTGAGAATAACTTTGTACTAACTGCCATTTTCAAAAAAATTGAGATAGACATGGAATTTTACTATTTGAAACACAGGCTTTCATCTCAGATACATGCCCCATCTCAATTCCCTCTCATTAAGCTAGAATTCAGTGTGAAATTGTACCATCTCCAGACAAACAGCTTATTTCTAATTTCAAATTGTCATATCTGATATCAACTGTTTCAACCAATCAACTCTCTAAGAATTGGTCATGTGACTTGCAAAACTTGGAGTTATAACAATCTTATATTAAAACGAAGTATGCCAATATGCATGTTATTGCATCTAGAATGAAATAATGTTTTGTAACACAATACCATGCCAGTTTGCATGCCTGGCCTTTCATGTTTTAGTTTTAGAACTATTACAAGTAGATAAAAAAATAAAATGATACAGTATGTGTAATCCCATGCATATTCAAATTATATGCCCTCAATTACTCTTTGTATTATGGATGCTCATTGGATTATTCATGGCCACATGATATGAAATAGAATTACTAATTTCCTCGAAAGCCTAAATCCTTGCTACCAGGGAAGATGAAAAGTACAAATGACCAGTTAATTAGATCATGTGAGCAGTCAAAAGTACCCTTTATCTTCCCTGCTACCAGGTCTTATAGGGGTTTGAATGGCCAAATGCAATAGAAATGCATACGAAGCTGTCATCATTAAATGTTGAAAATGAAAGACTACTTATTTGTTTCTTCAAATAGAGTACATAATAATAGGTTATATACTAGTCTACTAGATATAGTAATCAAAACAAATAGTAACTGTCATATTTTGCACTACATTGCTCAAAGGCAATCACTGTCTGTATACTATTGAAATCTCTTTCAAAATGATGTTTTATAGTTTGTGGAAAAAGCTAAATCTATTTAAACTAGCTTTAACTTTTACTGACCATACACTATATCAATAAGGAGTTATCTTTATGTTAGTATAGTCCCTTAAAACACTTATTTTATTTTATTTTCATCTATGATTTACTTTGCGCTTTTCACTGAACATCTGGGATCTTTTTAGTTATTTTATTACTAGTATGTTTTTCAGATTTGTCCTTTCTTTTGCATTTTTGGGATCATAGTTTTTAGATCATCTACATTTTATTTTGGAAAAGTAACAAATTGGTTCAATTTCTTTACAAGAGCCACTCTTAGTCTCCACTTCTACAATTGCTTCAATTCCCAGTTGTACTCCACAGAGTAGCAAACAACAGAAAATGAATGGATAATGATAGCTGCATCCCAATGAACAAAATGTGATTACCTAAATCGAGGTTTCATCACTTTCATTAATCTAAAATGAATTAGAAATTATTTTTCTATTTTCAAATTTCTTCCAAAAATTGGTTATGTCTTAGGCTCTAAGGATCTGAAACCTGCTGGTCAAAATGAAATTACGGACCAGTTGCAATGTTATTCTCCTATACCCAGTGAAAAATCAACTGGTCTGTATCAAAAATAACCTGATAATGACCAGCGGACCGGCCCTTAGGGGCTACATTGTAATGTGCTGAGAGGTTTAGGCTACAAGGTTTATACCAAGGGAAATATGTGGGGGACCATACTGGCATCATTGGTTTCAATGCATTGTATTTCTGCCTTAGTTTCAAAGGCAATAAATTCTTTTTGAAGGGTGTCCTGAGATTCCAAAATTAAGAAATAATTGTACTTATTTGAGAAATTGATTTTAAAGTTTTATAAATTGAATTTTCTTTATTTTATTAAATAATATTCTTTGGTTTTTGAAGATTTTTTTACAAAGCAAAACATTATTTTTCATTCTAGATACAATAACATGCATATTGGCATACTTGTTTTAATATAAGACTGTTATAACTCCAAGTTTTGCAAGTCACATGACCAATTCTTAGAGAGTTGATTGGTTGAAACAGTTGATATCAGATATGACAATTTGAAATTAGAAATAAGCTTTTATTCCGGTGGGAAATTGTATCAACTCCATTTCCATAGTTTTAAAAAAGGATCTTGTAAATTGTTTCAAGGTATGATATTTCATATAAGATATCTCTAGGGTGAGACCAGGTGACATACAAAAAATCAAGTTTCACATAGCAATACTAAGTAAGATACAGACCTCTTAACTTTCAAACCTTGATTTCTCAGTTCCGTAAAAATGTGAGATAGTACAAAGTTATTCTCATGCGACGAATTAGATCATGTGATTCAGTTAAATCGTGCGCTTCTAAATTGGTTAAAGCAGGGGGAAGAAGGAGGTACGGATTCTGGACACCTGCTTAGAAGGATGAGAGCCTGTGGAACATCTAATTTTGGTGATGTGCCAGAGCATGACAGCCTGTGACATTGTACCAGGTAGATTTCGAACAATTTATTTTTTCAACTAAAAGCATCCATGGCATTCTTATCCAGTGCCAGGACTATAGTCCGGGTTTTCGGAAAAGACCGACCCCACCGACCACCGACCGGTCGGTGTTTTCCACTGGTAGCCTCAAAACAGGGTTTGAAGAAAATGTGTAAAAGACCGACCATATCATGTAAAAGACCAACATATTTGTAGCCTTAGAATTTAATAATTTGATTTTGAATGTCAATCGTTGGACTAGGCAACGTTTTTTACCGATTTCGTACCTTGCAACGAATGGCACGCAAACAAATTGGTCATGACCGTCTCCTCTCGATTAATTGTCCTGCCTTAGGTCCTTACCTATCATTAACCAACCTATCGTTTCTACGGGAATCTATCCTAATTTTTTACTGAAATTTAACAATTTCGAAACAAAAATGATTTGTTCGTCATAGCCTACTGAATACGGAACACGATATAATGTTACATGCGTTCTCTTATCGGGATTAAAAGTGACTTACCATTTCAGTACACCATTAGAAAGCTTTTTTTGTCATATCAAATGTAGTTTTTACCAGTTGACGTTTAACAACTGAGAAATCAAACATAACGTTACAACGTCAACATCGACGATGTTTGTGTGTTTATGTTATTGCGTTTCATATGAATGAAGAATGAACTTAATGCAATGTTACGTGCGTTTTTTTCTTCTAACAACTGAAACATCACTTAAAAATATGACATTACACACCACGACGATGTAACGTTTTCATTGTGATTTGAAATGATAATTATACGTTTTTAAATCATGACCTAGTAAAGGTACTGCCGTTGTTTTTTGACACCCTGTATAGTCATTGGATTCCCAGTTTTAGTTTTACTTCTAATTTTGCATTTTTTCATCCTTATGTAAAAGACCATCAGCCGACCACCGACCACATGTACCCAACTGTGGAGAGTGACTGGTCGGTGATCAGTGGTCGGCGGTCGGTGTTTTACGAAAACCCCTATAGTCCTGTGAACGTCTCAATCTCAGTTTTGCCTGTACTATAGTCCTGGCACGGGATAATGGCATTCATGTTAGCCTCAAAATAAAGGCTATATAATTCCATAATTAGCCTGGGTTGAATAAATGTATTTTCATTTCAGAGCTGAACAAAAGGGGGCGTGTGTTCAATTAGTGTTCCATCAGAAAACTCAATTAGAAATCTTACCATAGCGACCTGATCCCCATACTGTTTGAACTCCTGTAGTAAATAATGCACAAATGGTACGTTGTCTGGTATTGCAATGTTTGGATATGGGCTCTTCCAAATCTTATTATCGGCATCATAATTCACTGTTGATAAAGTTCTGTGAGCATTTACAGGAATATTCGATTTATTCATTAACAAATCCGTTTGGCATGTGGTTTTTTGCAGTAGGCTTCTAGTCCGTATTATTTCCCTACTAAATATCCTCAAAGCACACATTTTTGCGAAGTAACAACAAAGTTATTGGCCTTTTTGAAAATCTGCAAGTTTAAAACTTTAGAAACTTTATTGCACTTTGACCTCTCGCGAAGTTTAACGAGATTTGGAGTTAAAGGGGCTCGGACTCTAATAGGCCTTTTCTACCTCCAACATAAATGATCTCGGCGAACCGGGCGGCGATCATTTGTTTTCAAGTCAAAATAGTGCCAATACTTTAATTGTGCAAATTCCAGACTGAGCTGTCATTTTATAGTTATTTGGTGTATTTTTATTCCTTTCCTTACTTATGGTTTTTTATGGGCTCCCAGTTAGTCTCAGGTACATCATCTTGAAGAGCTAGAGTCCATGCCTGTGTTGACCTTCATTATTATGATCGATACACATTGCTTCTTTAAATGTTCACTTTGCGTATTTTGAATTTCATAATATGTCCAACCATGGGCCACAGGTGCTCCCTGGGTAATAAGAGTGCCAGGCTTCCCTTTAGTAAGTAAATCAATGATTTGATTTACTAAAGTAAGTAAATCAATGATTTGATTTACTAAAGTAAGTAAATCAATGATTTGATTTACTAACTTTAAAGGAAGCCTGACACTCTTATTACCTACCCTTTGCATCCGTTTGACTACACTTCTTAATAGAGAGCTTCGTCTTCACTCTTTCAAACTAAAATAAACCTGTGAACTCACCGCGCCAATCAGTGTTCGTCGGCCAAATTTGACCGACGTTCTTTATATGGTCATTCCTTCTGACGTAATCGTTGAGCCCGGAATTGACCAATGACATGCGCATATTTAATTAGAACGCATTTGCCGTATGTTTCTTCAAGCTCTCTGATTGGTGGAACGTCAGCGCGTAGGTCAAAAGTGATTTACCCATACTGTCACCGGTACCTGTCATGAGGCGGGGCTACTAAACTGTAATATGGTCTCTACTAGGCAGAGTGTAGTTTAACTAGACTCTGCACGCAGGGTACTTATTACCCAGGGAGCACCGTGCCATGGGCATTCAATTCGGATTGAAATATTGAAAGCCCATGGTCCAACGGATCTTTCTTTGACACCAAAAACATATCAAATAGACATCTGTCAAGCTTCAAATATCAAGTTTTTATCAATGTCATTGAAAGATGGCAAAGTTGTTTGTACTACATGATACATTCGTTTTTATAGAAGTGTCGCCATCTTTTAAGTCAAAAGTAATTTAAAACATGTAATTTTTGTTTAGCATGTGCATGTACTACTAATGATCTCAGAACTTCAAATGCTGTTTTCTATGCGAGTTATTTTTTTCTTTGTTCAATATTAAAGCAAATCAAGCTGTGTCATATTTGAGTGAGTGTGGGAGTAGCATGTTTCAATGATTATTTTTCACTTTTACTTTTTTCTTAATAAGTTAAGCGGGCCTTTAATTTGTTTGCACAAATAGGCTACTCAAATTTCGAAATAATTTTTTCTGAAGTTTTGAATTTCAAAACGATGAAGAACAATAGCTTTTCAGCAATCAGTATGCGTCTCTTTAAATCCCATTTTGGTCTGAATACCATTCATTCTGCTTTATTTTATTACTGGGGAGAAGGTATTCAAATGATTATAGCTTTTATTCATCAATTCACATAATAGCCTTTATATTCACCATGACTTACTTTTTGGAAAGGACCAGATATGGTATGACAAATGATTTAGGACAGTCATTTCAGTGACAAGAAGTATTTTTTCACCATAAATACAGCATTTCTGATCAAAATAATATGCCTTCCTCCAAATGAGGTCCCTAGGATAATAAAATCACCAATCTGACTCCTAAAGAACATGGATTAGGAGTTAGGACCCTACCTCAACACATTTTTCAAAATATTACTTTTTTAAAAGAGGTCTTGTTTTTCTTATTTTTAATGCATATATTGATTATAAATAAAATAAATAAAAGATCTATAACTCCTTCAAAGGTAGAATGACATTAAAAGGCTAATTTGGAAGAAATCAAATGTTGGTGACCAAAACTAGGCTGAAAACAATGAACCATATGTTTTCCCTATGGGAAATTAACATGGGATATGTTTGTTTTCAACTTGACCTTTTTTACAATAAATTCCCTTTTAAGAAGTTAGTGATAATGTGCAAAAGAAACGTTTGAAATGGTTAAAATCAGAAAAGGTCCTCCTTTGAAAATAGGTGACATTTTGAAAAATAAGGAAAGTTGGGATCTTGATGGTTTTTGGATGGATGGATGGATTGATATTTCTATCCATCCACTGATAATCTTACTTTTAAAAAGCATATTATTTTAATAAAAATGTTTTTTCATGGTCAGAATATAGGCTAGTTTTGAGATACGACTGTTAAAACTAAATTCATTTGATATACCATATATGGTCTTTTTAATTTGGAGAGGCATTTCTTGTGGCTGGGAGCTAGATTCAAGTGCTCAGAAAGTTCAAAAAGTCATTCATACATTACACAAGTACCTGATTTCTACATGTCCACTGGTTATGATCTATATTGTATTTATTGAGGCTCTCAAAATAAGCCCAATTGGGTCTTTAGAAAATCAGTGAGGAGCCCAGGTTCATGGCCATATTTTGAGCCACAATACCCAATACATACAAGCACACCACATAAAATAACAGACATTGCAATACTTTTTATTTTTAAATAGATTTATTTTTCTATTAAATTATGACAATTTATACATCATTTAACAAATGTTATGACATGTATGATGGATGTGTATTATAAATGGCAAAATGTACTTTAACTTTATTCATTAACCCCTGTGACCCCTTCCCAAAACATGAAGCAATGGAACCACACGGGCAACCAACTATAATAATATACAACCACTATTTGGCCAACTAAGCAAATTGGGAAAAACTAGAGAAAAAATCGGCGAAAAATTAAATGATACGTTAACGATGTACTTGGTACATCTTCTCAATTAAATGGTCATACTTTGACCTGTTGATTACCTGTACGAACTTTGTATCATGTACAAAATACCTGCTTATTTGAAATTATATATCGAATATCATTCTAATCAAGGATGATCACAGATGTACAAACATCAATATGGTTCATATTTTATCACATATATCATATACAATAGTATTGCACATTAGTATATGGCAATCACAATTATGTGATATCCCTTATAATTCCGAAAAGGCTCATTTTCAAATAATTGCTTTAATTTGGCACCAATTTTAATTTAGTGATTCACAAATGTTGTACAAGATCACTTACTTAAATCTCAGTTTATAACTTTTTTATATCCTAACATTTTGAAACATTCCGCCAAATCAGCTGCCAATGTTCCGAAATGACAGATCCACCAAATTAAATAAAGCCAAATTAAACCAATTTACAATAAAATATAATTAAGATGAACACCTTTTCTCAATTTTCAGATTATGCATCCACAAATATCTTAAAATAGATTAAGGAATCAAATCTTTTCAAGAAAATTATTAATTTATACAGATAAAGAAATCAAATCTCTTTTCAAAACAATTCCTACACCAAATTATTTATAATCATTTAATGATATATACACCCCTACCCCAATCATCATTTAATCATGATCATCATGTTAAGTTATGCATTATAAGGATTATTTACACTGAAGTAAGGTGCTCCCAGAATTTACTGCCATATTTTGATGGGAACTAAATCCAGTTAAGCATAATAGAAGGTTGCAATATATGAACGTTGAGTAATGTTATCTGCAATGCAAGCACTTTCCAAGTAAAGAAGAATGGCCATGTGACATATACAACCAATCAAATCAGTTAAATAAGATCAGATGACATACATATTGTACAACATTAATAAGGAAGGAATTTGCAAAGGAAAGTGTTTGCATTTCACAAATGGACCGACTAAATAAATGCATAACACCTGAAATTGGCTATAACTAAACAAGTACATTTGACCATATAGAGCTATAATTATCTAAGTTCATAAGACCCTGTATAGGCTATAGCTATATATGTTCATAATAAAAAATATGGGCTATAACTAAGAGTTCATAAGACCATATATGGGCTATAACTATGTAAAGTTCATAGGACCATGTATGGGTTACAACTTCATGTATATAACTTCATAAGACCATATGCAGGCTTTATCTATGAAAGTTCATAAGGCCATATATGGACTGTAACAATATAAGTTCATGTACGTAATACCATATATGAGCTATAACTATATAAGTTCATTAGACCATATATGGGTTATACATACATAAATTCACAAAAGCGACATCTTCAACATCCTCCATTGCAAAACAAACATGATAACCATGAAATTCAGCTTTACCCTGCTGAACAAAGGTGAAATTAATATAAACTATATATACAAAAGTAGCACAAAGCATATATACAAGACAATGTAATAAATCTATGAATAAAGCAATAGAAAAGTCCATAACTAAAATATTTTAACAAAACTGTGTGGTTGATAATGTGTACATAATGCATTGTGGTCCCAGTTGATTACCTCATGTGAAACTACAACAGAAGTTAAATCCTGAAAATGTTAGCCAATTTCAGAAATGGTTCAGACTGCCAAATGTTTTATGAACATCAAATAAGACTTAAGATTTAGAAATAAGATAATCACACGCTACTATACCTTGCATTTGGTGTTCATGAGCAACCCATTTGGCTTATAATAATGATTTTGTTATTTGTTTTTATTTGTCTGTTCCTTATTGATGTTTATTGGATAACTGTTAGAATGTTAATAAGGTGCTTTGAAAAATATACTAAACTATAAAATTAGACACACAGAGTATCTTATGCATTTCTAGGGGTTAGGTATAGTAGAGTGAATCACTAGCAAGGTACAAAACAGGATAACACAACATCTTAGTATAAATTATATTAGCATAAACGTTTTAATTTTACTCTGAGCTTTTACTTATTTTTACTGATAATGGTCATAACAATTCCAAAACCCCATGGCACTCAAATAGTTAAAGCTAAAATTTTTTTACAAAATATAAATGCATGCGGCAATGAAAATAGATAGTTAAAATGAAATACATATACAGTACATTGAGACATTGCGTTATCATTTTATCACCCTGAAAGTAAAAATCTCATTCTAAAATCGCATTTTGATAATACATCATTAAAGGAATATTCCTTGCCAAACCATCTCTCTCCTCATATGGTAGCTATAACCACATATATGCTTGCCATGTTTAGCAAAACACGCAAAAATGTTTTGATATGGTCAAATTTGATCACTTAGAAATGTGATGCTCAATTCCAGTAAGCTGCCATCTTTTAAAATTTCACACAGGAAGTGATGTCATCGACTCTCAACTTTGCATATAGCATTAGGTGAGGAGCTATTAAGAATTACAAAACCAGCTAAATATTCTTTTTCAACTCTGTATCTTATTTAATCCTTCTGAAAATTTCTTCTTTTATTCTAAGTTGACAAGCCCTGAAAATATTTTTGCACAGAAAGTAGTGATCACTTGTCTAGAAGTGATTTTGTGCTACTTTCCTATACTGTTATGGGCAAGGTTATAGAAGTTGAGAGTTGATGACATCACTTCCTGCAAGAAATATTAAAAGATGGCAGCTCACTGGAAATAAGCACTAGATTTTTAAATGATCAATATTGACCATATTAAAACATTTTCCCATGTTTTGCTAAATATGGAAACTATATATATGATTATAGCTACCATATCAAGAGAGAAAGGGTCTGGCGAGGAATATTCCTTTAAGCTGACATGTGTGAATAACTGCCATATTCCTGTTCACATAGCCTGTGATATTTACCATATGTTATTGTGCACCTGCACGATTATTTATGACAGTATGAGAACGGTTTGTATTGCAGGACTACATTGTAACCATATTCGTGAGATGCAAGGCATAACAATGCAATATTATAACAACATGACTTTTTGTATAAGTATAACCTGTAAGCAACTGAAAACATGGACCCATACTAACCAAAACATTTAGGTTTTACTTTTACACTAACACAAATACCTGTTTATACCTGATCCTTTTTATAAATTTGCAAGTCCATGTTCTCCTATTGTGACATCATAGTATGTTCATGACATCACACTTCCACTTTGCACTCAATGTTCAGACTGCTGGATTCTAACATTCCATTGCATGCAGAATCTCCAGATAGTATTGCCATTTCTAATGTGTCCCCAAAGTAGTCTAGTATGCACACAAAAGAACCACAATCAACTGTATCATGAACTACAAGAGACTATATACCCTTTGTAACCAGTTACGGATTTACCATTACATCTTACGAGGAAGTGGATCTTGTCACACATACTATCATAGCATTATAGCTATGATGGTAAAGCTATGAGAATACGATACTTAAATACGTGGACGATTTTCAATAATGATCAGACATTCCTTGAAGTAATATTACGTGGTGGTAACATCAGTATTGCTCTCAGCTTTGAGCTGTTCCACATACGACCGGAGTTCAACTATGCAAGACTTCCCCAACTCCTTCAAGTTTTCCTTTAAGCTAAATTGCAGCTGCTCCTCCAATTTACTGTCTTTGCTGAAAGAAGATGAGAGTAATGTTAATTTGAGCAAAAAAGAAGCCTCTGAGCCACATATTCTACATGGCTCAAGTTTGAATCATGAACATATGAGAATATATTGAACGGCCTCTGTATGCATTCCGATAATGTTTGGACATGCTTGGTCGATCAAAGCAGCTTTTTGCCTTTTTTGGTCTTTATCATGACAAAATAAATGGTTACGTGGTGCAATTTGAAAGTTAAGGTACGCATGTACATGTGTAGGATTTCAAAGGTCACAATTGACTGATTTGTCATTTGGATTGGTTATGAGCAGATGTTGTTTTTTTGTAATGCATTCTTTCTTCGAAATGCAAAAGTCCATTGCCAATTTGATGGCATTTTGAGCAGCTTGTCAAAGGACCTCCATGGAAAAAAGAAATCCCACTTCATTTTCAGAGAGCTCTCATCCTGCTTTTCATATCATTTTCATTCATTTTGAACTTTTTCAAAACTTCAAAATGTCCAATTTTCTGTCTTGACGCCAATGGCAATATCCAACGTTTCTCGAGTTTTTTGACAGTCAATTCTTACTTTTCAAGTGGAGTGTTATAGGTTTATATGGCACATGAAAACTGGGTCAAGAAGCTCCACCAACAAACCTTTGAGACTGATCAAAACTTAAAGGTCCTGTCAGATACCTACCACCAATGAGAATTCCACAAAGGTATTATAGTATCGAAGCACTGAGCTACAAGTACATCCTGTTGTCATTTGTTCCAGAAATATCAAGTTCATTCATATTCATACCATATATGGTAAAAATTAGATCAACTTTTCAAATGTTACAATGTAGAAATCATCAGTCCCCATTAATGCCTATAGCATGTATAGTAGACCAATATACACTCAATATACTGTAGAGTGTGAAGAACATCCAATACACAAAAAACTGTATCAAATAACTATGATCCCATTAATTGTTGAAATGATACATTATGAAAATTGTCGATAAGTCTTTAATATCTCTAGATATTTTTTTTATTCTTTGAATTTTCATTTAAAAGAAAGTTCAAAGGGCACGCAGCCACACAAAAAATCCTAGATCCCTTTAACACACCGAGTTTTAAAACTGCTTTTGGGGTTTCAAAGTCATAATTCACATTCACAAGTTCAAGCGGTCCATTTTAAGAACCATTGTATGACTACAATTTGGTAGTAAATCATTGTTTAACAAATAGAATACAATGATTTTCTAAAAATTGTAACTTACAATTGTACAAATAATGGCCTAGGATCTATTCTGTTCTCAATGCATTAAAAACAATATCTGGTACAGTATCATCAAGGGAAACACACATATTTTGATACAGTTTTCTGTGATCTGACCCCAACAACTTTCCATGGAATAATGGCTTAGTAATTCTAAGAATTCTTCCGGAGATTTGATCAGCGACATATGTCAAATATTGGTCTCATCTTACTTTCTGCATATTAAATTGATATTCAGGTTTTGCAAACAGCAATCTGGCTGAACTGGATTTATTTACATACAGCCAATACAAAAATATATAATGTACATGTATAGTGTTCCAAGCACACTTAATACCAATGATATTCCCAAATGTGCTACCCCACAAATACTTTTATGGATGGTTTCAAGTACAGTGTATTGATAAAGACTTCCAAGTACAAATAAATTACATCGGAATATCACGATGAATGGCCGCCAACATGCCATTTGCCAAATCCGCAAGATCATGAATCGAGAAAATTGGAAGCTTTGGACAGACGCCTAGAAATCCAAAATGGAGACTTATTTAAGAGCTGTCTGCCATACAGCCATAAACCACGCAACATTCGTCATCTCATCACCATAACCTGCCCATATAAGGTAACATTGTCACATCATGACGCTAGCCCTGCAACCAGAATGGATTAGGCACTTAAGCAAGAGCTAAAACATGAATTTAAGCATTAACATTTACAGTCTGCGTTCTAAGACAGTGTTACTTAGGATCTTGCGCTATCCTGTTACGTAAGATTCAATTTTGGAAAACTCAGTTGGGTCATTAAGCTCAAGATAGCTATCATTGCTATCTTTAATGTTTCCAACAATATCGGCCATTGTTTAAACCATTCACGCTACAAATGTGGAGGTCAGTGGTGAGCACACATTGTATGTCAAAAAACGCTATTTTATATAGTATAGGCGACAACGGGTCAGTTTTTGGCACTGAATCAGGTTACATGCAAATTTTACCTTTTCAAACATATACAGAAAGTATTGTCCAGGAGCTGTGCTAAGACGAAGTTCAAGGTCAGAAGTTGACCCAATGTCAAGGTCAGACATTCAAGTAAAGCTATAAAAAAGTCATATAGTTAAAACATACATTTTTGGAAGCCCGAAAATTACAACATTTAATTGGTATATGATTTGTAGATATAAATTTACAAATATTATTTTAAAATACCACTGTAGCCCAAACAAAAAATAATGTGTTTACCTAATCAGCATTCTAACAACAGTCGCAAATGTCTCACAATCTTGACGATATGCCTACAATAATAAGAAATATATTGTTATATATTCCACTTTGAAAATATTGTTCATTCACACACAGGGAATGTTACAAAAGAAGCATTCTCTATATTCCGCACTTTTGTTCACTGAGATAACACAGGTCAACTACTAGGTCATTCACAAGATTATGCAAAGGCAGTTTTAATATAAAATTTATTATAAAAATATATATTATATAGTACAGTGTTTTAATCACACAGTGGTCTGTGTAAATAGATTTTAACGCCCGGATAGGTGTTCAATTAATACAAACCTTTTCAATTTCTTCTTTTTTCTCCAATAACAATTTCATCTGCTGTTTAGTAAGCCCAACCATAGCGTTAGCATCAAATGAAGTCATATCAACTCCATCCTCCTCTTCCTCTGCACTAATACTCTCCTCGTCAGTACCATCATTAGCGTTGCCATTCACTTCCATAGGTTCATCATTGTTACCATGTTCCTCTTGCGTTTCCTCAGTTGGCTCTTCACGTTCTACTACAGGTGGTTTTGCGACTTCTGGCTTTTCAACATCCATTGGCTTGGGTTTTTCTGTAAGTTGAGTTGAGGTACTAATGTTCCCTGGGTTTGAGTTTGGCATCACAGGTGGGACAATGGAGTTCACATTTGTTTCTTTAATTGGTGATGTCACCTTATGTGGAATATCTTTAATATTGTTGTCGCTAACACCTTGTAACCTCAACAAGTCCTCATCCTTTATGCTATCATCGCTTGAGTAATTTCCACGATCTGCTTTACTTTCAGATTTTCGCTTTTTCTTATCTTTCTTTTTCTTCTTTGACTTATCTTTCTTTGGCTTTGACTTTTCTTTCTTCTTCTTTGCCTTCTCTGCCTGTCTTTCTAATTCTCTCCTCTCTGCCTTCCTTCTACGCTTGTCATCTGAAAATGAAAATGGTCAATATTTAAAAATTAGTCACCCATTCACGGAGCTCAATCTGTACACTTTGTATATTAGAAATACTTCTTTGATCTAGTTTATATCCAATCAGAGTATGAAAATTACAAAACTATGTGACCAAAATGTGATTCTCGATCAAAAAATCAAAAGAAACCTATGATATTTTAATAACAATGCATTAATATACAAAATGTCACCCAGATCTGCCATTTGTTACAGACACCAACTGCCAAGCACTGAACACTTACCATCAAACACCATCCACAAAAATGTTGGAGACTACAATAATATGTGACCACTTGTGATGGAGACATTAAAACAGAATCTCAAGGCACCTCTTTAATGTAAATGCCATACCTCTTCTCTTGTAGAACCTGTCTAGCCAACCAGCAGTTCTCCTTCGTTTAGTGTTTGGACTTGGAGACCTTTCCTCAGAAGACTCTGTGTCACTTCTTTTATATCTTTTACCAGGGGTGCTGCTACGAGATCTGCTCCTGTACGCTTTTGGAATAGGACTGGGGCTGCGGGAATGAGATGTAGATCGTGAGCTACTGCTGCTACGGCTATGACTGCGACTTCGGCTTCTACTGCTGTCCCATCTAGATGGACTTGGGACAGATTTTCTGGAATCCTGTCTTCCTGGAGTCACAACGGAGTCATCTCTTTTATCATTGCTGCGTTTGCTGGATTGCGACTGTTTTGGGCTGACACTCTTATTGCTTATGGGTAAACTTTGACTTGGACTTACTGTGTCTGCAATCCCGGAGGCGGGTGTGATATCATCACTCTTAACTTTGCATTTCTCCTCGAGAAACTGTCTTGTTTTGGCCTCCCATTCATCATCCATATTATGACTAGAAATAATCTCGCCTTCTTCAAGTTCCGAATCCATTTTACCACCCTTCTTTTTCTTGATCTGTTGTTTCTTTGCTGCTATAGTGTTAACATCAGTTGTCACGACACGTCTATGAATTCCACCACGAGGTTCCTTCACACCACTATCTTCGTCATCAATCTTTTCATTGAACACATTTATGGATTTCTGAAGGTTAGATTTACTCTTGAGGCTAAAATTGAGCGTTGGCTTATCTCCTGAAGTCTCAGTTTCATTAGGGTCAGGGCTCATCCTCTCAGGGTCTTCCAAGGATTCACTGCCAGGCACATCTGAGCGACTGCGCTTTTTCTGAGGGGAGCTGAAAATAAAGGATTACTATCAGTATTGCTAGGCATGCATCATAATATTGCTGTACATATAATATGCTCATTCTATTCAAATAATTTTAATGCCCTTTGCTAATTTTTCGAATAATAAAAAAAACAACATTGTTTGGTAACTATACATATGTATATATTATGTCTTTCTTCAGGTGAATACATAAGAAAAAAGCATATCTCGTGTTGCGTACAGTTTGGGGATTAAGTAGACAGGTAGTCAATTTTCTATCACCATTTCCAAACCATGGTGGTTTGAAAGCCCATAGTTTACAATATTGTTTAGATACATATCCCCTGAAATTTGTATATTTTACATTTTGTATACTCTACTACTGGCCACTTCAAAATTCTCTCATTTTTAACATGAGAAATCCTCACTTCATCAAATCTATGACTAATTATTTATTGCCCAAACTGTAGTTAAAAAAAAAAAGTCTCTTACTCTTCTTGGTTGTGTTGATCTGATTCTGACTCGCGTTCTAAATCTCGTGCTTGATTAACTTCTGACCTTATTTGTGGTTTAGATTCACTCTAGAAAACAATTTTACAACAATATTAAACATATGGTATGTATCCATTCAACAGTGACCTGCAGCAACAGAGCATTTCAAATTGAATCAGAATCAATACTGTTTCTGTAATGTGATTGCTATTTATAATATACATCTAATCATACCATTTATTACTATGAAAAGCATGCTGCTATGTTTATAGTTGAACAACATGAAAACATTTCCGATTACATATTTTCAATTTGCAAATCCTTATACATTACCACACTGTGTATCTCTTGTAAACTCAATACACTACTGTGCAGTTTTCACTGGCAATATGTATTGTTCACTATACATGTAAACTGCATGCCACTATAACGATGATAAATGTTGACTTTAATTACTTAGACTACAAACTACCATAAAACTAGCTATATTTGCAATTATAAAATCATTAGTACAATCTTTTTCCAATAATTGTGTTTCATTTTTCTAATATTGGATAAGCACAATCACTGTTCCACAACTAGTTACTTTGACGGAATGTCAATGTAACAAAATGGATGAACTTCCTGGTTAAGAGTTTTTTTTGTTTTCTTGATTTAAACCTACTTATAAGTCAAGTTGCAGATTGTAATTTGACACAAAGCTAGAAAATATAGTCTAGCTTTAACAAATTTCTTCGATTTGGAATTTGATTTGTAAATTAAGTTGCAATTCATATAAAGTCCCTTGCTTTTGTTACATTGACATAAGTCTGTTATACTACCAATGTATGTTACTTTGACGACTTACGTCCATGTAACAAAGCGATGGTCTAAATGCATGAATTACAGCTTTATTTAAAAATCCAATTCCAAACCAAGAGCATTTCTTAAAGCTAGACTATATATTGTCTAACTTGAACCCAAATGATCATACGTAACTTGACTTATAAGTAAAGTTTAAATCGAGAAAACAAAAAACTCGTATCCAGGAAGTTCATCCATTTTGTTACATTGACATTCTGTCAAAGTAACTAGTTGTGGAACAGTGACAATGAGACCTTTTGAAAATCAATTTGAAAGCTTGTAATAAATTGCAACAATTATTTCTAATTCATAAAGTCATATTCATTAATCTGGAAACTCATTTCCTCTATTTGAGTATTTGATATACATATGTACATGTATTCTACATGAGTATATCCCTTTGATATCACAGACACTTGCACTTTTGATGTTTGCAGTCATTAAAACACCGAGATTAAACGTAGCCATCATATTTCCATATTTTCATATTTTGTCATTTATCATTTTAGCCATTAATATAATTGTGTCATTAAAATATAATATCCATATTACATGAATCCAAATTCCAAGGATCCCAAAAATCTGGGCATCCATCATTTCAGCCATTAATATTCTTGCTACTATTTTCTTTTCCTAAAATGATGTATTGAAAGATAGATTCAATTCATTGAATATCTGAGCACACATTCAGGCTTCTGAGTAACTGTTTATATTTTTTGATAAATGGGCCATTTTAAGTAATTCTAATGCCAAACAACCTCAAAATATTTTTATTCATAATGATCTGTAACTTGCACTATCGATAAATAAGACCAAGATATTGACATTATTTTCAATAGACTATGACATTAACATTATTTTTCAATAGACTATGATATTCATATTATTTTCAATAGACTATGATATTAACATTATTTTCAATAGACTAAGATATTTACATTATTTTCAATAGACTATGATATTCATATCATTTTCAATAGACTATGATATTAACATTATTTTCAATAGAACATTATTTTTCAATAGACTATGATATTCATATTATTTTCAATAGACTATGATATTAACATTATTTTCAATAGACTAAGATATTTACATTATTTTCAATAGACTAAGATATATTCATATTTTTTCAATAGACTAAGATATTCATATTTTTTCAATAGACTATGATATTCATATTATTTTCAACATACTATGATATTAACATTATTTTCTGTTAATATAAAAGCATGAAAGTAAGAAATGAATTTAATTGCCTTTAAGATAGAAACATAGAAAAGCGAAAACACTTGCCATGCTGCTTCCTGGGTGAGCAATTTTTTCCCAACTTTGATATTATCATAATAATTATAATAGGTTTGTACAAAGTTTATATGTAGTGGACATATTGGTATGAATCAAAAACATTTTGGGGTTATTCAAGATTAGACATTACTTTTTTGGCTTTTTATCTGTATATAACTAAATGAAGTATGAAGTAGATGAAAGATGAAATTGACTTAAGAACCCCTTATTATAAAGTCAATTTCATGATTCATGTGCACCATTCTTCCATTCATACCCTATCCTCGGGAGTCCAAGAACGTCTGCGAGGTGATGAGGACCGACGATTCCAATCACTTCCACCTGATTTACTCCGGGTACGTCTTCTTTGGGGACTATTACTCCTCGCTCTGTTGTCTGGACTCTGACTACGAGAATATGATCTTCTACTGTAATCTCCAGACCTGTGGGCAGGTCGCCAATTACGTCGTCTGTCTGCACTGTCTTCGTAACGGAAACTCCCTCGAGAAGGAGAAATGTCTCGCCTGTCACGATCTCGGTCACTGTCTATAAAAAGTCATATAATCATTTTTAATACAAAAGATTGATAACTTCACATTTTCGTAGAACAAATAACTTGAATGATTTAAATCATTTGTCTCAAAGGTATGGGAAATATTTACCCTCCAATCAATTATAAAGTACTTGTTGATCAAAGAGCTGATTTCCTTATGAAATACCAGAGGCAAGGTTGATCACAGGGCATTTTGATGATGCTTTATTTACTTTTTTAGACAATGCAAGATTTTAGACTATGATGCTGCCTGATGCCCATAGTGAATTGTTTATATCAGAAAGGTCTCAATTTGTCCATTTACATATAAACTGAATATACAATAAATAAAGTATACATAAAGACCAAGCCTTTTGGAAGGTCATGTAATAAATGATAAACAAGGGCATAGGCCTATACCAAAGATAGTGCATAAACAATGTGGGGCGTAAAAATAACTTTCCTTTCAATTTAGATCAAAATTAAATGTGTGCTATGATGTACAAGTAAATTCACATTAGCTAAAACTGAAAATGAATATTTCCGGAGAATCTTTCATAGGGCACGTTTCATATAAAAAACATATAAAAAGGGAAAATTATTGATTTAGCCTTTGCCATATTTATGAGAGCTGGCAGTTAAAACAATAGTTAATTTGTTTCATTATGCTGATATTAAATAGAATATCAGCATGCTCTAAATAAATATTTGATCGATCATAAAGTATGAATATCATGATCTGATAAAATTTTATTAGCAATTTTACAACAATGGTGTTGTTTTATATAGCATATTAATAATGGTATAATTTTCTTGGAAAATAAATCATGTTGAATACTCCTGGTTCTTAGAAAAGAAAGTGTGACTTAGGATTAGGGAATTTCACAATAAGAATATTGTACAGCAGCTCCACAGAATTCCGAAATATGATTCCCTAAAATGAGTCACAGCTTGTGATAATCATACCCATCATCAAAATCTGGGTTAAATCTTAAGTCTAATGCTATTTATTATCTCATTTTATTATAAACCTCTTATTAGGATATATACAATATAGGCTCAGCGAAGTGAAACAGAAAATGAACAGACAAATGACAATTTATTGTCAGTATGTGACAATCCGTCATCACATGATTTTCAGGTGACGTGTATCATTACCATTTGCAGAAAATTCCTGGGAAAATTATTATAATTTCATCTAATTTGTTCGTTCCAACCAAGTCATGTTATGATCATAATACATGTAATACTGACCAACAGTATGTTGGTGGATGCATCACACAGATGCTAGTACATACATGTAGCTCAGACATAACTATTCATACTGTCAGATTGTCTGTGAATTGTTCACATTCTGCAAACTTTCTGTGATATTATTTGACATACCAATGCTATATTTTTCTATTGATTATCTTTGTATATTTATATGGTGTCTCGTAAGCCAATGTCTGCTGTTGGGTTTTTATTACATGTATTTTACTTGGACTTTTTTAGTAAACCTGTGACACAGAAATAAACTATTATCAAACTAAACTATCCGGGTCTATTGACCATATTTTGAGACGATGCTCTTTATTACTGTATAAGTGGTATTTAATCCAAGTGGTTAATTTCCCCCAAATGGTCAAATTTCATCATTTTCCTAATTTCAATTTTCCTAATGACAAGAAACTTCCCATTGGATAATTTCATCCTTGTACAATTATAACATACAACACACAATCTACAGAATCTTGCAAAAGCTTAATTTATAAAAAAAAATGTTTGCACAGTTAATGTACTCGACCTTCTTTTCTTGCCCCTGGTGGCTGTCTATCAATTTTAAATCATTTCAGAGACAGTAGATGCGTTTAATGTGTATCCTAGTACTAGTACTAGTACTAGTATTTGATTTATTGTAATGTTGAACATGGAGGGCTTCACCTGAAATCCGTTCCTTTGGGCAATACTATATAAGTAAGATTATACTAATTACCATAATGCCAACTGGAATCTCTTCTAAATGGTCTATATCCTCTGTAAAAGCCTCGTGTTGGCTTATGTGTGAATATTTTTCCATACAATGGCATTTTGAAAATGAAATCGATAAAACTAGTTTCGTTTTAATAAATCTATCTCGACACGTATCTTCAGCTCAAGGTCCAGTGAAAAGTCAGACTGCTCTATAAACGTCAATTAACATTTATTTTCATTTTGAGTTTTATTCTTAATATCAAACACTTCAAATTTCAGCTTTACTTTCTTTTTAATCCGATCTTTCTCCCATCACTTGCCTCAGTTTTTTATTCTTATATTACTACTTTTCTAGTGAATCTTATCTAAATTAAAAATAATCATTTCACTTTCTTAGAATGTGGTTGCAGGTCAAGCATTTATCATCAACGACAGTTTTTTTCCACCAGCAGCAAACAGATTGGTGAAATATTTATTTATGATCGATAAATATATCTGTGCATACTCTGTACATTACTTCATAAATAGTGCATACAAATTATTAACAACCTGGCATTTTCGATCAATTGATGAAATATCATCCCTTGACAATTTTTTTGTTAACATCACAAAAATCAATATCTATCTGAATTGAATGCAAATTGCACACAAATTTGACAATCTCATAGGATAATTTTACTTAACAAGTTGTTAAATTAGTTTAAAAGATGATAATTTTCAAAAAGTGAGGATTTTACAAGGACTGTGGCATACCACTCTGTTTAATCAGAAGAGAAACAGTCAATAGTAAAGCCATAACAATGCATTAACATGCAAAATGTCACCACCTGTCATTTGTTACACATGCCAATGCTGAACACCAATCACTAAACACCATCTACAAAAAAGTTGGAGACTAGCAATATGTCACCACTTCTGGTGGTGGTGACATAAAGACGATCGCAAATAGAGCAAATCTATTGCTTCGAGAAAAACAAAATGCATCACAAAAAGAGAATATACCAAAGTTTGCCATAAGTAAAAAGTTATGAATCATAATCTTATGATTCATATTTCAGTGTAACATGGAAATTTATCATCATTAAAGTAGCTCTGTGTAAAAACTATCAATTTTACAAAATAAACTTGCAAGAACTAAGAAGGAAAACGTTGAAAACATTGATTCATCACTAAATTAAATATGTTATAAACTATAAAGACAATAAACTGATCAATGAGCTTTTCCACAATGTATTTCAAACAATGTGTTTTCATTTACAAATGTCCATATGGTCCTCACAACACACATATGCAGTCTAAATAACTCAAAACATGTGAAAATCAATTTGCAAAAATACAAAATTTCAGGTGTAACAGAGATCTAGAATAAATGATGCTCGTAAAAATAGTGATAATTGATTATTTTATCCATTAGATGATAAGCTATGAATAATAGAAAATAAAAATGCTTACTTGTGTGTTAGACAGCCTCGTAAGTATCATGAGATAAACATACGTTATACTGAACTAAACTGTTGCATTTGATGATTTTCACATTGTTATCTGATAATAATGCAAACTGGCAACAACTGTTTCTACACTGAAATATGGGTAATTTTATTTCAACATCCTATATTAAACTGAATAATGTTTTACAGTGTATTGTCCGTAATATAACTACTGTAGATCAATATATTTGAATTAATGAACTGCAGCAGATAATGAATCAACAGAAAAAGAAATTGTTTGAGTTTTCAATGCATAGATTAATTTTAAGGGCAAATTAATGAATTGCATATAAATCGATGGTGACTTCTTCTGAAAGGACAGTTTTGAATTCTAATTAATATGAAATAATCAATGAACATACTTTACAGGCAATAATTATATTAGGATGACCGAGTCAATATAATTGAGTATTACATACCTAGCGAAGCATTTGTATGGAAGTCAATGGGAAAGTTAGCGAGCTATATCCACCGATATTGCCCGATTACCCCGATATAGCCCGCTTACCTCGTTTTGATATTAGATTTCTTTAATAACCATGATAATATCATGACGTCACGTCATTGATACAAAGTAACCATGGGAACAAAGGCATGTAATACATCAGTTATGTCACTATGACGTGAAATATGCCTTCGTTCTTGCCCAAATATAGAGCCTCCCAAGGTCGGCCTATATTGGGAGAACTCAGGCATATTTCACGTCATAGTGACATAACCTCTAAGAATAGCTCATTTGACACACTCATTGGTACTATCATATGAATCAAAATATTAATAAATATAGATTATATTTTCAAAAGAAAGCCCCAAAGAATTGATATCAGATCCATTCCAATGCAAATTTCTACTTTGGTGTTTTCATTTAACTTTAAATGCATTTGGATTTTGGAATAAGACGCATATAACATTATGTTAATTCTCTGTATTTCTGTTGTGTCTGGCTTACTGTATAGATGAGACCAAAACCATCTGTTGCCGTCAACTTAGCTTATCAATATGGCAAAAATAATATACAACAACCGAGCTTGGCAATTACTCTGGTGGTCTTCATATTAAACAATGAAATGAAAAATTTCAATCGTAAAAATGGATATAGAAATGCAATCATTATCGAAATGCAATCATTATCCCTAGAGAATCAATTCAGTTAAGAATTCCTTCTTCATCAAATCTAGTTTCATTTGAAATTTCATAGTAGGCCATCAAACAAACAAAGGGAGGTCAATTATGTCCAGTGGTTTCCCCAGGATTTTTTTTAGGATTTTGTTATATTAGTGCAACATTTTAGGTTTTTGAATTCTATTTCATACCCAAATAGAGCCATATCAAATTGTAAGGAATGAATCAGAGGCATGGGGAAAAGCCCTAATGTCCATTAATAGGGAAAACCCCTTATGTCCATTTATGGGGAAAACCTTTAATGTCCATTTATTAATACAGGCAACTTGGTTAAATGGCAACCCGCCCCTTCTCATATCAGAGAGTTTCAGTAATCAGTGATATATCTGAACTGATGTATTCAACAAGTGAATCTATAAGAACACTGCCATCTATTTCTCCTTGAGCTGATCATAATCATGAAATGTTTATCTATGTGATGTAATCTTTAGTTTCAGTAGCAATCTGATGAAAACCAATTTTCCAATCTCATAAATAACTATATAACTGATAGTATGGGCTAATGGAAACACAGAATGAAATCCCTAGTTGACCAGGACAGTAATACCATAGTTTCCTTGTGCAGATGAATTAATCTTATTCATTTGTTTGTGTTTGTTTGTTTGTTTGTTTGTTTGTTTGTTTGGGTGTTGTCTTCCTTTATGACTGTGTTTTTCTGACTATTCATATAATGTTTAAGTTCCTTCCATGTTATCCGTTGAAGTATTCTGCACCCATGCCATGTTTAACTTAGATGTGATGTGTGAATCCCATTTTTCAAAATTAATCATAATTCTAATGAACAACTTAATGATGCTTCAATATTTCCCATATAATCTGAAGTGAAATTTGACAGATTCGAACAGATCATTAAAAATTTATGCCACAACTTAAACTTTCCAGGAGTGTTCCACCTCTCCTTTCACCTTAACAAAAACCTTAATAAAAACCTTTAATGTTTCACCTATTAATATCTTTCAGTACATGTAATATTAATATTAAAGTGCAAATACATGAAGAAGTCTGCCCCATACAAACACAAAACTTACCATTTCGTCTCATTTCCTTGTACCAGTTCACATATATACGGCAGTTAAGAACATAGGCCCCATTATACCTGGAAAACAAGGTTAAAACTTGGCAACATACTCTCAACTAGCTCACCATGTAAATATGCAATACCAAATACATCTAAAGCTTCATTGTGGGATATTGTACTTAACAAGAAATTTTCCGATCCGCTGATCAATGTACAGAATTTCCTATTAGGTTGCCTACATAATTAATCAATATTAATATCTTTACCTTTATACAGTATATACTGTAATTTGTAAAAGAGGAACATTTTATATCAAGAGATGTTTGAAAATCTCCAAGTGTTCTATCAAAATGTTGTTTTATACAGGCCTGATGCCAGGAGTGAGTGATGACCATCTCATTAAAGCATACACACTAGAGATGTGCACTTTTGGTAAATCAAAATCTCCCAACAATTAATCGATGATCGATTAAAAATTCACAACTCTAATATACACAAAATAAAATACAATGAAATGTACAAACCTGTCAAGAATCATTCGTGCTCTCTCAGAAGAATCGAAGCGAAGTGCAATAAACAAGTTACGGCCATCATCAGAATATTTGCAGAATTCAACAGTACTGTATCCACCATCCTTCTTGAAGAAATCCCTGCAATGAAACCAAGAGAAAATCAGGCTCTACTGCAAAGGACATGGATTCTTTGTTTAAGACATACATTTCACATGTATTTTGTCTCATTTGAATCCATCATTTACACCTTATGTAGATGGAGCTTGCAGAAAATGCTCAATGTGGACATATGCATGGGTGGCGTGGGGTTAACAGTCATTTTTACTATTTACACAATTTCTTTTAAATAAGGTATCATCTACACATGAATGAAAATAATTGAATACCCAACAGAATTATGAATGATTTTTTTTAATTTTACCAATACTAGCCTCAAATATCACAAACAGGTATCATTTCATAAAAAATTTTCAAATGCATTTTTAATGGGGTGATTTCAAAATTCTCAATAAATTTCAGATCACAGTACTAAGAACAGAAACAAGCTGGATTTTCACAATTCAATATTCAACATTTGGTCAATGGGGTGTATCGAGAAAATTATGCTTTCAAATATTGTTAATCAACTTTGAGATTTTTATTTTCTTGAAAATGTGATTCCTAAGTCAGGTATGTTTTAAAATCATAAAAATTGAAATATCTTTTCTTGTACAAGACAGATAACATTGAACATATTGTAAATAATTCAATAGTAAAGCTCAACAATAGTAAGTTTAAAGGACGATTCTCGGTTTGGAGAACAGTCTCCTGGGCTAATATCAAATTAAACTATGAATATTCACAAGAGGACATTTAAATATACAAGATGTAAAAATATCAAATTGGTCTGGAGCAGGGATAACGCTCAATTAGACCGATTTTAATAAAATACAAGTCTCGATTTGGAGAAAGAAGTTCATCAGTGTACTGCGCTAATATTTTTTTGAGAAAAATCTAGAAATATTACCCAAATCAAATTATGACTATTCAAAAGAGGACATTCGAATCTATATTATGTAAAAAAATCAAATTTGTCCGAAGCAGGGATAATGCTCATTTAGATTGATGAACTTCGTTCTCCAAACCGAGAATCGTCCTTTGCTCAATTTCAAATATTGGCGGCTATTTAATTTGGTGAATTCAGGACTGAAGTTTAATTTTTGTCTATGTTTATGTCATTAGGACAGGTATTTACTAAGATATTTTCTGTATTTCTTTTGGAATAATGTAGAATTGATGACATGTTTGCAGGAACGAGGGGCCCCAGAAGTTAATTTCTAAAGTGCATTGGACAAAAATTCCAAACTGAAATTTAACGAATTTCCGCAATCCACAATCCTTCAAACAAAATTGGGAGCCAAATTAAATGCATCCTCTTATAAGCAGGTGCCAGAATCCATACCTCCTTCTTCCCCCTGCAATAACCAATTTGGAAGCGCCTGATCCTGATTAAACTGAATCATGTGATCTAATTATGCGCCGATGACGTATACATGATTGCTGTCGCAGTGTTGCGAGTTCTTAATCGCGGAAATGCTAACTGCTTATCACAGGGGGAAAAGAAAGAAGTATTCTGGATTTTGAAGCCCTGTGATCGGAGGATGAATTAAATGTATCTACATCCTAAATGTTATACCACAGACCAAACACACAGAAGTTTGAGAAATTAATGAATTGACACAAAAATATACTAATAAAACTTTGCAAATTTTTAATATTTTATTATTAATTTTTTATTATTTTTAATCGAGGCTGGGCAAAAAATGTACTTATATAAATGTTATTTTAATGTTTGTTACTGTATTAGTTAAGTTGTTCATTGTACTCTTATACCCTATAAGGGGTGAATTGAGAAATCAATAAATAAAATAAAAAATAAATAGTATGTATTTAATGATTGTTTTTTAGGTTAACTGTGACACAAATACACAAACAGGTCATTGAAATCACAGTTATCTATGGGGCAGCTTGACCTCATAGCTTATAAAGATAAGATTTATAATATTAACACAGATTTTTACAAAGAATAAACATTAACATGTCAGTCAGTCTATTCACAAACATTAAGTTTTCAAGCTAGCAATATACACTGTGTATGACACTGTTTAAATAGGTCAACATTTTTTGAATAAGAGTAGAGCAGTAATCGAGTTTACTCTAAGATTTATTTCTAAATCTCCAGCTCACAAAAGGGGAGTAGACTGTTTAAGTGAGCTAGCTTAAAAAGTCGACCAAATCTTCCAATAATATAGAAGTCACTGATCAAAATTTATTTCAGTTTTGGTTAAAACAGTTTAGATGATTTCAAAAGTATGAAACCATTTCTGATATATCAAAGGGCATCAGAGTCTGTGAGAAATTTACAAGAATGTCTTTCCAAATATTTGCAGGTTTTACAATTGCCAATGTGTAGTGGACCAAGCAGGCCTGGTAAAGATGACTTCACTTTAAAGGCAGAATCTAATCTATAGGGGATGACAAAATTACAAGCAACATGTATAATTGACCTACCAATCTATTCCTTATAGTATCAAAATACAATATCTCCCAAAAGATTCGCAATATGTTATAAATTGGTGAAGTTATTAATGAATCAAAGTGCAAAAAATGAGTGAAAAATATTTAAACTCTCCCAAATAATAAGAATGGTTACCATTCTTATAGAAAAATAATACATTATTGTAAAAATCTTTAGTTTTCCTGGAATAAAGTATGCACTTTTGTGATTTTAAGAAAATAGACATGACAAGGAATGACATGAGCCAAAAATATTCTAAAATTGAAACAATTTTTTGTTTAGCCTGCTCGCTATATCTGATACTCTCTTGAATAGAAAATATTCTCTCTCAAACAATCTATCATTGATAAGGAATCAAAAGACCACAGTGTAATGTTATATGGAAACAGGCACATGACATGAAATCACATCACCAGACATGTGTATGAATTTGTAGAAAATCCAGTAAGTGGTTTTCCTGGAATTACGATGACAAGATTTATATAAAAAAATCTTCCAAAATGGCCATCTGAAAATAAGAAAAGTTAATTCACTCTAGAATTTGGCATCCTCTATCACGTGTATGAGTTTGAAGAAAATTCAATGAGTGGTTTTATTGGAATCAAGATCCAAAAATCAAATTACAATGACAAGATTTATCGAACAACTTCCAAAATGGCCACAAGAATCGATTGAATCATGATGATAAGATTTATAGACACCTTGGCATAAAAATGCCACAATATTAATTTTTTAGAACCCAAAAAACTATATTATCGCATCCTCGTAGGATTCAATAAACTGTATATAAATTAATCTCACATAGGCATAGCCAGGTGGTGCAATGGATGGCTCGTTTTTGCCACGATCAAACCCCCTTTGACTAAAACAATCGCAACCTGACTGGAAGCTGGCTTCGCCCCTCTCATTTGCAGTTTACCACTATAAATGACAAATATGTCTGAAACCTTTGAGGATAGAAAGTAAGTGGTGAATTGTAATAGGGCTTCCTCATCGCCACTTCTGAGTGGGCGTGTCACAATGATCAATCTTTGGGGTGAGGGAAGTCGTCCTATCATCGCACGGGTACTCAGGGAAACTACTGACGATTTCAAATATGATAACTTCAACTTACTTTGAGAATATGAGACGAAAGATCAACCTTTCCTCTAAAATCTAAGTAGTGTTTGACATTTCTCAATCTCCGAACGCTAACACTTTAAGACCCCTTAGACTCGCATGTGCGGTGGTCCTAATTATCGCACAGTCGTCCTAATTATCGCACAGTTATGTTTCAGATGTCATTTCACGATACTGTATACATTTCTCTGTTTATAACAGATACATACATATGCTGTAATCATTTTTCTATCAGTTTTAGTGTAAAATATCAACAAAATGTACATTATACACTTACTTTTCTGTCTTTATTTGGAGGGGGTCAAAATTTGTCAGACGAATTTCACTTCTTGCGCAAAAGCATTTATGAAAATGTCGGAAGTTAACAATTCTTAAAAAATGAAGAGATATTTCTAAATATATGAATAAATCATGAAGATTGGGAGTAATGGTGTTGAACTGTTTTTCGTAACACTGATTGAAAAGATGGTGGGTGCATATTTTAGCTATTTAGGACAATCGTGCGATAATTAGGACCGTGCGATAATTAGGACCACTTCCCCTACACCTTTCATGTTTCAGCTTTGGACTGATTGGCTTTCACTGCCTTGGACCGTAAAAGATGTAAAATAAAGGACACCAACCTTTTCATGAGATTTTACTTGCTTAAATTCTCGTAATAGAATTCTAAACTTTCTCGAATTTATTCAGATTAGGCCTAGTCTATTTTCCGATTCACTTTTTCAAAAAATCGAAAGTGAAAGAGCAGAGGTAAAGCCTGCATATGTCTGTAAACGGAAAACAAACAATACCGAATTCATTCAAAAAAGGACCTTACATATTGCTTAAATTGTGCAAGTTTACCTTATTTCATCACGGTCGACATGTGCGAAGAAACCACGGAAAAACAGAGTGTGTCGGCTTGCAGGATAGTTCGCCATCTTGTTTTTGGTTCTTGCCTCATCCGCTAGGTGGCGGGTATATAGTGTCCTAAAATGCGAACGTCCAACTTTTTTACAATGTTATATCATGGGCTACACCGGGGGCGTATAGGAGTTCGCACCGGGGGGCTACAATGGTTTTATCAACTTGGTATGTAATGGGATTTTGTACAATATCAATACTGACACATTTAATTCACCATGGTGCAAAATGAAAGTACAATACACAAATGTACATTGACACACGATATATGATACTACTTGACTATTTAGTCACTCAGATGTACAATGAATACACTTAAATGAAAAGTATAAGCACAATGAATGTTGCCATTGTCATTTGCACTAATGTATAAATAATGTAATGCAATCTCTCTGATGCACAATTCAGTTGCAATACACTTATGTACCGTTAAGACACAATCTCTCTGGTGTACAATGTAGTTAGAATGCACTTATATGTACAATTCAGACACAATATTTCTGATGTACAATGTAGTTACAATACACTTGCAATGGTTCAGACACAATCTCTCCAATAATGGAGTTGCAAAATACTAATGTACAATAAAGTTGCATTTCACGACTCAATCACTCATGGTACAATGTTGCAATTACACTAATTTACAAACCAGACACAATCACTCATGGTACAATGTAGTTTCAATTACACTAATTCACAATCCAGACACAATCACTCATGGTACAATGTAGTTGCAATTACACTAATGTACAATTCAGACACAATCACTCATGTTACAATGTAGTTGCAAATACACTAATTTACAATCCAGACACAATCCCTCATGTTACAATGTAGTTGCAAATACACTAATTTACAATTCAGACACAATTACTCATGGTACAATGTAGTTACAAATACACTAATTTACAATTCAGACACAATCACTCATGGTACAATGTAGTTGCAATTACACTAATTTACAAACCAGACACAATCACTCATGTTACAATGTAGTTGCAAATACACTAATTTACAATTCAGACACAGTCACTCATGGTACAATGTAGTTGCAAATACACTAATTTACAATTCAGACACAATCACTCATGTTACAATGTAGTTGCAAATACACTAATTTACAATTCAGACACAATCACTCATGTTACAATGTAGTTGCAAATACACTAATTTACAATTCAGACACAATCACTCATGTTACAATGTAGTTGCAAATACACTAATTTACAATTCAGACACAATCACTCATGTTACAATGTAGTTGCAAATACACAAATTTACAATTCAGCCACAATCACTCATGTTACAATGTAGTTGCAAATACACTAATTTACAATTCAGACACAATCACTCATGTTACAATGTAGTTGCAAATACACTAATTTACAATTCAGACACAATCACTCATGTTACAATGTAGTTGCAAATACACTAATTTACAATTCAGACACAATCACTCATATTACAATGTAGTTGCAAATACACTAATTTACAAACCAGACACAATCACTCATGGTACAATGTAGTTGCAAATACACTAATTTACAATTCAGACACAATCACTCATGTTACAATGTAGTTCCAAATACACTAATTTACAATTCAGACACAATCACTCATGTTACAATGTAGTTGCAAATACACTAATTTACAATTCAGACACAATCACTCATGTTACAATGTAGTTGCAAATACACTAATTTACAATTCAGACACAATCACCCATGGTACAATGTAGTTGCAAATACACTCATTTACAATCCTGACACAATCCCTCATGGTACAATGTAGTTGAAATTACACTCATTTACAATCCAGACACAATCTCTCATGGTACAATTGTAGTTGCAAATACACTAATTTACAATCAAGACACAATCACTCATGTTACAATGTAGCTGCAATTACACTAATTTACAATTCAGACACAATCACTCATGTAACCCCCCTATCACACCAAACTAGTTCTTACCCGTTCTTACCAGTCCTACGAAAACGTCGTAAAACGGGCTCAATCTGGCTGTGATCGGGAAATATGTCTGAAATAATCAGCTTCTTCATTCTTAAACAGTCTTCAATACGTCCATCTCATTCGCAGTTCGTTCAGGTCGGACCACGTCGGTGTGCAACGTAGTAGAACGCGTCCCTTGGTCTTGAAGGTCAACATGACCTGATTACAGAACGGTATGGTCGCCATCGAATTTTGAATCGATTCAAAATTCTAAAATCACATTCCCGTCTGAGAACGTTCATAAAGTTCGTAAATAGACCTTCGAAAGTTGCAGCTACGTTCATTCCGTTCGCACACAGTTTAAAACCAGTTTTGAAGAACGCAGTGGCAACTTGTTTGGTGTGATAGCTATATTTTTGCTAACTCGTTCATAAACAGTGTTAAATACGTTCTAAATCAGTTTAAACACGTTTGCAATTAGTTCTACCTCGTTCTCAACACGTCCTCAGACAGTTCAACTCGTTGTTAAAACGTCCCTAGTAGGATTGAAGTACGACAGTTCCGTTCGTAGTACGTCCAGCTCGTCGTTAGTACGTTGTCATTCGTTCTAATTGTAGAACGTGACGACCACGAGAACATTTTGAGCATTGTCTTAGTTCTAGAGGACCTACCCGTTCGAGTACGTTCGATGAAGTTTGTAAATAGATCCCAAACGGTTCTTAGTAGGTCCAGTTCGTTCGTACACAGTTGAAGCCCGTTATCGAGAACGTAGTGAGAACTAGTTTGGTGTGATAGTAGGGTTACAATGTAGTTGCAAATACACTAATTTACAATTCAGACACAATTACTCATGGTACAATGTAGTTGCAAATACACTAATTTACAATTCAGACACAATCACTCATGTTACAATGTAGTTGCAATTACACTAATTTACAAACCAGACACAATCACTCATGGCACAATGTTGTTTCAATTACACTAATTTACAAACAAGACACAATCACTCATGGTACAATGTAGTTTCAATTACACTAATTTACAATTCAGACACAATCACTCATGTTACAATGTTGTTTCAATTACACTAATTTACAAACAAGACACAATCACTCATGGTACAATGTAGTTTCAATTACACTAATTTACAATTCAGACACAATCACTCATGTTACAATGTAGTTGCAAATACACTAATTTACAATTCAGACACAATCACTCATGGTACAATGTTGCAATAACACTAATTCACAATCCAGACACAATCACTCATGGTACAATGTAGTTGCAATTACACTAATTTACAATTCAGACACAATCACTCATGTTACAATGTAGTTGCAAATACACTAATTTACAATTCAGACACAATCACTCATGTTACAATGTAGTTGCAAATACACTCATTCACAATCCAGACACAATCACTCATGGTACAATGTAGCTGCAAGTACACTAATTTACTCTCCATATACACAATCACTCATGGTACAATACAGTTGCAATTTTACACTAATTTACAATGAAGACACAATCACTCATGGTACAATGTAATTTCAATTACACTAATTTACAATCCAGACACTGGGAGCCAGAACTGTAGATTTAGTTGTAGTGATACAGATAACCACTGGTGGTGCTAGTGGAGATCCCATTAACATTAAACTGCCACAGACAACTTATGCTTAATAGCCATGATTGCAACTGGTATTAGGTTACACTGGTCAGTTCACTTATGCACTTTAAATGGCCAACATACATTTCCCAACAATTTCTTGCATTATCTAGAGTAGTAATATAATGTGATATATTGTTACTGTATGATTTAATTATTTGGACATTATTTATTTTATAACATGCACTTTTCTTGACTTCAAATTAATCAGGATGCATTTAATATTAATGGTGTTATCTTAGGTTGTTTTTGAGAGAAATGATATATGTAAATGTATGCGGTTTCAGTGCAAAATCATTTAGCCCCGACTATGTCTTTTATGAATGTGAAAAGTCTTAACATACATATTACGGGTTCTTGGAGAAAGTATATTTTTTAAGAAGTTTATCACTTACTGTCTCAGGTTGACACGCCAAATAATATTTCATCAGAGTTATTATTCCATTACATAATTTTGGCTTTCACTTAATTTTGATTTATATTCTCCTTTATTTCAGCAAATTTGTTTCCACAGGTCTAAAAAATGTTTGCAATCATTTTTTCAGTATTTCAGCAAGATTTGTTACATTCAGTTTGTGTTAGGGAAATGAAACTTTGGTTTCAAGTATGGATTATGTGAGAGTGATAGTCTAGTGATAGTATAATTTGAAACACATTTTTCTCAAAATCTGATTCTGGCACCGCTTGGAAATCTTTTGACCTGCATAGGAGACACTTTGAACAACACATATGAAGATGTTTGAGAGTAGTGCCAGAATCAGATTTTTCATTATAATATATTAATGTTAATGGTCATAAAGAGAGTTTCAAATCTTCAAAGAGAGTGACTGAGAGTAAGACCACAGAAATCCCCAGAGATCATCAATGATACATCTCTATCTCTACTAAAGTGATGTTTAGATATTACCCTTGCAACATATTTAATTTCAATCTGAATTTATCAATCTGGTGGTATATGATAGACTGTTAAAGAATGTCTAAAAACATTACAAGGGAGGCCATTTTGAAGCAGAAGGTATCACTAAGCAACAACTCAGAATGAGGCTATCTGTTGTGTCAGCCTTGGCTATCAGGTTTCACAAGGCTGCTTAACTAAGTCTTGTGAAGTTTACTATACTGGCTCCCAGTGCAGACTCAATCACTCATGGTACAATGTAGTTTCAATTACACTAATTTACAATCCAGACACAATCACTCATGGTACAATGTAGTTTCAATTACACTAATTTACAATTCAGACACAATCACTCATGTTACAATGTAGTTGCAAATACACTAATTTACAATTCAGACACAATCACTCATATTACAATGTAGTTGCAAATACACTAATTTACAAACCAGACACAATCACTCATGTTACAATGTAGTTGCAAATACACTAATTTACAATCCAGACACAATCACTCATGGTACAATGAAGTTGCAATTACACTAATGTACAATCCAGACACAATTACTCATGGTACAATGAAGTTGCAATTACACTAATTTACAATCCAGACACAATCACTCATGTTACAATGTAGTTGCAATTACACTAATTTACAATCCAGACACAATCACTCATGGTACAATGTAGTTGCAATTACAGTAATGTATAATGTAATTGCGATAGACTAATGTACAATTCTGACAAAATCACTCTGATGTACAATATAGTTGCAATACACTTATGTACAATGTCGATGCAATACACTAATGTACAATTCAGACACAATCACTCTGAGGTACAATGTAGTTGCAATACACTAATGTACAATGTAGACATATCGCTCTGATGTACAATGTAGTTGCAATTCACTAATGTACAATGTCGATGCAATACACTAATGTACAATTCAGACACAATCACTCTGAGGTACAATGTAGTTGCAATACACTAATGTACAATGTAGACATATCGCTCTGATGTACTATGTAGTTGCAATTCACTAATGTACAATGTCGATGCAATACACTAATGTACAATTCAGACACAGTCACTCTGAGGTACAATATAGTTACAATACACTAATATACAATTCAGACACAATCACTCTGATGTACAATGTAGTTGCAATACACTAATGTATAATGTAATTGCGATAGACTAATGTACAATTCTGACAAAATCACTCTGATGTACAATATAGTTGCAATACACTTATGTACAATGTCGATGCAATACACTAATGTACAATTCAGACACAATATCTCTGATGTACAATGTAGTTGCAATTCACTAATGTACAATTCAGACACAATCACTCTGAAGTACAATATAGTTGCAATACACTAATGTACAATATAGTTGCAATACCCTTATGTACAATTCAGGTTTAACCATTCAAATGTCTTCCGGTTCCGTCATATGATGGATTGTGATTCGAAGATATGATGTATCACATAAACTAGGACATCAGTCACATATTACCCTATCAGCAACTAAACAATCATGTAATTTTAACATCACTCATGACTGTTGATTCTAAATTGATCTGTGACATCATTAACTTGTTACATAACCAACAACAAAAAGCATTCAGCTAGCTGTTTATTGTTTTTCTCTGTGGTCTTTTAGAAAAAATTGGATCAGATTTCTCCACATACCAAATGACCTTTGTATTTTAGCGAAATTTTCACTGGATATCTTTTTGCACTGATTTATCTGAAGCTTTAGGACAGGATTTATGATGATGTATCCATTTCAGTGACAAGATGTCTTCATGATTTTTCTGATCGATAACCAAAATATAGAACAGATTCATCTGAGCTTTCTTTTTGGTCCCATTTTATCCTCCAATGTTACAGACCTTAAAATTTGAATACTTCCCTATTTCAACAGTGAAGTCTTATTTGGAAAATTAATCAGCCCAATATGAACTTTTTTTATAAAGTATCTCATTATACAAAATAGCTTAATTGATGTTTTGTTATTTAACAAAATGTCAGATAAACACAAAATGTTTTAGCTGTTGAAAAGAGGTTATTCTTAAAAGTTTATTGACTGGAAATACAAGACACTATGGAGCCAATCAAGCTATTATATGAATATTTAGAGATTGTGTTCAAATTGTCTTCATCCTGTATGCAAAAACCTGGACACGTGAAACATCTCCCAATCCAAAAGCTTTGCTGATCCCAATGGAATTTTTATTGTTTATCAGAATATATAAAACTCTTCAGCAGTTTTCAGTATACAGCCAAAGCTTGAAAGATTGTACAACATGCTTCTATCCTTTCAAACATGGGTACAGAGATGTAGAGGAAATTGGACATTTTATGTCAGTTCATCCTCCTAAGCAGGTGTCCAGAATCCGTACCTCCTTCTCCTCCCTGCTATAACCAATTTGGAATCGCCCGATTTAACCGTATCATGTGATCTAATTATGCGCAATGGCTTATACATGATTTCTGTCGCAGTGTTGCGACAGCCAATCAGATTGCGAGTTCTTAATCGGGGAAATGGTAACTGCTTATCGCAGGGGGTAAAAAGAAAGAATATATTCTGGATTTTGAAACCCTGTGATCAGAGGATGATGTCAGTTAATCCTATAGAAAGTTCTTATGAAGCACCATTCTGAGCTTGGCAGTTTGTGATTAAAATGGATCTTTTTCTATTTTTATGTCCTCCATTGTCACTTCTTTCCATCAAGTCAGTTTGACATACCATCAAAGTAACAACAGAGATGAATGACCCAGTTTATTAATTTTTTTCTCGATTTACACAAACTGAGGTTACAGATCAAATTTGGCTCGAAGGTGAAGAAAATTTATTTTAAATTTACTGGTGGCTAGACATTTGGTCTACAAATACCTATTCCAATTTTAAGTGCCTCACTTTTGCTCCATTGACAAAAGAGCAATATATTTGGCATGTTGAACTAGAAATGACTTTGATGGAACATTTGTCAACTTCACAAAAATGGTGGCTAAATATGTGTAGTGCTGCTTTATTTGAGAGCAAAATCTTTACAACCAGTATATCTGGAATTTTTGCAACGACTTTGAGCCAAATAAAGACTGTAATAAATTCACCATCATTAGCCCAATTTGTGTTGTTTGTACTTTTAAATCACCCCGCCATTCGTGCAAAAGTAAAACATTGAAAAATAATCTACGTTCTGTGTGTGTATATTTCATTCGTAATATACTGAACATTCAAATTCACAAGTGTTCCTAAGACACCCCTTTAGATGTTTCAAGTGTCCAATGCAGTTCAATGGGGTGCTGCTTATTGGAAATGAGTAGTAGGCCGTCTGGTTGTGAATCTTGGTTTGTGCAGCTGTTTCCTGACACGGTGAGTCAATGGGAACTTGATTTTGCTATCCTTGAAATAAATGATGGCAAATCGTCAAAACATGAATGTTGTTGCATGTTAATAGAAAGCTGTTCAAACTAAAAAGAGGCATTAACATACAAAATGTAACCACCTTTGTTACAGATGCCAAATGCTGAACACCAACTGCTAAATGCCATCCACAAAAAAGTTGGAGACTATTAACAATGTCACTGCCACAAGTGGTGACATTGTCAATAGTCTCTAATGAGACTAAAACAAATTTCACGTGATTATCTACATTCCTAACTACACTGTAAACTGTAACAAAGTAAAATAAAATAAAAAATGATATTTTCTTGGGTAGATGTGAATCCTTTATTATTCTACTGAGCCTTCAAAAAGGGAAACCTTTACTCCATAAGGCAAAACTAATGCTGGTCAGTTTCAGGAGAAGGTATGGCTGTTACCTCCTCTTTTTAAATGGTGAATGATAACTATCCAGTTCGACAAATTTTCATTGAATTAAACCACTTTGCTGTCTACAACAACTGGTGTCTTTGCAACTACACCAAGCTTGCGTGAATTAAACATGACGACAGTGTATCATACAATTTTTGTAAATGTACCCTAAGCTGTATGATATATCTTTGAATCTTGATGTCACATGAGGAACTATTTATCAGATCGAGGAGTGGCTATTTTTTACTTGATTTGTTTGAATTTCAAAGCTAGATGTCCACGACATTATAGTTTAAGCTAAAAACATATCAAAAGCGACACTTACCATCAAATGTTTTGAAAGAGAGGGTAGCAACAGTTAAAGGTTTTACATTGGAATATGTTCCAGGTCGAATAAATATTGATGTTTATGGTGGAAACATTTTCAGTGCAGTATAGAGAGGCAACATCACCCATGTGGGTAATTGTAATAGTTGGACATATGTCTCAGCAGACAATGGACAACATAGGCCTCCATCTCCTTTGAACCTTATTAATTCACAAGAGCCATGTGCTGTAATGTTCATAAGTTTACTTACATGGAACTGTTTAATGTTGGCTCGTCTAACTTGGGAAGCCTTGACGGTCTCAACTCGGATGATCTGAATTGATGATGCACGGGCACGATGACGGGCACCCATATCACGATCTGAAAAACATTTCAGCCATGTATACACATGTTATGATGATAACGAAGATATTTTTTGCAAATCTAACAAAATTGCTAATTGTATGATGTGTTTCTTTGTTGCACACTTTTTTTTCAAAATAAATGATAAAGCACCAAGTATATGAGATTGAGACTGCATTTATCCAGGATTATTTTGTTTTACAAATGGAAAATTTACTTCATTACTTTGAAAATAACAACAGGTAACAATTGGAAAATTTCTCAATAAGTTATTACTGAAATTGGATCAAGCATCATATCAAGCATCATATAGTGGAATTCATTGTATTTACATGTACATCAGAGGTAGTAGACTTAAACTAAAAGAGTAGCCTAAATAGATTTAATATGTAGCACTTACAGCATTGTGTGATTGCTCCAGCGGTGGTGAGATCCCTGTACTCACGGTACATGTTGTGGGTTCCACTTCTGGATACATATCTCAGCCAGACACCATAGTTCTTCACAACTAAAGGCTTCTTTTCGTACTGCTGGGAACACTCGAGGATCTCGCCAGTAGTTTTCTTGATTTTTTTCAAGAATTTGGCAAAGTACCAGAATCTGGATTTTGCAACACACTTATCAGGGGCAAAGATCCTCATCTGATAGATAGGTGGCACCCTAAGCTTCTCAGACGGGTACATCCGTCCGATCACTTTATATTCCTTGAGCTGAAAAATATCAGAGTTGACAATAATTTACAAATATATACCATTTCTATAAAGGAAGGTTAGAATGATGAGTATCTTTGTGAAATGTTCATGATTAAAAATACTATATCTGGGCTTTGCAGCACCAGATGCTAATATTATTACAGGGATTCCCATTATAAAACAGTGTACAGCCATCTTGAAAAGCGGTACAATCTTTCTCTATGATAAACAAATATCCATATAATAAGTACAGCAGGACAGAGAGGCAATGTCGTCCATGTAGGTAATGGTTGTACAAATGACTGCATATACTAAGTGTCCGACGTGGATGACATTACCTGTAGACTTATTCACTTAGAGAGCCATGGTGTTAGATTTTGAAACTTATGGCTCTTGAACGGGGAAATGGACAGCTGAATAATAGTGACCTTTCAAACATGAATTAAGTTGATCAACGGCATACTTTTGTTCTCTAACTATGTCAAACAACATTATCATCCCTTCGTGTAAGTATTGGAGCGCTGAAGTACTTCCTTTTCGATCAAGACTTGTAATTGTTATTTGAGTGAATGTTTTTTCTGCCAAATTCCAATATGGCGTTTTCTGCTCGGACATTTTCGTAAATCTCCGGAGGTTGTCCGAACCTAAATCATTCTCAAAATTCATTTCGTTCGTTGCGCATCTCGCTCCAAGCAAACCGCCATATTGGAAATGGGTGGAAAAAACATTCACTCGATGAACAATTTACAAGTCTTGATCGAAAAAGAAGTATTTCAGCGCGCCAATACTTGCACGGATTGATACTGATGAAGACACAGTTAGAGACCAAAAGTGAGCCGCTGATCGACTTAATTCGTGTTTCAAAGGTTATTATTATTCAGCTGCCCAAGTTCGCCGTGGGAAAGCAATTATATCAAAATCCACATAGCTTTCGGAGGAAGTAACTGTAGACTACTCCATAAAATATTCGTGGTATGTTATTTTTGTCAGAGTATATGCAATATTCTCCCATATTTTACTAGTACAGAAAAACTGTAGAGATATTCATGAGTATAATTGTGGATCAGGATAAATATACTATTGAGAAAACAAAAAAATTAACCAGGAATTCAATGAATAAATCGTGAAATCGACTGAAAAAATCTTAATTTTTAGTTTTCACTCGAATAAATTTATACCTTAGCGACAATTATGTGTCATGATTTATATCTTATTTCACAGAACATCAATCAAGGAAAATGTATGGCATTGTGAATAACAAATGAGTTTTATATATACAGAGAAATAAGGTGAAATGTGTAGAAATTACCTCGCCACGGGCCTTCATTTTGTGCACGAGGGGAAAGAGGACGTCACGTGACTTTAAATTCGAGATCTTGAGTTTTAATTACTCAATCTTTGATTTTAAAAGAAGTCAAAGGTATTTAACTAAATATTACTCCATTAAATGATATTTTTATAAATAAAATGATTCAAAATTTATTATTTGTTCTAAAATAAAAGAAAATAAAAGAAGTCTCGTTCCATAAAAAGGGGAATCCCCAAGTCCATATTCCCAAATTTTGTGATATTTTGTGTGTTTTCTAGATATTTCCATTTTGGAACAGTTTCGATTAGATTATCAAAAGGAATGTTGTAGGATAAGTAAGTATAAATTTTTTCCTTGATTTAAATCTACCGACTAAGTCTGGTGTGGAAGTTAGATCAACAAAATAAGTGTAAACAATTTGAAGAAAATGAAAAAAACTCAAAAAACGTCAAATGCCCATGAATCATATAAAAATTCAAAAAAGTTTATAATTTCCTTGGTGGTGGTAGAATTTCGAACATCTTATTATTCGAAACAATGACTACTAAATTATTAGGGATGTTTTAGCTGACATGATATGTATTTCCATCTGTGGGTGGGAGAAGAGGCTGTTTATTATGTCGGTTATCCAGTGGAAATGCATCTCATTTTTTCTCAGCCATATGTGATGCCAGAGCATACAGGAACCAGAGCGATGTGATGAGTATCAGAATGCATGCTTTATCTCATTTTTAGTCTATTACTGAATTTCACTTCTTTAGCTCAGCGAAGTCTGATCTTGAAGGATGGTTCTTTCTGTAGCTATATGAGTTTTCGGTGATTTCAAACAAACATAATTTTTGTATTACCTAGCCATTTTAGCTTGGTTATCTTATAATTTATCTTGAAGATAAAAGTTTGTGTATAAGGAAGTTAATACTCTACAAATGTATTAGTCATGAACTGGGATGCAGGAATTTCCCTGACTTGAAATTCTTAGAAGTATAGATCTTTGATCATCAATTGTTTATATACTGTACTGTTGTCTATGCACATAAATGGGGGTTGATTTTTCACCCCCGCAACTTATTGCATATTGAAATCTTGAGACTGTAAAACATTGTCAGTAGTAAAGCTGAGTTTTATCTAAATAACCACTAATCCAGCTTATTTTTTACTGCAAGATTTCAATACCCAAGTAGTTGGTGGGATGATTTGAAAATTCAACCCACATTTATGGGGTTATGTTTGTCAGAACCATTGATTGACAATCATTTACTCATTGACATAGACATCAACATAACTTCCAATATTGCTTTTGTGACTAGTATCCAACAGTTGACATCTTTAAAGAAATATTACATTTTTAACCAATACTGCAGGTGGTGATATTTTTTCATCTTACTGTCTTGTTCATAGGATGAGGTAGATAGAAATAATTTTAAATAAAGATGGCATGGTAACCAATCTGTGTTCATTTATACAAATATGATATTGGATTCTGCCGTTGCTGCCATCTTTATATCGGCCCAAAACCTATGGTCTTGTTCACTCTCTTGGTAGTTTTGATGTTACTATGCAGGCCCGTCAGATGGGGGGGTGCGATGGGTGCGACCGCACCCCCCTTTGACACCCCCCAAAAAAATTTGAAAAATTAAAAAAACAATTTTGAAAAAAAAAATTTTTGTAATTTTTTTTCATCATCTCATACGCTTTTAAAGTGCCCAGAAAGCATCAAATAACATCTTAAAATTGTAAAATTTTCTAGAGGGAGTGGTCCACCCCTCACACCCCCCTCAATACAATGGAAAAGTTCTGAATTTATTTTATGTATTGTCTCAGACACTTTTAAAGTGCCCAAGTGCCCACACATCATCACATAGCTCTTTGATATAGTCAATGTTTCTGGGGGACTTACACTTGCTCCCCTTCGGGATCCCCATCCCACCTCCCCCTCTGGCACCCTCGCCCCCCTTGACACCCATCCAAAAAATTGAAAAAATTGTGATTTTCTCAATTTTTTAATTAACTCATACACTTTGAAAGTGCCCAGAGAGCAATAAATAGCGTTTTAAAATTGTAAAATTTTCTAGGGGGAGTGGACCACCCCTCACACCCCAAAAAACAATTGAAAAGTTCTGAATTTATTTTATATATCATCTCAGACACATGTAAAGTGCCCAGACATCATCAAATAGCTCCTTGATATAGTCAATGATTCTGGGAGACTAACACTTACTCGCCCTCTTGCATCCCCACACCACCTCCCCCTCTGGCACCTCCCCCTTTGACATCCCCCAAAATATTGTGATTTTTTTCAAAAATTTTTATAGTGTCATACACTTCGAAAGTGCCCAGGAAGCACCAAATAGCATCCTAAAATTGTAAAATTTTCCAGGGAAGTAGGCCACCCCTCACACCCCCCCACAAAACAATTGACAAAAATTCTGAATTTATTTCAAGCATTGTCTCAGACACTTTTAAAGTGCCAAGACTTCATCAAATAGCACCTTGATATGGTCAATGTTTCTGGGGGCAGATATGGGGGACAAACACTTGCTCCCCCTCTGGCACCCTAATCCCACCTCCCCCTCTGGCATCCCCTTTGACACCCCCAAAAATTGAAAAAAATGAATTTTTTTTGATTGACTCATACACTTTAAAAGTGCCCAGAAGCACCAAATATCATCTTAAAATTTTCTGGAAGAGTTGACCACCCCTCACACCCCCACAAAACAATTGAGAAAACTTTGAATTTCATGTATTGTCTCAGACATTTTTAAAGTGCCCAGACATCATCAGATGGCACCTTGATATGGTCATTGTTTCTTGGGGCAACCCCTCGCTCTCCCTCTGGCACTCCACCCCACTTCACCCTCTCAATCTCTTTGACATCCCCAAAAAGAATTTGAAAAAATTCACTTTTTATTGACTCATTCACTTTAAAAGTGCCCAGAAAGCACCAAATGGGATCTCAAAAGTGCAAATTTTCTAAGGGGAGTAGGTCACTCCTAGCCTCACAAGTTTGGAAGTTGCATTTGTTATTTTAAACACTTTAAAAGTGCCTAGAAGTCACCAAGTGACATGATGAAATCATAAAAACATAAAAATTTCTGGCAGCCCACTCCAAAAACTAAAGCATTCATTTACTCAAACACATTAAAAGTGCTCAGAATTAACCAGACAGCAAATTGAATTAGTGAAATGGTTATAATGAAAACACGCGCCACGCGCCAATGCGCTAATAGAAAATGATCCTTCCCCCACGATGTGTGCGCATGTTTTAAGCGCATGTTTATGATTGGTCTATACCCTTGGCCCAGGGACATGTATAATTAGGGTTATGACTCCCTGGGAACTTGTCAGAACATTGACAGTTCAAAGACTGTAATTTCCCTTGCTGCCCCCCTAAGAAGAAAATGATTGAAAAAAATCTGAATTTCTTATCAATAGATTCTATTTCAATTAAAACACCTTGAAAGGGTCCAGAAATCACTAAATGTGATCTTGAACTGGTAAAAGTTCTCGGGCATTTATGCCCTTCTAGTAAGCTTACACCCTCCCCCTATTCCAGTGTTTCTCCAAATTTCTCATACAATATTTAGTCTAAAAACAATACGAAAACAATAAAATACTACAAAATATAGGGAGTAACCGACCCCCCCCCTCCTTTGACTTACGCAATTTGATTTACGCGGCAAAAAATTGACAATTTTATTTTCTCTTTAGTTAAAACCGCACCCCCCTTGGAGAAAAGTGTCTTACGGGCCTGCTATGTCACTTCCAAGAAGTAGTGGTGACATTGTTATTTTATTCTTAGTGACTAGCATTCAGCAGTTGGCATGTTATGTTATAAAGTAGCCAGTATTGCTGGAGGTGATATTTTTCAATGCCTTGATTACTTTTGTTTAGTGGAAGTTTTGATATTATTCTGTGATTAAGAAGTTGTGAAATATTTTAATTATATTCACTGTTTTCTTACCAAAATTTGGTGTCCATGCACAGTGTCTGGAACCGTGGTGATGTTTTATTATGTTCAATGTCTTAATTTAAGATGATTTTTCAAAGTTATACATCTTCCTGTTTCATATCTCAAATATGAGACTTCTTAGAAATTAGAAGTAGCAGCTACATGCATCAAAATTGAAGTGCATTTTACACTTAAAAATGTTATCATTGCCCCAGAGTGCCTGTTACTTGGGCTTGTCTATTAGGTCCATACAGGAGCAGACTTTATATTAACAAGGTGCTGGGGGGGGGGGCAGAAATACTTTGCCAGAAAAAAATTTATCCAGTTCTTAAAAATAATTGGTCCCACTTCTATAACAAGGTATTTTTGCAAAAAACCAAGGCCTTAATTGTTGTTTTATAAATGGGTCATTTTTCAAAAAGGCCTAAAATGAAAAAATATTTGGGCTCAGAAATTATTCCTTTATAGATAGTTAACCCGAGTACTAAATCAAAGAAAATGCTTCCAAACAAAACACACTCCTACTCTGTGGGTCAGAATGTAAGAATCTAGTACCAACAAAAAGTTCTAAAAAGCAAGCCCAATGTCCTGTTTAAGAACCCCTATTCTAACTACATGTATTAGAAATGGATTCTAGCAATACTCAACAACATGAATCCACTTGTTGAGACTTGATCAATTTGAGTTCTTCTGAGAAAATGAGGATTTCAGCAAGGGTGCCATTCTCATTGCTGAAATTCTTATTTTCTCAGAAGAACTAAAATTGATCGAGTCTCAACAAGTAGATTCATGTTGGTGAGTATTGCTTGAATCCATTTTCAATAGTTAGAATATCTTAAACAAGACATTAAAGCTTAACTATGGCCTTTTTGAAATTTTGGTTTATTACTAATCTCACGTATGAATGGCTACTGTGGCTCAGATAGAAAAGGGGTGAAACACACTTGTACCAGGGATGTAACAATGGGAAAATATTCCGATTTATTCAGTTTATTTATGGGGATACCAACATAACCATTGACTAGTCATACAGCAAATATTTTTTGACTTTCGTTCGTACATAAAAATGATTAAGAATGTAGTAATAAACTTATCCAAATAAAAACTTGAAAAAAAACTAATATATTCCCTTTTTAGATGCCAGACACAAATTGACTGTGCACTACACACTTTTGACTACTTGTTGTAAATCAATTTAGACAACTTGAGTAGATTCAGCATTACTCAATGATATACCAAAGTAGAATCAAAGTCCAAGGTTGATGACTCAAACACCTGATTATCAGTCACTATATATATTTATATAAAAATGTAATACCATATTATATGGTGATGAAAATGTTTGTATGTGCATGAATGTAAAGGGAATGATCTTTGTCATTTTTATATACACCGAGGATTACAGCTAAATAGACTAGAATAAAAGTACAATATAAGAAGTATGTAAAAGTATAATATAAGAAGTTAACAGCAGCTTATACCTGTGGATGTTGGATTATATATAAAAAGGAAACATATCCTTATACTTATAAAACCACCAAGAAAATCTAAAAATGGATCAGCATGTAAGGATGTGGTTTATTCAGGCTTAACAAACCATTCAGTTCTGGCCATCTTATTGGATATATCGAGTGTCCCAAAAAAATGAGACACTTTTTGCCAAGTAAAAAGTGTCTCATTTTTTGGGACACCCGATATAATTAAGTTCATATCAAATGAGTATCCTATTATATATGAGTGATACAATATTTACTCACAAGTGGATATGAAGTAACAATATCCATGAGTGGATAAAAACATATTATGAGTAAATCATAGGATGTTATTTTTATTTCATAGATTTAAATAATTCAAACCAAACTTTCCAATGACTGATTGGTTAACTGTCAGCATCATGTTGAGTTAAGTAGCAAAAATCTGTTCACCATTGATATGATGCCTCATCTTATGGTTTAAAAACTGTATTAGATGGTTAAGTGAAAATGTGTCACAATTATGATATTTCTCCCTTGGTTATAAAAATGCTAGTTAGTCTGTCTGTTTGATCATTGGTTTGGATATTGGGGGCTGGTTGTGTTTCAGTAATACTAAAGGTTTCTTCTCATTTGGCCATACTATGAATACATATTAACAAACAGAGATTGGCATCATTTCATATATATACAAATGCTAATACTGCTGATGCTAAAGATTACTCCTGCTTTATTTTCAGGTTTTAAACAAAATAATCCTGGATTTTCAAAATGGCATCTATAAGCAGTATGAGTCCAATGACGCCACCTGGTATGGCAAGGACGCCCAGCAGTAACGGATCAGATTTTATCGTTCTTTCGAGGCCACCATCATCTGTGAATGGGCAAGCTTTAGTTGATGAGCAGTTTGAGTTACAAGAACGTGCAGAATTCGATCTATCTCTTAGCTCACTTAGCGCATTGACCATGGATGAAGCAATGGACAGAATAAAGGACCTCCTTCTGGAGAACAGAAGTCTGAAAGGTTTAAGTTATTGTATTTTATCATGATGAATTATGTTATGTTAATTCTTAGTATATTGCATCCTAAGCTATTTGAACTATTTTTGATTTTTGATATTATATTATTATATATTATATAAATATATATAGTATATAAATTATATGCTATGTATATTTGGACTGGTATGATCGTAAATTTGAAGTTGATTTGTAAACATACACTGTTCCATGACATTTTTCATTCACAAGTTACCAGATTTTCTCTCCGTTATTGACTCAAAAGAAAATGAAACTGTTTTTGTTATTACAGAGTCTATTTTAACTTGAAGGTTGTTCACCAACCCTTGTACCATTTGCAAATATGTAACCTTGTACAACTTTGGGAGTTCTATGCGTCATATACTGCCATAAATAAGTCTCGAGTTATTTCAAGTATTAGGTCAAAGGTCATTTTATTTATCATCAAAATCATAGAACTGCCTTAGTTCTGAATCATAGATTTTGAATACTGTATTGTAAAACATATTAAATTCACAGACATCTTTAATTTGGTGTAAAATTACTTAGGATGCAGGGAATTTCAAATTGTATTCCTGGCACAAATTGAGGGATGCAAAAATGCAAAAACATGAGGTTGCGAAAAGAAACGAATGTATATATTCACAAAAATTGCTCCAATAAAGTTAAAGTGTGAATATCGATTGCCGAGTCGTATCCAATGATCCTGGGCCTATCGTAAAATGAAAGCTTTGAATATGTTGTTGCCTTTAAAAATGTATCTATTTTCCATGTATGCAACTAGAATTTGTGCACATACCTTATAATGATCGATAATGGCAAAGGAAAATCCTCTAATTCTGCGTCATATTTTCTCCTTCGACATCCGCCATTTTTTATTAAACCAGAAGTTTTTTCTCTGACGTCCGCGCAATGTTTTTTCACTTTTATTTCAGATTACGCTTCGGATTCAACTTTTAATGCTTTCTAATAATCGTTAAGTGTTTTCTATAAGAAAGATTTCATAAAAAGACTCACACTATCAGAGATTTTATCGATTCGAGCAGCCAGAAAAATTAGTTTCAATTTCGCCCGCTAGGTGTTTCGATGTCGACTTGGAAAGAATTTGAAAAATCTATGAGTGGGACTCCTTGTATGGAATTGTAGATTCTAAACGATTTGCCAGTTCTACTGGTTGATGAATATTGCCATATGCATACATTTTTATAAAATAGGAATAAGGAAGAAGATGTTGGACCAAACTTCACCCCGATAGCTCAGAAAATGTAAAATTTCTCCATTTTTCTCTCCACAGACCTTAGAGCCGCTTTAATGTGTTTTACAGTAATGGGTGTCTATTTGTCATAGAGGGTGTCATGAATCCCCCCCCTCCCCTGACAAAAGAATAGAAGAAAAGTTTCCTAATTTTAACTTAAGGTCATGTTTTTTGTTCTAGAAATTAGAATTTTGAAGTGGTGAACCCCTTCCTCCCACCAATGGTATTTGTTTTAAAATTAAAACATGTATGCATGTAATTTGATTCAGAAACTATTGCTGGAAACAATACAGCAATGAGGGAACAATATGACCTGTTGTCACAATGGAGGCAACAGATGCAGACAACATCAGAGGAAACGAAACAAAGATACGAGCAGGTACACAATTTGTGCTTTTGTATCCCCTTTTCACCTCACATGGTGACCCTGTGTACCCGATGATTCATCCATCTGTCCATAGGTACATCAACAATTGTCAAACAAATTGGTCACAGCTTACCTAATTTAGGAAAAATTAGCTTTTTGTCACCAGCACAATTGGTGACATGTTGTTATAGCCTCCAACTTCATTGTGGATGGTTTTCAGTAGTTGGTGTTCAGCAGTTGGTGTTCAGTGTTTGACATCTGTAACAAATGGCAGGTGGTGACATTTTGCATGTTAATGCCTCATTCCATCATGTGAGCCCAGTGAATGATGCTTGAATAATATATCATTCACACAAAAAGGCCATAAATGATGCCACGTTAAGTTAATTCCATATTTCATTAAATTAGTTTGATTTTGTGGCTCAGACTGTTATTATTATTAATTATAGAATGTGATGGAACTGAAAGTGAAAACGTGAAAAGAGAAAGTATGATGTATATTTTAGAAAATCATGAACTCTATGCATGTTATGTTTCCAGCTTTTACACAATGTTATATTATTTCAGGTTTATACCCTATTATGTTATATTTCAGGCAAGAAATGTTGTGACGAACCTCCGCAAAGCTAACACAGAGTCACGTCAGAGAATACAGGAATTAGAGACAGAAATTGAATCTTTGAAACTACTTATACCAAAAGAAGACTCGATGGGGTCAAACAGAAGTATCACTGAGGTAATGTTTTTGGTTGGAAAATTAACCATAATTACTTGCGTCTTAAGAATGGGACAGATTTGACATCATTCATGGGTTAGTTTTGTCATGTATGTATTAAGGAAGTGATTGGGGGGGAAATAGCAACTATGGTGTGATGCTCAAAAATGAATCATATACATTCAGATTATGTCATCAATCAGAATTTTTACCTGTTCCCAGAGTGGTTGACTTTGTCTCGTACTCTATAAATACCACTAAATGTCTGGACATACTGGTTTAATCAGAGCTAGTAATTCTGTTAATTCAATTGCGATTCTCTCTGCTTTGTGAAATACTAACCTGTATTGAGCGATTGATCCTGTTCAGGGGTTCGTTTTAGGTACAATCGTAACTTATGATTCCACGAAAACCATTGTCTATTTTATGACGAACAATGACTTGCGATCAAATCGAAAGTTACGAGTAGTCTTCAGGCAAATGAACTCAGGGAGATTTGTTTATTGCAGATAGAGGAGTTGAAGGGGCAGGTGGAAGCCCTTCATCAGACCAACAAGATGTTGTCACAGAGCAAGGCGAACTCGGACAAGATGGTGACAGACCTGAGTAAAGAAGTAGAGACACTAAGGGGGAGGTTGGAGGGCTTCGAGCTGAATAATTTAGTGGAAGCTGCACAGGTATGTTGTATTAAATAGTTGCCAATATCACAAGGATGTATCCAATGGAAACTCAACTGCCAATTGTCTTTACTGTTACATCTAATATAATTGAGCCGTTTCATATTTAAATCTGTTTCATTGATCCACATTTTCACTGAAGTTTGAATCTCCCATTTGAATTTCCTCTCTTTTGTACTGATTGATAAATTCTCCCAGCCTGTATTTCTATGATCTGAATGTTTGTTGTATTCTTTTGTCCCTCTGAGTTGAATTATGTTCATTGATAAAATAACATGATGGTAGTTGTAGATATTGCTTTGTGTGTACTTATAGATGGGTAACCTTATGTCTGGCCCTTACACAGACACTGAGGTACCCAATCAAGATGATGCTCCCTCAGACCAAGCAGCAGCAATTACAGAAGACGTAAAACAGAATGCTCCCTCAGAAGATGACATCCTTAAGAAAGAGAAAGAACTAAAGGATTCAATTGAAAGTTTGAAGAATGAAAATGAGAAAATCAACAAAGAGCTGATGAAATTGAGACAACTGTACGAGAAATCGCTAATGGAAAAGAAGGATCTTCTTGCATTAAACACCCAGTTAAACGGAGAAATATCTGAATACCGCAGCCAGAGTGGAAATATGTTGTCAATGTCATCGGGCAACTACATTTTTGTGTCACCTGATGGTGATGAAAAAACCAAGAAGGAATCTGCCAAGGCACAGACATCACTCAACAGCTTAGAAGCTGTTCCCAAGGAGACACAAGAGCCACAACGTATTGCCATAGCAACCAAACAGATGGAAAAACAAAATAATGCCATGGCGACATCTATCAATGCTAACATCAAGACCCTCGTGCATATGGAAAGTATAGATGATGCTGAACGCATCCAGTCTGTTGAGGAGATGAAGAGTCCTAATGCAGAGATTCTGGTACAACTGCAGCAAACACGGACACAAGTATCTGAGCTGACAGCTGCACTTTCAGACAGAGAAAAAAGAGTAAGTTCATAACTCTTGCAGTGTGGAATTAGTTCAGTTTACTTGCAATTCAACTCCAATTGCTGAATTGATGTTTCAAATATGACATCATCTGACTTCCTTAATATATAAAATACAGTGTATATAAAGCAATGACAGAAGTGCTAATTTTTTATGCGATACTTACCATGCAAAAAATATTACTTTTTAGGTGGGGCATACTGGACCTTATTTTCAATCTAAAGTATTTCCAAAATAATTCTGTCACCACCAGAAGTTGTGACATATTGTTTTAGTCTCCAACTTTTTTGTGAACGGTGTTCAACAGTTGCTGTTCAGTGGTTGGTGTTTGATGTCTGTCAAAAATGGGAGGTGGTGACATTTTGCATGTTAATGCCTTGTCTTATACTGTATCTTGTTCATATAGATTGAGCAGTTACACAATGAACTACAGAGCAAAGCCAGCCAGTTGAATAGGAGTCAATCGGAGAAAGACACGACTGTCTCTCAGCTTACACAGCAGTATCAGACCAGGGAGACACAACTAGTACAACAGCTAGATTCCATTCAGACAGAACTCTTGCAGTATAAAGGATCACAGGTAATGTAAAAAGATAAAACAGATGTGTTCAATTCTGGCTATTCCCAATATATTAATACTGTAAACCTTGAATGTTATCTCTAGAACAATTTGAACATATATGTACTCCCACTAATATTTGACGTTAATATATTTCGTGTTTTTGGCATTTTGAAATTTTTGCGGCTATTATATTTCGCTAATTTTCAGTTTTTTGAAATTGCGCGGCTATTAATCTCCTTGGATTTGTCATACAGGATCACTCTCTCGACTTTGATATCAGCCATGGTTGTTCCTGCACCCAATGATTTTGGCTTCTTATTTAGCCTTTTCGTTAGAATGTTCATTTTAATACAGTAATAACGATCTCTCTTCTAATTTCTCTTTTTCAAAACTCAAAATGTCACGTTTATACCTATTATCGCCAGCACTGGATGAAAATATTGTCAACATTGAAATCCCCCGGAAATTTTCTTGGAATTTCCCGAATTAAAACTGGAGGAATTTCATGGCTATTATATTTCGCAAATTTTCCAAAACTCGCGAAAAGCACAAAATATAGTAGCCTGCGAAAATTACCGGGAATACAGTCTGCTATTTAACTGGGTTCTATCCTATCACCTCTAAGGATATATCCATTATCTAAGTCATATAGGGTATCATTGTATCTTACCCTAATCAAAAATTGTATATGAGGATGGAATATACTTTGCTCATTATGTATATATAGAGGTTACATGTATATACTGGGAGGGATTGAATATGGGTTTTATTCCATGGTACAATATGATATTTCCGGAGGGCCCGGATACTCCATTCCAGCTCTTTCATAGAATAACTTCATATATACTCTATTACCCCATGTTTTTCCAGCCTAGCACTAACCAGAGCACTGAGGACATCCAGAGCCTGCGTTCCCAGGTCCTCAGTCTTGTAAATGAACTGCATGAGGCAGAGTCAAAGTTAAAAGCTGCTGGTAAAGCCATTGAAACATACAAAAATCGGTAAGTTAAATAATAGAATAGCGGCTGGGAGGAATGTAAGTCTAAATAAAGATAATCCAATTCATTTAGTTTGGAACTTAAAAGCTTCTTAAGACTACTATGTGTAGGGATATGTGCTGAGGCAAGAGCCATATCTCACTTGGGTTTAGTAGTAAGTGATAACGACAATGGACTGAGGTTTAAACGTTAGTTTACTAGTCGAAAACAAGTGGGTTAATATTTATTGATGAAAATGAGTTAATTCCTCAAGCAAAAGTTTAACCCTAAGGTGTTAGTTTATAAAACAATTGCATTAGAGAGGGTTTCAAACGACATATATCAGGTACGCACATTTTACAACAACACCATGAACACTGTGCACTGATTTTTGGCAACATTCCTAAATACGACAGAAATACGAGGGACTTCTTGATTTAGAATTGTGAACAATTTACAGCATTAAAAAAACTCCGAACATTTAACTATTTTATTAATATCTTCGGAGAACGAGAATCAAATTGACCCATCTTCACTTTTTGATATGTTTGGATGTTTTCTAAGTAAAGAGGTCCAGGTACTCAGACCTTCACAATTTAAAGATCTTAATCAGTTCAAAATGTTTGGATTTTTCCTACTTTTGCCGTTCGGTAAATAACAACCGCGTTAAAAGTAAGCTTGGCAATTTACTTATACAGTGAAACGTGACTTAGAAAACACTCTTCTGTAAGGAACACCTGCTTTACAAGTTATAGAACGTCTTTCAAAATATGCATAAAATTTCATTCAGTCTGTATCCCTATTTATCAATACAATTCATTACTACACTGCTAACATCTCCTTCACACGAGCCATAATTTTTTTTAAATGATCTCTTATTTATACATAACACATAATTTTTTCACTGCACAGGGGCGTAGCCAGCTTTCAGTCAGGGTGGGTGTGGTCGCCAAAAAATTTCGGTTTTTAGTCAGAGGTAACCCAAAAAAGGTTCATTTTTGTTTTGAATTTTACAAAAATTGATGCAACTTCCTTCAAAATTGAGCTAGAAGCTTCAAATAAAAGAATTTTATCTTATAGTTATATTTTCATTGGTTATGGGAGGAATGTGATCGCACCCTGCTTGATACGCCTATCCTGTATTTTAGACTTTAGTTATGTACTCCTATCCTGTATTTTAGACTTTAGTTATGTAAGGCCCTTTGACATATACGTATGTGTTCGTATAAATAGTATGCATTAACAAACATAGATTATTTTTCCCCGTATTGTAGACTAGGAGAGGCCCAGGCTTACAAACATTGATTATTTTTTCCTGTATTGTAGACTACAGGAGGCCCAGGGGAACCTGAGAGAGAAGAACCAAGAACTAGAGGTATTGAGAAACAAGGATGACCAACTTATTGACTCTATGAGAATAACTATTACTAATTTAGAAGCTGCACTGAACAGAGAGAGGTTCGAGGCACAACAGTCCAAGCAGGAGCTGCACATTCAGAGGTAAAATATGGGTCAAGTTGAAAATGAGAAGAATGGGTCAAGTTGAAAATGAGAGGAATGGGTCAAGTTGAAAATGAGAGGAATGGGTCAAGTTGAAAATGAGAAGAATGGGTCAAGTTGAAAATGGGAGGAATGGGTCAAGTTGAAAATGAGAGGAATGGGTCAAGTTGAAAATGAGAAGAATGGGTCCAGTTGATATGAGAAGAATGGGTCAAGTTGAAAATTATTTTGAGAAAATTGTCTTTCAATATTTTTGCTCTAATCATGTCAAGAGTATTTGATCAGATATCTCAATTATTTTTTCAGAAAATAATTAATACTGTAATGTAAAGTGGGCATCATGTTTAAAAACTGCTTCCAAAACTGCTTCCAATATTTTAAAGCTTCTATCCTTTTAATTCCTTTTACCTAACATATGCTCAAATATATCAACTGTTTGCCAACCCCCACAAAACTCGCATTACACGAATGAATGACGTCTAGTTACCGGATACTTTTAGGCAACAGACTGCAGAGTGTAGGAACCAGTATGACCAGCTGTGTAATGATTATCATGAACTCCTGAACACATTTGAGGACTTCAAGGCATCACAGGTAAAGTACAAATCACATTACAGCAAGGTCCTATATGTTTCCTAGATCTAAGTGAAAATGATGCAAGGCTGCAAAGAACTTGGGTTACCTGAATGTACATGTGCAGTAACTTCTGTGTTTGAACAATTGACATTGATAAAACTTGGAGATTCATTCAACCATTTAAATATATAATGAGGTGGGCTACATTGAATTACTTTTGGATTTGTTTGAAAAAGTTGAATCTAACCATCCTTTTAGTACATGGGTATTTCACTTCTTTCCTGAGCTGCTTGAGCATATACATTCATTTTCAGACGTGAATATATTGAGAAAAAAAGCCGAAAAATTTAAACTAATAAAACCAATCAACGTTGTCTTCTTATGTTGAAAATATGCTTGCAGGAAGATCATGCTCGAGAACTCGCAAGGCAACCTGTACCAAATGTCCGCATTTATGAAGAGAAAATTGACATCCTTACTGCACAGCTTGTCTCTGCGGAGGAGAGTTTAACTGCTAAGGAGAATGAAATCAAAATTCTGCTAGGAGAGAACCAACAAATGAAAGCTGATTTAGAGACCATTCCAATCTTACAACAACAGGTATTTGAGATATATCTTCATACCTTTGGATTCAGTTTTTAATGTCGCTCAATATCCTAGATGCGAGTAGAAATAATCTTGATTTACATGTACATCTTGATTTACGTCATTTATAATTCAGTCAAACTGATGTCATATTTGGAATCTACATGTAAAATTACATTTAGAAATGTGGTTTTAAAAAGAGTTTATCAACTTTGAAAATTTAATTTTCTTTGAAAATGTGACTTCTAGGTCGGGGAGATTCCCCATAGACCCCATGTTGTAAAACCACAAAAAGTGAAATAATTTTTCTTGTGTTGGGCAGATAATATTTCCTTTAACTGGACATATTTTAATTTGTATAACTATCAGATACATAAAGGTAATATGAAAAGTGAACCACTAAAACTGATGCATATTCAAGTTTAAGGGAATTTTGTAATACCCTGCCATGTTAATTCCCCCGAATCAGCCATCTGGTGGCGAAACTGGTAACTACCTACTCTCATCTGATTAATTGTACTTGATAATATATTTCCAAATCTTCCTATATTGTAAAGGTCATTTCAATACAAGTTTATTAAAATGCATTTCAGGCTGAAATATACGAAACTGACTTTCGACAGGAGCGTGATGCCAGAGAGAGGCTTCATGGCGAGAAAGAACGATTTGAACAAGAGGTGGCCCAGCTCCAGCTACGTAACCAGCAACTCCAGGACGAACTTAATGCCTATACAAACAACCAGTTTGAGGAAATGCAGCGTAGACATGGCCAGGGATATGCGAAAAATGTTATGGGACTCCGAAGGCAGAATCCAACTGTCCCACAGGAGTACCAATATCAAGTAGTGGATGGTAAGCTACCTGGTGGAGCCCAAGGTGGATTACCACAACCAGCCAGAGAAAGGCAAGACTACCAATACCCTGGCCATTTCGAGGATTTTGATCAAGTCCCTGTCCCAAGGACACCACAAGAGGACATTAATGAAGGGATTGGGAACCTTCAAGGACCTGACAGGAATCTTACCGCGAGGGGAAATCAACCCCAACCACAAGGCCAGTTAACATGTCCCAAGTGTAACTCTGCTTGGCCAGATGTTGATACTTTACAAGCACATTGTATTGAATGCTTGAACTTGTAGATTCACAAACACATTGCTTTATTAAAAAGCTGGACCAAAATGATTGCGTGACTCTAGTATGTACAGGTTGACCCGAATATGTCACTCTCTAATTTTGTGATAACTTTCTCAATATTGGTGGAATCATCCTGAATTTTCTTAGGTTGATAGAGTGGTCAATGAAGCAAATTTCATGTACATCTTTTTGAGATTAAGAAAAATCATGTTTGAGAAGGTTTTTCAAAGACGGTTGCATTTTTGCGGCAGTCCCTATCCTTAAATGTTGTGGAAATATAGCAACCAGATAACTTTGCGGTACTTATGGTATGGAATGGTGTTTGAAATTATTGTACGTTTTGTATACCTATATTATATTAAATAGTAACTACATGTATATATGTTATGCTCTGTATATCACATAATCATCAAGAGTGATCCTTGTGGACAGTGGGTATACATAGAGGAATGCAGATTCTGTGAGAATCACTTCAGAGTAAATAAAAATATACTACAGTAAATGAAATGGTGAATCAGGGAGTCTAGGAGGTCCTTCAACCTGATGTACTTTAAAATCATAATATAATTCATGTTTAGTGGGTGTGGTATGGTATACCTTTTCTCAATTTACCCAACATTATTTTAATATATATTATTTGAATAGCTAAACAATAAGCATATAAGTTTATATGTTGTAGAATATTACATGTATTATTGTTATTTAGAACAAGACAAGGAACCAGAACATCTAGATATAATTGTTTTATAGATTGTGCCAAAGATGGGATATGGGAGAGGATACAACATGGAAATGAGTGTTAAATGCTTAGTACCTATCTTCTATTCTACAACACATATATTTTTAATAATTTAGGTTTAGAATATGTAGATACAGGCACATTGCTCTTTTTATTTACACAATGACGATTTTACAATATACAACAAAGTATATAAAAGAGTGAAATTCCATAACTGTGTGCAATTTAATTACTGGTATTAGCCCAGAAAATGATGTTTGTTTAACTGTGTGCAATTTAATTATATCCCAGAAAATGATGTTTGTTGTAGTTAATTATATATAAGAATATCATTTAAAATAAATATTTGGTATTAGTTCAACAAGTGTGCATGTTTAATGTGTGTTTGATTCAAGTAAGGATTAAAAGTACAGGGTGGTCCACAGAAAATGGGATACTCATATTTCAAAAATAAATATTGATTTTCTTGATGAAAACATGTCATATTATATACCAGTGGATAGGGAATTTACTGATCTTTAATTTGGTATATCATACGTTCAAATTTATTATAATGTCTGTCAACCAGCATCCATAATCTAAATGACGTCATCTTTATTTCAAAACGGATTTTTCAAAACTTGCAAAATCAAGTTTTATTGTCAACTTTATTTACATAAACAGACGTTCAATATGTCCACAATTTTGATCAATTGCATTGTACCCCTCAATTTTGGCCTAAACTGGCCAATAGCATCATTGATATGCAATGAATTTCACTTCACATTAATTCAATTATGTCCTCAAGAGACTGAATAGATGTAAAGGATTCATGGTACACGAGTTCTGTTAGTTCTCCCCATACGTGGTAGTCACAGATGCTGGGTGATCGTGTGATCTGGTTTGGGGGAGGCAGCGATTAGGGGGATGAATCTAGGCACATTTTCGTTTAAACATTTGACACTCTTATGAGATCTATTGCTTGGAGCCCCATCTTTTTGGAAAATGTAATGATTCAAGAATGAGCTCATATCAGGATGGTCTAAAAACAACATAATTGGATAATGCGATGTCAACGTCTGCGACTACCACGTCTTGGGAGAACCTACAGAATTGGTTTCCCATGAACCCCTTACATAAATATATAAGCACTAGTGCCAAAGGGAAAGGACCAAAAGTTGTAATGGAACTTAGCAAGAAAAAGCAAACTCTAAGTGCATACCAGTCAAGAAAAACAAGCCCCATATAGCCCAAAACCATGATCTAACGTGAAAAGAAACAATGTCTAATACCCCCTTTCCCCCCACCATTCAAGAATCAATATCACAATCCAAGACCAGAAGACCATTCATACTGAAGTCATTACAATACATGTTGAAGAAAAAATTAGAAATTGATAGCCAATTGATAACCAATACTCATAACCTCAAAAATTGATGATGTTTTTGCCCAGTTTAGACCAAAATTGAGGCGTACAATTGATCAAAATGATGGACATATTGAACATATCTTTGTGTAAATAAAGTTGACAAAAAACTTGTTTTTTGCAAGTTTTAGAAAACCCGTTTTGAAACTAAAATGACATCATTTGGATAACAGACGCTGGTTGACAGACATTGTAATAAATTTGAATTTATGATATACCAAATTAAAGATAAGTAAATTCCCTATCCACTGGTATATAATATGACATGTTTTCATCAAGAAAATCAATATTTATTTTTGAAATACGAGTGTCCCATTTTTTGACCACCCTGTATATGATGGTGCCAAAGACCCATAGTCAGGATTTGCCAAGGGGGGTTCACTTGTGACAATTTTGGTCCAAAATGGCCAAAATCAGTGCTCAGAATGGTGAAAAACTGCATGATTTTGAAAGATTTTTTTTGGCCAGGGGGGTTGTTCGAACCCATCAACCACCACCCACCCCCCCCCCCCCCACCTGGCTACGGGCCTGGTGCCAGGATGAAGAAATCATAAATGCATTGACAGAATATTCAGAATTACATGCAATGACCTCATGAATCTTAATGACATAATTAAACTTCTGTATTTGTGATAGGATGTCATAAGATTAAACTCTCAAGCACATTCAGTGATTAGAGGAAGTACTCATTCAAAAGCAAATGCTATATCAACACGTTTTATGGGAAAATATTTACAAAAGTAAATTTACAATGGTAAATATTATATCCTGAAGCCTTGAAAACAAACCCCTAGAGTCAAACATGTCTCGGAAGTCTCAAAAGTAATAATATTTACCATATAACTGTTTGATATTTTAAACCATTGAACCAATCATGCAGTTAATATAGAGATGCCCTATTAGAAAGAGTGCTCGGCAATTTCATATTGCATATTAAGTAAAAACTTCCAAAACTGCAACATTATATTCATTTCACAAAAAGCAATAAATTGAGAATGATGTTACAGAAATGCAAAAAAATGTTTTTAATTGAAAACAGGTTAAGCCAAAATTATTCTCTCCATTGTAAAATCAAGGCCAGGGGGCTACCAGTTTCCTGTTAAACACACCAGCAAATGACATTGCCACTGGCCTAACAACAAAGGTCATACAAATTAGAGTAATCATGGTCTCAACAAATATTCAAGGGGAAGGAACAAATTGACCACTTAATTTTGCCTCTGAAAAGTTCATACACACATTGGAGATAATGCATCTGAACAAATGAAGTGCTTAATAAATAATTAGACAAAGCTACTACTGATACAACAATGTAGGAATACACTTGTATACTGTCTATGTACTGAACACCAGCAATGTCTACTACAGTTGTGTCAACTGAAACAACCATTGCAGCAGAAACTACAACATTAGGTCTAATTACAACAACAGAAACTACAACATTAGGCCTAAATACTACGGCAGGAATTACAACATCAGGTCTAAATACAACAACAGGAATTACAACATTAGGAGTGAATTCAACAGTAGGAATTACAACAACTATACTTACAACAACAACAAATGGGGGACTTGCAGCTACAACAGGACCAGGTACCGTGTGACACAAAAAATGTTGCATAACTTTTTTGTCGGCACAAATTCTGACTTGGGTTATGGCATATTAAAACCAGCATCCATGGTGCAACTCCACAAGAGGTTTCAGATGACTAGCTCAAATAAATGCAGATTTATGAGCGTTACAAGATGTGTAGTCTATTCCTTTACAGGTACACCTGGATTTGACACAAAAATGACACCCACCTTATGTAACATAATTTTATCAACGACAATTATATCACTTTGTGACTGATTGATCTGACTTTTTTTTCCCTGAAAGCATTAAAAATCTTTAGTATTTACAAAGTTATGTTACAAAAGGTAGGTGGCATTTTTGTGTAGAATCCAGGTGTGCCTGCAAAGGGATGAGCGATATTCTGAGCAAATCTTGTAAAAGCTCATAAAATTTGACCCACTCTAGCTTCACATCTGAAATTTCTTCAGCTGCTTTCGCATTATGTCTACTTTAAATATGCCAAAGGACAAGTCTATATGTTAATTGACAAACAAGTCATGCAATGTAAGGGGGGTGGCATTTTTTGTGTCACCCTGACAATTTACTGAGATTGATGAGTAAATATTGCTGTCTTAATAGGGAGGTTAAGTTACACATTTTTATTAGAACATGTACATGAACATGTAATATTTTTTCAGTGGTCTACACTTGTGGATCCAGAAGCTACATGTAGCAAGGGGCCCACATATAAAATCTGGAAACAAATTTGGGCCCTTAGAACCAAAATTTGGGCCCATTTTTGAAAATATGCCCAAAAAAGCCCATTTTTGAGGCCCTACAAAATATTTGGGCCCCAAACTTTTTCTGAGCCCACCCAATAGACCCTATAGGACCCTCCCCCTGGATCTGCCAGTGATCTAATTACAACTGTTTTAACCTTATACCTTTATACTCAATTGGGCAAGTAATTATTACAAAAGGGAGAACTAATTAACTACAATATACGCTTTGCTTCAAATTGTATATGATTAAATGTATGTAACATGTTAAAATTGGAATAAACTTAAACTTAAACTTAATCCCACAATTCTACACATTCATTGACTTCAAGTACAAGTTCTATTAAAAACTTAAACCTCCCTTATATGGCAAGTGCTTAGAAATAAATGAGCTCCAATGAGACCATTATATCCATTTCTCATATTTTTTGTTTACTTGGAATATTAATACTTTATCACAACACACAAACTAACTGCAGCAGAGAAATAAAGTGTCGTTATATTACAAAAGAAAATTGTATTGTAGATATATGGCAGTTGTACTTCCTTGATGAGTTTCTTCCTGGCACAGGGATTCCACTGTGGGTGAATTGGTTCTGGATTGGCATATTGCTCATTGCAGTGGTCACCTTGACAGTGTGTTTATGTTGTAAAGCAAATACCATTATAGAGGCGTGAGTACATGATATAACTTTACTACATGTAGTAATACATGTACTGTCTTGGAAAATAAGTAAATATACTGCTGGTATTTAATACAACTTCTGTAACTATAAAGCCAATAATATCCTTTATGTTATCCAAGCAAGTGTTTTATTAAATGTAATTTTCTATTTCCTGTTTCTTATTCAAGAAATTATTTTCAAGTGGTAATTCAATTTTTGCTCCCAATCGACCAGATAGAATAATGAATAGCATCTCATTGAACATGAAAAGGTTATTTGATTTAACGAAACAAAATACGAATTCAAGCTAAAATCTATATAGTGGGGTGACAAGTTGGGGTTGAATGTAACATGTAATGCTTAACCACATATTGAGTAGACTTAGCCCTGCACTGATTTTTAAACAAAAATACAAGAAGGTAAATTTCCAATTTGTAATATCTTTAAAATTATTTGTCCAAGCATCCCAAAACTAACACTTGTGTTTCTCCAAAAGAATACTCTTCACTTGTCTCGCATATCTCCATATTTCTTCAGACAACAATTTTTCTTAAATGAACACTTTAGAGCAAAACTGCAAGATCACTTCAGAAATTTTCAAAAGAAAAATATCTCTAAAACTATTTGTCAAATCATCATATGAAGCAACATTATTTTCATGATCTACAAGGTAGAATACTTCCTAGATTTTTACCTTTTGATTTGTCTGAAAAAATACATCAATTCAATTTCTATGTCACCACAACAAGTAGTGACGTGGTTGGTATTCAGATTTCAGCGTTCTGGGTCTGTAACAAATGGCAGGGGGTGACATTTTGCCTTCTTTGTATTCCAGTGAGCAGATAAAAAAGGAACCCAAGCCCAAACCCATTGCAGTTGCTCCAGTGAAGGTTCCTGAAATAGTTGTTAACATTGATCTGAATGAACTCAATCCATATCCCCAAAACACTGCTAATGAACCAAAGGCTGCGACTAACAAACAAGAATTAGTCATGGAGAATAATAAAGTTCTTGTCACTAAAAACAACAGCAAATGGAAAAATACAACTGCAAAAGTTGTCAACATTAACAAGGTTATTTCTGACAAAGGATGGTTTGTCGGAAACCTCATGCCCGCTTCTAAATCTGAAAAGAACAAAGGATGAGTCTGGGAATGAGTCTGGGTATCGACTTAGAAAATATTGAAAATTGTAATGTCTGAAAAACCAACTCAATTACACATATTATTAAACTTCAATATCTTATCCTTCTTCTGAGATTACAAAAATATTAATTTGTATCACAATTGATGAAGAATATTGGCATCAAAGACAGTGCATATCACTTTGTCAGAATTGAAAAAAAATCAATGGCAAATATTAAATGAATTAATTATGCAAAAAGTTTGAAACTTATCTTCCAAAACATTGGTTACTTTCTTTGTATAGACATTGAATGGTATTTCTGGATAAGTGAATTGGTGTTTATCTGGGTAATCAAGGGATTATAGTCACTCAAAGTTACTGAGCATCCAGTTTTGAGACTTCAATTGTGTTGGTGAAGTTACACATATTTCAGTCAAATTCATGCTGAGCACAACATTCCGGTTTCAATTTTATAATCTCTATACATGTCCCTGGTGATGAAGAGTCAGAATCAGTCAAAAAACCTAAACCGGAAAACTGTGCTCATTGTGAAAACTAAAAGTGAAGCAACTTTTTTTCTGATATTTCTCATATCAAATGGCAACCATCTTGTTTTTCCCCCTTCAAACTAAACTGGCGGGAAATTCAAAAATTTGAAAAAATTTTAATCCTTAAATATATTTTTCAAAAATATGATTTTCTCTTTAATTCTTCATGGGTCTTAAGTTATTTCTTCTTTGTATGTCATACATGTTGCCATTGGTGTTTTTTTCTATGATAATGACTATTTTTTTGTTTGTTAAGATACTTATTCTGACTCTCAGTAGGGGGTTAATTATGCATCAAAACTTGTGAAAAAGTAAATATACTTATCAAATATAACTAGGTCAGTAATAAAAACCATATTTCACATACATTTGACTGAGGGACCAAAAGGGCATATACCCAGACACATCCTTTAAAGTTGAATCTAAACAGAGAGTTGAATATCATAATCCACCTACTCCTAAAGCCGTTCAGTTGGATCAGTCGCCTAATGATTGGGAGGCTGTGTATGGTCACTGGAATGAATCCAGAGCTCCAAAAAGATACAGTTCGCAAAGGAGACCATCTTTGGTCAGAATTGAGTGATATTGCTTAATGATACAATTATGAACAGAATTAGAAACTTATTGCACTGGTGAACCAAGGGGCTCCCTAAGTTGGACCAAAAGGATTTTCCATAAAGGCCCCATATGAACTATATTTTCAAACTTTAAATGGGGCCTCATGTATGTTAGTGTCCCTCTGATTATTTCCAGATTTTTAATTACATCGTGATAGCAAAACTGAGTGATAATTCAGCAACATTGTTGAGGGATTCATTGTGATTTCATGAAATCATATTTGTGTTTCAATCACAAAATTGAGGGATCAGTCACAAATGTCATGCAGTCTCTAGTTGAATATGAACATCCAGAGTATTAAAGTACAGTATGTGTAACTTTATAGAACTTATTTATTACACTTCCCATTGCATATCTGACATTAAATGCATCCATTAAATTATTGTTCATATTGGTATTAGAACCAGTGTTCAACCTTGCCTTGTAATTTCCAGATTTCTCATTACATCGTGATAAAAAAACATTGTTGAGGGATTCATTGTGATTTCATGAAATCATATTTGTGTTTCAATCACAAAATTGAGGGATCACAAATGTCATGCAGTCTCTAGTTGAATATGAGCATCCAAAGAGTATTAAAGTACAGTTTGTGTAACTTTATAGAACTTATTTATTACACTTCCCATTGCATATCTGACATTAAATGTATCCATTAAATTATTGTTCATATTGGTATTAGAACCAGTGTTCAACCATTATGATATGCTTAATTTGGGGTTTCTTCTGTTTCCTTTACTTTGGTGTCCCTTGAACTTTTGCTTCTTGCTCCTGGAAAACAAGATAAATATGACATTTATCCCATAGTTGCTGTCAAACTTGCAAACCTGTGTAACATGCAATTATATTTATGAAATTTTTAAATGTTCAGCAACAAAAAAGCAACAACTATGTTATATGGAGAATATTCCTCAGAATTCACTTTTCCATCGATTTATGACAATCAAATGTGGCATACATTCTTACTTGCCCACTTATCCAGATAATGCTATCAACTCATGGATAAAAACCATATCACTCAAAATCATAGGATTGTGCCCTTTTGAGGGGTCCATAATGCTCTTGGAGCCTGAGACCTAAAGTTATATATATATATATATCTTTTATTGACTCTCTGATGTCATTACAATGACATATTAGTCACTAAAAACTACAATCTACAAAACTGACCTAAGACTAAACTAACTATTGAATACAAAAATAAAGTTGTCAAATACAATTCTAATTACATCATCAAATGTAAAATACAGAATACAAGATAATTGTAAAATACAAATATAACTTGACAGAAATTTAAATATCAGTGTGATGCATCGTTGACACATTAATCCAATTTTTTGAGTGAATGATAGATGAACTTTGCTAAATGTAAAATTACATAAGAATTTTTGTGAGACATTAGTTTTTTAAAAATAATGTCAGGACTGCCTACAAAATTAAATCGTGTAAGGGTGTCAAACAAAATTTTTCTTTCTGTAGTGTTTTTCTTACAAATTATGATGAAGTGTTGTTCATCTTCTAAAATACCACAAATATTACATAAACGTTCATCTACAGGTTTTGGCTTTGGCTTTAAATGACGACCAAGTTCTATATGTAACTTGTGGGAACTAAGCCTAAATCTACAAATTGCTTGCCTGTAATTTTTATTTTGGATATTTAAATAACTCTCTCTTTCAAAGACATTTTTGAATTTAACATAAGTTCTCAAGACAGGGTAATTTAATATATCTTTGTTCCATTGAGTTTTATAATTCTGAGTTACCAAGTTACCAATATGTTTGTGTAAATGAAATTTAAACTATTTGCTTTTTGTGACCAATCCTCAAAGAACAAACCTCATTCTCCTTTGTTTCTTGTTTGAAGATGTATTTGATGAGATGTCATTAGTTGGCAGCTTCCTCTTGTTCCTTGAATAAATAAATTGTAGGCTAGAGTTATCAAAGGAATGATGAAGGGTTTCAGCAATTTCTTGATGTTCTTTAAGTTTTATTTCTAATAAAACACACATTAATATCAAATATAAGAAATACAATGGCACATAAAATGTACATGTATGCTAGAATTAAATTCACTGAAATCAGTATAATAAATGATTATGGTATAACTATTTAACTCAAATCTTGAACGATTTCAAATGGATTAAGCTAACATCGCTTATGATGTAATGAACAGCTGACATACTATGATTACTATTACTAGTAATAAAACAAATAAATAAAATAAATAAATAATTATTAACAAATATATGTATACATCTGGTTATTATTTATTCATGAGTATGTTTCAGAAAAATAAAGTAATTTCATGAAATAAAGTCATAACTTTTGCACTTTTTAGGAAAAAAGGATGACAGTGAATATTGTAAAAAATCAATTTTCCAGTTTCAACTGGCAATTTCAAAAAAAGTTACCCTGAACTTGTCTCTATCCTTTGTAGCCTCTTAAATTAACTAAAAATCGTAGAAACAAATCATCAAAAAACTTAACTAAACTTCAGATAATACCTATTGATTATTCCACTCTTATTTGGACAGTTGTGTCTCTTATGGTCCAGATCCCCACATATGTGACAACCTTCAGTCCAGACTTTGCCACACTTGTGGTCTTGGAACTCACAGCGGCCACATTTATCACAGTGAACTCTAGAGGGCTTCACACATCTCTGACACTTGAAGCAGTGAACATAAGTACGACCATCCTATGTAAAAATTTAAAAGTAATCCCCTAAGATGACACTGGACAATGATAACTAAGTTGTATGATTGAGGGCTGAAAGCTCTGTAATGAAACCCACATTTTGATGACTACTGGTATGGTGAAGTTACTTTGTTTTAAGAAAAACAAAATAGGGGAGCCACAAAAATGTAATGATAATGTTAAACGAGCAATAACATGTACATATTAATCACGAGTACAAAATCATACAAAATCGTATATACCTTTGATGTACAACTGTCACAAAAATCACAATGGAGATTGTCTACTGCTACATAACGTTTGCATATGGGACAGAACCTGCAATATAACTGTTTAATCATGGTTTGCATTCATTTAAAGGCCCTACACTATGCAAAGTGGTTCATCTTGAGCATAGACCATACCTCCTCAAAGCATCCAATCTATTTTGGTTGTCAAAAGATACATTTTTTACGAAAGATGGTGGCCATTTTAAATTTAGCAGCCATATTGGAAATTCCTTTTAGAGTATAGGTCCTAAGCCCAGGCCAAAGGCATCAGCCTTTAGAATTTGAACCTAATATGTCAACTAGTATTTGAGTCATCGCCCAGACAGATGATCAAAAGGATGGATGGACAGATGAACAAATGAAAGGATTTAGAGGATTTTTATTGAGTTCATTCTGGCTATGTTCCTATCTTTACACCTTGACATATGACTTAAATTGGGCATGTTAGATTCAAAAGAGAATTACCGCCATTTTGATTTGAGCAGTATTTAAAATGCCAGATTTAAATATACTTGCAAAAATAGTGTATACACAAATACATGTATTTAGATGCTCTCCATGTACAGGTTTATTTGACATAATAGAGAGTTTAAGCTAGCATATAGAATCGAAACGCCAACCTATGCGTATGACCAATCGCCTATACAAATGCATAGCTTAAATATTTTCCATTCACATTTTGGTTGTGAAAAACATTGCAAGCTTAAACTCCCTAATATTTCATTTACTATACATACCTGTAATCTGGCTCAGGTAATACAACTTTCTCAGGTGACACATTTGTGAAGATCCTAACAGGTGAACCTTGTTTCCTTCCCTTCTCCCCACGACTAAACTGATCATGATTGTCATAGTTCACCCTGTAATCCAGCATAGTCAATCTGGGAAGAGACTCTATAAGTCGGGGTTCCATGAAGTAAGGAAAGAACCAGAATATTGGAATATCTGTAGATGTGTCTGAAATAAAAATAAAAATTACTCAGGATAATAGAACTACATTTCAATGGTCACCACCAGGCCCATAGCCAGCTTTTGCCAAGGGGGTTCACTTTTCAAAAAATTCATGGGGGGACCATGGCCAAATATCATTTGAAATGTGTTCAGAATGGTGAAAACTGTTTGAAAGTATTTTTTTAAGTTTGCTTGAACATATATTTAACTTTCAATGGTCTTAAAGCAATCAACAAAGCATCATTTCAGAGCAAAACAAAAATATTACCTTTATTCTGCCAAGTCTTATTAATCTTCTTAAGAGTGTGGGTAAGAACTTCAACTCTACCTCCATATGGAGGATCTGTTACTATGGCAATCCTGGAGGACTCAGATTCAAGGAATGATTCATATAGTTTGTGAGCAACTGATCCATCGAGAAAATGATGGTTGAACATATTGTACCAACAGAATTGTTGTGGGCCAAAGAATTGTTCCTGCAAGACAACAAAAAAACAGGTGACATTTATACAAGAGCAATTTTAGTCTCTTCGACATGATACACTTTAATCCCATAACTCATCCTCATCAGGGATAAAGTTGGAATAAGGAAAAGGCTAATCTGTGAATGGAAGTCTCTTGTCTTGTGCTTTAGGCCTTTCCCCACCCAATCACTACTATTTCTTCCATGTAAAACATTATATGACAGAAGAAGAATGGATGGGGCAACATAGGGGTCTGATACAACACTGTATAGTTATAGAAAGGTGATTTTGACCTAATACATGACCTCACTTCTCTTAAACCCAAAACATAACAAATGCTGATGTCCCCAAAACCCATCCTCCGATCACAGGGCTTCAAAATCTAGAATATCTTCTTTCTTTTCACCCCCTGCTATAACCAAGTTGGACGCGCCCGATTAAATTGAATCCCGTGATCTAATTATGCGTCGATGACATATACATGATTGCTGTCGCAGTGTTGCGACAGCCAATCAAATTGCGAGTTCTCAATCGGGGAAATGCTAACTGTTTATAGCAGGGGGAAGAAGGAGGTACGGATTCTGGACACCTGCTTAGGAGGATGCCAAAACCTAGTGTTCAAGTTACATGTATAATCATACTCACATATCTATGATCCAAGTCAAGTAGCAAGCTTTTCATGTTGACAGTGTCTGGTAGAGATTCACTTATTATAGCTTCATGAATTCTGGAAGTATTAGTACCATGCTAAATATAAGAGATTATAGTGCAAGCCCTTACAGAACCCCCAGGTTGTGGGCCCTAATACCTTAACATGATAGACCCCCCTCCTCTTAAAGAGTGATCTCTAGCTACCTTTTCATGATTAAAGACAATTTATTCATTAAACTATAAAAGAAACAATTGAATGGACTCATACCTTGGTGCTCCTATACACAGAACCTTTGTATAGCCCAAGTCTTGTAGCATCTTAACAGTAAATTTCACAGTTTCTCTTGAGAATAAATATTGCTGAAAAATAATGCATTGTCTATTATACCTGTGCATATGTAAACAAACATCATATATTTTAAAACTCATACTCTGCAGTTGAATATTGTAACTTAGTATATACAGCAGTTAATCGACTGATGCATTTATGAAAACCATTTACAATGCATAAAGGGTATATAAATGAATTGTGGATTATCACTCTACATACAAAATATCATGAAGTCTAGACAGTCTCAGACACAATGTGAGGATTTAACTCTTCCATTAATAAAACTCAATTAAAAGTAAAGATCGTAGTTTATACTCACTGCGTATGACTTGTTGTTTTCTATAGGATCAAGTAAAGATGTGGGGAAACACTTCAATGAGAGATCTGTAATGTTTTCTTGTATGTTATGAGACACTTTGTGTTCTTTAACTTCATCCTTCAGTAGCAATAAACTGCATGTTTTACAAAATACTCTGTCTGTACTGATGTATTGTTTTACTTGTTGCAATCTGAAAAACAAGCCATACTGGGAACAATATCACACATAAAATCCTAAATAGCAATCTCATAATTCATAATAAATATCACATTTAAATCTATGAGTTGAATGAAATCAAAAGCTTTGAAAAGGAGTTTGGTGCCATGAAGATGTAACAATTTTTTGTTCACCCACGCTTAAAATTTTTGCTTGATTATAATCATAATTAGCTTTTTATCAGTATTGGGGGGATATTTGATTGCTAATGAAACACACATAATATATGAAGTACACGTACAATGAATAAATTCAATATCATGTACATCAAACCTTTGGTAAAATTCTTCATGGGAATACTTTGGTCCAATTGTCTTGTAATGCTCTTCTCTGGAAGCTGCAACCTCCTTGGACACCTTTCTTTCTTCGGGTTGGTAAAAATTGCACAGCTTTCTGTCTCTAAATGCAGAGCAACTGAAGTAACGCTGGGATCCTTTTTGTTTGACAGTCTTCTCAAATAATAATGTTGGACCTGTAAGGATAGATTTAAAACAAGAATCTTTTGAAGGGAGAAATTTTAAAAACAGAATTTAGAGTAGATGATCAACTACAATCAAACATTAAAAGTGTGGATTAGTTTTCAATGAACCAAAGTGGATGGGAACTGATAAAATAATCAGATTGGTGACTACAGGCAAACATCCTACATGTAACTGCAACAGTACCTAATGATGAGGGATGATGATGATGTGTAAGAGACAAATGTATTTTGATGCTTTTCTGCTGTTATATTTGAGACTTATGGTACTCAAAATTACAAGAGGTCACAACTTTACTGCACATTTTACTGCCTGTTAGAAGTATACAAAACTTGAATCTCTAAAATATGAATGTTCATATTACAGCATATTGTAAAGCAGTGAGTGGGGACAGTATGATTATAATAAATTAACATTGTGGTCCACTAATTGCTTGCTCACAAATGTATTTTAGTAAATAACTATAATAGTATATAACCTAAAGTAGGTGTAGCTATATACAGTATGTTTGAGGTAATTTTACATCCCTGTTATATTGATTGACTTCTTATCAAAGAACCAAGATGTGTTGTACAGGACAGAAAGAAGAGCACCAAGAAGATTAATCCCCCAAAATTTCATCGATGAATGCAGCGTTAGAGGAGTAATTTCTTCATTCTCTAGTTCATTCCCTACTAAATGAAGTATAAAAGAGAGCTCATATCATACAGGGCTGTCAACTTGGGACCATGTAACATGAGTAATCAGTGTATATATTTTCGAAACAAATGCGTGATATATACACATATTTTGTGCCAAATGCGTGACATAAACGGCAATCGCGTGCAAAAACCGAACGGAATGTGATCGCTTTTTTTCGCCGTTCGGTATTTTACCGTGTCAGCATTTCACAAAAAAAAGATTTTTAAAAGTATCAACAAAATGCGTGATTTGCGTGATATTATCAGTTATCACACGTTTCAGCATGTGATACAGGAAATATTCCACGAAAGGTAATACTGTATCATCCACGAAAGCGAAGCTTGAGTGGTGATACATTGTTACCCGAGTGGAATATTTCCTGTATCACATAAGCTGAAACGTGTGATGACGATTTTATCACATGTCAATGAATTTTGGGGCATTTTGATTTGGTCAATTATGATTGTGTTCAGTGCTCTGTACTCCCGGTAGCTATTATAATTTTTGTGTGTTTTGAAATTTCGCTTTGAAATGATATGACGTCATACTGTTGTATTCTTACTTTTTAGTGAAATAATATGACGTCATACTGTTTTCTTTAGCTACGATGTGATATAACCATCGACGTCATATCGTGACTATTGACTCCGTAGTGATACAGCCCACCGTATCACATGAAAATTAGTCACGTGTCGTTTGATACGGAATATACGTTGTCACAATTGACCAATCAAAATGCTTAGAAACTCCTAACCATGTGATAATTGATCATACACGCTAAATTGATGCGTGATTTCTAAATTTATGATTTCCATTAATTTTGCCTGTTCTCATTTATTTAGCCTGAAAACCCTGATTGAGGACATCAGTGTAGAGTACATGTAAAGTACTGAAGAAGCCATATTGCAGTTTTATACAATTTGATTACAATGTAAGCAAACTGTTACGCTTGTAGATACGTGAACACTTGGCTAATACATGCATGGCAGGCATTGGCAACCCATGACAGCACAGGCAGTGCAAGACAGCATGTGATTTATTTGTTTTTTTTACATTTGGTCTTAGTTTTACACAGACGCTTACCATGGGCACAACGTGGGGGTTCCTTATGGTCATGATCAAGAATTACATCTATGCCAACTGAAGATACCTCCATTATCGTATCCACTCAGCTACTTTATCTACAAAACGTGAATTTATGAGGAACTTTTTTATTTTTTCTGAAGTTTCAAAAGACTGATTTACGGCAGCTGAAATTTATGAAAATAAAAAAATCATTTTGACAGGTTTACACCTGTTTATCCATAGTGTCGGTATAATACTGCAAATTATGATTCTTTTCTTGGTGTTTTAAGCGATATAACTACAAATAAAGTTCATATTATCGAAGTAAAGAGCAACAGAATATGTCGTAAAATACTCAATTATCACCCACCATGAACTGGGAGGAAAACTTGTTTGTGAAAGTTGTTTCCTTTCGCCAAAACCCCACACTTTGCATTGGTAATCTTAAGCTAGAGGAGGATGACTTTGTGCTGGATGTTTTACAGGTAGGTTTATGTTTTCAGTGTATTTCATAGATTCTTGATTGTTGAACAAAAAGGGGTCAACCCAGTTGTCCGAAACCCAGTTGTCCGAAACCCAGTTGTCCGAAACCCAGTTTTCCGAAACCCATTTTTCCGAAACCCAGTTCTCCGAAACCCAGTTCTCCGAAAATAAAAAAATTAAATTTCTTAGTAACGAATCTTGTCGCAACCTCGCGAATCAGGACAGCATAACATTGGTATCACGTTGACATCGGTTAGCCCGGTCAATAATGGGTCCGAAAGTTCACGATCATATATATTCTTACTAGATTCTCGGCACATAGACTTATATGGACATTCTACAAATTTTGAACCGCATTGTCCAGCACGAATCGCACTCCTTCTTGGTGAAAATTCAAGACTGCCGCCAACATTTTAGACAATTATCACAGTCGAAGAGAATATTCTGGCGAAAGGAACATCTATCTCATTAAAATAACGTATGGACGTCCGTGACAATTATATTCATTTGAGGATTTTTTTCATTCCCTTTTCTCAATAAAATATGGTTAATTATGTTTTCCAATATCAATTGATAATATTTCTACCCTGAAAAATATCTAAAAAGAAGATTTTGGTTGTTCAGTACCACCCACTGTTAAGATTTCGTCCAAATTTTCGATAAATCAATAAAATATGCTCATTTCGTATAACTTATATATGTGGCATTATACATATCAGATGTCTATCCTTTTTTCATCATAATATAAGAGGTTTGTATGTTTTAGTAGAAACTTATTCCTTTCCAAACATTTAGATTTAAGAATTTCCCCCATTGGTGATATTGTTCAAAATCAAAACTGTGTTTTGCGATATATTGAACTGTTGAAGTAAGTGTGTAATAGGTTGTAGTAGAGCCAAGATTTGATTTGTATCATGTACGTACCCTGCATAAAAAAAACTCGTTTTTAGTGTGCCATAGATGTCAACCATTAACTATTGCAGAATCAAAAAAAGTTTTGTGAAAAATAAGGATAATGTTTAAAAATTATACACCGGACAATAAATAACTACTCAATGCAGACAGGGAGTTTTAATTGCCCAAAAACTGAGTATCAAAATGCATTTGTGTCTCTTTAGTATCTTGCATGACTCGTTCATATGAATTCTTTATTTCTACCTCGTTCCCAATACATTCTGCAGGCCTGTCAACTGTCCCGCAATTTGCGTATTTGTCACTCATTTGCTGAAGAATTTGAAGTCACGCCAGTTTTTTTTGCGTGACACAAAATGTCACGCAAATACGCATTTTACCTGGTAATTGTCACGCAAATATGTTTCTGTAAAAAAAATTTCAAAATATGTTTATGATACGGTAAAAATACGAACGTCGGAAAAAAACGAACGCAATTTGTTCGGATTTGTCACGCGAATCCCGTATATGTCACGCATGTTCATTGGAAATTTTCGTACCTACCCCCCCCCCCCCCCCCCCCCCCCCCCCCCCCCGTTGACGACATCGCGAGCGTAGCGAGCGCGAAAAATTTGAGGTGATAAAAGTTTAGCAAAGGTGCTCAAACTTTGGCCAAAGGTGTTTAAAAGTTGGCCAAAGGTGTTCAAAATTTGGACAAAAGTGTTCAGATTTGGACTTCGGTGTCCAACATTTGTAAGTCACTCATATTAGGTGGTCCCAAGTTGACAGCCCTGCATTCTGAGACAGTTCAACCTTTGCCCCACGTCCTGTTCGTCGTTAGTACATTGTCACTCGATATAATTGCCACGCGGTCCTAACTTCGACCGTTAATTTGAATTTTTGACGTACCGGATATTTGAAAATCAAGGATTACGAGTCTCATACTGCACCGTTTTTCTTCAAACTTGTTCCATTCAAAGCATGACAAAAATCTCTTTCTGATGGTACGTTATTATCTTAAACAGAGTTCCTACTTCCAGCGTAATTTTGGTCCCCAGCTGTAAGAAGGCCTTCTAACAGCTGGGGAGTGCGGACCAAAACGCCGCTAGAACGAGAGACTCTTTACAATAAAGTAATGCACTGACAGAAGTGCAATTTTGTTTTGCTTTTAATGGTATAATGGAAGAAAAAAGGTGCAGTATCAGACTCGCAATCCTTGATTTTCAAGCATCTGGTAGGTCAAAAATTCCAATTAACGGTCGAAGACCGCGTGATTGCAGAAAGTGATGACCACGTGGAAATTTTGGAACTACCCTTTCGGGTAGGCAAGTAGACCCTAAACGGTTCTAAGTACTTCCAATCCGTCCATACAGTTTAAGCCCGTTCTCGAGAGCGTAGTGAGAACTAGTTTGGTGTGATAATAGGGTCAGATACGGAAAGTGTAAGCATGGACGACCTCCCACCGTCCAATGAATACAGTGGGTTCAGAATCAGAACGCGTTTCAGACGGCGTTCTGAAACAGCTCACTTTAGCTTATTCCTTAAATGTTGGCCTGAATGCTTTGTACGTTGAGAGACGGGACGGGACACGACAAGTGTGACAGCGCCATTAGCATTAGGCGCACGATGGGCACATTTTAACTTGGTATGAGTAGGGGGTAATTTATGAGGATCAATAGGACTCAGTCGGATTCAAAATGCAATTTTTTATTTTATCATTGGTTGCATTTTCTGTTCCTGAAGAATAACGTGGATTGCATATGTGTCCCCGATTTGTGGGAATTACACCCCAGTCACATTTCCAACGGCCACCGTGCGGTCTATCATTTCTGCGGCCAATAGCTTTTCCACGCTCGCCGTAGAAATTCTGCGATCTCATACTTTTGCAGTCACATTTCCCACGGCAGCCGCCCGGTGAATTTTAAATTTCTGTTGATAAATAATACTTTTTTCATTTTATTTACATCAGGGCAATTTATAAATGTTATTCATAGTGCTAGGATGTAATATCAAATGAAAAGTGATCGTGAAGCTAGTATTTAGCCTAATAAAAACTGTCGAAAGATGAAAATACAGGTGATACAGATCTTCAAATAAACAAAGTTAAATTATGCTATTCTCATTGCAAAGTGGCGTTTACATATTAACATACATAGGGGTCTACAATTTTTAAACCAATTTTCTTTATGCCCCATGGGGCTTTTTGAGAGGGAACAACATTTTTCCAATGTGTGATGGGCGTTCATAAAAGGGAAATAGTTTTCCCAAGCCAGTGGGCATTTATTGAGTAAAGTTGACGTGTACATCTTTTGAAACCAAAAATTATTCTTCATTTAGGTACTCTGTTCGAGAAATAGAGATTAAATTCAAAAAGATGAAGTGAGTACATGGCGAAAATGAAACTTCTTGCGAATGGGAGAACATCCAATTTGATACGAGGACAGCCTGTCTTCGTTTCCAGTTAATCCCAAGTGATTACGTTTAGAATGTTTTGTTCTTTTACATTTTACGATTTGATAAGAGACAGAGACTAAGAAATTAAATGCGACGAAACATTTTGACAACGTAATATGTGTACTGTCTATTCTTAAAGTTTTATGCGTTAACTTATTTTATCGGTTTCAAAATGTTTCATTTTATTTTGCCTATATAAAATATATTGAATAAGATAAGATCAACTGTTCCGTAATATATATTGTGTTTTGAATCACAATGTAAAATAAATCCCCCGTTCCTGTCATTCTGGTAACGCCGTGTAATGGATGCAATTCAAAGTGAGAGAGAGATCTATACATCAGAATGCGTCCATGCCATTGATTTTGCCAAATACATGACATGAAACTGGCTTGAGGTGCGTCCCCCTTTATCTGGTAAATTATGACTAAATTTTTCGGACAACTGGGTTTCGGAGAACTGGGTTTCGGAAAACTGGGTTTCGGAGAACTGGGTTTCGGACAACTGGGTTTCGGACAACTGGGTTTCGGAGAACTGGGTTTCGGACAACTGGGTTTCGGACAACTGGGGTGCACCCGAACAAAAACAAGATCTGTACAAAAAAATAGTAAGCTTATGCGCTTTCATGATGTAGGCCTACTCAGAGATAAAAGCAGGCGGTCCAACTGTCCCGCAATTTGCGTATTTGTCACGCATTTGCTGGAAAATTTTAAGTAACGCCAGTTTATTTTGTGTGACAGAGTATGTCACGCAAATACGCATTTTACCCCGTTATTGTCAAGCAAAAATATTCCTGTATAAAAACTTCAAAAAAGTGTTCGGACTTTTCATGCGGATACCGTACTAAACAGTCTCAGCTGTACAGCTGTAGCGGGTAGACCTTATGGCCTCAGGGGTATACCATCTAGGCAGCAGTGGTGGCAGCAGTGGGATTGCCCTTGTGTATCAATTATGATGGGATATCGTCCTTTAGGGGAGAGGGGCAATGACCCTCGATAGAAAGTCGCTATTATAGTCTCAGCTGTAGTGGCTAGCCCTTACGGCTCAGGGGTAGAGGGTCTGGCTTCTGAGCGCATTATTCCTGTATGGGGTATTGAATCAAATCAATTAAAATTGTGAGTATATGTACATGTATACAATATTTTTATCTGTTTCCAGGCTCTATGCTCTGATGTCATAGTGCATAGTGACAAGTGCCACCTATTGGACATTCTAGATGAATATGCCATCAGCCTTCTTCAGACTCCAGCTATGTGAGTACAACCCACTCCCCCCATCTCACCTCAAAAATAGATATAGAAAGAGCAGAGTCATGATTGAAATGTTTGGCACAATAATGTTTTCACCAGTTTCGAAAATAAATTTGACATACATTGTAGTATTACTTGTGTATCATTTTCAGCATAGAACAGACTATTGGGTCTTTGTTAGACATATTCAACCAGTCATAAACTAACATATTACTTGTGTTTCATTTTCAGCATAGAACAGACTATTGGGTCTTTGTTAGATATATTCAACCAGTCATAAACTAACATATTACTTGTGTATCATTTTCAGCATAGAACAGACTATTTGGTCTTTGTTAGATATATTCAACCAGTCATAAACTAACATATTACTTGTGTTTCATTTTCAGCATAGAACAGACTATTGGGTCTTTGTTAGATATATTCAACCAGTCAGTAGAAGATGGCAATGTTATATACAGGGCACAGCTCTTACATACAATCACAAGTATACTGGTACAACTGGAGCAAATTGTAAGTACTGTAATGACCCGAGGGCGCCCCAGGAGTATAACTAATTAACTAACGACTATAATGAGCATAGTGTAACAAGCCAGATAAAGATATTGAAAGAAAGTGTGCTAAATTCAATGCCCCGTGTAATTATCGAACCTAGGACCCTTGAATCCAAAGACTGATGCTCTACCGACTGAGCTATAAAGGCTTAAGCCACTACAGCTGGACTGTAGTAGCTGTACTTGCTATCAAGGGTCGTTACACTATCTCCCCCTTTGAAAGGACCACGCCCTCGTGGTCAGCCCTGCTTTCCTAGCAGTGACTACCACACACACACGGGCGCAAAGGATACAACCAATGCTTTGATCCCACTTCTGATTCCAATGTAATGACTCGAGGGCGCCCCAGGAGTATAACTAATTAACTAACGACTTTAATGAGCATAGTGTAACAAGCCAGATAAAGATATTGAAAGAAAGTGTGCTAAATTCAATGCCCCGTGTGGGAATCGAACCTAGGACCCTTGAATCCAAAGACTGATGCTCTACCGACTGAGCTATAAAGGCTTAAGCCACTACAGCTGGACTGTAGTAGCAACTTGCTATCAAGGGTCGTTACAGTACTGTATAACTATTTCACATATTTCTCTTCATCAATGCTCAGTTATCGAATATCAATAGTGTAATATGCTGTCATTGGTATCAGATGTTGGTTTGTGATTTGAACTTAATTAGTTAATACCTGTATATATTTTTTATATATCCCTCATGGGAATAGGCCCTCTGCTTGTGAAGGAATTTCTAATATAGTTGTTCAATTTCTGCAAAAATACCATCTTACAAATATTATCTGAGAGGTCATATCAGATTTAGTTTGATTTTATGTGTTGATGTTAAACGGAAGTAAAACAAATGAATTTTTAAGATGGCTGATAAATTCAAAATAACCCCCTCTTTTTCAGAAGAAATGGAATTTCTTATAACTCAAATACCAGTTATCAGGTTTGGTCAAGAGACAGTATTATTATGTCACCACCACAAGTGGTGACATATTGTTATAGTGGTGACATATTGTTATAGTCTCCAACTGTTTTGTGGATGGTGGTTGGGGCTCAATTGTTGGTATTCGATGTTTGGTGTCTGTAACAAATGGCATGTCTTGACATTTTTGCATGTTAATGTCTTGTTATTTCTGTTATGTTATTTCTATCAAGAAGTGTTAAAAAGGCCAGTATTTTGATTATTCTTTTTGGGGTGATTTGCTTCTGTCATGTATAATTGTTTGAAGAAATCAATATTTTGGTGGATTATGAACTAAACTTTGGAATTAAAAGTCTCTATTCAAAAACATGCATGTACAGTATGAGCAATAAGGACCTCAAATTACTCCCCCCCCCTCTCCCCATTCCCCCAATGATTATCTAAATCTGTATGTACTTTGTATAGCATGTTCTTCCAGGAGCACCAAGCTACATTGTTCAAGAGCTTTACAGAGCTATTGTTGGAGACTTGTTCCAAGGTGAATAACACCCCTAATAAACTGTTACGCCTTGCTGCTTGCCAGAGTCTTCAGGAGATAGAGGTCTCTTACCCAGTGAGTAACTATGAGCTATTTATTTACTGTATAAGCATAGCTGTGAATAAAGTACAGCTCCGGTATATGTTTTTCCTGTAGTTGTCAAATAATACATGGTAATACATAAATCAAGGTATACATCATCTCACTCCATCAAGTAAATACAGTAAAACCTGTCTCATCCGAACACCACTGAAACACTTCCAAAGTATTTGGATTAGCAGGTGTTCACATTTCAAGGTTTCTTAATATGTGTTTCATTGGTACATTGCAAAATTGGGACCAAGAAAAAGTGATCACATTAAGGGGTGTTTCGATTAGAGAAGTGTTTATATATACAGGTTTTACTGTATATTGTATAATACTGGTACAGTAAACCTATCTAATCCAAACACCTTTTGGGTGAGTTAAAAGTGTTCAGAATAGCAGAGGTTCATATTTCAATGTTGTATTAACATGTAAGTCAATGGAAGATAAGAATTATGGAACCAAGAAAAAGCATGGGCGTAGCCAGGGGGGGTGCGATGGGTGCGATCGCACCCCCCCATAACCTTTGAAAATATGACCATTGGATAGAGGTAGAAAAGAGCTTTAAAATGCTTTTTATTTGAAGCTTCTAGCTCAATTTTGAAGGAAGTTGCATCAATTTTTGTAAAATTCAAAAGAAATCTTAATTTTTTGTGTTGCTTATGGCAAAATCGCACCCCCCCCCTGACCGAAAACTGAAAAATTTTCGGCGATCGCACCCCCCCTGACTGAAAGCTGGCTACGCCCCTGAAAAGTGTTCACATTGAGAGGAGTTTGGATTAGAGAGGTGTTTAGATATACACGTTTCACTTAACATTGCAGGGGGTGCTGTGCAGAAAGCTTGAATACCTGTACCAGATGTCTCAAATGGAGCATAGCAATATATGTCAGGCCTACATGACATTGTTTGTCACAGCATTAAGGAATACAATACATCTACTGGCCAAGCAGGAGACTAGGTACATAGGCCTGTTTTAAATTTAAATCAGTATTTTTCGTAGTTTCATAAAGAATCAAGATGACCTAGTTAAAATGTGAGGCATGATATATCAAATTCCAGCCAAGCGGAACATGTGTAACATTCCTTTATGTTAACCTCTTGGATAATACATTTCTTTTTTACCCCTTTTGTCAATTATGTCATGAGTGAGTAAATATTCTTTGTTGACATAAAATGACCATTTTTGGCATACCTTATAGTGCTATATGTTACCTGGCAATGGCATGTTTTGTAATGAGGGTTGTATCCCTTTATGTACAGCAGTGCCCCAGGTGTGTTGAATGAGATGTTATGCGACAGAACAGAGCCACTGAAACCATTGGTTCTGCCCAACAACCTAGCTGATATTCAGTTAACCCCTCCACAGGTAAGAGAACTATGGGATACTTCGGCAAATAGATACATGTACATTTCTGTATGTATGTACTAAAATAGTATAATGGTAGCAAATAGATGCATGTCGATTTATAATGGGAGTTTTGTACTTTGGTTATAATAAGCCATTGATATTACTTGTGCAAAAACTGTCAAAATGAAAATCATCAAAAAATGACTTGTTAAAGAATATGATTGACATTGGACAACAGATATCCCAGCAAGTATATATTGTCCCCCCCCTGGCCAAAAATTCTCTCAAAATCATGCAGTTTTTCACCATTCTGAGCACTTTTCAAATGATTTTTGGGACAAAGTTGTCAAAAGTGAACCCCCCTGGAATTTTCAAAAAAGTGAACCCCCTTGGCAAATCCTGAAGTCATTTTATGTGCATGTATTTGTATTTATAATTTACTTTTTCAGAATGAGAGAAAGTTGGATAATAGCATTGATACAAAAGAGCTGCGAAGTGCAGTTTCATACATAATGGACTATTGTGCTGTCCTCACCCACTCCAGTCTCTTCTATGTTATCACTGAACTCATCAAGATCTTCCACATGGTCCCTGTCATGTCACCAACTGTAAGCAAACTACATATATTTAAATGTGATTTTAGTAGACCACATGTATGGACATTGAAGTGACATATTGTTGAAGTGACATATAGCCATTAGTTGGCTCATTTTATTTTAACCTCCTTTTACACAAATAGGATTACAACGAATTATGTCTGATACTTGTCTTTTTCTTGTAGATATTCAAGTCACATTTTCTACGCCACATCAGTTCTTCTGACCTTCCACTTTTCCATTCCACAATACTGTTGAAGTTGCATTTTGGTGATGACTTGGTGTCGTCTGCTGAGAATGATGCATTATTGGATAGAATCATTATATTAGCCAATCAGACATCACTATTTCCTGCCCAGAAGTTGCTTAGCTATCATTGGCTGCTGCATTATCCTCAAAATAAGGTAAAATTACCATTGAAAATTACATGACATTGATTGTTGATACAGTTTGGATACTGACACTCATAAATCCGAAGTGTATACATAACAAAAAATTATCTTTTCATATTTGAATTCATGTATGTTTCATCCATGAAAGTCCTTATAAAAGGGAAAATACTGAAGTGGACATATCAAATTTCCTTTACATAGGTGTATTACTAATTGCCTAACCCATATCTCTATTTTGCTGTATGCATCATGATAAGCATCTGAACTGTCTTTCTTGATGAACAAATATAGATTAAATGTAGAGAACCTTTCCTTTTCAGAACTGTATTCCAAAGGAACCTTGTCTTCCCCCATACTATCTTCATAAGGAGAAATATTTCATTCCTCAGATATTCGATGGATTTGACACACAGCTAAAGAAGTTAACAATATTGAGTGTACTTTATGTACAGTCCAATACTGGTATGTGAGTCGTGACACATGTTAAGCACTGGGGATGAACTGGAAACGAGGGAGGTTTAGCCTCGTATCAAAATGGCGGCGCGTGAAAAAATTTCATTCGGTAAGATTTTTGTTTTTTACAATTTTCGTGCTTTTATCCTTCAAATTAAAACTTAATATTTGGCAAGTAAATAGTTTATAAGTTCCGGTTTTATAATATGATCGCAAATTAGAAATCAATACAGACATTGCTGAGATATTTACATTTCAATTCTCTCACTTAGGAAACGAGGCACCTGTCTACATTTTGTAACAATGAAACGAGGCAATGTTTGACTTGCAACGAGGCAACTTTTCTTTCTGAGATAGTGTCTACATTTAATGATCTTATTTCCACCGTTCTGGTCACATACGACCGATTACGTTTTACACGATATACATGATTATATATGTAAGAGTTAAAAAGAATAACCATATTGTTCATAAAGCGCTACATTGGTCATTTATCTTTCAGAGCAAGACAACATGGATGAATAAAGTAATATAGGCGAGTCATTTAATTATTACCATGGTCATTCGTTTTTTATCGTATCTGGAATTATATTCTATCAAATATAGCCATCTCGAGCAACAACAATGCCCCATTTGCGCACGGTTAGTAGGGAGGTTTAACGACACATGTTTTAAAGAGAAGTGTACGTAGTGTAAAATTGCAATCTTCAGAGAACTAGTTCTTGTCTTCAACATCTTTATTTGCATGAATGATTACAAAGGTATCAGTTAAACTGTTTTAATTGGGTCTTTGTATAAGTCTATCCAGAACGGAACTATAGTTCCCAGGGGTCATTTCACGTTTACGTTCGCCATTTCTAAAATACGTGTAGCTTAAGCTCCCTATTAAAATAGCACTTCTTTGAACGAGATTTTTCTTATTTGAGAGAACATTTTGACGATATATGCGCTACCATTGATAGCTCGGATAGCTGGCTCGTTAATTGGAATTGACACTCAAAGCAATGCTATTTAACGTTTTCGAAATATTTAAAAAATAAAACAGTATAACTCCTTAGCATGAATTTTAAGCTGCAGCAAAGAATGAATCGAGTGAAGTGCATTGACATTTTCTGTACTTAAAGATGAACCTTAAAAACATGTAGCTTAACTAAATTTGTACAGTTAGACTTTTCTTTGCTGCAACTTTACAACTGCTCATTTAAAAAATCAGAATTTGAGATGTTTACACCTGAAAATGAAAATATAGAAAATGCCATTACTATAAAGAATATATCTGATAGCAGCTTATACTGCTACATGTACATGTAGAGCGGGATGTAGAGGGACCCTGGTTTAGGGCACATTAATAACTCCTTATATGCATACCTCGTACAGGGTAGTCAAAATAATTTTACATTTCTGGCAATTCATCATAACTCCATTTGCGATCAAGTATAAAACATTTACAAGTTTTGCGACATCAGTTAAAAGGAAATGAACGCTCATGTGCGCCTTTATAAAGGGGAACATTCGCCCAAAGGCATGCCATATAGAAACTCAGTTGCTATCCAACAAAACACAATCAAACTGTTAGTATTTACTTGATTCTCTCTCGATCCGTCGTTTTATTCTCAACTGCATATCAGAATTTATCATCACAGTATGCCCTTCCTTCTTAAGCGTTCTTACACGTTCAATGGCAACGCCAAAATGATGAGAAGTGTATACAAATGAACCTGTTTTCTCATCTAACGTTCGTTTCCGTACAGAGAGATTACCATCATGCTGTTGCATCATATGGAATACAATATCAGCAACGTTGTCGTTTCCTGTGTTACAGAAATAGCATTTGAACAGGGACGCTTCTTTTTGTAGGCCCCGTTCTGTAATAAAAACAATTTAATTTTTAATTAAATATGGTTGCCTCGTTTCATTCTTAAGAATGCTATATAGCTGCCTCGTTTCCTTGAGAAACATGCCTCGTTTCCTAAGTGAGAGAATTGATATGTAAATATCTCAGCAATGCCAGTATTGCTTTCTAATTTGTAATCATATTATAAAACCGGAACTTATGAACTATTTACTTGCCAAATATTAAGTTTTAATTTGAAGGATAAAAGCACGAAAATTGTAAAAAACAAAAATCTTACCGAATGAATTTTTTTCACGCGCCGCCATTTTGATACGAGGCAAAACCTCCCTCGTTTCCAGTTCATCCCCAGTGTTAAGGGAGGCATAATGAGAGAATATTTCCACCTGTTTCACATGATTTCAATGTGCAAGCCCACAAGTAAATTTTCTCAAGTAGAACATGTAGATTGTAGGGAATCAGAGTCTATGAATAAAAGAAAACACAAGTACATGTACTTGGGGAAATGTTGGAAGAATGCTTTTTGAATTCAGTCAATTCAAGTGCAGCATTGCATATCTAAAAAAAAAACTAAAAACTAAGGAACTAAAAAAAATATGATCATACGAGGGTTGATCATAAAGTTCTCATAATATCTCTCTAATTTCTTTATTTTTCAATATATTCTAATGAAATTTCCACAGAATGTGCAGCATAGAATGTCTTATTAATTCAGCAAAAAATATTAAGTTTAACAGAAATATTAAATAAGAAATGGTTGCCATAGTAACGGGAAATCAAGGCACCCGGGGCAAATAAAAACAATTGAGAGAATGAGCTTAATTAACCATGTTTACACATATAATAAACTCTCATGAATTACTAAACAAGTTAAAATATTAACTTGAATATATTGTTAAGTGCTTTAACAATTAAATAAATTGATTATGTAAATTGTGTGATGCCATAGGGGATGCTTTCACGCTTCATTAGATGTAATACCAGAGTCTGAGACTCAAAGCTAATGATCAGAAATGACTGAGTAAGAGAATGCAATGGATGCAGTGATCTTCAGAAAAATGAAAGTCATACTGATAAAATGTTATGTTAAGTTTGTAAGATCCTTTGGTCAGACTAAACATGATCTAAAACAAATATATTTCTAAGATATCAACAAAATTACACCATGTGTGTGGTCTGTACATGTTAAAAATGAACTAAAGGGGCAAAATCAATTTTCCTCAGGATATTTGACAAAACAGTCATTGGGTCTAGCAGTTACTTCTAATGAAGCATAGCAATCATCCATTATGAGATCATACAATTCACTTGACCATTATGATAGTTCACAACAGTCAGGAGCACATATTATTTGACAAATTAATGTGTTTAAGAGCATATTTGACAACTTATTATGTATTTAAACATGGTTAATGGGGGCTATTCTAGGTAGTTTTTTTATTTGCCCCGTGTGCCTTGATTTCAAGTTACTATGGCAATCATTTCTTATCTAATGTTTCTGTTATCCTAAATATTATTTGCTGGATTAATATAACATTCCATGCTGCACATTCTGTGAAAATTTCATAGGAAAATATTGAAAAATAAAGAAATTAGAGAGATATTATGAGAACTTTATGATCAACCCTCGTATGTCCTCATAATATGTCCATGAACCCTTGAAATTTCATTAGTATTAAAAGATAAATTATTTTTTGTTTATTGGGATCTCTAAATCCCATTTGTAGATACTGCAGAACATGTATGTCTAGTATTCAAAAATAAGTATTTAAATGAGAAAGTGTTTCCAAAATTAAAGGCACTTTTTGTGTCACCCTGTTTTGTAATTTGACCAACTTGACCTATCTTTTGAAAATGACCACAAAGTCAAAAAATATGCTCTAATGCATACCAAGTTGTGAATGAGGGAATGAGTGGAATGAATCACCATGTCAGCTCTCCAAATGGTGCCATTTTTTCTTATTGTTCAAAGTTTTTGTTTGTAGTTCCCCCTCCAGAAACTCTAATGGGTTGCATATCAAACCTGACCAAGTCCATTAGGAAAGGTGTTGGAGGTAGGACAGCAGCTACCTGTTACAAAATACTCTTTGTTTATTACACAATGTTCAGCGAACACCAAGCAGTGGTTGAGGAAATCAAGAGGTATGCAATCGAAGAAAATAACCAGATTATAATTTTATTTGATTTCATATTTTAATTATGTGATTTTAAACATGTTTTTATGTTCACCATGATGTTTTTGAGTCACTTTTTTAAATATATTTTTAGGTTTATCATAGACATTGTGAAGTTGCATCCAAAGTTTGCCAGTTATTCATTGGATTTTCTTCATGTTGTTACTCAGAAAATGCCAGAAAGGTAAGTAGTGCGTTCTGTTTTTTATTACCATGACTAAAAGAATTGTTTATGAAATAAAATCATGAAAAGTGAAATATCTTTTCTTGTATTTGACAGAAAATATTTTCTTGTAATGGACATATTATTTTCAATTGTATAATAAAACCCTAAAAAGGCTATACAGAAATTGATCCAATTAATGTAATGTATATTGAAGTAAATGTGTATTGAAGGTTTTATCTGCATATGTAGTAATATACAAACATAATACAACGTGATATAATTCTGCTTTTAGTTCACTGGCCCATGATTCGTTATTGGATCTAACCAATCACATAACAGATTTGCAGTCATGTGATGTCCAAGAACATTTCCACAATTATATGACTATTCTAGAGAAAGCTGCTCAGATGCCATCTATAGATCAAAAGGTATGTTAATTGTGATTTGCTAATATTCCTTGACAGTGATTTCCCAAACATTGGTGCAAGTAGTTGCTGCATCCTGTTGAAAATTCAAAAATTAGATGTTGTAATGCTGAAAAAATGGACCGCACCCTGTTAGAAGCATACATGAACTCTGGGCATATTTTCACCAGAATCTTTGATTTTTCACCATGAAGGGAAAAGCCTGGGGTGATCGATGCGTATACGTGTATTAATATACATTTTAGAGTACCATTTTTGGGTTTTTGATGTGATATTGATTTAATTCTTTACATTAGTAATTTTATTTTATTTTATATTTTATAAGTAGTTACCTTATTATGCAATTATCATTTTGTTTCATTAATATGCAACAAATAAGTCAGTTTTTATTTAGAATTCTCATTTGTTTTTTATTTACACAAACATTACTTGTTTATTTTGCTTATTTGTGTTGAAATGTCAGCATATTTTATTCAAATAGCATTTGAATAGACTTACAGTGTATATGCATATACAGCAAGCTTGTAATACCTTCAACATCATACAGTGTAATAATTACATCTAATCATTTAGGAAGGCAAGAACTATCAGACCAAAACAGAAATGTGATCATTTTTCATTTTTCATAGTTTTCTCTAGTTTTCTCATGGGTTCTTTATATGTCACTCTGTTAAACTGAAACAAATAAAACATATCATTATTTGTCAGATATATTTTTGGGCATTTGAAAACCAAACTGAAATAACATTGAAATAATTTTTCCTTTTTTCCTCAGAATTTTTTTCTCTTGCAACTTGTTAATTACTCGATGTTAGTACTGTAATTTCTGACTCAGGTTGGGTCTTGAGTGCAAGTCCCACCACTAATAAAGACCATCGTACCCAAGGAATAACAAACTACTACTGTAGTTGATGAACACTTATGTTTCTGTTTGTATTCCCTGTCAAGTAATGTACAGTAAATTCATATTTTTCATCAATTACCAATCATTCTTGCCAATTGCCCCCAGGTCTTCTTAGCACTTCACTGTGTGAATGTCCACATACAATCCTGTCTTCTCATCCTTGGACACTTTGCCAATACCTTTACATTTACCATTTCCTATTGGCTCAGGGTTAGCACAGATTCTGGCCCTGCTTTTCACATGCTTTTTACAGTCAGTGTATGGCGTCCAATCACCCCATCCCCCATCGGTAGATATGATAGTATTGATCCAGTCGAGGTAGTTGGTAACTTTCGTGTATACCCCAGACCCCTCTCCACATGATTTTGCTGGACCCCAACTTGCAATCCCATACTGAGTCCATGTTTCTGTTGTGCGATCTCTGCACATTAATGGTCCTCCAGAATCTCCAAAACATGTATCTCTGAAGATATTAAAAATTATACAGATTCAGATATTATACACGTTAACAATCTTGCTAAGTGGAATCGAAACACTTTTCCCAACTCGTTACTTTGGGGTAACGTCAAAGTAACAAAATGGAGGAACTTCCTAAGTTTGTGTTCCATTGAGTTTTTGTTTTCTTGATTTTAACCTATACTATGGATTATATTTTGGCACACAGTTGGAGAATGTATTTTTGTTAAAGAATACACCTTCGGTTTGGAAATTGGACCTTAAAAAGTAAAGAGGGAAAGTTTCTATAGACTGACATGTTAAAGCTACTTTAATTTTTATAAAAGTTTTTATTAGATAAAAATAGTAATTTTGCTTACTTTCCTTCTTTACTTGCGCAGAACATATTATCACTTAAGTCTTTTAAGTCCTTCTTTGAAAGTCTACATTCTTCTTTTTTAACTGTTACATGTTGAAGAACATTTGAGCCTTGCCAATCATTTAAATGTCTTTTGCCCCAGCCCGCTATATGGCATTGTATCCTCTTTAAGGTTTTGTTATTGAACACAGGGCTTGTTGGCAACAGGATTGGTTGTGTATAGTTATTCAGCTCAATTGGTGGATCAACAATGATGACTGCAATATCATTATCCAAACCATTGTAATCCTTGTGCTTAATGAGGTTGTTTCTCTTCACTTCTCTGGTTTGTTCACTCGGTTCCCTTCTTGTCTTATCATGCTTTCCAGTCTGTAGTGTTATTCTTCTCGTTTTGTCCACACAATGAGCTGCAGTGAGGATATGTCTGGGGGATATAAGTGTTGCCCCACACCCTCTTGAACTAATCAACACCATCCATGGAAAATTGTGTGCAGGTTTCACCTCTCTACCTCCTATTATGATATCCATTGTTTCTGTTAACCGTTTGCCAGGTCTCCCAGTACATTCCTGTGCATTACAGGGCTTTATGTCAACACTATGTCCAAAACAGTGCTTTCCGTCCATTCCAACTGCACTATGGCATTGTTGTACTGCTACCTGTTTGCCACAACTGTTTGTATCACATGGTGTGTAGCCAGAAGGTTTATCTAAATATTGAATATAATATACATACAGGGTGATCAATAAATAAGGTAAAAGTATCTGGCATTTTGTAAATATTGGTCCAAACATCCTGAAATTTGGTCAGAATATACCTTGTACATTTCTAAATTAAAACATATAAATATATAGCTTCTGCAATTTGATTGGTTAATATTATATTTACTATGGCAACTGGAGTCGGGGGTACCCGGGGCAATTTCATTGCATCCAATTTGGACAAAAAATGATAAAAAGCACATCTTTTTCAAACTGAAAGGAAATAAACGTGGGTGCCAGCATTAATTGTTATGTCACCACCAAAAGTGGTGACATATTGTTATGGTCTCCGTTTTTTTGCGACGGCGGTTGGTGGTTGGCGTCCGGCGGTTGGCGTCCGGCGTCTGGCGTCCGGCGTCTGTAACAATTTCTTACAACTTCCTATAACTTAACAAATACTGTTTAGACTGACTTCAATTTTTTTCTAAATCATCTACATGTTCTCAGAAGTTCAAATCTGACTTTAGATTTGACCTTCAATGACCTTCTCAAGGTCAAAAAGGTCTTTTTTCAACTTGCTTCACATTGACTAAACTTTTTTTCAAAATCATCGACATGTTCTCAGAAATTCAAATCTGACTTTAGATTTGACATTTGACCTTCAAATCTGACTTTAGATTTGACATTTGACCTTCAATGACCTTCTCAAGGTCAAAAAAGGTCAAAAAGGTCTGTTTTCAACTTGCTTCAAATTGACTAAAATTTTTTTCAAAATCATCTACGTGTTCTCAGAAATTCAAATCTGACTTAAGATTTGACTTAAGATTTGACATTTGACCTTCAATGACCTTCTCAAGCTCAAAAAAGGTCAAAAAGGTCTTTTTTCAACTTGCTTCAAATTGACTAAATTTTTTTTTCAAAATCATCTACATGTTCTCAGAAATTCAAATCTGACTTTAGATTTGACATTTGACCTTCAATGACCTTCTCAATGTCAAAAAAGGTCAAAAAGGTATTTTTTCATCTTGCTTCAAATTGACTAAATTTTTTTTTCAAAATCATCTACATGTTCTCAGAAATTCAAATATGACTTTAGATTTGACATTTGACCTTCAATGACCTTCTGAAGGTCAAAAAGGTCAAAAAGGTCTTTTTTCAACTTGCTTCAAATTGACTAAAAAAAATTTTCAAAATCATCTACTTGTTCTCAGAAATTCAAATCTGACTTTAGATTTGACTTAAGATTTGACATTTGACCTTCAATGACCTTCTCAAAGTCAAAAAAGGTCAAAAAGGTCTTTTTTCAACTTGCTTCAAATTGACTAAATCTTTTTTTCAAAATCATCTACATGTTCTCAGAAATTCAAATATGACTTTAGATTTGATATTTGACCTTCAATGACCTTCTCAAGGTCAAAAGGTCTTTTTTCAACTTGCTTCAAATTGACTAATTTTTTTTTTCAAAATCATCTACATGTTCTCAGAAATTCAAATCTGACTTTAGATTTGACTTAAGATTTGACATTTGACCTTCAATGACCTTCTCAAAGTCAAAAAAGGTCAAAAAGGTCTGTTTTCAACTTGCTTCAAATTGACCAAATTTTTTTTCAAAATCATCTACATCTTTTCAGAAGTTCAAATTTGACTTTACAAGTTCTCAGAAGTTCAAAGCTGACTTTAGATTTGACCTTTGACCTTCAATGACCTTGTCAAGGTCAAAAAGGTCTTTTTTCAACTTGCTTCAAATTGACTAATTTTTTTTCAAAATCATCTACATGTTCTCAGAAGTTCAAATCTGACTTTAGATTTGACATTTGACCTTCAATGACCTTTTCAAGGTCAAAAAGGTCTTTTTTCAACTTGCTTCAAATTTACTTAATTTTTTTTCAAAATCATCTACATGTTCTCAGAAGTTCAAATCTGACTTTACATTTGACATTTGACCTTCAATGACCTTCTCAATGTCAAAAAAAGTCAAAGAGGTATTTTTTCAACTTGCTTCAAATTGACGAATTTTTTTTTCAAAATCATCTACATGTTCTAAGAAGTTCAAATCTGACTTAAGATTTGTGTGCAACTAGTTTTAACTTGCTTCAGATTGAACAATTTCTTTTTTCAAAATCATCTACAAGATCCCAGAAGCTCAAATCTTCAAAAACCTTCTTAAGGTCAAAAGGTATTTTCCAACTTGCTTTAAATTGACCAAATTGTTTTAGGTGGTGACATTTTGTCATGTTAATGCCTTGTTTTAATTTACTTTGTTTACATTGTTACATATTTTCTTGCAAATTTGATGTTTGATGTCACGGAAAAGATTAATATATAATGAAAACTGATGTGATCATAGAAAGTCTATGACACAGGTCAATGATGAAAAACAATACCCACAGAAGAGATTTGATGAGAGAAAAGAGGAAGAAGCTAAGACTAAGAGGCCTGCAAAACGTCTCACATTGCACTGGGATAATGCTCTGTCTCACAATGCTATTCTCACGGTACAAACCATTGAAGCACTGGGTTTCCCACTGTTAGGTCATGTATAGCACTATACTCTCCTGACCTGTCCCCTTATGATTTTACCATCATGGTGAGCTGAAGAATTGAGAGAGTTTCTCATGGGTTGACTTGAAGCCAGCTGTCTTGAAAATTTGCAGGCTATGGGAAAATGGGTTTAAAAGGTGTTCAAAGACTGGAGTAGAAGACATGAACTATATGTTAAAAACAAAGGGCATTAAGTAGCATTTATGAAGTATGAACCAAGAATATGATATGCCATTTTAATTGTGATTTGAAATATATTATCAAAAGTGTTTCGACTGAAAAGGATGAGTCTGGGAATGAGTCTGGGTATCGACTTAGAAAATATTGAAAATTGTAATGTCTGAAAAACCAACTCAATCACACATATTATTAAACTTCAATATCTTATCCTTCTTCTGAGATTACTAAAATATCAATTTGTATCACAATTGATGAAGAATATTGGCATCAAAGACAGTGCATATCACTTTGTCAGAATCAATGGCAAATATTAAATGAATTATTTATACAAAAAGTTTGAAACATATCCTCCAAAACATTGCTTATTTTCTTTGTATAGACATAAGTGAATTTGTGTTTATCTGGGTAATCAAGGGATTATAGTCACTCAAAGTTACTGAGCATCCAGTTTTGAGAGTTCAATTGTGTTGGTGAAGTTACACATATTTCAGTCAAATTCATCCTGAGCACAACATTTTGGTTTCAATTTTATAGTCCCTACACATGACCCTGGTGATGAAGAGTCAGATTCAGTCAAAAAACCCAAACCGGAAAACTGTGCTCATTGTGAAAACTAAAAGTGAAGCAACTTTTTTTCTGATATTTCTTACATCAAATGGCAACCATCTTGTTTTCCCCCTTCAAAATTAAACTGGCGGGAAATTCAAAAATTTGAAAAAAATTTTAATCCTTAAATATATTTCAAAAGTATGATTTTCTTTTTAATTCTTCATGGGTCTTAAGTTATTTCTTCTTTGTATGTCATACATGTTGCCATTGGTGTTTTTTCTATGATAATGACTATTTTTTGTTTTTTAGGCTACTTATTCTGACTCTCAGCAGGGGGCTAATTATGCATCAGAACTCATGAAAAAGTAAATATTCTTATCAAATATAACTAGGACAGTAATAAAAACCATATTTCACATACATTTGACTGAGGGACCAAAAGGGCATATACCCAGACACATCCTTTTGTTTTTTGATAGTTGCCCCGGGTCTTCATGCTTTCTGTTGCTATGGCAACTATAACTTCAACCAATCACATCACTTTGATCTGTAACTTTATATATCAATTCAATAATGTTTGAACATTATTCTGTGCAAATCTTATGAGGATTGCGTAAAATCTGAAGAAATGCCAGATACTTTTACCTAATTTATTGATCACCCTGTATACATCGGATTGATGACAGTTTTTTATTTAGTATTTAGGCGATTTTAAATATGACTGCATGAAATATTATACATGGTCAATTATTCTATGTCTCAAATTAACATGTAATGTATGTTACCTTTCAAGCCACGTTCACATGCAGTTGTACATGAAGTATACATGTTTGATATACATGAGCAATGCTTACAACGGTCTTCCCAATATTGATATGGGACTTTCTTTATCCCATAAGGTGTTGTGCACTTTTTGCAACCTGAAAGAGAATAATATTTAAGATGTAAGTCAGTTATGAAAATATGATCTCCTGCAATGTTATGTCCTGTATATGACCTTCACATGACCAGTTATTGAAATCTAGAGTATATAGGTTGTCTCAAAAATGTACAAAAAAGCATATTAACCCTTTACCTTTTACACCACGTAATCAATGTAACATCATATTTCGATGACAGTCTGCATCCTTACTACTACATTGTTCATCACATTTGATATTTCTGGTGGACTGTTCGGATGCTGGTCTTAAGTAATCTAGGTCTCTTAGCTTGGGTGTAGCATAGAAATGGTTCTTCAAATAGCCCTAGAGATCAGTTTTAGACCACTGTGTTTTCATTTTCATTTGGATATCATTTGGTCTCTAGGCTAGCCTGCGTATCTCTGGAAGGTAACTCCTGAATCATTTGCTGATACTTGACCTGATTATCTGTATTTATTCTGCCATCTTCATCCTCAAACATCTTTCTCTGTGGCTATTTTAAGGAGTGTTTTAATGCTCATTCCAAGAAAAAAGACCTAGAACAACTTAAGGGCAACATCCAAAGAGTAATCAAAAACATAACATCGGAATTATTATCAAATGTGATGTACAATGTAGTAGTAAGGATACAGGCTGTCATCGAAATATGAGGTTACATTGATTATGTGGTGTAAAAGGGGTAAAGCATCAAAAAGGCAAGACTGAAATAAAAATGGTGTATTGGGACTTCTGAGTGCATTATTTGAGACACCCGATATATCTTGCATGTATAATGCTACTTACAAGAGCACACTCAAACCAAGAGAGGATATCTCTATTCAGTTTCTATAATGTCACCAAATCACCAATTATGAGATCACTTTAAACAATGACATTAATAAGAGAAGTTTTCATTTATTAGGAAGAAAATATAGAAAAAGAAATTAATAATTCATCACCCACTTTTGATTTTTTTAATAAACCTTAAATAATTGATTTACTGTCTTTATTGGTGCATTTCACTCTCCCATCTTTGAGGCAACTGCATTTGTTACATCTGTCTTCATTACTTGTCCATGGTTCGTCATACCAGTTATGTGAATATCCACTTTTATCGACACAAGTAAAATCAAGACAGCAAACAGAAAATACATTGGTGCTGACTTGGAAGCATTTATAGCCAGGACTACAGGCTTTACTTCCCCCTCCTTTACATGGCCATGGTGCTTTTGTAGCAGAATTAATTTCCGGGGTACATTGCGGAACATCCTTATATTGGCAGCATTCTCCTTTGATGCATTTGAATGTATTAGGACATTGTGCTCGTCTCACACATTTCACATGTTTATATTTCAAGAGAGAAGTGCCTTCACAAGTTCTTTCCCTGTGTCCTTTTCCATGTAGCAGTCCTACCATGCAAAATGTGATGATGATCCTGAAGTACATTCTCCCTATACATGAAGTCAGGAATGCTGTAGAAATTGCACTTGACTTTGCATTGTTTATTTCTAGCAATGGGAATAAAATAAACTAAACATATGTGTCAATAAGAATGACTTATAACCAACAAAGATTTTAATGTTTTCAAATGATTAATACGTACTTGTGTTTAATATCTCTTTTGTCCCACTGTATGAAATATTACCAAAGTATTATTGAAGTATCGTTACTAAGATTGATGTCATCATTAATATGTAGTTGTGTATACGTAATATGATATCAAGTTGGCCTATATCTGAATTAATGAGCGACTTAACATGATTATGCTAACATGTTATACAACGAACATTGAGTTTATGTACTTAAAGCTAAGGTGGCTACTAAGAGTAGAGCAATTATTTTAAATGAAGTCATGATTTAAACATTCTTCCACAAATAATCCTTGAGATTGACAATGTTATCAAAATGTAGTGAAAGTGAACTTGCATCAAAAAAGATAATTATACTTTGTTCTATATCTCAGATTTGGATTCTGCACAGCTGAATATTGGAATGGATTAGACTTTCAATACAATACAGTTTTATAAAAATACACAGAGTTTGATTTTATGGGTACTTTCAATGTTACACACAAAATACTTGACACGGGGATTAAAACCAAATTGACTAAATAACAAATTAACTCAACTACATTTGACCAATCACCCCATCCCCCATCGGTTGATATAATAGCATTGATCCAGTCGAGGTAGTTGGTAACTTTTGTATATACCCCAGACTTTTCTCCACATGATTTTGCCGGACCCCAACTAACAATCCCATATTGAGTCCATATCTGCGTTTCTGCATCTCTACACATGAATGGCCCTCCAGAATCTCCAAAACATGCATCCCTGTAGTAAATGTATTAGTAATCATTATTATATACCTCAAATGTATTCTAGATGCTCATTGGCTTATTCATGGTCACATGACATGGAATAGATGAACTAATTCCCTGGAAAGTCCTAAATCCCTGCTTTCAGGGAAGATGAATTGTACTAATCACCAGTTAGGTCATGTGACCAGTCAATAGTACGTTTTATCTTCCCCCAAATCTGAGATTATAGGAGTTGAAAGGTAAAATGCCTTTAAATGCCAATAAGAATCTGTGAACATTTGATATTGAATTGAAAAGGCTTCTCATTTTGTTTTTGTTTACAGAGTACTTATCAGGTATATAATAAAACAAATAGTGACTGCCACATTTTCGGGAAATAGTGTAAAAATTTTCCTCTCGGGAATATCCTGTCCACTGACATGTTCCCGAGGCTGCCTTGAGGAAAATATTTTGCACTATTTCCCTCAATGGCAGTCACTATTTGTACAAGATTGTACAAGATGAAGCAGAAACTACATGTATATAGAGAAACAGATTTCCTTTGGTATGACATATTTATTGGTCTTGAAAGAATAGTTTCTTTGAATTGTAATATTATCTTCCCTTACTTGTCTACTTTACTTGCACAGAACATATTATCAGTGATCAGTTTCAAGTCTTTCCTTTTAAGTCTGCAGGCCTCTTTCTTAATGGTTACATGAAGGAGAACATTTGAGCCTTCCCAATTATCAAAAGCTGTTCTGCCCCAGCCAGCAATATGGCATTGTTTCTTTTTCAAGGTATTGTCATTGAATATAGGGTTTGTTGGCAACACGATCGGTTGTGTATAGTTATTTAACTCAATTGGTGGGTTAACAATGATGATAGCAATATCATTTTCATAACCATCATAGTCCTTGTGCATAATGATATTGTTTTTCTTCACTTCTCTGGTTTGTTCACTCAGTTCTGTCTTTGTCCTATCATGCTTTCCAGTCTTTAGAGTTATACTTCTAATTTTCTCCACGCAATGAGCTGCTGTAAGAATATGTTTCGGGGAAATAAGTGTTGCCCCACACCCTTCTGAATCAATAAATACCATCCATGGGAAATTATGTGCAGGTTTCACCTCTCTACCTCCTACTATGATACCTGTGCTTTCTTTTAATCGTTTTCCTGGTCTCCCAGTACAATCCTGTTCATTACAGGGCTTTATGTCAACACTATGTCCAAAACAGTGCTTTCCGTCCTTCCCAATTGCACTATGGCATTGTTGTACTGCTACCTGCTTGCCACAACTGTTTGTATCACATGGTGTGTAGCCAGAGAGTTTATCTAAAGATAGAATATTTTGTGTATTGATTCTAGGGTTAATCACTTGAAAAGAAAGATACTGCCAGTGAATCAAGAGTATGTTGTCCTTTATGATAATGAAAATGATACTAAAACTTGACAATAGTGGAGGTTACTTAAGGGAAGGAGAGGAGTTATGGATTTATTTCAATGAAAATGGCTGATGACAGATTTTTCAAGGTCAACCTACCAGAATGATTCAATGAAAGCAATTTTGACATATCCAATATGGGATATTAACATCTCCACATGATATATGAGGAATATGAGGAACTCCAAAACAACCCCATACACCAGTCCTCTTACTTTTTGAACACCCCATATCTTTGAAGTTTCAATAATAAATATTTCAGAAACATCATATGTTACCTTTCAAGCCACGTTCACATGCAGTTGTGCATGGAGTATACATCTTTGATATACATATGCAATGCTTACAACGGTCTTCCCAGTATTGATATGGGACTTTCTTTGTCCCATTAGGTGTTGTGCACTTTTTGCAACCTTATTAAGAAATCAGAATACATTAAAAATGTTAGTTGCTTTTTGAGATACACATTCATTTGCTTTTTGAGATACACATTCATTTGCTTTTTGAGATACACATTCATTTGCTTTTTGAGACACACATTCATTTGCTTTTTTTAGATACATATTCATTTGCTTTTTGAGATACATATTCAATTGCTTTTTGAGACACACATTCATTTGCTTTTTTAGATACACATTCATTTCCTATTTGAGATACACATTCATTTGATTTTTGAGATACACATTCATTTGCTTTTGAGATACACATACATTTGCTATTTGAGATACACATTCGTTTGCTTTTTTGAGATACACATTAATTTGCTATTTGAGATGCACATTAATTTGCTATTTGGATACACCCTCATTTGCTTTTTGAGATACACATTCATTTGCTTTTTGAGATACACATTCATTTGCTATTTGAGATACATATTCATTCAAATAAAATTATACATGTAAAATTCAAATAAAATTATTCATTAGTTAAAGAAAACACAGAATGAAATCTTGTTCTATATATAGGGCAAGAACAAAATCATTTTGAGATATCTAATATGATAATGTTTCAGAGGTGTTTCAGAGTGAAAACAAATGGTTGATAATCCAAGGATTATCCATAATTTTGAGGCTTTGTAAAACTCAACAAGAATTATGTATTAGCAGATGAAACACTGTTCTATCATTTACCTTTATGATTTTTGATCAGTATTGTCTAGAACTACAGTAATAGAAACAGCATCTCAAAGTTTTCACCAAATCCACCATTGCTCGTTGATGTAATGTAATGATTGATGTATCTCATGCATAGTGATGGGAATGTGCTTATTTGAACACATTTGGAACTGGCACATAGACTAAATTAAATAAAGATAAACAATTTTAACCAGTATTGTAATTAGATTAACTAAATATAAATATTCAATTACTGTCTCTTTTTGTGCATTTTACTCTCCCATCTTTAAGGCAACTGCATTTGTTACATCTGTCTTCATTACTTGTCCATGGTTCGTCATACCAGTTATGGGAATATCCACTTTTATCAACACAAGTTACATCAAGGCAGCACACAAAAAACACATTGCCGCCAGCTTTGTAGCATTTATAGCCAGGACTACAGGCTTTACTTCCTTTTCCTATACACGCCCAAGGTGCTTTTGTGGCAGGATTTATTTCAGGTGTACATTTTGGCACATCCTTATATTGGCAGCATTCTCCTTTTATACATTTGAATGTATTTGGACATTTAACACGTTTTCCACAATTAACATTTTTATATTTCAATAGAGAAGTACCCCCACAAAAACCACCCCTTGGTTTTCTTCCATAAAGCAGTCCTACTAAACATAATGACAATGTAATGGTGATCCTGAAATCCATCCTCCTTGATTGCAAGCTGTTAAAGTCAATGTCAACCCCATTTTACAGCCAAACAAAGATTGAGTTGGGATTAAGAGAAGTTGTCTGTCTGTTTGTCCATCCATCTAGCTATTCATATATCCAGATGATAACTCAAATACATATTGAAAGGCTTTCAGTATACTGCCAAATCTCCTCTGTCTTTGCGTCTGTCCAGAAGATAACTCAAATACTGGTTGATGGATTTCGTTGAAATTTTATAAACCATACATGCATAGTACACATATATTTCTAATCTATAGCATTTGAAATGTGCGAGATGTGCTCAATGTCCTAATATGTGTACATTTAAATGTATCAAAGGAGATAAGGATGTTCTGAATTTCTAATATGTTATCTCAATTGCAAATGGCCACCATTTCCATTTTCAGTAAAAATGTAATCTTGATAACTCAAATACCAGTTGTCAGGTTTGGTTCAAATTTCATAGGCTGATGAAGGGCATAAAATATCTCTCTCAAAGAAAGAATTTTAAAGATGGCTACTGAATTCAAAATGGCTGCCATTTTTCAGGGAAATATAATTTGTTTATACCTGCAGCTTTGGTTCAAATCTTTGAGGGTGATGCCTTATGGAAGTAAGATTTCTGCTCAGGAAAGTTTTTTATTATGGCTGCTCACTTTTGTAAAAAACAAAATTTGATTTCTCAAATATGTACCAAATATGTAGATAGATTTGGCATACGTCTTTTGCTCAAGAAGAAATTTTTGAAATGGCCATCAGTTTCAGAATGCCCACCATTTTCATGCAAAAACAACAACTAAAAAATATTTATTTGATTTTGTCCAAATTCTAAAGATTAATATTGGACATCTAATCTAGAAGGAATATATTACTGGTATATGGTGTCATCTCATCTTTATGATATATCTTGTTTGGTTGAATTTGTTACTCAGGGGAGTTGCTGTTTTCTAGTTTTAATATAAGACATACTGTACAAATATAACTTTACATCTGTGTAAATATTACACCATGATAATTGTTTGTTCGCAAAAAACCAACAAAGTTTTTATTAGCTCAAGTGGGTGAGATATTGAAATTATTTTATATTATAGTTGTCATACATAAGTTAATGTCAGTGTGTTTTTATTGATAACAGAAATTAATATCCTTGTACAAGTAAATGCAATGTACTATTCATTTTATGTTATATTTCAACATCATAAATTTTCAAACACACACATTTGAGCCAATCACATTCTACTTTTGAAACATAAAATGGGATTGTAAGACAATCTTCAGGTCTGCTTAGATTTGAGCTTGTTTATAAGGCAGCTCAGTGTTACAAGCTTGACAAAATCTTAATGGCTTTTCTGGCTTGTAGGACTAGGCTGAAGATTCCTTTTAACATTAGCATTGTCTAGTCTTTGCTACAACTTTAAATTTTAAACTATGAGATCATTACAAGTCTGCCAATGCATTTCAGCCTACCATCAGCTACCTATCAGGTCTGCTAGACACCTTGCCAATGGGCTCAGAGAGAGACTGGCTAAGTGGTAGTGCTGTATTGGCTGTGTGTCGTGCAATATTACAGCACCAAAACACAAGTCCTTTATTTCAAGGTAAGTATTGTATTTTGAATTGTTTACACCACAAATGTTTACATGGGTTTTTAATGATGATATTAGTAAATAAAAAAATCATTGAATTATGGATACTAAACATGTCAACAGTACTTTCAAGGTTTACAGTATCGGTATTCAATTCGGGATTCAATTTTGCCAGTTGATCTCAAGAGAGGTCTTCAATTGTATACTGTAAAGTGTGGCCTGCTTTAGGTAATTTATCCATTATGTACAAGATCGCCAATTTCATCTCTGTCCATACTTTGTTTAATGTTACAAAAATCTGCCAAATTGAAAATTCAGAAAAAGTTACAAATCAAATACACTATGCATATACATATCTTTTGTTCTTTTCAGTACTTGGAGAGGTTCTCTACAAGCTAAGCAGTCAACATAATGACATAGACATTAAGGACCGCGCAAGATGCCTGTATGCTCTACTAATGAATCTGTCCAGTGAAAAGATCACCAATATTCTTACAGAGGCCCCTGTAGAGTCTAGGGATAGGTCCCAGAACTTGGCCAATTTAGTTACAGGTAATCACATTCATTATCAAAAGTAAATAATCCATGACCTAAAGTTTTGTAAATCTTGACAATAGGCTCGCAATTGATGTATGAAATTAAATAATGTATGTACTGTAGTTTGAATTTTTTCCACAAAATATGACTTTTGGAAAACACCATCGACATGAATTTGATTTCCAAAAATCCTATATTCAATACTATAAACTAAGATTTTCGACATCTAAAAAGTCACTCGACTTTTTTGTGATTTTGAATCACAGAAAGCATTCTGAAGTTTCAAATTGGCGCCACGTTAAATTTTTGGCATCCGCCTAATGTATACCACTTACCTTTTATTGATTCTTTCATAAGTTTGGTCATAAACTCAGTTTGACCAGAAGTATCTTTGTTGCCGCTCGATTTTTTAAAAAAAAATGTCCCTTTTCTAATCACCCGGATGTGCGGTTTACTTGGACTCGCCCAAAACGAGGGGTGTCAAACGCAAGATGGTAGAGATGCAGACATGTCGCCACTCTCAGAGAATATATTCCATAATTTCAACATTACTACGCGGTTTTATAAGCGAAAAGGATAAGGGCAGGTTGTATATAGGACTGGACAAGATGAAAATAAATATTCTCAATAGATGACACCCCTTTCGAAATAAGATGAACTGAACCTATCACGTCACTGATTTCTTAGAAGAAATTACGTCAGAAAAACAAAAGCTCCGTAGAGAATTTTCGCTTGAAATGTTGAAAAGCAAGCCCAGTTTTCTATGGGAATATACGGTAATTAATAGTTACGTGTACAATATTACCGAGTTCGATGGTGCATAAGTTAGGCAGTGGATCATTTTGTAAGTACGACAATGTGAATTCATGCGACTGTTACTTTTTGGACGTTTTTTTTGCAAAAAAGTCGAGTGACTTTTTAGATGTTGAAAATCTTAGTAAACCAAAATCCCATATTAGCCAAAATTCTGGTATTTATCTGCAAACTCAAGCCCTCAGCTCGTTCTGCTCCCCATTGCTTCAAACTCCACCCCCCCCCCCCCAACACACACACCCTCATATTAACTTATCTTTCAACTTACAACTAATTCAATGTTTTATGTCATCAATCCTGACACCTATCCTGATAGCATATAACACAAAGAGTATATACACAAGTATATAATCATGTTTTCAGCAAGTGCCAACTTCCCAACTGCTGAACCCATCACCAGACTTGACCAATCAATTCTAGAACTGTGCAGGCAAAGATGCAGGTAAAACACTCTTCATACACATTAGAAATGGATGGGGATCATACCTATTTTGAGGGAGATTGGCTAAATCACGACATGAGGCTTTATATACATGTACATATATAATTATGCAGGTAAAACACTCTCATACACATTAAAATTATGAGGATGGGGATTGGGGATGGATGTGGGCTAGACCTAATTTCGAGGGAGATTGGGTAAATAACAACATGAGGTGTTATCTTGCTGTGAGGCTTTTCCTCTAGGAGACAATGGGATATAGTTGATGTGGCTATTTAACTTTGGCATCACATGGCCCCACCTAACCTAAACCAACTATCCAATGAGGCAACATAGGTTTTGAAAATAATTTATCATGAATGATACATTGATTGTGGCTGCATCAAGAGATGCAATATATTTACAAGAAGGCAGATCCTTCGACAGACAGTAGTGGCAACAAGTTTTGCTGGCATAATAGGAACATATACAAGATCAAAGAATGCTTTGTTTGATTCATATTGCTACTTAACAGTGCTATTACATGTAGGGTCTCTCTATAATCAACAATCCATACATGCTTTTCATATCTCACTGTTCCTTTTATTCACTTGCTTTAGAGGTCAATGATTATAACAAGATGTGTGTATTATAGGAGAGAGGAGAAAGAGAAAGTCTCAGAAGAGAATATGTCTTTAGGCAAAGCAGATGACATCAAGTCCTATGTTGAACAACTAAATGAACCAACTTTCAAGCCACATGTATCTCTAACATATGAAATACAATTTGTAAGTTTTACTCCTTTTGATAAAAAGTATTATATTCATATTAAAGGTTCTCAATTCACACTCATTTCACATAAGATTAATTAATGGGATTTAATTATTAAGAAAATTTATACATATGTGCATCGTTAATAGTAGATAGCCACTTAACAAAATTATGGACATTATATACAAGTAATGTTTTTATTTCTTGCTGAATCAGGATTATCATACTTTCGGCGTAACTGGGAATAATTTTAATCGTGTCTTTAACTTGTGTCGCCACCAAGAAGTTGTGACAAATTATTGTAGCTACCTTTTTTGTGGCTGGAAATGGTTGTTGCTGTTTGTATGGTTATAATTGCCACCAGATGGTGACATTTTTTACATTAATCGATTTATTTGCAGGTTAAAGACAATAGCACACAGTTTGACAAGATATATGCAGTGCAGTTCAAGTTTAAAGTGCATGAAAATTACCAACAAATACCAGGTAATGTATTGATTAATCTCCATCAAATATTGACCACCGGAAGTGAAAGCATTTATCAAACTATGAAATACAAAGGGTGCTCAATATTACCCACTTGGTTGATATTTGACAGATGTCCCCTAAGTGAATGTATTTTAGGCCATGAGTTAAAATTTATAACATCCTGTTGAGTGTTAATTAGACTATTCATGTATTACTGATCTGCATAGTGAGTACATGTACTAGTACATCAATATTTTTTTGAGTGATTGAATATTTGATTCAATAAATGAGTGACCATTCACACATAGCTAGGCAAAGTGTGTCCAATTCCAGCCAATCAGAACAGAGTATTCGCATAATGAACAGTGTGTGAATTATCAATAACACATGCAAGGTCACTAGTTAAACAGTTGTCATGGTGATAGACTTTTCACATTGGATTTGATGACTTGCCAACTTGACCCTTGCAAAAAATGTCATTGAATATGTGTTCTTTTAGTGATTTCATTCCTTTTGGATGATTTTGTAGAAAAAGTTGCAATGTGTGAAAAGAATTTAAGCCCAAGACTCAATGCATTGTAGCTGCTTCATTCCACTCAGGCGTTGTTTCCTAAACTTTGCATTCCCGCTGCGCGATCATGCAAAGGTTTGGAAACAGCACCTTCGTGGTATGATTCAGCAAACATTGCACCGAGTACAGGGCTTAAATCCTTAACTAATATTCACAGTTATATTGATTTTCTGAAAAGTTTTACCTGCTAAATCCTATGTTATTTCTTCATAGGCCTAGCAAGTATGAGAAAACATTTTTTTATTTGTAGATGTATGTATTCCACACCTTAGTAAAAATGCAGCATGTCCTTGTATTACATTGAGACTTTATCCAGAGCTACCACTCCCAACTGATATATCAGTGCAGTAAGTTTAATTCAGACTGTAAAAGGGAATAGAAGCGAGACTGAAAAAATTAGTCTCGAAAAAATTATTGTAAACATCTTATCATTCCACATCCACAGTTTGGTTTTAATTTGGGAGAATCCCCTTGGGGATAACCCTTGCACAATTTTTGAAAAGGTTGCTTCCAATATGTTTACACTTTCTATCCCTTCTAATTCCTTTCTATTGAGCCATTTGTTATGCCATACAACAAAGCAAGAGAATTGGGTTTTTTTAAACAAAATTTCACTTTGCTTCACTTTCATTATAATTAGTCACTCTATTCAAATTTTTTTTTATTTAGGTTTAGCTTCATGAGTAAAGATGGCAGCACCTATATGAGTAGCATGAAACATTTGAATGTACAATTCTCAGACTTATTCCTGAGATGTCCATGCCCAAATGTTCTGCAACATGTCAACAGTGAGGCTTCTGATACAAGGTGAGTACTGTACCATGAATTTACTAATTAGCTATATATTAGGTAAAAACAGCAAATACAATTGTCATTAACAAGGAAACATCATCAAAAACAAGAAAATTTGACATTATTCATAACAAAGTACTCCTGGGTATATAGAGAGGATATCCTATGATTTTTGAGGGATATCATTTTTATCCATGAGTGGATTTTATCTTTTATTGACTCTTTAGATGTCATATCATGACATATTAGTCACTAAGGTAGAGCAGTTCTTCCCATTGTCGAGTTGAAGAACTGGTATCTTTATCCTGGCTAGAACCATAGACAATTCTAGCCAGCGCCAGCCTTTTATCGAGTTAGCAGCACTCTAGTAATCGCCGGTATAGGTCAGCAGTCATAGGTCAAAGACAAATCACAAGAAGTGCTGTGACCTGGGTTTGAACCCAAGACCTCTACTTTTCAGCCTGAAGCCAGACTTCCTGCTTTTCATTTTATTGCTTATCTCGACAGCGAATGAGTGGAGATGGGTGATGTTCATGAAATATATTTTAAGGTCAATCTTACAATAATGAAAATATGTCATTTTGTAAATATATGGCTTCTTAATAATAATAATTATAATAATATTTTATTGACTTTATTTATTTATATTTTATATAATAATAATTACATTTTGTTGACTTTTTCAGTCCACCAGTGTTGGAATCTGTCTTCACTATTGGGTTAACCTCCTCTTGTGTGGAAGCTCTCATTGAGGAACATTTTGCTGAGTTTGTGGTCCCCACTTCTATAGAGGTCTCCCAAGGTAAATATACACATCAATTTGTTGTCCTCTTATTATACATATATTTTATGTATTTGCACAATACATATTCATGCAATATACATTGTATACAATATATGTTAGAAATGTAAATTAAAAATATGCTTATGATAACCTCCTTTTATGGACCAAGACAAATTTCTGAGGTAGGAGAATGCCATCAAATCATAATTTTGATCTACTATTTCAAGAATTAGTTAAATAGGATTTAGCCATTCATTTATGAGAAATAACTGCCATTGAACATACCTACTCTTTCTTTAACTAAAATTTTTTTTATAGTGATCTCAATCGCATTCACATTTTCTTTTCAGATTGTCCCATTGTGGATATGAAAACCAAAAGAGTTGCAATATTCCTACCACGGAGGTATCACCTTATGATGACATTTACCATAAATGATGACAGAACAGTAGTTGCCATAGAAACAGACAGTTTGACTATTCTTCCTAAAATTAATGCGTTACTAAAGGACATTGTAGAGAAATGGAAAAGTAATTGATGTGTGTGATTTAACAACGTTCATGTGCAGTATTACCCTTCAGAAGACCTAGACATGTCTTCACTCTTTAAATTAAAGACAATTATTCCATCCAGCCTTTATCCAATCAGATTATGCAGTCATAAAAGTATTCACACATTTTCTTTCTATAAGTAGCCAATATTAATTTCAGATTCAAACTTCCATAAAAGGCCATTAAGATATTGAGCTCATTAAGATTGTGTCATCATCAAAATTATCTGTGATAGTCAAAGGATCATATGCGTAGTGAACAGGAGTGCAATATTAAACCTGGAAAATATAAATGAAACAAAACCGAAACAAAACCGAAACAAGTGTTTTTTTAAATATATACAAAATTTTATATTCATAATATGAAGCTAAAATGTGTATTACATGCATATATGTACAAGTCAGTGAGCTACATTGTTCTTTGTTGATACATTGTTGATGCAGGTTCACTCTTGTCAGTATCAATGCAATGTACACAGCACAGGGTTGGGATTAATCTTTACACCAGTGTTTGTTTTGACAGAATATTGAATTAACATACACTCTCCTTATCTGTCCGAAACAGATGACCGAGTACACTTTAAAAATATTAATACTGTAATCTTTTTCATGAATCCTTTCAGGTAGGATAGAACAGTAAAACCTGTTGAAGTTGAGCACTGTTGGTACCTTTAAAAAGTGTTCCACTTGGGAGGCGTTCCACATATAGAGTTTCATTTAACATTAAGTCAGTTGGTCTTGAGACTCTGAAGACTTCCACTTACAGAGGTGTTCCACTTCACAGGTTTCACTGTAATACTATTTCAACTGAATATTATGTTCAGATGTATCAGATCCTTAGATGATTATATCTGTAGATCTACTTCCTTGGATCTATTTCTCAAATGTATTGAGACAGTCGATCGTGAAATGTATTACCATAATTAAAATACAGGCATTGGTCTTTGATAGTTTGTTTTCTAGAAATGGGGCCCTGCATAATATACATTTCTACTGTCATCAGAAAATTGTGTGTACTATTGTCCATATTGCAGTTAATGTCCACACATATATTGTTGGAGAATGGTGCAGTTTTGAGCTTCCACCTATAATATAAATATGAATTTCAACAATTATATTTTTAGAATGTATTTATAAAAGCCTCTTGTGCTTTAAAAAATTGACACAGGCGAGGATAGATTGACTATACATTAGAGGTATCACAGAATGTCTGGAAAGGGACTTTCTATGATATCAAATGGTCCATGTGCAAATGCAAAATCTGAATCTTATGTTGTTTGCATTTTGACTGATCTAACCCACTTTTGTTTGAAAAACTTTTTTTTTATTTAGAAATTCAATATTAATTATGGTACTTACTCATGAAGAAAGTGATTGTTGGTCCACTCATTGCCCCGTCGCCTCCTCTGCTGTAGGCTGATACCCTTAGGTTGTATCTGATCCCTGGGGACAGGTTAGCGAGTATCCCCTCAACATGTCTGCCTGCGTCAACCTCCAGAGCGCTTCGTACATGCTGACTGTCTCGCCAATACTTCATCTTTGTTGAAATTAAGATTAGGTTTTTATAATGTGACTAGTGAAACTTGTCATATACATATATGTATTACCCAATAAGTGTCACTTATTTGATATAGTCATTCTGGGTGAATTTTCATCGATGATCGACATTCCAGGATATTTTGATTTGCAGAATATTACTACAATCCTAATTGTTCAGTAAACTGAAAACAATATCCCTGAAATTGACATCATTTATTGACCTTAGAATATTTTATTTTTAAAAATCCAAGCTGAACAAGAAATCAATCTCTAGCGAACCTATCAATAACAATCTATTTGTGGAAATGTAACACATATTCTGTCTCACCTTGTAGCCTTCTACAGGCTCTTGTGTCTGGTCTGTCATGACACCTCTCCACCAGACTTTCAGTGCAGTGTTGTTCAACACAGCAAAGTTAACCTCCTCAGGGTACTCAACAGGAGCTGGAAATGCAAAATATACTTATGGAAAGTTAATCTCTTCAGGGTATATCATTGGAAAGTACATATATATGCAATATATACCATCGGCAAGTTAACATCATAGTACTCAAGAGGAGCTTGGAATGCAATATATACATAATGGAAAGTTAATCTCTTCAGGGTATATCATTGGAAGGTATATGCAATATATACCATTGGAAAGTTAACTTCCTCAGGGTACTCAAGGAGCTGGAAATGCAATATATACCATTGCAAAGTTAATCTCCTTTTTTATTTATTTTTTTAATAATCATTTATATCATATATTATTGTATATATTAAACATACAATAATACAATAGTAAAGTTTGACTAGGTTACAAGTAACATTATTGTCAAACTGAGTTATTCTCCTCAGGATACTCATAGGAACTTAAAATGCAATATATACCATTGGAAAGTGGAAGTAACCACCCTTGCCAGAAACCAACTGAAAAATCCTACTTGTAAACTTAGTACAAAACATATGAAATGGTACATACCCTTTCTCAGTGTTCTTTGCTTGAAGTTTGCACTTTTTGGTCCATACCCTGCTGAGTTAAACACTTGTACATTTGTCCAGTAATTTGTGAAAGGCCAGAGGCCAATGATCATCCCACAGTCCATCTGACCGTACAAGTTCTGCTGAATTGACATCTCTTCTGTCTCTTTTCCTTCTATCCAATAGTTGATCTGAAACATAATATAACCCTTTGAATTTGACTGACTCTATTTAAAAGATACTTTTCTCATAGTTCACAAGAATCTGCACTCAGGATAATTACAGTTCACTAAGGATATTTCTTTCAATACAAGGTGTCCCAGCATATGTTTTTAATCACAAAGTTTTCTGGTCGAACTGTGTTTTAAAGGATGATGCATATACCCCATATCCAAATATTGCATATCTACCCCATATCCCAATATTGCATATTTACCCCATATCCCAATAATGTGATATTTACCCCATATCCTAATACTAGTATTTCATATTCATCCCATATTCCAATATTGCATATATACCCCATATCCCAATATTGCATATTTACCCCATATCCCAATAATGTGATATTTACCCCATATCCTAATACTAGTATTTCATATTCATCCCATATTCCAATATTGCATATATACCCCATATCCCAATATTGCATATTTACCCCATATCCTAATATTGCATATCTACCCCATATCCCAAAATTGCATATTTACCCCATATCCTAATATTCTTCCCCTTGTAGTGTCTCTACCAGGTTCAATGTGTTGCCAACAAACATACAGAGCAGTAGAGTTGTACTGGATAGCACGCAGATCAACAGGCATTACAGTTGGAACTGCAAATGAAATATATATTAACTTGTCATCACTTTCATTGGCCCCATATCCCACATCTCATAATAATAAAATAGTCCGGGAGTTTAAACATTGAGTATATTGAAGGTAATGATTTTCCAGACTGGACAACATGTACAACCGGAGGCTCAGGAATATGATATGACAATGTTAAGATGTTAAAATATGGCATTCTTGGTCCTGAATGTAGTCTAGCTACAAGCCACTGTGACCCCCATCCACCCTCCCACTACTTGACTACACAGGTATGAAAACTTCTCACTTAGGAACGGGTGTGTAGTTTGGGGCACAAAGGCTTGTAGCTGGACTAGCCTGAATGTTTAACTGATGAGCGAACATCATAACATACTGTGTTCTGCTGAATATATTGTCACCCATTCCCCTTTAGGTCCCATGCCTATATCATTGAATGCTGTTACAGAGACATTGTACAACAAGTAGAACAGATCCTCGCCAATAGTGTGGGTGTATTTCTTCGCTGTGCCCATTATTATTGCCTGAAATATATTGTGAATACAAGATATCATTGAACTCTTGAATCACAAAACATTATAAAATGTGTATAACCCATAACTAAAAGAATTGTAAATAAAATAAAATTGTGCAATGCATTTTCTGCAAATATTGGAACTACATTAGTGAAAAGTCTTGAAGTTGCACTTGATAAGTGATAATAATAAGGTATTTTTAATTGCCCAATTCAGTTTATGGTAATTCAGTACATCTAAAATAATTTTTTTTATTTAAGCATTCTGATACTCAGGCCATCTCTGCCTTGTTAAGAACTTAGAAAAAGTGAATAATGGAAAACTGTATTCTTACAATGTTGTCTAATATAAGCATTGTTTATGAATCTTCAGAAATAAATAATTATATGAAAATCAGGCTTTGAATTTGCAGGCACGTCAGGGAAATCATATGACGTTTGCCTTAAACAGAAACTTACTGATTCATTCGATTGAGACTGCTGCAAGTCCATCCACTCCACTTTATAACCTATTCCCGGACCATTGAATTCATTTGGTTTTAAAGGCTAAATAATATGATGCATGAAAAGTTTATATTAAATATAAAAATGTTAAAGGCATATGAGGGCATTTATAATGGATTAAATGTTGTAAAATATTGTATCTATTTCTATCATGAAGACTACTGACTTTTTAATCATTTATTGTTTTGAAACAGTTTTAAAAATCATTTTAGGAATTGCACTTGGGGCTGCCATTTTGAAAATATTTTTCCATAAAATATTTTTTTGGCATAGCTTTCCTTTAATTGCCCATTTCCTTTTCTTTAAATTCATTAAAGTATCCAAGTCCCTGTAGAAGACTTACATCCCATACAATCTCCAGTGTGCCTACTTTTCCCCAGCCTTGCCTTATGTTGCCTGGTACTTGCATAGGTGCAGTTGAAGAAGTTGTGATTTCAACTACAACAAAAACAACAGTTGTGATCTCAACTACAACAAAAACAACAGTTGTGATCTCAACTACAACAAAAACAACAGTTGTGATCTCAATTACAACAAAAACAGCAGCTGTGATCTCAATTACAACAAAAATCAACAGCTGTGATCTCAGCTACGACAAAAATCAACAGCTGTTGTGGATTAAGAAAGTCTATCCAAAAAGAAAATTAATGATGTTTTGTTCACCTGATTGTGTACTTGGTTCCCCTGTGCCCAGTTCATTCTCTGACCTAGCCCTGAATCTGTATCTAGACCAGGGGGAGAGGCCAGTCACCGTAGTAACACATCTGACTTTTGGGTCATAAATACAACGAACATCTAGAAATAACAGCATGGTAAAGCACAGTACAGTGCAGTGCTATTCAAATATAAGTGTTGTGCAATGCAATACAGTATAGCGCAGTGTAGTGTAGTGTAGTGTAGTGTAGTGTAGTGTTATGCAGTACCATACTTGGGCCCTTATATAGTATTAGTGTTATAGGCATTAACAACGCCATGTCATTTATATGGTTATGTTTATGAAAGGATTGTACTTGCCCTTTTGTACTCTTATTTATAAACATTTTTCATATTTTTTATGTTGAAAAATGTTGATACAATTAGTAGCTATGATGCTTATACTTAAATACCTACTTGTTTTCACAACTGCCCAGTAGTTGAGATGGTAGTTCAAGGCTTCGATAACATGAGATGTGATGGGTCTGCCATTGGGGAAACCACTGTAGAAGCTGACCCGTATGGATGTGGCTGTGATCTGGTCTACCTTCACCCCTGTTGGCTGCATGGGTGGACCTGGAGTGGGTAGCATTGAGGGTGAATAATTGAATTATAGTTTGATATTATGTTTCATGTTATTGGAAATGATGATAGATTTGGTTTTGTATTGATGTGGTCACTTGTGCTTCTCACTTGTTTATGTTTTTTGTGTGTTTTTTTATTGTTTAAAACTTTAATGTACGTTTTAATGTACAAATCTGATCATCCTGGGGAAGAGGAACTTAACTTAAAGAACTTAAATTGCACATTTTGACATATAGCTTTTCATAATGTAATATAATGTTACTTAGTACGATTTAAAATCAACTTTCATCAAAATCAAAATGGCAAACTGGCACTTTAAGAGATTAATATACCTATTACTGTCAGCTCTGCTTTGGACTCAACAGAGTCAACCTGTGTTTCAACCATACATGTATAAGTGCCTTGGTGGTGAATCTTTGTCCTCTTTATGAACAGGCCCCCTCTGTATGTCCCATTATACTGAAATGAGCATTAATGCAATTTAAAGGGTCAACAAAGATTAAAACTGAGCATATGATTGCAAATAAATTAACCTTTATTTGCTCTAATCATTCTATTTCATGCCTAGTATATTTAACAAAAAGTCATACAGTTCTAATTTAATTTCAAGACAGACCTTTGATTTTTAATGTTATCTGGCAAAAAATGAAAAAGTGGACTTCCAGTTTTTAATTATTATTGATTCAACTTTTCTACATTTTAGATCTTATATAACTAAAATTGTTCCATTTTATGATGTAAAAGTAATAACTCCTTTGATTCCAAGAATATTTCTCTAAACTGAAATTAAAGTACTAAACTATATACACTGTATGTTCTTATCAATAAAGAAGCATTAAAATACCCTAGCAAATTCTTTCCACTCCTTTTCAAGGTTGATTCTAATATCATTGTGCTTCCAAATGTAAGTAAAATCAAGCTTTCTGTTAACAGAGGCCTCACAATGGAGATAAGATGTCATGTTTTCCACAACTTGTAGACCCATTGGCCCAGTTGGTATGGTGGAACGGGCTGAAATCAACCATTACATTTTACAACATTTTCTTTATAATAAGTGTGATATAAATATTGAATGTTAATTTACTAAACAATGAATGAATTTCAAAGGAATTGACTTGAAACATTGTCACTGTTTTAGAATCATTTTATATATCGATGCATCAAGTTATATCTAAATCAGGATGTATCCAAGGCCAATAATGGTGCAGTTTTGTCACTTGCATTTGTGAAAAATTGACAGGATCGGGGTGGTAAAGTATAGTATATTATTATATTATAGTTATATGTATATTATTTATTGCTATATGTTATCGGTCTGTTTCTGCTTTATATAATTTATATCAATGAAATAACTTCAAATGATTCAAATCTTCTTTTCTATTCAATATTTTGGAATGGTTTTTAGGGCTTACTTAGAATTACCAACTCTCCAGTGCTGCTTGCTGTTCCTTGACTGTTTGTGGCTATGCAGGTATAGTTTCCCATATCACCTCTCCCTGTGTAGTGTGTAGATACGTTTAATGTACAATAAAGCAATAAGCACATCCTGAATATTCATCACTGTATTATTTCTGTACCAGATCCCTCAGATTCTCTACTACTTACAAAAAATTATGGTGTATAATAGAATGTTTAGCAATATTTTTGCACAATAAAATATGCAATCAATTAATTTTATATTGGTATCTTTCACATTTTTAAAACAGCAATCACAACAGCCATAGTTTATATCCCAATGGTAAATGAATATAAAAACATCTATTTCCCTTTGTTTCGTGGCGCCTTCAGAAGGCAATTGGATATAGCTGCTCTCTTGATCAGTAGACACATCTTACCAATATCTCTGATCATGAGGTGACCATTTGGTAATTTTCTCACTCTTGCATTCTCATCGGGTGATGGATGGAGTTCCGTTCTGTCCCTGAACCAGCGTATCTCAGGTCTGGGGGCTGCCTCTGGGCTGCAGTAGATGGTAGTGGTGCCACCTTGTGTGGCAAATTGTCTTGGTTGGAGTTCTAGCTTGGCAAATGTAGGTGCAAATTCTAGAACAAGAATTCATATTTTTGAACATTAATATACTGTACTTATATTGTATTCACATTTTGTTAAACATTTTACCTATTGATTTAGTCACCAAGAAATGTTTAAATATAATATCCATCCCTTTTTATTAATGTACAATGTAAAATTTTATTTCCTTTCAATTTGTGGTAGTGATTTTTTGGCCCACCCTGTATATTAGATTGAACTTAAGTACTAGGCCAATATATTCTTGGTGTATCCATTCCATTATTTTAATATATTGTTTGTATATATTGTTCAATTATTTACATTTCATAATGGGGGCAATACAGGGCAACATCTCACCAGTGCTTACTAAAAGTACCTAACAATCTCATGTTGTTTTATGCAATTAAAGCAGTAACCTTATAAAAAGATTGGTCCAATATGGGCATGACATTACATGTAATTGTTTGTATTGTTATATCGACATACCTAAGACCCTCACTTGAGCAGTAGAGTAGAGTGTACCATGAACATTTTCAGCACCACACTGATACATTTCAGCATCTGATAACCGTACATCATTGATGGTCAGGACATTGTTGTTCACTGTAGCTCGCCCTGCCATATCAGGTGGCAATGTCTCTTGCGTCAATAACACTCCATTTCGGTACCTTTAAAATGCATACACATTAACACTCCCCTGTAAAAGTTTGCCAACCTAAACAAGTTCAAACACACAATGGATGGGGAGCCAGGACAGGATTGCCAATATTTTGTAAGGGGGTGTACAGTATATTGATACGATATTATATGAAGAAGATGGGGAGGATCCAGCAACTATGAACTTATTATTAAATCCTCTACATAAAGTATACTAGCAGTGAAATGAAAATGCCATTTACTTATGTTACCAGTGAAATGAAAATGCTGTTTGCTTATGTTACCCATAATATGAAAATGACATTTGGATATGTTACCAATAAAATGAAAATGACATTTGATCATGTTACCAGTGAAATGAAAGTGACATTTGATTATGTTACCAGTGAAATGAAAATGAAAGTTGATCATGTTACCAGTGAAATGAAAGTGACAATTGATTATGTTACCAGTGAAATGAAAATGAAAGTTGATCATGTTACCAGTGAAATGAAAGTGACAATTGATCATGTTACCAGTGAAATGAAAGTGACATTTGATCATGTTACCAGTGAAATGAAAGTGACATTTGATTATGTTACCAGTGAAATGAAAATGAAAGTTGATCATGTTACCAGTGAAATGAAAGTGACAATTGATCATGTTACCAGTGAAATGAAAGTGACATTTGATTATGTTACCAGTGAAATGAAGGTGCCATTGGCCATGTTACCAATGAAATGAAGGTGGCATTTGATCAAGTTACCATCGATACGAAGGAGAAGGTACGCCATTGGCCTCACATCTCCAGATCAAGTTGGTCCCTATGTCTAAATGTTGGTTTTCCAACGGAAGGGTGAAGTAAGGTTCAGCTGAAATAAAAATTCGAAATTGTATTGCTTGTATGAATACAACAAACGTTAATATCGTCACACAAACAAACTTTCAAAAATCTTAAACAAAAAAAAGAAAGACAGGGGATAAATATTTTGTCTTTTTGGTTCAAGCACTTGTTAATAAAATTGTTATGTATTAAATGTTTGATTTTCTCTGGGCTACTCACATTGTAAGACTATTTGGACGACATCTGATATGGATTGTCCAAACTCTCTCCTAACAGTACATTTGTATTCACCAGCTTCTTCGAGTTGGATCATAGGCAGAATTAGCACTCGGTTCCTTTCTCTAAATTCGGCATTTTGGGGCATTTCACCTCCTATTCTATCCCACCTGTAGATATGCTTACCCCTGAAATACGTCCAAACAATGATACGACATAACACATTAGAACATCAAGAGAATCATTGTCAATATGCGTTGGCAGCTCCACCAGTTTGAATTGTCTTAGTCCAAACTGCCTTAGGCCCATCATAAGAGATGAATGCCTTCTATCAGTTCCCTTCTAGGAAAGTATTGCTATTTGGAAAACAAATAGATGTGATCGATCAGGGCTATCACGGTAATCCAATTGGCAACTCGACCATGTTTGGTGTTGATCGCCAGTTAGTATTAATGAGCTTGGCTTGATGATAGGATCGGGTCCCTGCCCCTAGCTACTTTCCCACAAGTTATACTACAAGGTGTTACATTATGACGGTGGATTCAACTCTAGATCGACTAGATGTAAGTCTTACAATGAGTTACTACATACATAAGATAAGACAACGTACGTCCCCTGTGAGAAGCATTCTAGCCGTACATAGTCACCACGCTTAGGCGACCCCGGGAAAGACTGTGGAAAACCAGTGGCAAACGTTGGTTCAATGACTGGGGTCACTAGAAAATAAGATGTACAATTAAAGCTACTTCTGGTGATCAATGTAGAATAATGAAAACGCACAAGTGGTAATATTTGAAAACACATACCGTTATAAATAAACATGAACCAAATATATCATGGAGAACATTATTTTTTACAATAACGTGGACCATTGAATCATTTATAAGAACATAGAAATATGGTTATGCCCGGTTGACAAAATGTCCAGATGCAGATCCGTAAAGTGGCACTAAAGGGGAGAGTCCAACCCAATAAATTCTAAAATTGCGTTTTTGAAATTTTGCATGACGTAATATTCACCTGCTTGATTGACCTGCAGATGGACTGGCATACTAGTCCTCCCTCTGTTAGTCCCCCCTGCACGCTGGTAAACCATACAGTAATATAGTCCTATGTCGTCCTGGGTGGCGTATTGGAACCACAGACGACTGTCCCACGACACGAATGTATACTCCTTCCTTACAAAGTTGTCCGTGTTGTCTTTGAACCAATCAAACATTATGGCTGGAACGGATTTTTTAATTTTCAGAGCCGTTTGAAAAATACAGGGAAATAATGTTAAGATATTTGTTTAAGTTACGTACACTAGCTATGCAATGAAAAATATAATACTAGATCTATACTATGGACTTGAGATGTCCATTTTTCGATACAAGGTAGCTTACTAGGGTAGTGGTCCGGTGGGTAACAATCTATAGCGGATCCCTGCCAGGCGTCCACCTGCACTGGATTGCGAACCTGTGTGGAAAAGTCATGTAGATCTGGAAAATTGGAAATTGAATTCTCATTAAAGACTTAAGCCTCAGTCACATTTGCTCTACGGCGGCCGTATGGCGGCCGTAGCTTCACAAAATCGATATTGAAAATCTACATCGTACTGCTTATTCCTATATTTTATGCTGCATGTTCATTACTTTCGATTTTGGGAAGCTACGACCGCCGTACGGTTGCCGTAGATCAATTTCGACTGGGGGATTAGTAGTACTAATTCCCCATATCCGTAAGGCGGAAATATATATATTGCAATTAAAGAAATTGTCCAGTTCCTTAATGAACCATAATGCACTGTGATGATGTTACTCTACCGATAATGGCACTGCTCATTCAGTTCATTATGAAACCTGATTAAATGCGTTGTAAAATAACGTTTCTGCTCAGTTTTTCATATTTGCTAAACACATAGAGATGCCAGGCATCTATCGTGTTACCTCTCACATGCTAAGCGATCGCTCTTTGATTACCTTTGCATAAGTGATTTACCTTTGCAGAAACCTGACTTTATTTGATCGTGTTTCAGTAAATTATTTTGGGAAAAATTCTGAAATTCAAAAGATTCACGTTTTCTGTAGATGAAATATACAAGTTTTGCATCTAAAACCTTTAAACCTGAATGTATGTTCCTTAATATTGGATCCTTTGATGATTTGGTACTTTGATTGCTTTTTTAGTTTAGATAGATTTACAATTGAAAATGTTTTTTGAAAAGGGTCTTCTTTTACAAAATTTTAAGCAGATATTTACACTGTTATTACAGAACAAATAGCTCAAAAATCGTTACCCGGCAGCTCCACCATAAGTGAACTATTTTTGCTTAAAGAGAGAATCAGATATAGCGAGCAGGCTAAACAAAAAATTGTTTCGATTTTAGAATATTTTTGGCTCATGTCATTGCTTGTCATGTCTATTTTCTAAAAATCACAAAAATGCATACTTTATTCAAGGAAAACTAAAGATTTTTATAATAATGTATTGTTTTTCTATAAGAATGGTTACCATTCTTATTATTTGGGAGAATTTAAACATTTTTCACTCATTTTTGTACTTTGAATCATTAATAACTTCACCAATTTATAACATATTGTGAATCCTTTGGGAGATATTGTATTTGATACTGTAAGGAATAGATTGGCAGGTCAATCATACATGTTGCTTGTAATTTTGTCACCCCCTATTGATCAGATTCTGCCTTTAAACAATTATGTGTTTATTGGCATAAAATCTCCGAAACAAAATCAAAAATAGGTTTGGTACCGTGCAAATCAATACCGGTGTAAAAGGGTATGAGGTCCTGTCAAATTATGGTCCTACTTTCCATTGATTTATATGGTGACCTAAATACAACTCTTTCTCTTATTATCATATCCACAATTAGGGCCAGTAAGGGCCTTTAAGAAAGGGGACCATAATCCCTAGGGGACCATAATTTCTTTCACACCGGGATCAATACCCGGCAGCTCCAAGGTTTAACCACTTTTACTTACAATTAATGATTTATTGGCTTAAAATTACCGATACACGATGAGAAAAAACTTAGATTTTGATTTGTGGCAAACAAAGGGGCTGTAGCTCAAGTGGTAGAGCGCTCGCTTAGCATGTGAGAGGTACCGGGATCAATACCCGGCAGCTCCAGGGTTTAACCATTTTTACTTACAATTAATGATTTATTGGCTTAAAATTAACGATACACGATCAGAAAAGAACTTAGATTTTTAGTGGTAGAGCGCTCGCTTAGCATGTGAGAGGTACCGGGATCAATACCCGGCACCTCCAGGGTTTAACCATTTTTACTTACAATTAATGATTTATTGGCTTAAAATTAACGATACACGATCAGAAAAGAACTTAGATTTTTAGTGGTAGAGCGCTCGCTTAGCATGTGAGAGGTACCGGGATCAATACCCGGCACCTCCAGGGTTTAACCATTTTTACTTACAATTAATGATTTATTGGCTTAAATTACCGATACACGATCAGAAAAAACTTAGATTTTTACCAATATTAACAAAGGGGCTGTAGCTCAAGTGGTAGAGCGCTCGCTTAGCATGTGAGAGGTACCGGGATCAATACCCGGCAGCTCCAGGGTTTAACCATTTTTACTTACAATTAATGATTTATTGGCTTAAAATTAACGATACACGATCAGAAAAGAACTTAGATTTTTACCAATATCAACAAAGGGGCTGTAGCTCAAGTGGTAGAGCGCTCGCTTAGCATGTGAGAGGTACCGGGATCAATACCCGGCAGCTCCAGGGTTTAACCATTTTTACTTACAATTAATGATTTATTGGCTTAAATTACCGATACACGATCAGAAAAAACTTAGATTTTTACCAATATTAACAAAGGGGATGTAGCTCAAGTGGTAGAGCGCTCGCTTAGCATGTGAGAGGTACCGGGATCAATACCCGGCAGCTCCAGGGTTTAACCATTTTTACTTACAATTAATGATTTATTGGCTTAAAATTACCGATACACGATCAGAAAAAACTTAGATTTTTACCAATATTAACAAAGGGGCTGTAGCTCAAGTGGTAGAGCGCTCGCTTAGCATGTGAGAGGTACCGGGATCAATACCCGGCAGCTCCAGGGTTTAACCATTTTTACTTACAATTAATGATTTATTGGCTTAAAATTACCGATACACGATCAGAAAAAACTTAGATTTTGATTGTAGAAAACAAAGGGGCTGTAGCTCAAGTGGTAGAGCGCTCGCTTAGCATGTGAGAGGTACCGGGATCAATACCCGGCAGCTCCACGGTTTAACCATTTTTACTTACAATTAATGATTTATTGGCTTAAAATTACCGATACACATTCAGAAAAAACTTAGATTTTGATGGTAGCAAACAAAGGGGTTGTAGCTCAAGTTGTAGAGTGCTCGCTTAGCATGTGAGGGCACCACGATTTTAGCGGCCCAAATTCTTTTCCGCGCAAACAAAGTTTTTTCTCTTACCTGAAATTTCAACCATTTTTACTTACAATAGAATTATATCATAGGCTATATAGGCATTCTGATACACACTGCATCTAAAAACCTCTCTGTGTGTTTATTTCGATCTATGATGCAAGAGAGGGCGTGGTATTCCACAATGCTATACTGAGACATATAAAACATCTCTGTGCTAAGTACTTACATCCGAAATTTAAGAAGGCTGGTCTGCTGAATATCTTGCCTCCTTCGTTTTGCGCAGCACACTGGTATCTCCCAGCATCCCTGTCTCTCGTCGGGTTACTGATGGCTAACTCTCCATTTGTGAAGGTGTATCTTGGATCGCTTCTATGGGTAATGTCAACGTTGTCCTTTTGCTGAACAAATGCAATAATGGCATGAAACAACAAATGAACAAAGACTAAACCGTTCCCTTCATACATAAACAATCCCTACTACTATCCACCACCTATATTAGGGAGGTTAAGATACACGTTTTTTAACTTGCATGTGAACGTATAGAATTATGGTCCTTTGTGGATTCGTTCTTCCATTTGTACGGTTTACTAGGCCGAATCAGTATAAAGGTATACGGGAAATAATTGTAATTTCGTACCCGGAAAAGTGAATTCGGAGCGGGACAGTAATCTCCGGGGGTCGAAATAGTACGAGGGGTGATCCAAAAGTCTTGGACGCCCTGCTCTAATTTTGTTGGTTTTTGATAAACTTACTTTAAACTTTCCAATGATAAAAACCAACAACCGAACTACTTTGTGTATTAATTTCATGGAGAAATGATATATTTTATGTAGTTTTTTAGATAGTTTTTAATATAGGGACCCTGCCACCCGGAACGGTATTCGCACATGACAACTTTCAGCCTTAAATGTCATCGACATTTGACTTGTTTCGCAAGTCTTGACCACTATTGTTCTTTGAATTTTGAATGTTAAACCATGTTAGTTTACTTCCTTTGTTACAAGGCAACCAATTAATTGTGTTTTAATTATAATGTCACATATGACAATGGCCGTATATGTCAAATTCTAAGAAAATGACATCAGACAAGCAACCCTTATTCTGGTAACAATTTTTGCTCCAAGATGGCTACCGAAATGCAGAACGTGAAAGAAATAAAAGAGAAACAAAGAATACTACAAGATATTCTCACTATTATTTACCTTGAGCAGCTACCATATGAACGATACAGTCTAGATATGGCTCCGTGTGATTTTTTCCTTATCTCCAACTTGAAAGGAGGGTTGAAAGAAAATGTTTTTTACTCATTAGATGAGGTTTAGAGTGGCACTCCAGGATCATTTGTATCACATAAGCAATGGCGGTTTCAAAAATGTTTCCCATTCATGGCTAAAGCGATACGTAAAAATGTGTTCAAATTCGTGGAAAATATGTTGAAAAGTACGTCTTAATATGTAAAGATGATGATGCCAGATGACACTCAGATTGAAAAATCGGAAATTCTCTCATATCATGACTGGTGTTAAGTCACCTGCACCTAAAAGTATTTGCCATATTAACAGTTGTGGCATGATTTTTTTCTATATTTAAATACCGTTCCGGGTGGCAGGTATCCAACATTAAAAAATATTTAGAAAAATAGCTAAAATATATTATTTTCTGGTGAAACTTACACACGAAGTTGTCAAGATGTTGATCTTTATTATCTGAAAGTTTCATGTAATTATATTGAGAAATAGCATAGTTAGAGCGGGGCGTCCAAGACTTTTGGATCACCCCTCGTACATGCTCACGTACAAGTTCTCTTGAAAACGTGTAACTTAACATCCTTAATTTCACTATCGGGCCGTATAATTGTGCAGAAATAAATTTCGTAAATACTTAGTAGACACATATACATACACCGCTACTCAGTACCTACACTACTGTGGTCGAACCGAACTCGTAAAGTTTAATATCTGTTGCGCCGAACACCGGTACCCACCTCTTGACAATACATTTTGTGCTACGGAACGACTACCTCGTAGTACCTACCCATGTGTACGAGCTGTATGGAAACGCGTCTACGGAGCATATCATTCTGACGATCTTTTCCGGAGTGTCCTCAAAGAAGATCGTATTCTCTGGTTCAATGATGAATTCTGGGCCTCGAGGCAATGTATTGATATCTGGGTTAAGGACACCAAATGCTAAAAGAACAATACGATGGAGATATTTGTAAAAAATGAGCATTTATTTTAAGTTATATGACTGGTCCAGTTTTGTATTGTTACTATACAACACGCAAGATCATGAATTACAGCTCAGCAGATGTCATTCGTTTGTTAGGTGCATTGTCTTTGTTTTTATTATCATCACTATTTTCTCCGATCACTGTTTCAATATGTAATTGATTGTTTTCTACATTTGTCAGGACAACGTTTCCATCGATCACGTGGTTGGTGTCCAATTCTTCCAAAGGTGTCAACCGTGTTGCTGGAATTGATATTTGTTGTCAAATAGTTTCTAATTCTATATGACATATAGTGTATAGATTCTAGCGATTGGAATTTGAATTCTAAGGTAAAAATAAGTTTCTCGAACGCATATTTAAGAAACAAAATGTTTTAGGTCCTGCCTAATGGCCCGCCCATTATGTACTTACAATGGTCTCTTTGCTCGTCCAATATTTTCCAAATATCTCTCTTGCTTATCTCGCATATAAAGGCTCTCTCTTCGCTTGCAATGCCCAGTATCCACCCCCACTTGTTACCTGCAAACATGCCGGATACCATATAAAATCTGTCGCCAATTATTTTCTACTTATTTGATTTGAACACAAAATCATTCAAAAAACTCATGTTTTTTATCCGATGTTGAATTTAAAAACTTAACGATTGTGTATCAAAATAGGTGAGAAGGTAGAAGGAAAGAGTTCGGATAAGATAACGAACGTCACGAAGGGGGAAAGAAGAAAATGGGAAATTATGGGATAGATGATATATGAGGGGAAATGAGAAGATGCGAAATAAATGAAGGGGAAATCGAATGATGAAAAGGGAATGGAGTTTGTTGTGAAATGATGGGAAAGGACAAGATGCCTGGAAAGATCGATGTTCTGCGTGGAAGGAAGAGCGGGAGCCGGAGAGAAAACATACTACAGGGGAGAGATTGGAGAATTTGAATGGAAAGAGAATGGAGAGGAAGTGATCAGGAAAATGAGACTAATGAAGGAACGTGAATGGAGGAAGGAATATAGAAGAGAAACGTACCATCATAATAATAGCACACGTGGTTGTATGGCGACGGACGTTGTCTAATTGTCTCGTTGATCCAATATTGGTGTCTCTGTATTTCATCACCTGTACCTTCCCAGAAGAAAGACCAAGGCCTTGTAGGGTTTCGTCTACCACTGGTCAACCAGGTTAGCCTGTAGAAATAACAACACATGAATTAGGTAATGGATCGGATAAACCATGAGTGTTGCACTCGTCTTTTGTGTCACACTAGTTTTTGATAGCTTGCCAAGTGTTTATTCTTTAAAAAGCAATATAAAAAGAATGTACACTTATTTTGTTACGACTGTACATTCTTTAAAATAAATACAGTTCACTCAATTGTGCTAGTGGGTTTTAACATAGGATAAATGGAGTTTAATGCCTCAATTAGTTCGTTCCTTGACTTCCATAATAACCAACTAGTACATCGTGTAGTGGTATAGAACCCTTCTATCCCCTGAATCATCATAAACACAGGGGATGTGTTAGTCCAAAACTTCATCAGAGCAACTCCTTGCAATTGACCTTTTTCCATATAGATGGAAAATAGATGGCATCATCGGTATTGGCAGGGCTATGGTAGGGCTAGAATACATTTAATTGTAAATGTATTGCCAGAGTCACTTAATTTCTTGATTTAAGAAGTAATTCCATTTGTATCAACTTAAAACACAATTGGAATGTAACTATATGATCTTATTGACATGTGGATTGTGAGTTCACATTAAAATTGTGATCCTTGTAAGAGTAAATCCTTTCCATTAGTTGTATTTTATTTTAAAAGAGACATTCATCTACATGATCTCTAACCCACAGAGTATCGCTTGTCGTGAGCTATACTTCATTATCGTCCTCCATACAGAGGCCGATGACTGATTGATAAACGAACACAGTAGCTATAATAACAAACCTTCCTGGGCCTGGATCAATGGAATCAAATGTTCTGGTGACGAAAGCATGTTCCCCATCACTACTGATACTGATCAACGCAGCTCCGTCTCGCTACAACAAAATACAGAATAGATAAGTCAATGTCACTCTCATTGTTGGTGTTATTATTATATCTCTGGAACTTTGTTCAGTGGACCTTTCCAATAAAACCTTGCTGACCTCTTTTGGTGAATTAGGGAATTTGATCGGACATGATTTATTACATTGGTCTATTGCTCTAGAGTTTGATCATTGAAGAAAAGTTGAGTATCTAAACAAAATGAAGTCCATTTTTCCAAATGAGACCTTTTTAAAAAAGTAAGGTCCATTTTTGTGCAAGTCCGTCGGTGTATTGTGTTGCTTACCCGACAGTTCTCTCCAGCTCTATCGTGGTTGAGACGGGGGCCTCGCACAAATCGATAACAGTTTTCCTCGTAAGTATCCCATCCTCCGGGGCAATCTAAAAGGGCGATAAAGAGCTAAAACATGATGATTGACAAAAAACGCGGGCATTCAGAATTATTACTCTTGCTTTGGGATCTTGTAGTACAGCTTTTAGAGGATGTGACAAGTAAGAAAATAATTAATTTGAAGAGGAAGATTATTTAGCTGATATTTACAGAGAGGAATCGAATATATGGGCAGTACATGATTTCCAAACATCCGCATTTGGAAGAAACATGTAAAGATGAACCTTAACATGTAGATGAACCTCCGGGGGTTTACCTTTACAAGGAGGTTCATCTATACGAATTCTGGGGTATTCCTCCTTTGGAGGGCACCAAATCCATGTTTTCTTGTAGTTTCTGTTCAGCGAGAACTGAATAACAGCATGTGACAGGGGCCAAATTCGATTGATTCTAATCCCCGTAATAAAGACGAACGCCTATATAATCCAATTTTATCAGTCACTTTTCATTTACCCATTGTTGATGACTCACATTCTGTGTTATGGTTAAAGAAACTCATCATTGGGTAGGGGAAAACATCAACAAGTGAAGAAAAGAGAGATAAGGAACAACTCAACATCCCCGGGGTCAACATCACTTAAATATGAATTGATGTGATACTAGTATATAATTATAACCCCCCCCCCCTCCTTCACCCCCCCTCCCCATTAAGATAGAAGAATAGAAAAAGAATACATACCATAACGGGATGACTGCCCAAATGCGAGACTCAACTGGTGCAATATTACACATATCGTTATCCATCTTTTAGATCTGCTGAGTAATATCATGTTTTGAATATATATGTTATTTTAATTAATCCAAGAAAAATCGTCGATCATTTTTCTTAATATCCAAACCGTTAAAACATGCAAATGTTGAAAAGTTCGAACTTTAGACTGTTTGATACAGTTTAAGAAATTACAAAAATGGGTTTTTATTCTTATTAATTACTAATTGATAATTAGCGTAATCTGCTGATTAGGATTTATGATATACTCGATTGGGGCCAGTAAGTGTCCATAGGGCATTGAACTGAGTTCTGCTAAAGTCATGGTGGAACATGTATATCTATAATTTCAAACAGATGAAGACTGAACCTCATATTTTGATTTGTGCTATTTTAATTAAAATTACTTATTCAATTGCATATTTATCAACAAGCGTTGTTTATTAATGAGATTGCAATTTAAAGTTATCATGTTTCGCGATGTTTTGACTTTTGAGGGGACTTTTGATAACACCGATAAACAGGACTGATGGAGAGTTTAAGTGTATTGACTGATTAGGGTTACACTTTATATTTGCCCAGTGCATCTGAGGAAAAGTATTTATCAAATTAATTCAATTATTAAACTCATTCAATGGTTTGGTATCACCATTAAAAACAAATATGATCGCATTTCAAGATTTATAGAATGGGTGTTCAAGTATTCACTGCATTGATACATGGTGGAGATGGCGGGATGTTTCACAATTAAACATACCTTAATTAAACTAAAAGACGGTTTTACGTTTTACTTTTTCTGCTTACGTCTAAGAGTCGATTGACTCATCGTAGTTATGTCGCCTCCACCAGAAGTGGTGACATATTTTTATAGTCTCCAACTTTTTTTGTGGATAATGTACGTTGTTCGGAGCTAGGCGCTTGGCGTTTTGAATTCGGCAGTCGGAGTTCGACATCCGTAACAAATAACACGTGGTGACATGTTGCATGTTAATACCTTGTTAAATATATTTACATTTCTCATATACACGAATAGACCATTGGCATCTTAGACTATGTACAAGTTCAATCCTATAAATAAGACATTCATCAATCATATTCATAACATGCTAAAGTAATGTACTTTAATTCCATCGCATGATATGTAAGACAACCTTAATGTATTTTGGTCATTATTGAAGTCGAAATGTTGCAATGTTGCACTGAGGTTTCCCCTAGCATACACTGTATTATTCATTTCTAATCCGTTTGAAGCCAAGTGTTCCTTCAAGAGGATTTCACCTAAGATAATATAAACATTTTTAGAATTAATATGATTCTCGCCCAATTTTCTCTCGATCAGTGTGTTATATTTACAACAAAAATAGTCTATAAAACATACTCTACAAATCAAGCACAAAATAGGAAAATATAGATTGTCTTTCTTTAGATGATTTATCTTTTTGTTCAAGCATTATCGTTTGTTTGATTTATAAAGACCTTTGCTTGAGATCATTTATCTTAGCAATCGGCTTCATGATAGGACCATTGTGTCTCATGGGCCCATATTCAAACGATGATTTATCTTGAGTATCCCGACGCCTCCGCGACTGAGCTCCGTATTTCTTCAATATCGTCAATATCGAAACAATCACTCGATGCGCCAAAGTTTTCATATGTGATGGGTCTACTGACGTCCGAGATGTTGTCAAGACTTGTGTTTGCAAATACCTCTGACATATGGTCCGCGAAATAGTCATCGTGTTTGCGTTGTCTTTCATTGTAGCGTCGTATTAAGCACGACGACACACAAGCCAAGAGAAACACCAAACAGACCGTCCCAATACTGAACCCGATTATCATGTTGACAGAATGGCCGATCGGACCTTTGCTGAAGTTAGGTTCTTTCGTGATAAAGTCCGTGCAGTTGATCCTCACATCCTTTTCTATGTCAATAAATGTGAGACACGCTTGATAGGTGGTGAGTGGTTTCAGGTCACTGATTGTGTAGCTCCTCATGTAAGGCTTAATGTGGACAGTAGCAATGGTGATGTTCAGATTGATGTGGATTTTCCTCACAGTCAATTTATGCTCATGTTGGTATGATATACCATGCCACGTAAGCATGACGGAATTTTCCGTCAGGGCAAGCACGATGACACTTCCTTTGAGTGTACCCACTTGGATTTTGACAGACGCTTCGGCCTCTCCTTCAGTATTTTTAGCCGTACACTTATAAACACCACCATCATTCGTGAAGACATCCCCAATTGATAATGTTCCGTTATTGCCCAAGTTTACATGACCAGATATGACACTGGGCGCATTTGTCCCCGCGCCCTGTTGTGATGGAATCTTCCACTGGATATTAGGGGTTGGTCTACCAAATGCTCGACAGGATAACGACACATGATTACCAGGGCTAGTCTTTATCAAGCCCGGGAGAAGGACCTGGAGAATTCTTGGAGCACAAACATCGCTTATATCATCGATATTGATATCGACTAAATTTATTTTTGTTGTGCTGCCTTGATAACTACAAGCCATCGTTGGAATGTCAGTGAATCTCGAGTCAGTTTGTTGTTGATGATTGGCAATTTTAATGAGCCACTTAAGTGAACAATCACACACAAAATTGTTTCCTCGAACATCGATCCTTTCTAAGGATGACACCCCAGTAATAGTTGATTCTTCGATCGTACTTAGATTATTATGATGTAAAAGTAATGTTGTTAATTTAGGAGTTCTGACGAACGAATTGGGATCAATAAACGAAAGATATTTATTGTAACATATTTCCAAGAGTCGAAGCTCTGGCAAGTTATCGAACGCTGTTGCATCAATCAAAGTCAGATAACGCATAGAGTTTAATTTAAGCTCACCAACAGTGGTGTTATAAAAACTATTTGAATGTAATATGTGGAATCTATTTGCGCTAAGGTCAACCGTATCTATCTTGCTGATCTTTTGAAGAGCCAGAGAAGGTGGTTGCATTAATTGGTTCTCATCAAGCCGAAGATTATCCAATGAGATTATTCCCAGGAAAGCCATGTCGTGTAGATGTACCAAATGATTGTGGTCCAAACGCAACTCTTTCAGATTCCTCAGAAAGTGAAAGTCACCATCTTGAAGTATGTGTATTTCATTGTATGAGAGATCTACTGTTTCTATAGTTCGCGACATGTCCCTAAACCAATCACTGACAACTTCGATGAGATGATTATGAGACAGATTAAATCGAACCAGATGGTCCAAACCATAAAAGGAATTTCCTTTAACGATCGTCAATCTATTGTATGCGAACGAAATACGTTTCAGTAGACCCAATCTAGCAAATGTACCTTTAGGTAAATATTCAATATTATTAGATACTAGATTAAGATACACTAAGTTATCAAAGTAATTTCCCAAGTTTTTCAACTGAGTGGAGTCTGTCTTTTTCATTTGCAGCTCTGTAATGTTTCTGCCTATGTACATCATGTATTCTTCGCTGACATTTTCTATCTGTTTTCCGCTCAAAGTCATCATCTCAAAACCTTCACTTATATTCATAAAACGATTGTCGGCTTGCCATATGTTGATCATCTCACTACAGTTCAGAAACCGAACGTTCCTCTCGGAAAAATCCGACCACATGAGATGACATGAACATGACACAGGACAAGCGGTTGCTGACCTCCTTAATGTCAAAGATGTCATTAACAGAAATGCCAAATACGTTAACGCATTAAAAGAGCCGCGTGATTTCCTTATTCCCATTGTTAATTTTTCACGTCTCGCCATCTAGTATCAAAGCTACTGTTTTGATGGTAATTCGTGCCGTCTTTTCTCTTGACTTGCACATTATGTTGAACTACTGATTGTTCCAGTGGCTAAGTATACAATTGAGAATGTATTATATACTTCTTCCAAACACGCAAGTCATTCATAGTTTCCAAAGCACAAGTTCGTGTTCCAAGTTGTTTCTAACACAAGAAGTCAATAGCTCTAATTTTCTTAGATGTGGAGTACTTCCTATATTTTTAGAGTACTTTCTTCTAAACGCCACATGGAGTATATCTGAAACGAAATAAAAAAAGCAATTTATATTATTTACAACCGAAACTCGTTCGTTCAATCATCTCGACCTAGTTACATCATGGATTACACAAGATCTTACGTTCTAATATGGGTTATGTTATGGTGGTATATTTAAAACAAATACTGTGTATAGGGTGTCCCAAAATTTTTGTTTACGTTCAATTTTTTGTAATAAATGTGAATTCGTGGACATTAGCCGACATAATTGGGTCCAATCAGAGGGGTTTTTAATGGCATCTAAATATTTTTTCCTCCAGTCAATTTTTCTATAAGAATATTGTGTCATGAGTTGAATACCTACGTGAATATGTATTTACGTCTACAGGGTGGGGCAAAATAAATGCGTACACGACTGATATTGCTCTCCCGTGCTTATATGAAGCAGTCAGATCCTAATATTTTCACACAAGCAAATCCAGGAAATTATCTGTCAGACTACAGACCACCCCAGATGACTACTGTGCTTGGGGTAACCTTGAAAACAATGTCTACAGGCATCCTTGATCAATTACATCACTGCAAACTCTATAACAGAAGATAAAAAGAGAATGGAATGCTCTCAGTCAGGAGACATTGAAAAAAGCAATTGATCAATGGCGAATGCGGCTAAGGCTCGTTGTCCAAGAGAAGGGGGTCCTATTGAAAGCTTCCTCAAATGACTATTAAATAACTGTTGGCAATGCTAATAATACATGAAACTGAAAATAATATACCTGTTTCAACTTTACTTGTGCCAAGCGTGAATTTACAAATAAATCCATGAAATCATATTGGGTATATTGTGTACGCATGTTTTGGCCCACCCTGTATATGTGTTAAAAATCTTTGTCAATCATTTGCATTGACATCCTTACTTGTTATGAAATTGACGTTCTTCCCTTTGTGATTACAATATTCTGTCCACCCTGTATCTAGCTACAGTAATCCTTTGAAAGAATACTAATCCTATTAATCCCTTGTATAAATACCATTACTACTATACGAACTCTTATTAAAATCGACCCGTTAAGAATCTTGTTTCTTGTTATATTTGATCTGACCATTTACAGGATATTAGTTAGATCCATTTTCAGCTCTTTGCATCTATTTATCAAACAAGTCCTTACATGATTTTACAGGTTACTGGTAGTGTTAACAGTAAGACAGGCTAGATTACCTGATTTCGATTCCTCAGAGGAAGCTACGCATCTTTCAATGCCACAGAACCGACAAATGAACAAATGATGGATAGTGATGATGTCGAAGTGAGAAAGCGCAATATTTGACCTAGTGTGAGAAGCAATTTAAATTCCCTTCTATAAAACTCAAAAGGAATATTAAATTATATATTCGGACAGATCCATTAATCAAGTTCGGAGCCAAGTATAACAACGGTTGGTCCTTGCATGGGCTTTCCAGAAAACCCATGGTCCTTATCATTGACTACCCTCTAAAGGTTTGGCAACATCGACTCTCCATTAGAAAATAAAGGCATGTAAAATGTATGAATTTAAAAGAATTCCCAGGATATATAGGCTGGAAATTTATGTTTGATTTTTAAATCCCTGTACATCAAAACGAGGGAATCGATTGGTGGGGGTGTACTATTTTCTCTGTTTTTGAAAATGATTTAGGGATCGAAATATTATATAATAAAATTGTTATGGTAAATATTAATTATTTAAAATTAATTGCGAAACGTTTCAAGCTATGTAACAGGTCCCAGGCTCTTGGAAGATCAATACTATCTACTCGATATAGAGAAATTGAGTTTCTTCATTAATCTTCAAATATTTACTATTAATTGTTCAAAGTGATAGAAAAGCATACAGATGTAACATATTGGAAGCATACTTTTCAATAAACATGCCAATGTGTCCCTTATCATCACAAAAATATCTTTAAAATATTTGAGATATCTTAAACAAGTTTTGAGATGTTTTGAACAAATATTTGATGATTTGAGACGCAGTAATGTCTAAATTCCCTAAAAATTGATTAAGTTTGATAATCTTACAAATGAAAACACTTCTATGAAAATAAGTCAGAGCTATTGGAAATAGTCTTGACAAGGAATGCGAACAAAGTACTTCACATATAATATTGACAATTTTTAAAATACATAGTTGGAACTCTCACTATTTTTACTACTCCCTCAACACTGAAGTAATTACTATATTGCAAGGGCTCTGGGAAAACTGGTTTCAATTTGTCTTTCTGTTTTAAAACATTTAACATGGTTATTTACAGACAGTAGATTTGCTAACTAATCCATCCATCAAGTCTATATTATTATTCCACAGTAAATCAAGTAATCGTGTTTGTGCCTCACAGATATCATAAATGGAAAATATGTTGGAAAGCACGTTAGCAAATAAAGCTTAAAACTAACGTTATCAGTCGTACATGTAGTTACTATTGTAGTAAGTAGCCTACACTTCTGGTACTGGAGAACTGAACTTACAGAATTCATTTAATTTGCTTGCGGTGAAATATATTTAAAAACTTATATTTATAAACTTTGACAGAACTGTAAAATCCCATGCGTTATATTCGTCCCTATAATGGTTAATTATATTTACATTTTTTAACTGTTGATTTATTGTTTCTTTGTTGTTTAGAATGTCGCCCATTGTGCGTTCTGATGAATTCAAATTTGTAAACGTAAAAAAATACTATAAAACACCAAAAGTAATTCTTGATTCAAAAAGGTTTTTTGTTGAATAGGCCAATCTTCCAGCTTTAGGCTTGATAACTGTAACTGTCACCTCTTAGACCCCGAACATTCACTTGGAATTACGATTCCTATGTTCAACCAAGCGACAACTTACGTTAAGAGAATACATCATGTACTATCAATTCAATCCTACATTGGAGCAGACAAAGGGATCGCAGACAGTATAACAAATGGTATATCGAATTAAATCCTACAGTTAACCATCAGTTACGTCTAATTTTTCTGACGTATCCAATCGCGGTCGCTAAGAGGAAATACGTGTCACTAGACAACAGTATTCACGAAGGAGTTTAAGTTTATCACCCGGGTTTATGAATAAAACAAAAGTCAATCATCAAATTATCCTCATCTTCATCTACAAACATGATAAAAATGAATCGTGATAACTGTTGAAGTCTATCATTTGCATTTTAATCCATTTCCCACAACTAACATCTAGACAACTTGAAATGGAATCTGTCATCAACCTCGTCCATGGCAACCATTTTCAACCATGGCAACCCTTTTCATTAATTTGATTGTGCCTTTTTTTAAAAGAGAGCTACATCGTCACCTAATATACAAGACTCTGGCCCTCATGGTTACACGTAAACCCTCATGGTAAACCATGGCAAACGTTATGATAAAAAACTCTCCATCCTAAATTATGAAGAAACTGTGATATAAAGTATAACCTCCAAGCGCCTCTCGTGTATAATCAGAGGAACCATAAAACAAACATCCGTCACTTTTATTACCGCCAGTACAATATATCAAAAGTAAAACTATAGATCTTATAGATAATATACTTGAACGAGCTAGTGTGTTATCCGGATCTTTTGATTGTAACTTGAAATACACACGAATAACAGAATGATATTTCCACTCTAAAGATCTAAGTTCTAACGCTCGTCATTCTTCTGAAATTAAGAGATGCGGCACAACATAGAAAGATGCTATTATGAAAATAAGTCGAGCGAAAATTTTAGTTTAGAAGCGTGATCTCTTCATCTTTGATCGGTCACCCTTACCTCATTGTTTTAGATCCCTTCTCTTTTTGTTCCCTCAACCAAGTCAATCTGATTTTTATCGAATTTCCATTTCTTATCATAGCCGTACAGATGTGCATTGGCTAAAGCACCTCGACTACACATGAGAGCGATTTCGTTATCATTAAATCAATTGACTTCATCTTGGGATCTTTTGATGCCTCATCTTGAATAATAAATATATTTCAATCGCAAACTACCCATCATTAGTCTTTTAAGATTATTTCCTAAATCATCTAATGCTTCTATGATCTTTAAAACAATCGTCCTATCACTTCGAGCAAGTAGCTAGCAAACTAGATTCCAATATGGTCGGAAATCGAATTATATACTAATGGGAAATCTTTTAAATGTAAAATTCACGCTAACGAACTTACTTGAGATAATGTTCAATGTAGAAAGGCAAATGGACTTGCAAACTCGATAAAAAATATGTAATAGATGTATAATTGATAAGCTTTGGATTTTGACAAGCCATATTTGAAATATTTATCTGGAATTAATGCCCTTTAGTCGCGCGGCAATATTTACTATTATTTTTCATTGGCGCATATTCTCTCCATCAGTGACAACACATTAGACTTTGATGGTGATTTAAACGTTCGATTGTTATCAACGCGGAGCCACTTGACGCTGCTAAAGGAAAAACTGATCATCAAATCTGAAATATACCATAAATATAAACAGTTCCCCAGGGATAAGATGGTTAGTACAGTTGTATTTCTGAAAAATAAATCTCTAGATATTTCTAATCTAAGCGAGAACATGAGTTGATTGCATTCCAAATCTTGGATTTATAACTTTGTTAGTCCAATTACTTCATGAATTACTGACCTAATGGCATTGAGTGGCTGGTGTCCCTCTGTGACCAATCACACCATTATTGTTCAATAGAGACTTACAGAATCATTAGCACAGAAATTTGTCTATATACAAATCATCGCATGTATCCATAGCAACGTCCTGGCATTTATTCTCTCACTTATCTTGACGGTATTATTCATACTGAGCAGTGAGTCTCCATTGTCATTTAAGAAATTTCATGAAAGTATGTAAGAAAGAAATTTAGGCATTCAATGTACGAACTGTGATTAATGTAGAATATCTAGTACTACTAGTGTACACAAATGTTATTTATTAATATATTGCAGAATTCACCATACCTGATTCTTTGGATGATCTCCAGTGTACAATAGACTGTTCCTTTTTACCTATTTCTTATTTACGTGTGTGAGAGTCTTCCGCTTGCCTTTATACTACTTATCGACGAAAGTACTTGTAGTCTCTGACGGCTTAGGCTAGCCAGATAAACTTGGTAATCTTAAATGGCAATATCCATTAATGTTTTACACCTAAACTGACCGTAAACACGATAGACATCTTCCTTCTAAAGATTGTAAAATTCGTTATCGCATTTTGTTGATTTTGAAATAACTTTCACGGATGTGTCCGTTCAAGGGTTTTACAGGCGCCATCATTTTGAATTGTGTCACAGTTATCAATTGGAAATATCAACGAGGACGTTTTCAATAACGTCAAGCACTTATAATCCTCTTCGAATGAAACGTTCTCCTGTCAGAAAAAGATTCTGTATCAAATAAGCTGATTCAGAAACAAATTGAAAATTTATTGGCTGACAAATTATAAGACATTTCAATTATAGAGCGTCTTAGTCAAAAAGTTCATTTTCATCTTGAAGTTAATATCAATTCGGCTTTGATATTATGTTTCGTGGCGAACAAGTCGGTGCAATCCACTTGATTTCTCTTGCGGAGAGTCGTAAAGGAGAACTGTTATGAAGAAATATATTGCAAAGAATAAAATAATTTGAAGTTCATTTTTTATTTAGATCCACTGACAGAAAGTATCATTTTGCTCCTTGTAATTGGTAAAATAAACGGATGTTGGGAGCATATAAGATGGTGCTTAGAGGCTTTTGTAATGAGTTCGCTTTTAAAAATTCGGTTGGTTCATCACAAGGGAAATTTCATAAGATATAGGGCCCTATATTTATTTCCCTATGGATCAACATCCGGATCAAACCAAACTATTACATCACTAATTCATCCTTATAATGTACCGAAAGAAGGGCATGATTTGATAAGAAGCCATCCGTTTGTATTATCCGTCCGTCTGTCCGGTCATAACTCCATATAATGTAATATTTAGTAGAAATGTGCCATTTATTGAGATTTTGCCAAAATGTTTATTACTACATTGTTGTTATTTCTCGAAAACAATGTTCAAAATGAGAAATTATTTGAGAAAAGAAATTTTGTTCAGTGGGATTTGCTACTCCTTGAAGTTTTTTGCATAACATTAATATTGCACTGTTTGTAACAGGCCCACTTGACCGAAGTAAAGAGCACATGTTATGCCTACATTACGTCATTGGAAGAAAGTTGTTTTTAAAGGGAGCTGAAAATATTGCATTTGAGCTTACAAAAATGGTTAATTCTGAAAATTATAACACCGTTGTCGGTGACTTTGTTGATTTTTAGAAACCTTAAAACAAACGGAAAGCCATTTATTCTCTGAAGTAGTTCATGCATGAACTATGTTCTTCTTTGTCGTTCAGGAAATCCTTAAGCATTAATGGCATTAGAGAAAAACACAATCTAGAATGGCTACACTTGCCTACATAACGTTGGAACTGGTTTCCATTGATATAGCTTTTGGGTGATTCAATCGAAAATGTCCCATTCTGATACTCATACTCATACTCAAAGCATCTTTCTGTTTCACAAGGAACATCTCAAGACTTGAGATGAAATGAGAAGAAATGAGATGGCATGGTTTCATAGTTTCTACATGTTTATCATGATGGAAATGCCCATCTTAAATTCAAATGTGTTTTATGCTATTGATATATTTCGACTAATTTGGGCGACCTTGTCAAAGAAGTGACGAATTATTGCTTTGAAATCCGAGTAATTAATTCAAGGAGATTTTATGCGAAATCGAAGAGTAAAATGTATAATATATCTTCCAATAGATACCTGTTTGATGCTGCAACACGTTTGTCCTGTTGGGATTTTTGCTATATTTACAAAAAGTTAAACAACGGACGAGAATCTGACCTAAGTTTCCAATATTATGGTAGGGATGGTAGATACAGTATTTCAATCGCAATAAACATCGTGACTAGGTAAAAACAACGGTGATTTATAAAACACTTCATTCCGATCTGATTCACTCCGACACTTTCGTAAAACAATTGAAGTACATTTTCAAAGATATCCGTGACTTCCAACATGCTCCAAAGGCCATTGATGTTACTAATCTCATCTACAGCAAAAAATATGCTTAATGGAGGGACATGATAAGGTCTATAAGTAATACTACTATTGTACCAGGAATTACCGTATTAGGGACGACAAGATTTTCTTGGACAAATTGAATTGAAACTAGAGATTTATGATATTGTTTGTGACTATGCTAAATAATTGATTGATCAATTCATTTAGTTTGATCTTTGAGTTCGATTTATCTTATAGTGAGGTCAGAACAAATAGATACATGTATGATGATGTTGTCCATATTAAAAAAAGACTAATTTCTTCCTAATTTCCACAGCATTTATATGGAAAACTTTAATCGCCAAATGTTCTATTTTATGTTTTGTTTAGCTCTTTTTTAGAAAAGCCAAATTAAACTACTAGAAAGGGTGGCTGGTAGTTAGCGGACAGCAGGTATAATCAAGAAAAATGAAGACCCCAATTTTTCAACAAATAACGCTAAACAGAGAATTCAGTTACTCTGACCTCATGTTTACGTTTTGCCTTTACACAAAGTCTGCAAGTGATAGCCAGTTAATACGGATGCGAAATGTTTCATTGGTTTATCTATTTCACATCATTTATCAAATAGGTCTTATAACTCAAACAGTGCTAGGTCCGTGCTGATAGAAAACATACTATATATCAAATCAGGTACATACCAAAACAAATTGGACTTCTGTGTTTACAATAACATGCATATTTTCTGCTGGCTTTTTTATGGTTTAATACTGCGTTCTGTTCTATTTCTGTTAAAAAACATTTGGAAATATCTATACGAGATTGCTGGCATGCATATGTTGGTCTGGTGAATAAGATGATTAAACACTCTGCATAAATTGACAAAATGCCATAAAAAGTCTGCTATTAAGGAAGTATGCTGGTCTGTTAAATCAGATTCATATTCTGCACAGATTGACAAAATACCTTTAAAGAGTCTGCTATTAAGGAATATTGTTTGTTAAAAAATTAATTCGAATTCATGTTATTATTCACAGATTGACAAAATACCTTTAAAGAGTCGTTAAGGAAGAATGCTGGTCTAATCAATCAGATTCAGTTTCTGTGGAGATTGATAAAATGCTATGAAAGAGTCTACTCCAAGTATCAAGGATTAAAGAGTTCTGGTCTGGTTATTTCGATTCATAACTGTACACAGAATGACAAAATACCATTAAAGAATATGCTGTTAAGGAAGAATGTTGATCTAATTAATCAGATTCATATTCTTCACAGATTAACAATATACCATTAAGGAGTCTAGGAAAATGATGGCAAATGCCACGAAAGAGCTGATTATTTCGATTTACAGGGGTTTGTGGTAATGTCAATAGATTTGGAAATATAGAAGCCAAGTGACTGAAATTCATGTCAGGTACTCCACAATGCATGTTTAATAAGTGCACCCATGTCTTATATCTCCTTCAAAAATTCTATCGCGGTTCTGGGACACCCTGTACATTATGTACAGATTGAAAAAATACCATTTAAGAACCTGCGTTTAAGGAAAACTGCTGGTCTAATTAATCATATTCATACTCACATACCAGAAATATACCATTAATGATGATAATTAAGAAATAATGCTGGTCTGGAAACCTGGAATTAAAGTAGGGTGCTAGTGAAGTTTTTAAATATAGATTTATTCACATTATGACTTGTATAGATTAATAAAAATGTCATATATGATGGTCCAAATTCAGCACAAAATTGCAAAAATAGCATTAAGGTAAATTGCTGAAAATATTAGGATATGGGTAATCAAAGTTCCTGACTTTCTTATTTTTC